GGTACCACCACAGATTTCGGTTGATTTTTCCGAAATGCCATTTTCTTCAGATTTTGAAGGCTAGAGATCAAGAATTCGCCCCGAGGCTATTCTCCATCGATGATGAAGTCTATTGATCTTATTCTCCACTGATGCTTAAGCCCGTTAGGCAACGATTTAGGCGGATTAATTTTCGTATGTCATTTTCGTAATATTTTGGTTTCTTTGTTTTCTAAAGGCCATTTTCCTTGGATTTTGAAAGCTACAAATCACAGATTTGGCCTGAGGATATTCTTCGTCGATGATTGAGTACATCTAGCCCCGATTTAGGCGGATTTCTTCCGGGTCCATTTTTGGCAGATTCCAAAGGTGTACCATCACAGATTTTGGGTGATTTTTTCGAAATGTCATTTTATTCCGATTTTGAAGGATGGAGATCACAAATTCGGCCCGAGACTATTTTCTTCCGATAATGAAGTCTATTTATTATATTCTCCATCGATGCTTAAACCCGTTAGGAACCGATTTGGGGGGATTAATTTTCGTATGACATTTTCGTAATTTTTTGGTCAACTTTTTTGAAAATGTCTTTTTCCTTAGATTTTGAAGGCTACAAATCTCGGATTCGGAATGAGGCTATTCTTCACCGATGATTAGTTCCACAAAGCCCCGATTTGGGCAGATTTCTTCCGGGCCCATTTTTGGCAGATTCCAAAAGGGTACCACCACAGATTTCGGTTAATTTTTCCGAAATGTCATTTTCTTCAGATTTTGAAGGCTAGAGATCACAAATTCTCCATGAGGTTGTTCTCCATCAATGATGACCTCTATAGATCCTATCTGCCGTCCATGCTTAAGCCTGTCAGGCAACGATTTGGGCGGTTTAATTTTCGTATGACATTTTCGTAAATTTTTGGCAATTTTTTTTCAAAAAGTTGTTTTCCTTGGATTTTGAAAGCTACAGATCACGGATTTGGCCTGCGACTCTTCTTCTCTGATGAATAATTACATCAAGCCCCGATTTTGGAGGATTTCTTCCGGGTTCATTTTTGGCGGATTCCAAAGGGGTACCATCACAGATTTTAGGTGATTTTTCCGAAATGCCATTTTCTTCCGATTTTGAAGGTTAGAGATCACGAATTCAGCTCAATGCTATTCTCCACCGATGATGAATTCTATTGATCACATTCTTCATCGATGCTTAAGCCTGTTAGGCACAGATTTGTCTGGATTAATTTTCGTATGACATTTTCGTAATTTTTTGGGCAATTTTTTTGAAAATGCAATTTTCCTTAGATTTTGAAGGCTAAAGATCACGAATTCGGCATGATGCTATTCTTCACTGATGATTAATTCCATCAAGCCCCGATTTGGGCATATTTCATCGGGGCCCATTTTTGGCAGATTGAAAAGGGGTACCATCACAGATTTCGGTTGATTATACCGAAATGCTATTTTCTTCAGATTTTGAAGGTTAGAGATTACGAATTCGACCTGAGGCTATTCTCCACCAATGATGAAGTCTATTGATCCTATTCTCCATCGATGCTTAAGCACGTTAGGAACCGATTTGGGCTATTTAATTTTTGTATGACATTTTCGTAATTATTTGGGTTATTTATTTTTCAAGAGGCCATTTTCATTGGATTTTGGAGGCTACAGATAACAGATTCAGCTTGAGGCTATTCTTCATCGATGGTTGAGTCCATCAGGCCCTGATTTAGGCGGATTTCTTCTGGGTCCATTTTTGGCAGATTCCAAAGGGGTACCATCACAGATTTCGTTTGATTTTTTCCGAAATGCCATTTTCTTCAGATTTTGAAGTCTAGAGATCACGAATTCGCCCCAGACCATTCTCCATCGATGATGATTTTATTGATCTTATTCACCACCGATGCTTAAGCCCATTAGGCAACGATTTGGGCGAATTAATTTTCGTATGTCCTTTTCGTAATTTTTTTTGGTTCTTTGTTTTCAAAATGCCATTTTCCTTGGATTTTGAACGCTACAGATCACAGATTTGGCCTGAGCCTATTCTTCGTCGATGATTGAGTCCACCTTGCCCTGATTTAGGCAGATTTCTTCCGGGTCCATTTTTGGCAGATTCCAAAGGTGTACCATTACAGATTTCGGTGATTTTTTCGAAATGTCATTTTATTTTGATTTTGAAGGACAAAGATCACAAATTCGGCTTGAGGCTATTCTCCACCGATGATGAAGTCTATTGATCCTATTATCCACCGATGCTTAAGCACGTTAGGAACCGATTTGGACTCTTTAATTTTCTTATGAAATTATCATAATCATTTGGGTTATTTTTTTATAGTGGCCATTTTCCATGAATTTTGAAGGCTACAGATAACATATTTGGCTTGAGCTATTCTTCATCGATGGTTAAATCCATCAAAGCCCGATTTAGGCGGATTTCTTCCGGGTCCATTTTTGGCAGATTCCAAAGGGGTACCATTACAGATTTCGGTTGATTTTTCCGAAATGCCATTTTCTTCAGATTATGAAGGCTACAGATCACGAATTCGCCCCCAGGCCATTCTCCATCGATGATGAAGTCTATTGATCGTATTCACCACCGATGCTTAAGCCCATTAGGCAACAATTTGGGCGGATTAGTTTTTGTTTGTCCTTATCGTAATTTTTTGGGTTCTTTGTTTTCAAAAGACATTTTCCTTAGATTTTGAACGCTACAAATCACAGATTTGGCCTGAGGCTATTCGTCGTCGATGATTGAGTCCATCTTGCCCCAATTTAGGCGGATTTCTTCCGTGTCCATTTTTGGCAGATTCCAAAGATGTCCATCACAGATTTCGGGGATTTTTTCGAAATGTCATTTTCTTTTGATTTTGAAGGACAGAGATCACAAATTCGGCCTGAGGCTATTCCACCGATGATGAAGTCTATTGATCCTATTCTCCACCGATGCTTAAGCACGTTAGGAACCCATTTGGACTGTTTAATTTTCGTATGAAATTATCATAATTATTTGGGTTATTTTTTTATAGAGGCCATTTTCCATGGATTTTGAAGGCTACAGATAACATATTCGGCTAGGGCTATTCTTCACCGATGGTTAAATCCATCAAGCCCCGATTTAGGCGGATTTCTTTCGGGTCCATTTTTGGCATATCACGAATTCGCCCACAGGTTATTCTCCATCGATGATGAAGTCTATTGATCTTATTCACCACCGATGCTTAAGACCATTAGGCAACGATTTGGGCGGATTAATTTTTGTATGTCCTTTTCGTAATTTTTTAGGTTCTTTGTTTTCAATAGGCCATTTTCCTTGGATTTTGAACGCTACAGATCACAGATTTGGCCTGAGGCTATTCTTCGTCGATGATTAAGTCCATCTTGCCCCGATTTAGGTGGATTTCTTCCGGGTCCATTTTTGGCAGATTCCAAAGGTGTACCATTACAGATTTCGGTGATTTTTTCGAAATGTCATTTTCTTTTGATTTTGAAGGAAAGAGATCACAAATTCGGCCTGAGGCTATTCTCCACCGATGATGAAGTCTATTGATCCTATTCTCCACCGATGCTTAAGCACGTTAGGAACCCATTTGGACTGTTTAATTTTTGTATGAAATTATCATAATTATTTGGGTTATTTTTTTATAGAGGCCATTTTCCATGGATTTTGAATGCTACAGATAACATATTCGGCTTGAGATATTCTTCACCGATGGTTAAATCTATCAAGCCCCGATTTAGGCGGATTTCTTCCGGGTCTATTTTTGGCAGATTCCAAAGGGATACCATCACAAATTTCAGGTGATTTTTTCGAAATGTCATTTTCTTCCGATTTTGAAGGCTAGAGATCACGAATTCGGCTCGAGCCTATTCTCCACCGATGATGAAGTCTATTGATCATATTCTCCATCGATGCTTAAGCCCGTTAGGCAATGATTTGGGTGCATTAATTTTTCGTTTGGCATTTTCAAACTTTTTTTGGCGACTTTTTTTAAAATGTCATTTTCCTTAGATTTTGAAGGCTACAAATCACGGATTCGGCATGAGGCTATTCTTCACCGATGATTAAGTACATCAAGCCCCGATTTGGGAAGATTTCTTCCGGGCCCATTTTTGGCAGATTCCAAATGGGTACCCCTTTGGAATCTGCCAAAAATTGACCTCGAATAAATCCGCCCAAATCGGTGCTTAATGGACTCAATCATCGTTGGAGAATAACCTCAGGCCGAATCCGTAATCGGTAGCCTTCAATATCCAAAGAAAATGGCCTTTCGTCGCCCAAGAAATTACGGAAATGCACCCCGAAAGTAAATTGGCCCAAATCGATGCTTAACGGACTTATCATCCGTGGAGAATAGGATCAATAGACTTTATTATCGGTGGAGAATAGCCTCGGCCTGATTCCGTGATCTGTAGCCTCAAGAATCGAAAGAAAATGGCATTTCAGATAAATCGCCCGAAATTTGTGATGGTACCCCTTTGGAATCTGCCAAAAATTGACCCGGAATAAATCCACCCAAATCGGTGCTTAATGAACTCAATCATCGTAGGAGAATAGCCTCAGGTCGAATCCGTGATCTTTAGCCATCAATATCCAATGAAAATGGCCTTTCTCGCCCAAGAAATTACGAAAATGGCATCCGAAAATAAATTGGCCCAAATCGATGCTTAATGAACTTATCATCCGTGGAGAATAGGATCAATAGACTTCATTATCGGTGGAGAATAGCCTCGTCCTGATTCCGTGATCTATAGCCTTCAGAATCTAAAGAAATTGGCATTTCGGATAAATCGCCCGAAATCTGTGATGGTACCCCTTTGGAATCTGTCAAAATTGACCCAGAATAAATCCGCCCAAATCGGTGCTTAATGGATTCAATCATCGTTGGAGAATAGCCTCAGGCCGAATCCGTGATCTGTAGCCTTCAATATCCAATGAAAATGGCCTTTCGTAGCCCAAGAAATTACGAAAATGCCATCCGAAAATAAATTGGCCCAAATCGATGCTTAACGGACTTATCATCCGTGGAGAATAGGAACAATAGACTTCATTATTGGTGGAGAATAGCCTCGGCCTGATTCCGTGATCTGTAGTCTCCAGAATCGAAAGAAAATGGCATTTCGGATAAATCGCCCGAAATTTGTGATGGTACCCCTTTGGAATCTGCCAAAAATTGACCCGGAATAAATCCACCCAAATCGGTGCTTAATGAACTCAATCATCGTAGGAGAATAGCCTCAGGTCGAATCCGTGATCTTTAGCCATCAATATCCAATGAAAATGGCCTTTCTCGCCCAAGAAATTACGAAAATGGCATCCGAAAATAAATTGGCCCAAATCGATGCTTAATGAACTTATCATCCGTGGAGAATAGGATCAATAGACTTCATTATCGGTGGAGAATAGCCTCGTCCTGATTCCGTGATCTATAGCCTTCAGAATCTAAAGAAATTGGCATTTCGGATAAATCGCCCGAAATCTGTGATGGTACCCCTTTGGAATCTGTCAAAATTGACCCAGAATAAATCCGCCCAAATGGGTGTTTTATGGACTCAATCATCGTTGGAGAATAGCCTCAGGCCGAATCCGTGATCTGTAGCCTTCAATATCCAAAGAAAATGGCCTTTCGTCGCCCAAGAAATTACGAAAATGCCATCCGAAAATAAATTGGCCCAAATCGATGCTTTAACGGACTTATCATCCATGGAGAATAGGATCAATAGACTTCATTATCGGTGGAGAATAGCCTCGGCCTGATTCCGTGATCTGTAGCCTCAAGAATCGAAAGAAAATGGCATTTCGGATAAATCGCCCGAAATTTGTGATGGTACCCCTTTGGAATCTGCCAAAAATTGACCCGGAATAAATCCTCCCAAATCGGTGCTTAATGAACTCAATCATCGTAGGAGAATAGCCTCAGGTCGAATCCGTGATCTTTAGCCATCAAAATCCAATGAAAATGGCCTTTCTCGCCCAAGAAATTACGAAAATGGCATCCGAAAATAAATTGGCCCAAATCGATGCTTAACGAACTTATCATCCGTGGAGAATAGGATCAATAGACTTCATTATCGGTGGAGAATAGCCTCGTCCTGATTCCGTGATCTATAGCCTTCAGAATCTAAAGAAATTGGCATTTCGGATAAATCGCCCGAAATCTGTGATGGTACCCCTTTGGAATCTGCCAAAAATTGACCCGGAATAAATTCGGCCTAATCGGTGCATAATGGACTCAATCATCGTTGGAGAATAGCCTCAGGCCGAATCCGTGATCTGTAGAATTCAATATCCAATGAAAATGGCCTTTCGTCGCCCAAGAAATTACGAAAATGCCATCCGAAAATAAATTGGCCCAAATCGATGCTTAACGGACTTATCATCCGTGGATAATAGGATCAATAGACTTCATTATCGGTAGAGAATAGGCTCGGACTTATTCCGTGATCTATAGGCTCCAGAATCGAAAGAAAATGGCATTTCGGATAAATCGCCCGAAATCTGTGATGGTACCCCTTTGGAATCTGTCAAAAATTGATCGAGAATAAATCCGCCCAAATCGGTGCTTAATGGATTCAATAATCGTTGGAGAATAGCCTCAGGCCGAATCCGTGATCTGTAGCCTTCAATATCCAATGAAAATGGCCTTTCGTAGCCCAAGAAATTACGAAAATGCCATCCGAAAATAAATTGGCCCAAATCGATGCTTAACGGACTTATCATCCGTGGAGAATAGGATCAATAGACTTCTTTATCGATGGAGAATAGCCTCGGCCTGATTCCGTGATCTGTAGTCTCCAGAATCGAAAGAAAATGGCATTTCGGATAAATCGCCCGAAATCTGTGATGGTACCCCTTTGGAATCTGTCAAAAATTGATCGAGAATAAATCCGCCCAAATCGGTGCTTAATGGATTCAATCATCGTTGGAGAATAGTCTCAGGCCGAATCCGTGATCTGTAGCCTTCAATATCCAATGAAAATGGCCTTTCGTAGCCCAAGAAATTACGAAAATGCCATCCGAAAATAAATTGGCCCAAATCGATGCTTAACGGACTTATCATCCGTGGAGAATAGGAACAATAGACTTCATTATCGGTGGAGAATAGCCTCGGCCTGATTCCGTGATCTGTAGTCTCCAGAATCGAAAGAAAATGCCATTTCGGATACATCGCCCGAAATCTGTGATGGTACCCCTTTGGAATCTGCCAAAAATTGACCGGGAATAAATCCGGCCTAATCGGTGCTTAATGGACTCAATCATCGTTGGAGAATAGCCTCAGGCCGAATCCGTGATCTGTAGCCTTCAATATCCAATGAAAATGGCCTTTTGTCGATAAAGAAATTACGAAAATGCCATCCAAAAATAAATTGGCCCAAATCGATGATTAATGGACTTATCATCCGTGGAGAAAAGTATCAATAGACCTCATTATCGGCGTAGATTAGCCTCGGCCTGATTCCGTGATATGTAGCCTCCAGAATCGAAAGAAAATGGCATTTCGGATAAATCGCCCGAAATCTGTGATGGTACCCCTTTTGAATCTGCCAAAAATTGACCCCGAATAAATCCGCCCAAATCGGTGCTTAATGGACTCAATTATCATTAGAGAATAGCCTTAGGCCGAATCCGTGATCTGTAACCTTCATTATCCAATGAAAATGGCCTTTCAGCGCGCAAGAAATTACGAAAATGCCATCCAAAAATAAATTGGCCCAAATCGATGATTAATGGACTTATCATCCGTGGAGAATAGGATCAATAGACCTCATTATCGGCGAAGATTAGCCTCGGCCTGATTCCGTGATATGTAGCCTCCAGAATCGAAAGAAAATGGCATTTAAGATAAATCGCCCGAAATCTGTGATGGTACCCCTATGGAATCTGCTAAAAATTGACCCCGAATAAATCCGCCCAAATCGGTGCTTAAATGGAATCAATCATCGTTGGGGAATAGCCTCAGGCCGAATCCGTGATCTGTAACCTTCATTATCCAAAGAAAATGGCCTTTCGTCGCCCAAGAAATTACGAAAATGCCATCCGAAAATAAATTGGCTCAAATCGATGCTTAACGGACTTATCATCCGTGGAGAATAGGATCAATAGACTTCATTATCGGTGGAGAATAGCCTCGGCCTGATTCCGTGATCTGTAGCCTCCAGAATCGAAAGAAAATGGCATTTCGGATAAATCGCCCTAAATATGTGATGGTACCCCTTTGGAATCTGCCAAAAATTGACCCGGAATAAATCCGCCCAAATCGGTGCTTAATGGACTCAATCATCGTTGGAGAATAGCCTCAGGCCGAATTCTTGATCGGTAGCCTTCAATATCCAAAGAAAATGGCCTTTCGTCACCCAAGAAATTAAAAAAATGTCATCCGAAAATAAATTGGCCGAAATCGATGCTTAACGGACTTATCATCCATGGAGAATAGGATCAATAGACTTCATTATCGGTGGAGAATAGCCTCGTCTTTATTCAGTGATCTGTAGCCTCCAGAATCGAAAGAAAATGGCATTTCGGATAAATCGCCCTAAATCTGTGATGGTACCCCTTTGGAATCTGCCAAAAATTGACCCGGAATAAATCCGCCCAAATCGGTGCTTAATGGACTCAATCATCGTTGGAGAATAGCCTCAGGTCGAATCCGTGATCTGTAGCCTTCAATATCCAAAGAAAATGGCCCTTCGTCGCCCAAGAAATTAAGAAAATGCCATCCAAAAATAATTTGGCCTATATCGATGCTTAACGGACTTATCATCCGTGGAGAATAAGATCAATAGACTTCATTATCGGTGGAGAATAGCCTCGGCCTGATTCCGTGATCTGTAGCCTCCAGAATCGAAAGAAAATGACATTTTGGATAAATCGCCCTAAATCTGTGATGGTACCCCTTTGGAATCTGCCAAAAATTGACCCGGAATAAATCCGCCCAAATCGGTGCTTAATGGACTCAATCATCGTTAGAGAATAGCCTCAGGGCGAATTCGTGATCTGTAGCCTTCACTATCCAAAGAAAATGGACTTTTGAAAATTAAGAAAATGCCATCCGAAAATAATTTGGCCTAAATCGATGCTTAACGGACTTATCATCCTTGGAGAATAGGATCAATAGACTTCATTATCGGTGGACAATAGCCTCGGCCTGATTCCGTGATCTGTAGCCTCCAGAATCGAAAGAAAATGGCATTTCGGATAAATCGCCCTAAATCTGTGATGGTACCCCTTAGGAATCTGCCAAAAATTGACCCCGAATAAATCGGCCCAAATCGGTGCTTAATGGACTCAATCGTCGTCGGAGAATAGCCTCAGGGCGAATCCGTGATCTGTAGCCTTCAATACCCAAAGAAAATGGCCTTTCGTCGCCCAAGAAATTACGAAAATGCCATCCAAAAATAAATTGGCCCAAATCGATGCTTAACGGACTTATCATCCACGGAGAATAGGATCAATAGACTTCATTATTGGTGGAGAATATCCTCGGCCAGATTCCGTGATTTGTAGCCTCCATAATCGAAAGAAAATGGCATTTCGGATAAATCGCCCGAAATCTGTGATGGTACCCCTTTGGAATCTCCCAAAAATTGACCCGGTATAAATCTGCCCAAATCGGTGCTTAATGGACTCAATCATCGTTGGAGAATAGCCTCGGGCTGAATCCGTGATCTGTAGCCTTCAATATCCATTGAAAATGGCCTTTCGTCGCCCAAGAAATTACGAAAATGCCATCCGAAAATAAATTGGCCCAAATCGATGCTTAACGAACTTATCATCCACGGAGAATAGGATCAATAGACTTCATTATCGGTGGAGAATAGCCTCGGCCAGATTCCGTGATTTGTAGCCTCCATAATCGAAAGAAAATGGCATTTCGGATAAATCGCCCGAAATCTGTGATGGTACCCCTTTGGAATCTGCCAAAAATTGACCCGGAATAAATCCGCCCAAATCGGTGCTTAATGGACTCAATCATCGTTGGAGAATAGCCTCAGGCCGAATCCGTGATCTGTAGCCTTCAATATCCAATGAAAATGGCGTTTCGTCGCCCATGAAATTACGAAAATGTCATCCGAAAATAATTTGGCCCAAATCGATGCTTAACGGACTTATCATCCATGGAGAATAGGATCAATAGACTTCGTTATCGGTGGAGAATAGCCTCGGCCTGATTCCTCGATCTGTAGCCTCCAGAATCGAAAGAAAATGGCATTTCAGATAAATTGCCCGAAATCTGTGATGGTACCCCATTGGAATCTACCAAAAATTGAACAGGAATAAATCCGCCAGAATCGGTGCTTAATTGACACAATCATCGTTGGAGAATAGTCTCAGGCCAAATCCGTGATCTGTAGCCTTCAATATCCAATGAAAATGGCCTTTCGTCGCCCAAGAAATTACGAAAATGGCTTCCGAAAATAAAATGGCCCAAATCGATGCTTAACGGACTTATCATCCGTGGAGAATAGGATCAATAGACTTCATTATCGGTGGAAAATAGCATCGGCCTGATTTCGTTATCTGTAGCCTCCAGAATCGAAAGAAAATGGCATTTCGGATAAATCACCCGAAATCTGTGATGGTACCCTTTTGGAATCTGCCAAAAATTGACCCGGAATAAATCCGCCCAAATCTGTGCTTAAGGGACTCAATCATCGTTGGAGAATAGCCTCAGGTCGAATCCGTGATCTGTAGCCTTCAATATGCAAAGAAAATGGCCTTTCGTCGCCCTAGAAATTACGAAAATGTCATCCGAAAATAAATTGGCCCTAATTGATGCTTAACGGACTTATCATCAGTGGAGAATAGGATCAATAGACTTCATTATCGGTGGAGAATAGCCTCGGCATGATTCCGTGATCTGTAGCCTCCAGAATCAAAAGAAAATAGCATTTCGGATAAATAGCCCGAAATCTGTGATGGTACCCCTTTGGAATCTGCCAAAAGTTGACCCGGAATAAATCGGCCCAAATCGGTGCTTAATGGACTCAATCATCGTTGGAGAATAGCCTCAGGGCGAATCCGTGATTAGTAGCATTCATTATCCAAAGAAAATGGCCTTTCGTCGACCAAGAAACTACGAAAATGCCATCCGAAAATATATTGGCCCAAATCGATGCTTAACGGACTTATCATCAACGGGGAATAGGATCAATAGACTTCATTATCGGTGGGGAATAGCCTCGGCCAGATTCCGTGATCTGTAGCCTCCAGAATCGAAAGAAAATGGCATTTCGGATAAATCGCCCGAAATCGTGATGGTACACCTTTGGAATCTGCCAAAAATTGACCCGGTATAAATCCGCCCAAATCGGTGCTTAATGGACTCAATCATCGTTGGAGAATAGTCTCAGGCCAAATCCGTGATCTGTAGCCTTTAATACCCAATGAAAATGGCCTTTCGTCGCCCAAGAAATTACGAAAATGGCTTCCGAAAATAAAATGGCCCAAATCGATGCTTAACGGACTTATCATCCGTGGAGAATAGGATCAATAGACTTCATTATCGGTGGAAAATAGCATCGGCCTGATTTCGTTATCTGTAGCCTCCAGAATCGAAAGAAAATGGCATTTCGGATAAATCACCCGAAATCTGTGATGGTACCCTTTTGGAATCTGCCAAAAATTGACCCGGAATAAATCCGCCCAAATCTGTGCTTAAGGGACTCAATCATCGTTGGAGAATAGCCTCAGGTCGAATCCGTGATCTGTAGCCTTCAATATGCAAAGAAAATGGCCTTTCGTCGCCCTAGAAATTACGAAAATGTCATCCGAAAATAAATTGGCCCTAATTGATGCTTAACGGACTTATCATCAGTGGAGAATAGGATCAATAGACTTCATTATCGGTGGAGAATAGCCTCGGCATGATTCCGTGATCTGTAGCCTCCAGAATCAAAAGAAAATAGCATTTCGGATAAATAGCCCGAAATCTGTGATGGTACCCCTTTGGAATCTGCCAAAAGTTGACCCGGAATAAATCGGCCCAAATCGGTGCTTAATGGACTCAATCATCGTTGGAGAATAGCCTCAGGGCGAATCCGTGATTAGTAGCATTCATTATCCAAAGAAAATGGCCTTTCGTCGACCAAGAAACTACGAAAATGCCATCCGAAAATATATTGGCCCAAATCGATGTTTAACGGACTTATCATCAACGGGGAATAGGATCAATAGACTTCATTATCGGTGGGGAATAGCCTCGGCCAGATTCCGTGATCTGTAGCCTCCAGAATCGAAAGAAAATGGCATTTCGGATAAATCGCCCGAAATCGTGATGGTACACCTTTGGAATCTGCCAAAAATTGACCCGGTATAAATCCGCCCAAATCGGTGCTTAATGGACTCAATCATCGTTGGAGAATAGCCTCAGGCCGAATCCGTGATCTGTAGCCTTCAATATCCAAAGAAAATGGCCCTTCGTCGCCCAAGAAATTAAGAAAATGCCATCCGAAAATAATTTGGCCTAAATCGATGCTTAACGGACTTATCATCCGTGGAGAATAAGATCAATAGACTTCATTATCGGTGGAGAATAGCCTCGGCATGATTCAGTGATCTGTAGCCTCCATAATCGAAAGAAAAAGGCATTTCGGATAAATCGCCCTAAATCTGTGATGGTACCCCTTTGGAATCTGCCAAAAATTGACCCGGAATAAATCCGCCCAAATCAGTGCTTAATGGACTCAATCATCGTTGGAGAATAGCTTCAGGCCGAATCCGTGATTTGTAGCCTTCAATATCCAATGAAAATGGCCTTTCGTCGACCAAGAAATTACAAAAATGTCATCCGAAAATAAATTGGCACAAATTGATGCTTATCGGACTTATCATCCGTGGAGAATAGGATCAATAAACTTCACTATCGGTGGAGAATAGCCTCGGCCAGATTCCGTGATCTGTAGCCTCCAGAATCGAAAGAAAATGGCATATCGGATAAATCGCCCGAAATCTTTGATAGTAACCCTTTGGAATCTGCCAAAAATTGACCCGTAATAAATTCGCCTAAATCGGTGCTTAATGGACTCAATCATCGTTGGAGAATAGCCTCAGGCCGAATCTATAATCTGTAGCCTTCAATATCCAATGAAAATGGCCTTTCATCGACCAAGAAATTACGAAATTGCCATCAGAAAATAATTTGGCCCAAATAAATACTTAACGGACTTATCATCCGTGGAGAATAGGATCAATAGACTTCATTATCGGTGGAGAATATCCTCGGCCTGATTCCGTGATCTGTAGCCTCCAGAATCGAAAGAAAACGGCATTTCGGATAAATCGACCGAAATCTATGATGGTACCCCTTTGGAATCTGCCAAAAATTGACCCGGAATAAATCCGCCCAAATCAGTGCTTAATGGACTCAATCATCGTTGGAGAATAGCCTCAGGCCGAATCCGTGATCTGTAGCCTTCAATATCCAATGAAAATGGCCTTTCGCCGCCCAAGAAATTACGAAAATGCCATCCAAAAATAATTTGGCCCAAATCGATGCATAACGGACTTATCATCTGTGGATAATAGGATCAATAGACTTCATTATCGGTGGAGAATAGCCTCGGCCTGATTCCGTGATCTCTAGCCTCCAAAATCGAAAGAAAATGGAATTTCGGATAAATTGCCCGAAATCTTTGATGGTACCCCTTTGGAATCTGCCAAAAATTGACCCGGAATAAATCCGCCCAAATCGGTGCTTAATGGACTCAATCATCGTTGGAGAATAGCCTCAGGCCGAATCTGTGATCTGTAGCCTTCAATATCCAAAGAAAATGGTCTTTCGTCGCCCAAGAAATTATGAAAATGCTATTCGAAAGTAAATTGGCCCAAATCGATGCTTAACGGACATATCATCAGTGGAGAATAGGATCAATAAACTTCATTATCGGTGGAAAATAGCCTCGGCCTGATTCCGTGATCTGTAGCCTCCAGAATCGAAAGAAAATGGCATTTCGGATAAATCGCCCGAAATCTGTGATGTTACCCCTTTGGAATCTGCCAAAAATTGACCCGTAATAAATCCGATTAAATCGGTGCTTAATGGACTCAATCATCGTTGGAAAATAGCCTCAGGCCGAATCCGTGATCTGTAGCATTCAATATCTAATTAAAATGACCTTTCGTCGCCCAAGAAATTTCAAAAATGCCATCCGAAAATAAATTGGCACAAATCGATGCTTAACGGACTTATCATCCGCGGAGAATAGGATCAATAGACTTCATTATCTGTGGAGAATAGCCTCGGCCAGATTCCGTGATCTGTAGCCTCCAGAATCGAAAGAAAATGGCATATCGGATAAATCGCCTGAAATCTGTGATGGTACCCCCTTTGGAATCTGCCAAAAATTGACCCGGAATAAATCCGCCCAAATTGGTGCTTAATGGACTCAATCATCGTTGGAGAATAGCCTCAAGCCGACTCCGTGATCTGTGGCCTTCAATTTCCAATGAAAATGGCCTTTCGTCGCCCAAGAAATTAAGAAAATGCCATCCGAAAATAAATTGGCCCAAATCGATGCTTAACGGACTTATCATCCGTGGAGAATAGGATCAATAGACTTCATTATCGGTGGAGAATAGCCTCTGCCTGATTCTGTGATCTGTAGCCTCCAGAATCGAAAGAAAATCGCATATCGGATGAATCGCCCGAAATCTGTGATGGTACCCCTTTGGAATCTTCCAAAAATTGACCCGGAATAAATTCGCCCAAATCGGTGCTTAATGGACTCAATCATCGTTGGAGAATAGCCTCAGGCCGAATCCGTGATCTGTAGCCTTCAATATCCAAAGAAAATGGCCTTTCGTCGCCCAAGAGATTAAGAAAATGCCATCCGAAAATAAATTGGCCCAAATCGATGCTTAACGGACTTATCATCTGTGGAGAATAGGATCAATAGACTTCATTATCGGTGGAGAATAGCCTCGACCTGATTCCGTGATCTGTAGCCTCCAGAATCGAAAGAAAATCGCATTTCGGATCAATCGCCCGAAATCTGTGATGGTACCCCTTTGGAATCTGGCAAAAATTGACCTGGAATAAATCCGCCCAAATCGGTGCTTAATGGACTCAATCATCGTTGGAGAATAGCCTCAAGCCGAATCCGTGATTTGTAGCCTTCAATATTCAAAGAAAATGGCCTTTCGTCGCCCCTATCTGAATATCACTCGCATCCTGCCGAGTAATTTTATCAATGATAATCTGAGCATCCCCTTCGAAACAAACATCATGAAAGCCCAACGAGGTTAGAGTATAGTATCATACCCCAAACTCGATTTAACTCATGGTCTAGATAGAGATATCTCACTAAAAATATCTAGAGTATAGTAAACTCAGTACACCAATCTGACCCATTAATTAACATCCGCTAACCCTGAAGTTTGTTAGTTTTTTTATTCTAATCCTTTACTCGCCTCCTGATGAACTAGAATTTTCTAGAGATAAAAGAAAAGCAACTACAAAATACGTTTTTAATGGCGAAGGTGCAATTATGCAAAGATAACGATTTGGAAGATTCCAATTAACTGGTTAATTATTTGAAACCAGAACACGACATCATAGTTAAGGCTAAAACCCGATTTTTCTCTTTTTTTTTTCTTTTTCTTTTTTTCATCAGAAGAGTTCATTATCTCTAATGTGTCTCTTCCCAGAAAAGGTTGACAACTAATGTTTTGATAAGAAATATCAACTAATCAACTCTTTGTGCTGCTAAATGAGTCCCTCATTAACTCCCCCTGCTAATAATTTTCCTCCAAATAGGGACCCAATCCCAGCTCATACCACCCTTTTTCGTGTCCTCAACTTGATCTATAACCCATGACCGACAATTTCCTACTTAAAGACTATTTAACTATGACGTCCTTCTAAATTTAGGGTATTGACAATTTAGTCTATTGATTTACTTTTCGTGCATGTTCGATTTTACATGGTAGCAGAACATTAACTTCGATCTTTGCAATATAGGGCATGTCATGAGAAGATGATGAGTGAAAAAAAATAGGGCGAAAGAGAAGGAAGTAGATAGTTGGGAATGAGATTAGAAGAATTAAGAGGTATTAGAAGAGAATTGGGAAAACCCAGGGATTGAGATCACGAACTAAATTTGGGTAGGGAAATAACAGAGAGAAGATAAAATTGAATAGTATATAAAATCGAACCGAACGAAAAGCAAATCATGACACACGAAACAGTGATGTATGCTCCAGGGTTATAAAACTAGTTGTCCGGTCCTCTTCTAGCTAGGGGTGTCTTTCTTGCGCCCTCCACGGTCCAGTCCTCGTCTGGGTCCAGAGTTAATATACACATTCATAAATTTTTAGATTTTAGATATTGGCTCGCTCCGTGCAATTTAAAAGTCGGCCCAATGTTATTTGATGGTTGAGAAGTCAAATATTATTGAATAATCAAAGGTTGCAAAGTCTAAAGAACCTCTAGAGTTCGACAACCTACACAATTGACGAACTATTAACTCATGGGGATAGGTTTCTGGAAGAACACCAGTCGAAATAAGATTCCAAAAACTCCTGACACATAGTCATGCATTAACTTCTATCATATTTTATGGGAAAGAAAGTAGGCTTGAAATACGTTAGTCGAGTCATTTAGGTTTAACTTCTGCTTGGCCTCCAAGTATGGCACATTCCTCATGAATCTAAACCAATATGAAAAACTTCCATAAATGGTGGTCTAGGTGCCATTTTCTGGCTTGGTCCTCTGAATTCACCGCAATTTCTAGACCTTAATCCAATCCCGATTTTTGGCTTTTAGCAGCTGGTCCTTGACGTCTCTCGCTCACCCAAGGCGGACCACTAAGATAATTTGCGCTGAAAACAGAGTGCATCAAAATAATAAAAGTACTCATAGGGGATGCTAAACACACTTTTGAGTGATTACTAACCATTTTCAAGCGTTTCATTTTTACAATTTACGTATCATCAGCGTGGGTCGAATGTTAACCAACTTAACCCTCCTATTGTCCATCCCTCCGATCATAACTTTATGCATGACTACGCAATTAGCAGGCGGAAAATTTTCACATAACTATTCAAGATCTTTATAGCTACAAATTATCAGCATTTGTCTGCAAATAAGGTTGTTTCCTGTCCCATATGGGGTGTTTTATGATTTCATGCAAATTATTGGAAAGATTTAATTTGTGCTCTGTTCGGAATAATAAAAAAAATTATTGGACATAGCTTTTTAAGAACTATAACTTTTGTTATGGGTCGATCTTATTCTTACGAACATAATTAAAGATAAATTCAAATTAACCTCACAGCCCCTAGAATTTAAAAATATCCCTCTTTTAAAAATTACCCTCAACAAAAGTTGTAGTTCTTGAAAAAACTTTGATAAGGGTGCATAGGTTTTTACTCTTTTGTGGTTAGTTACTAATTATTAGTGATTCGAACTTAATACCTCCAAATTAAAAGCTAATGATATTACCACTAGATCAAACCCTTATAATCTAGTTCTTGCAAATTTACTGTAGCTATCATCCAAATTTATATCTATAAAATATAATAAGTAGTTTCTCATTCTATGATTCCTCATTTCAAATTTATTGCTCATGCATCCATGCCAACACTTCTTGCAACCATTCAAAAAATTTCTTTAACTCATTGTTTCTTTTCTTTTGTTTTATTATTCATGTTCACACAACCAATTGTAATGTGCCACCTATCATACTCTTTCATTTCCCCTGCTATTTTTAATCGATATATGTTTCTTTGTTTCAATTCCGTATTTATATATTTATGCACCAATAAATCATATTTATGTGATCTAAATAATGATATTCATTTTTATATGAGGAAATTTATAATGCTTTAAAGCATTGGCACTTTAGTTTTTTGCCTTTATGGTACAAATTAAAGTTTTACTTTTAACGTAATGGTACAACTTCAGGTTGTACCTACACTCTTTTATACAAATCCCTTTATGGTACAAACTAAATTTGTACATTTATGTTATAGTACAACTTGTACCATAATATAAAGGGATAAATTCTCTTAGGGTGTGTTTGGATAGAAAGATTTGGATTTGGTATTTGTGATTTGGATTTCTAAATTTCGGATCATTTGTTTTGATATGAATTACGTTTGGTATTTGGATTTTTTCCAAATTCATGGGGCGATTTCCAAATACATGTATAGTGTATTACTTGTCAGCTTCAAATACATTTCAACAGCTAGTGACTTGAAATTCATCCTAACAAAAGAATGGACATGTTTCTAAAATTTTAAAAGTTTAGGTACTATAGTGTGAGGCAAAACATATAAAGGTACCAAAAATATAATTTTACTACCAAAATTTTGGACTTTTTAAATTTTTTTAAAAGTCTAGATATTAAATTGTAAGTAAAAGCAAATTCGAGTACCAAAGTATAATTTACCAAATTTGTAGTAAACGTCCAGAAAATTCAAAATTAAAATACAGACAAATTACAAATGAGTATCCAAATAAAAAATTAAAATTATATGTATTTCAAATATTAATATTTCAAGTACTTGCAAATACATTATTTTGGGCCAGCAACTAGGCCCTGATGGGTGATGAACACTTCACTGACTCGCCCAACCTTCACTTTCTTTGTTCGGTGGACGTGAGAAAAGGAGTATGGGCTTGCATTATTCATGGCCCGTATGAAGCAACGATGAATGGTTAAAATTGGGGCCAATTGTCTGCACAAAGCCGGCCCATTTCTGTGGCTTCTATTTTCGGGGCTAGGCCCCACTAGAATCAATAGAATTTGGGCCTGTTGTTTGTCTTAGAACGGGCCTTTGTTTGGTTGGAGTTCTCGAACCTAATTCACGATCTAATCGTGCATTTACACAAGGACTACCCAACACTCGTTAAAGCATAGTATCAAAGTAGGACACTTCGGTGCAGTGTAGGTAACTTTTTATAAACTCGAGTCTAAAAATTCTTATATACCCGAAACATTGTGAGATCACATGATGGCTTTCCGCGTATCTAGTATCCATGTCTCACGCGCACCTCATGTTCGGTCCGGTCCAATACTTTAGTTAGATACATACCACATAACCGGCCTCCATGCATATTTGTCACATCAAACCATCAATGATAGTTGTCTTTCACATACTCTATGCATGTGTGTCAACCATACTTATAAGCGATACCTGACAAGGAAACGTTTAGGAATTAATTCAGGCTTATATGCATAATGTTCGATCCAAACAAAATACAATCGATATAACGAAACCAATGATAAATCATTATGAATTGAGTTTATTTACATAGATAACCCAAAGTGTGTTCAAGAAACTAATAGGAGTCACATGCACAGAGGATGCAGAAGAACGGGAAGTCCGAACTGAGGCTGCATACTAATGTAGCTGACTGGAGTGTGTTTGTAATCAACGGACAGAGTAAACGAGAAGCTCTGAAGCAAGAGCGCCAGCACCGTCTTGGATTCCAACATCGCGAAGTTCTGGCCGATGCACGTTCGAGGTCCCAGCGCGAAAGGCAGGAAAGCGCTCGGGTGGTGGTGGTGTTTCACCGCTTTCGCAGCACCATCTGCGAACCTCAGCGGGTTGAAATCGAGCGCATCTTCTCCCCAATACTCCCTGCTGGTGTGGATCTTTGTGATTGGAATTATCACACAAGTTCCCTTTGGAATGCTGAAGTTCCCGAGCTCGATGTCCTCTGAGGCTTCCCTAATCAGCTCTGGGATTGGACAGTAGAGCCTCAGTGCCTCCATCAAAACCATATTCACCTGCATTCACAGGGGAGATTTTGCAGATCCAGCAGAATTGAACCTCTCACAACACCTCGAGTTACTGGAACCAGCCGGTTCTTGACTCGAATAAAGTATGGAACAATTATTATCGGGACCGACACAAAAATAGTTAAAAGCTCATCTCTAATTTTAACTAGGAATTTTTACCAGTTTGAGCCGCGTCAAGGTGTCCGCAGTGTGTATTCCCGCAGCACATTCCTTCTGCACTTCGTCTCTGACTTTGGATTGCCAGTCCTGATGAATGCTGAGGAGGAAGATTGTCCAAGTAAGCAAATTGGAGCTGGTCTCGTGACCGGCAAAGAAGAACGTCTTGCATTCCTCTATGATCTCATCCAAGTCCAACTTGGGTCCGGCACCTTTGTTACCGCTCTTCTCCGAGGATGCCATCAGCAGACCGAGCAGATCGTCTCCATAACTCGATTTGTCGTCGCAACTCGTAGACTCGCAGCTCTCGAGCCTGCTCTTTACGATGTTGCGCAGCGAGTTCTTGACCTTCCAGTCAAGCTTCCACAACTGAATGTTGGAAGGAGTTGGGAGATACCTGAAATAAGAATGAAAGATTCAATCTTCAACTAGGTAAGACAGCAACATTCGATTATGATGGAAGTTTTTGAGTAGAATTACGGTTTCCGCCCTAATTAATTACTTACCTGCCAGGGACGAAGGCGCTCAGAAGTGAATCAGCACAGTACTTCTGAAGCCGTTTTTGGCCCATGAAGGCTTCTTTTCCTTGCACGTAGCTGCTCCCGAAGGCGGTGCGAGCAATTATATCAGCAGTTAGCTTCTGGAATTCATCGTTCATCTCTAGGGTTAGGACTTGATTCTTGGCTGCCATGGCCTGATTTCTCCATTCGTGTAGGATGGATTCTGTGCACTTGGTAATTGCCTTTATCATAACCTATACATGTCTCAAATCACAGGCAAAGAAAAACAGAGAGTTTCAGAACAATGCATACAACATAATCGAGCTAGTGTTTCTGCAGAGAAATCATTGCCTTAAGTTTGTCTACAGAGAAGGCCGGGTTAAGGATCCGCCGGCGCCTGACCCAGTCGATTCCGTTGGCTAGAGCCACGCCTTCGCCTACCAGCATTTTCACCGCGTGCCTTGGCTCTGGTTTCACGTACAGCTCGAACTTGGACAGTATTTCTTTCGCCAGCTCCGGGTCGGATATGTAGACCCGGGGTTGTGTCCCGGCCCAATAGAAAAAGGGTTCCCCTGCAAAATTTTCAGTACAAAATGAAACGCAAGAACCGGAATCGATATCAATGGTTACACCGATAATCGATTTAATAGTAAACTGAATACACCCAAAAAGCGAGTGCACTGAAGACGTCACCATATATATATATATATGTAGTTTTATTGTACCTTGTGTAAAATCAAAGGAATGACATATCCTTAGTTCTATCACAATTGAAAAAGGAGATCTTTGGTTGGTTAGGTTATCAATCGGTTATTTTGGTATAACCTTGTCGAATCACTTAGTTAACGGTTATCCGGTCAACCTACAAAATAACCGAGAACCGACTATTCAATTACGATGAACCAACTAATTTAAACAGTGCGGTTAACGATAAGCAAAAAAAATGCTTAACAATTGATCGAGAACCGACTAAACGATTTTAGTTATAACCGAACCGATTATCACCCCAATGCCCTTCTGTCAAAGAATCAGAGCAATTGGGCCATTGAAGTGCCGTTGGGTTGGGAGATCAGAGCCGGACCCAGCCCACTTAATAACCCATCTTTACCGAAATCCACACCCAAAGAGAACACATTTTACCCAAAATCTGATGGACTGATGGCGGGCCCATCCCGCTTTAAATATTTTTTTGGAGCTTCCACTCTTTAGTACCTAAACATTTCGACCTTTCGCACTTTCATGCCTAAACTTTCCGAAGTTTAGAAACCGGTCCAGAAATCCAACACAAAGTTTCAGGCTTCCTGTTTCGAATGGAGAGCTGAAAAACCCAGAGCGGATTTAGAAACAAAGAGGTGGAATTTACCGTACCGTACTGCCTGGACCAGGCGTGGAAGTGAGGAAGAACCCTGCGAGTGATGTCGTTGGAGCGCGGCGGGAGGACGAGCCGGCTGGCTTCCTCCTGCAGCCTCTTCACTTCCTTCATGGACCCGGAAACGAAGGAGTAGGGCGGGCACCGCACGCCTTCTCGTCGGAGCCTCTTGGTGACGACGTACGGCCGCCAGACCACCTGCCGGAACAGCCGCCACATCTTCCACACAGCAGCGACGGCGACGGCCAGAACCGTGGCAAATAGCCAGGCCGCGGCCATTGTTGTTGTTGATTATACGGAAGGATTTTGATTGTATGGTCAGCAAGGCAGCACTGGGGTTTTGTTTCTGTATCTTTTTTTTTTGGTTGCAGGCTTTCGGGTGTATTAATTGGTGGAAGGATCTGGTTTTTGTTTCTACATATGTAATGAGTGAATGTGTGGCTGTACATATAGGGAGAGCGAATGACATTTTCCCCCCCACCTCTCCTTTCGATAGAATCTACTTTAACACTCTAATAATTTATTCAAATCGTTTGATCTTTTTTTAGTTTCGTCTGACAGGGTTTGCAATTTCGGTTCGGGTTGGGGCAATATTGAGGCTTTTGCTTAGCTCCAACGTCGTCAAGTCTTTTGTCTAAGCATGTTTAAAACGCTACAAAACAGAATAGCGATTCGTATAAAACGATGAATGAAATAGCAATTTGCAACACTTTCACACTTATTATCGGTTAACAATAAGAAATATTGCTTACAAGTGAGATGGAATCATATTTTGGTAGTTCACGTAATTCTTGAGATTTTAAAAAGGATTTAGAGAGAGAGATTGAGTTTGTAGATGATTCTCATTATATCACTGGAGTATTAAAATGTATCATGACGAGAACATATATAGATATTATTATATTCAATGTTGCTATACATATTGGAAGATAGAAACATACTAACAACACACATACTACCTTAATATTAATAATAACGATCTCAAGTCTGAACCAAACTGTCGCCAAAACCGAAGCACGGATTATGGTGGGTGAATATTGGGTTGATTTGACCCACTCGTCGAGTGGAGGGGTTCAAGGAGGCATGCATTGTGATTGTGTTACCCATTCGTGGGGCGGTCAATGGCTCATTGGCACATGCAAATTTTCAGTTGATGGATTCCAGTTTTTAAGGTTTTTGAATTTTGTCTTGAAAACTGTCAGCTACGTACCAATCTAGTAAGTCTACCTACGAACTAATTAATATTGTTGTTTCCAAGTTAGCATATTATTCCCCTCCCTAAAGTAAAACACACTTAAACTGATGAACAGCAACCAGCACATACATTTTAACAATGGAGGCCACGCATCGTTTCCATCTTCTTTTTTCTGCAACTTGCCTTTGCTTTGCTTTGGGTAGAGCACTGGAAAAAAATGGGGAGTGGAGGGGAGCGCAGCTGAGCCAATGCGGGAGCTCCCTTTTCCCTCTCGCTCTCTGCACCACCTTTATATTCTCCTGCTAATAATCTTCTGCTCAATCTAATCTTTCAGTTACCGTACCAACACTAGGTTATCGGACAAGTTGGATATTTGTATACAATATATATACAACTTGGATATTGTCAGAATCGCGACCCGCAAATTAGTTAGAGGTTCAAGGTTTACAGATACAAAATTGTTTGGAAAACCGGTTATTATTTATAATTGGGTTATTATAGGTACAATATGCCCCTCTACTATTTTTTTACGTCAAACAATGCTCATCTACTATTTTTTTTTACGTCAAACGTGCCTTTGTACTTTGTAAAAATTATCAAACATGCTCTTTTGTTAAAATTTTCATTCAAAAACCGTTAACCAAGGCCGAACTTTGCTTTGGGTGACACAAATGTCTAAAACATCCCTAACAATTCCACTCTGGAATTTATTTTGGTTCTTTTGTATAGCCAAATAATTCAAATAATTTCACTTTGAAGAGACCCTGATAAATAAAACGAGGGGACAAACCGGCATTTCTCCTCCAATTTGCCTTTGTCGAGTCGTCTAAATCTCGGTTCAACCATGATTGACAATAACAATGTGTTTAGAAGATTTTCATGTAGTGCATGTCATCAACGCATTGTGATATCTATTTTATTATCACTAAACACATTGCTATTGGTACCAACTTAATTTCAGACCACCGAAGTTATTGGAATCGAACTATTTTATAGGTAATTAACCACTAAATTAAATTAGCACCTAGTGCCTCTCACTGTGCTCCCATAGCAGTTAGGATGCTCCATCATACCGTGTATGCTAATTGATTGGGCTTAATTGCAAGTTTGGTCACTCGAATTGCTATAAAATTTCACGTTTGCCACTCAAATTAATTTATTCCATTTATAGTCACTCGAATTAGTTGAACAGTTCAAGTTCGGTCACTCTCCGTTAACCTCCGTTAACTTTGACTGACGTGGCGGTCAACTCTGACAGTTGACCGTTAAATGTGTGACGTGGCAAATAAAAAATAATTAAAAATAAAAATTAAATTTTTAGAAATTACACATCATTATCACAAAAAATTATAATTATAAAAAAATGAAAGAGTAGCATAAACCGTAAAATCCGCAGATCGGGAACCGATCGCCGCCATTTTCCCGCTCCCGATTCAATTTCGGATCACATTGTTCCGTTTGTGGCTCTCTATTCTTTCACTCCGGCCAGATGCTGATTTTCTCCTTCTCGTACTTCATGTACAACGCCGGCACCGCAACCACGAATTAGATCTGGACGAGGACGAGGACGATCGACGGGGTGTGGTAGCTGAGCGCGCCCTTCCCCGTCGCCAGCTCCAGCAGCAGCAGCACCGCCAGCCCGAGAAACGCGATCCGCCCGTTCAACCTCTCGCTGTAAGGAATGAATCCGAATTCCACTTTCAAGCCTGCCGAGACCGGCTACTTTAGCGGGACCGGAGGCAGGTAGAGGGTCGCGCCGGAGGATTTCGAGGAGGCTCCCTGCTTTCTGGCCTTCCGCATCTCCGCTTTCTTCCCCGTTGATTGGATAAGGTTTCCTTCTCCCTCGTGGTGCTCTATCCATTTCTTTCATACTTGTCATCAAAGAGTAATTGGCCGGAAACAGTTCCTCTTTTTTTCATTTTTTATAATTATAATTTTTTGTGATAATGATGTGTAATTTCTAAAAATTTAATTTTTATTTTTTAATTATTTTTTTTGCCACGTCACACATTTAACGGTCAACTGTCAGAGTTGACCGCCACGTCAGTCAAAGTTAACGGAGAGTGACCGAACTTGAACTGTTGAACTAATTAGAGTGACTATAAATGGAATAAATTAATTTGAGTGGCAAACGTGAAATTTTATAGCAATTCGAGTGACCAAACTTGCAATTAAGCCTAATTGATTGTGTAAATTGTCATCTTTATTCTCTCTAATCTCTATGGTCAAGATAATTAAAACAAAGAAAAGTGGATTAGACTAGCTCAATTATTGTACTAGAGAATATCATTTTACATTTAGGTACGTAGATCTACATAAAAGATGCAAGCACTATGTTCCTCCACATAGATATACATGTGTGTGGTTCAGTCTATCGTACGTCTCACATTCGAGTAAACATATACATCACTTGAATTTGAGGCACTATCCTCGAATAGATGTAGTAGCAAGGCGTGTGCATCATCCATTTGCTCCTTCATGAAACCAAAAGCGGAAGGTCGCCTATCAGGAGAAAACGTAGGTTTTTCACCTCCAATTTCAAATCTCCAACGATCCTGAACAGAGCAGGGTCGTCTGCAGAGGAGAAGGAGACGAACCAAAGCGACGTCGGTTTACCATCAACAGATTTGAAGAAGAGAGTGACGTCGTTTCTGGCAAAATGCCAAGTAGTACCTGAACTTCTTGTTTCAACATTTTACCCTTTTCGGCTTGTACTTACTTTTTCCCTAAGATTTGTCTTCTTTCTTGAATTATAAGCAACGACATATGCTTGTACTCTTCTATCCCGTTATATAAGCTGAATTGTGAAATGAGAACACCTCAGATGATTAGGGTTTCTCAATCTAAAAGTGTTGTTATCACCTTATTGGTTCATCATCCGGGTGGCATCACATCAACCACAACGCCTCACTATGTGTGCTAATTCATGACACGATGCAAGGACGTTGCCTGCCTTGGTACAACGTCCTTGCATAGACTTGGCCTTGCGCCCTCGCGTCCCGAGATCTCTCATCGTGTCATGAATTCAACTCGTTTTGTATCGAGCTTCATGTCGTGCCCTCACGACGGCTCGACCTCTTGTTGTGCCAGATATCGCCTCGTGTCGTGTCAAGCCTCTCGTCTGGCGCCCTCTCTATGTTGACTCGTTTCATGTCCCACACGTATCCTAGGTCTATTAGACCTGTGTCCATTGTCACGACCTTACTCTCGATCGTGCGGCCCTAGCTCTCAATTCCGTTAGAGCGCTAGGCAGCCTTTCTCTCAAACTCACAAGCAAGCAAAGAACAAGAACAAAGACAAAGGATTGGGAGAACTCTCTAGTGTGTATTACTCTCAAAAATGATGGAATGAGTTACAAGTGAGGGAGATGGCTCCTTATATAGGCCTCTCCTCATACAAGGCATCAATGCCCCTCGTAATGGTCCCTCTACATCAATACACCCCATAAAGTCCCCCCATAATGCACTCTAATAATGCTACCCATAATGTAGCCCATAAGTGCACCATTAAGCTCTCATTTAGGTGGAGAATCCTAGGAGCATCTCTATGCTACTAGTCTTCCATACATGCCACATGTGCAGCCGCCTTGTTGTCACCTTGTTGGCGCCATGTCATCTGCCACATGTGACACCATGCACAGACAGTACTTAGTAGTTTAAGGTCTAAGAACCTAACTTCATCATGCCCAACTTAATCTACATTAATTACTAACCATTAGAATGACCTAATAAAAGTATCAAATGTTTTATGAATAATCAATGTGAATAAACAATTGGATATCAACATTCCATGTCGTTGATTGGCAACAAGAAAGAGCTTCTTAGGTTTTGGATCCCTGTTGGATATTTGTTTATGGTGAGAATATCTATGCTATTTTTATTGTTTCATTGGCAACGGTTCCCTAGCACAAAGCCACTAACAAGTACGGTCCCCGTGTAGAGGACCATGCTAGGAGAGAGGCCTTTAACTATAGCCCATTAAGGTCTAAGGCTAGGAAACTCTAAATCTGTAGAAAATATTATAAAGCCCCACCTCAAATTAATTTTTGCTTATTTTGTTGAAATAACTTTATTTTTGTTCATGGACTATTTAACTATGTTGTTAGAACGTAATCGGAGTATGAATCGGGGTAGTGAACGGTTTGTACTTTATTGGTTCAATCGATATTAGACTGCTTAAAATCATTAACGGATCAATGCCTCGTAAACATGAAAATCATAAGTAGTTAACACATAATAACACGGTAAAACATGATTATATAGCTACGTATGAAAGTCATAAACCAGTTCTTCTACTTAAGTGAAAATTATCCAATGATAATATAAAAAAAATTCAGAAATAAGAATTATAAATGAGTTCAGATAAAAAAAATTAGGAACATTTTAACTTTGTATAACCAAAATATGAATTATAATAAAAAAAAAAAGTTTCATATGGTTGCCTAAATAATAAGCAATGCAACTACTTTGAATCGATTGTTCAGTTCGTCTATGTTTAGTGGTTAATGGCTCAAACCATTATCCGACCTACTGATTTGTAACAGGCAATTAAATAAGTTATCGATCTGTTTGTCACCTTCACCGATGAACCGACCCGTTCAATTTGATTTTAACAACATTGCTATTTAAGCTATGACAGAGTTTTGACTTTTAACTGTTTTTTTTTTTTTGGTTTCATTCAATAATAAAACCAAAAAGATTAAACAAAGATTGATCTAGGATCCATAGAAAGAATACAAGAAATTGCAATTTTCACAGAGTGCCATCACATAGGCCCATCCAAAACACAAAGTTCAGAACCCAAGACGCAACCATACAAGTGCTTCTCAAAGCCCAAGAAAGTGGATCGAGCCCACCAAAAACCCAAGTGACTAAATTGCAATTTTCACTCAGTTGTAGACTTGTAGTTGCTGCCTGCAGATCAACATGTTCAATGTAACAGCCAAATGTTGCGTGAAAAATTCTAAGCACGAAACAAGAATTTTGGAGGGATTTGGGATTAGAGGGACTAGAGGATTTGAGGACAAAAACGAGAGGAATAGAAGGAAGAACGAGAAAAGAGAGCAAATTAAATAAGTAGCGATGGTAAACGTGTGGGATGGGATGGGTATCTAAATATCCATACTCGCTTTATATTAAGGTTGGATCGGGGCAGGTAAAACTCGCTTTAAATATCCAAATCTCTACCAAGGCACACTCTACTATTGGAAACATTATGGGGAAAGAGACAAAGTGTGATGATCCCCTGCACTGGTTATTCAAAGTTTGACAAAATCCTTGGATGAAGGGGACTTCACCTAAGGATGATCAACCTCACATGGATAAAGAAGGTGAAAGGCCATTAGAGGAGCAACCATCTTGACCTATCCAAGCAAAGAATGAGCTTTAAGAGAAGTCACCTATTAAAAATGTTGATGACCAAACCAACATGGAGTCCAACTTAGAAGAAGAGCAAGATGCCCCCACCATCTAAGAGATCATGGAGGAGTTCATCAAATAAGATATATCATCTATCTCAATGGAGAAAACTTCAAGCCACACCCATCAAGAATTCAACTCGAGTTGGGAGGAGGAAATTGAAAAAGACTGCAACTTTGGTCTTGGAGAAGAAGTGACCTCTACAACATCCTCTACACAAGTGGAAGAAGAGCAAGGAGTTATAATCCCACCTACTCTAGATGATGTAGCCCTATTCACAGAAGAACCAAGTTTTGAAATGGATGGACCCCTTCAAGATCCCTTACATTATCTTCTCAAGGTTATGCGCAAAAAATTGAACTAGAAGAAATAAGGGTTGAGCAAGAAGAGTTCACCATTACAAGGGCCCTCTTGGTAAAAAGGTGGTGGATGGCATTCCTAAATATGGAGACCATGAAGAAAATTTTGAAATCATGATGGAGATGCATCATGTAGTCAAGCCAGATCTCAACTGAATACTTGATGAGGATCCCTTTGCACTATTTCTGGAGAGCCATGAGACCGTAGTAAAATAAAACGGAGGAATGGAGCAAAGAGATCCAATGGTGCCAAATTTGACGATCACCTAAAAACATGAAATACGAACTTAGAAAATGAGGAAGGAAGAGCAGTGGGGGTTCCACCCATTGCAGCATCGCCGCTAAGATACCCTATTCAAATGACGCTAAGTTTTCTTCTACAAGACGAAGATGGAGTCAAGACAGTCTGTCTTCAACAAGAAGAATGACAACGGTTCGAACCAATGCTACCCCGTCGCTACCACCTGCCGCAAAGTTTCTGTGCCTACACGAAGAGTGACTTGAAAAAGTCTGTATCCAAAGAGGAAGCATGTGGCAGTGCCCCCCGATGCCCACCTGTCGTTCGCCTATAAAAGAGAGAGCACCACTCTTCTCTTTCCTCACATCAATTCACGAAGATCTAGAGCATCTAAAGCCAAATTCGATGCAACAACTCGTGGAAGCTCAATTCCAATAAGATTTTCAAGGAAGGAGTTATGATGACCCATCCTTGTGAGATGGTGGAGGAGAATGAATGAGACATGATAAAAGATGTTGGAGCCTGCTCAAACCCATACAATAGAGCCATCTCATGCCATGAAGGAGGACAAAGATGATGACACAGCCTCGGCAAAGGAGATGATCATCCATTAAGGAGCATCTCGATAGCCTCTAATGATGTGAATATTGTTAGAAGCTTTTAGGAGGAAAAAGAAGTGTCATGCCATTTTTGGAGAGCATTGAGTACACATAAAGAGTTGGTGGAACGACCACTTGTCTTTGGCATTCTTCTCCAACCATCATGTGTTGAATGTTAAAGATGCTCATTCTTCCTCCGAATCAAGGGTTGCTCGAAATTGGTGGCGCTTGAGGGCTCTTCTTCTCTTGATCTAGATGCTCCTTCATTCGTCTTTAATATGGGTAAACTCGATGCTTCTCCTTCTGAAAGTATCTCTTCCACGATCTTTAGGTTTTTTTCCTTTTTTTTTTCCCTAGTAGCTACTAGACTCTTACGAAAATCTACAAAATAAAAAAAGGACTCAGTATTAGCAATAAGATAGTTATATGCTTTTATATATGAATGGAAAAGAGTAAAACCTTTCATAAATAATGAAATGACGTAATTTAATAAGTTATAGATGATTGTGCACCACAAAGTTATACACGAGAAAATTGTACCAAATGCCAATTGACATTGTCAAGAGTTAGCAACTAATCCAACCCCTATTCTCTTCCTCTTCGCATTTCCTTTTTACTTCTGTCACTGATGTCTTCGATCTTTCTCGGTCTGTAGAAGCTTGCTTGCTAGGGTTACTAATCTTCCCAAGTCGACTTTGCTTGTTTTTCAATTATTTCATTCACCCAATTCATCCAAAAGAGAACAGACAATACCCTCCATGATATAAACCCTAAAGGCTTCACGTCTGTCAAATCCATCTTTCCATACGTGATTGAGCATTGCAGGGTTCTCCAGGTTAGTACTTCCCTACGATCACACATGGAAATCGATTCGTCGTCTGTGATCGAGTTCATCAGAAAAGAATCCCCAGATTGGGACGACGAAGTGATTGCCACGGCCCGGTTCAAGGCATTTAGCGGGCAGAGATCCGATTGGGAACCTAAATACCAGTTTTGGAGGGAATTGATTCTCAGAGTTGCCCGCCATTTCGGCATCTTCATCATTCAGCCTCGCCAGGTATTTCCAGTAACACCTCCCGCTTCCGTTTACAATCTCCTCGTCTCCTTTTTGCCTGATTCCTTCCCTTTTCGTTCCCTTTGTGTGTAGGTGAAAAATGAGTGGTTCAATCGAGGAGGAATCACGCCTCTGTGCCTCGACCATGTACTCGTAAGTAAAGCTTCTAGCAATTGGATATAGCGGTCGCTAGAGAATGGGGTGTGATCTGTTTCACCCTCATTTTTTTCCAGTCCTTAATGCATAATGAAGGCGATATAGTTCCGATTGGGAGTCTCGTGGATCCAAGGAGCTGGCGAGTATCGCAGTTGTTTAGAAAAGTGAGGAATGTGATGGGCAGAACGACTCTTAATGTGGATATAATGCTCGAAGATCGTGTCGTTATTGTAGCATTGGCCAAGGTCTGTGCTGCTTGGTTTCTACATTCAATCTCGGATTTCAGCTGGGCGTTGATTGTTTTTCTTATTAACTTTGGTCTTGTTCCTGGCTAGGATAGAGCTACAGAAGTTATCAGTCTTTTATCCGAAACCCATTGGACATCTGCGTGTATCGTGACTATGAAGAAGTTCCAAGATATGTGTGGTGGACCAAATGAAGGCTCGGCTGTCTTGAGTTGTTTAACTGTAGATGGAAAAGTGAGGTACCTTTCCACGACTAGCAAAAAGGAATTTATAGAGGTGAACTTCACAATTCTACGAATGCTCTTCTCAGATTTCTTTAGTTGGACATGAAACTAGCTACAGTCTCTTTGTAATTATGTACTTGCAACTATGTGCGGGAATAGCTTATGGCGTTTATGTGAATGGATGTTTAATCAGTTCTGATTGGTTAGAAATCCTCTTCGGGTCATAGGTCTTTACTAGTCTCGATTCTTACTTTTCAGGGAATCAAGGTTTCACTTTCAACTGAAGCTGCAGCTCCCATTTCTAGTTTGGATTATGATGTTCTGCAATTGATTTGGACAGCAGAAAGGCTTCAGCAACAAATTTCCGTGATTGATCAGCGCTACAAAACGTAATTTCTAATCGATCTTGTTGACATGCCTATATGTGCTCCATGTTGAATTGAGATTCAATAACCATCAAGCATATCTACTTGGATTGGAACTATACCTGCTATAGCAATTAAGTACTAATTGGAATCAGAACTCAGAAAGAAAGGAAAAAAAGATGACCCTCTGCTAACTCGCCTCTGTTTCTTTTAGGCATGAACAGCCAACTCCCTTGGCAGTCTTGCTAATCATGAAGGGTTTAAATCACAATAACTTATGATTTGGTCTGATCCCATAAGATTCTTCTTAGATTTAGGCTTTAGGAAATAAATGTGTGTCATTATAATTGATGCTCCATGTCCTTTGCAGGTCGAAAGAATTGGCGTTGGCTTCATTGAAGTCTGGAAACAAGAAAGCTGCCTTGAGGCATGCAAGGGAATTAAAAATGGCATCGGTTAGTGGAGAAAAGTGTGTTTCACTTTTAAACAGAGTGGAGCAAATCCTTGATGTTATTGCTAATGCAGAGTCCACCAGAAAGGTAATTTGCAGTGGTTAATGAATTGAGAAACCCTTTCCTGCTACGATACTATATTCTCCTTCCATCCAGTTGTGCATTCATTAATAGTCCGTTTGGAACGATTGTCCAGTGTAACATAGCTCTGTGCTTCATTTGCCAAATTGCGATAGCCAATATGAAGTCTTTTTTACCCATAGAAACATCGGAAAAAATTCAATGCATTGACATTTCTTTTATCAGGTATCTGAGGCCATCCAACTGGGAGCTCAGGTGATGAAGCAAAATAAAATAACAGTGGAGGAGGTTGAGCTATGCTTAGAACAAGTTGAGGAGGCAATCCATTCAAATATGCAAGTTGAAAAAGCTCTAGGTAGCACCTCTTCTTCCTCTGAGCACAACTTGTTTTAGTTCTGGCTGGTGGAATTGAATTTTGTTATTTTGTTGCTCCTGTATCTAACTTTAGTTCGTTTAAATCACAGAATTGACTCCATCTTACACTGGTATTGAGGATGAAGATGTTGAAGAAGAGTTGGAGAAATTAGAACTTGATATGAAAAGAGAACATCATAATGTTCAAGTTCCAATAGCAAAAGCGGGTACTGCAGAATCCGCGGATTCACTGAGCGATGCTTTGTCAAATATCAAGCTTCAGGATGTTCCAGCCGAGGAAGGTGCAAGTCAGGGTTTGGCAGCATTGAAGCAAATGAGCAAATCCCAAAGCAAAGCACTTGAAGCAGCGTAATTTGAGCATCACTGTTGTACTACGTGTATAAGCTGTGTTCACTGTTCAGTTATGCATATAATAGTAGTTCTAGTTCTGCTATGTTCTTATCCATTGTCTACCATTAACGAGCTTGTAAATTTTCAGTATAGGACTAGTCTTAGACATCAACAATATTAGTACCTTGAACAAGCTATTGTAACACCATTTCTTACGAGAGATTGTAGCCATCTTAATTTGCATAGATTGAAATCATAGATCATGTCAGTCAGTCTCAGTCGAAGAACTATCTTTTTTTGCCTTCAATATTCAAACTGATACCAGCTCAACCGTGGATTCATAAGCGGGCATTCTCTAAATCTCAAGCTTTAGCATGTTCCAGCCATGGATGGTGTGGAATCAGGGTTCTGCTGCCTTGAAGAGGATGAACAAATACCAAAGCTTAACACTTATATCAAGATAAGTTGAGTATGATCTTCATTGTGTGCGTAAGATGTGTTCAGATATGCATATAATAGTTCTACAATGAGCCTTTTTTTCCTATCGAACGAGCTTGTTAGATTTACTTACACTGAGCTTGTTAGATTTACTTACACTGAGTCTTATACATCAACGATATTGATACAATAAACTATCTGCTCTAACTTGTATTTTGCCAGAGATCGTGGCCATCTTGATTGTTCAGATACTGAGATGGTAGGTCTCTGTCGGGGCAAAGAAATGCAGTCCTGAACAAGTCTTTTATAGGTCTCTTTTCCTGGAGGTGTACACAGAAATCCAAGGCCATAAAGGATTTGCTCCTTGGCTGCTCAGGCAGAATCCTTGATTTCTTCATCGATGATGATCAACAATTCGTAGGGAGATCTCTTTGATTTCTTTTGCCAGTCCCAGATCCTTTCGCCGAGGATTCAGTTGTTCAGTAAGAAAACTGAAGATCGAGAAACACGCAGCAGGCAGAAGCCTCTCTGCATTTGTTGAAACCTATCCACATTTCCATCAGTTTGGCAAAGGCTACTCGATGTTAGAGAAGATAATTACACCTTTCAATCCATGGGAAGTGCCTATTGATTCGTCACAGCCGGGCAAACCGGCAGAGAGGCACTTTACCCATCTTTCTGGTCTTCCATATTCAGCATTTCAGGGTTAGTGCCCTGAAATGTAGCATCTCTTGTACCCAGAAAAGGAGCAGATCCCATGAGTTCCATTGCAGGCATAGGAATGGAGGGTTTGGAGGAAGACCCTCCAGTAGGCATGGCACTGAATGGCTGCAGCTGTGGCATTGTCAAAGGTAGCATTTGTCCCGGAAAGCCAAGCAGCGGTGAATTGGAGAGCGGAGTTGGATTGCAGCCAAGACCCATATGCGTATTCATCCCCATTGCCATCCCCATCCCCATAGTTGGAGGTTGTGCCATTTGAGGAGCTTGGAATCCAGGTAACATCATTGGCTGCATCATAAGGCCCCTCCCCATTGCCATTATCTACATTCATTCATAACTCAACATCCTTTAGGAAGTGAACAAAACCAATGCTTTTCTATGCAGTAGCTAGGAAAGACCATAATAACCAATGCTTCTAGTTCTACCTGTAATTGAAGCTGAAGCCCTTTCATATACTCAATTGCCTCATCCAGCAACGATGCTTTGTCTATCTTGTTCGCATTGGGTATCATATCTTGCAGCACCTGCAATTTCTTATTGATTTTCGCTCTTCGTCGCTGCGCAACAATGTCCACAGAGAAACGAGTTAAATTCCTGAGAGGGGGGCTCATTACGTTTGATTAGTTTACTTTAACACCACCACCTTACCTTCTCAGACTGGTTGTGAACTTCTGCAGATCGCCTCTTCTTCTTCCTGCCTCGTTGTGCCTGTTCAAGATACAGCAAAAACCATCTCAGAACAAAACTGACCAAATAACGGAACTTTGGCAGGCAAAATGAGGAGCTTTAGAGTTTTATTTTACCGTCTCGGTGGTATCCTCGTGGTGGGTATTCTTCAGACGCTCGAAATCATTGGATGCAGCAAGTGAGCAGCACGCCGACTCTTTTCTGTGATCAGGGTTTTCATCCCCGCCGGCGGCCGCATTCGCCTCAATCTTCGCCCGCTTGGCTCTGGTGTCACTGTCACGAGAAACAGCTTCCGATTGCTCGTCCGGTGGCGCCAACAAGTCGAATCGCTTGACACTTTTCGACCCACTCTCCACCAGAGTCGACTCGACAGGAATGCTGCTCTTCCCTCCATTGCTGCTCTTCGTCAGCAGATCGAGCCTTGAACTCGAATTGGGACAATTTGTCGAATCCGTGGAACAACTATGAGTGCCCTGCTGCTGCTGCTGCTGGGGGCTCGGATTGTCCATGAGCATTTGAGCGAACGGTCCCCATCCAAGGTTGAATTGGTAATCGGGGACTTTGGGTACGAGCTCATTATTGAATGCTGCTGCTTCCCCTGAAGATGGATGATGGTGGTCAAGGTCTCTGTACTGTGGAACGACGTGGGGCTCGAAACCCGTCAGATCATTGGCTCCGAATCCCAATCTGGGGCGTTTCAATCTGTGGAGCTGAGAAGGGCGGCTGCGGCTTGGATGCCGGGCCAGAGGTTGGCCACTTTCCCACACTAGCTCGGCAACACCTTCTTCGACACCATGAATCCTGCCCACCAAAAAAGAAAAAGGGAGTTAAGAAACTGAATTACTACCCAATGTCAAAGTTTCGAGCTTTTTTAACAGTTTTTCAGCCCAATGGCGACGGGTGGAAGAGAGCGGGCGTACATGGGGAGAGAAGCTAGCTTATGAGGCAAATTTGAGTCTTCCGCCATTGTTGTGATGATGGTTTCTTTTCTTCAGTGGTTTTGGTTTGGAAGTGGAGAAAATGAGTCGAGGGAGAGGAAAGGGGCAAAGGGATGAGAGGCAAATTTATAGTGGGAATCGTGTGGCGTAATATCTGATCCAAGGTCGACCACGTAAAAGTGATAAGAGGAGCTGATTGAAATGAAAAGAGATGGTCCAAGAAAATGAAAAGAGAAGAAAACATGGCATGGGCTGCCGTTGCCACCCCATTGAGTACACAAGGAAAAGAGAGCAACAAGTGCTTTCCACAAGCAACCATAGTATCCATTCTTCTTTTGATTCTATTTTGGAACCAATATATCGAAACTTCCCAAGAATCATATCCCATGCCATGTTTTCTTTTGATTTCTATTTTAAGAATCCTCTAATCAATTTCAATACGTAACTTCTTCTCCTGGAATTGCACGGGTGCGAAACGTCCAAATTTTCATCCAAACTTCGAGTTTTATACAGCTACTCATCGTGTGAAAGTGGTGCGTATCCTTCTGCGTCATGTTAACGGGAAAGAGACTACTGCGATAATCAAAACCTCGGGATTTGAATCTTGGGAAGTTTTGGATGCCTCTGGATTCACTAGAGGGATCTGAGTGCTTTGGAACAAAATTGACCTGAACATGAAATCACTCGTCTGCCATAAAACAATTCCTCCATCTCAATGTTCCTAGGCGACAAAGTAAGTTTGCATTGTCATGATTGTCTATGTAAGTCAAAATGAATACGAGCGAGGTGCTTCATATGAGAGTACCACGACCACTCGTTGGGGACCTCCACTCCATTTTTGCCCTTTCATAGAAACAAGAAGGATCTTCTTTCAATCCGGCAAAGACTCATGCTTTTAACGAATTCATTAAAGATTGTGGGTTGATTGACTTGAAGTACACAAGCCCTAAATCACTTGGTTCACTAGGACTTCTTGCATAAATGAGTCATTGAATTGTAGCTTATGTAACCTGTATGGCAGCAACAGTTTCCTGATTTTGTCAACTTCCACCAAACAAAGCTAAAGTCCTACAATCGACTCATCTTAGCAGGCAATGAAATCCCCCACCCCCCACCACCACCCAAAAATAATAATAATAATAATAACAAATGGTCGAGACATTTCATTTTCTAGCTTCGTGGCTTGCTCATGAGGATTTTCACCCTTTTATCGCTTAGTCCTGGAATGGTGATTACGATATCCTTTTTCTCTCGAACCTAGCTGTCAAACTCCAAAATGGAACAAGGAGATTTTAGGAAACATTTTCCAAAAGGAAAGGAAACTCTTTAGCGAGCTCCTAACCATAGAGCTCTTGAATGAGAGGAATCCAAAAACTTATCGGTTTTGCAAGAACAATAAGTTAAAGAAGAATGATATAATACATTTTGTTGGATTTATTGAAAATTCCCATGCCTGATTTAGTGCGCCCTAATCAGTTGAGATTTGTTCCGAATCACCACATTATGGATAACATACTTATTTTGCATGAAATTGTTCATTCGATGTCGAATAAGTTAGGAAAGAAGAGTCACATGTTATTGAAGACAGACCTTGCAAAAGCCTAGATAGAAATGACTGTGAGTTCCTTGAAGAAACGTTACGCGTTGATGGCCTCTCTAAGAGTATTGTGTGAATTATTATGAGCTGCATGACCACAATAAAGCTGCAATTTCTTTAGAACAAAGGAGAAACTGAGACATTCACATCAAACAGAGGTCTCGGACAAGGATGTTCATTCTCACCCTATCTACTCACTTTATGCATTGAGAGGTTATATGAAAAAAGAGTTTAACTTTGGAAACTGGATTCCTGTGAATCTTTCTGTTGGAGGCCCCCCTCTCCCATATCTTCTTCGTCAATAACTTAGTTTTGTTTACGGAAGCTAACTTGAGACAAGCATATATAATCGTTGAATGCATTTAAGAGTTATGTGTGGCTTCACATGCATTTATTAGTAAGGATATTGTGTTTGATTTTTTTTCTTTGAGAATGTCAAAATGTTTGATAGGAAAGAAACTTTCCTTACCCTTGATATGCTATCTACATCCGCCCTAGGAAAATATGTAAGGATGTATGTCTTACATGGTAGATTGTCGAAGAACACCTTCAAGTACATCTTTGAAAAGATTGATAACAAACTCAGTACGTGGAAAGGCAAAAAAATCTTTCCATTGCTAGAAGAGTTACCTTAGCAACCTCAATTCTTAATATCATTCTGCCTTATGCAATGCAAACTAGGCAACTCCCAACCCCAGTTTGTAATGCAATAACATGAAAAGTAGGTGATTGGAAGACCCATCTTGTCTCTTGGAACACACAGTGTAACCCCAAGGACCAATGATGGTTAAGGCTGATATCATCGAGGAATTTGAATATGATGTATATGATCATATTGGTTTAACAATTAATCATAGGTTTGGGTGCAGGCTTCAAGGAAAATACTTTAAACATAAAAACGGATCCATTGTTTTGATGAAGATGAGTAACCACTCGAGTTTCTGGAAAGCAATACTCAAGGCGATGTTGATGATGAAAAGAGAAACAATCTGGAGTGTGAGAGATGGACATTCAACTTCCTGTCGGACTCAACCTTGGCTCGACAATGAATTCATCCTCAAGAACCACATCCTTGATGCCTTCTTGGTATGTTTTAATGATTTTCAAGGTACAAAGTAGCATAAGGAAATTTGAATTGAGCACTGAAGAACTCTAGAGAACCGAAGGAGCTATAAAGAGGATAACATGAAGCTTTCATGATAAAGATGAGGCCCAATGACGGAGAGGCCTGCTATTAACCACGATATGAGTCGAAGAAAATCTTAGTAGGAGAAGACTCAGTCCAAGCAGAAGCAGAAATCAACTGTGGCCTAGCAACTGGTCCAACTGACGTTGGAGGAAACTTGGTCAAGATGCATCCAAATGATGAGAAGATTTCGTCCAGGGGCCAAGGAGTCCAGCCCACGAAGAATAAGAATGGTGGTCACAATCGCCGCCCTACCGTTGCTCGTGCCCTAGCTTCTAGAAACCTTCCTTAGCAAGGTACTTTGTCCACAAGTTGAAGGAAACCAACTCCAATTAGGACAATGAAGGTTTTGGCCGACATTAGAATGAAAAAGACTAGAAAACCCCCCTCTCTCTTGTAATATAAAATAGGTGCTCAAAATTCAGTTATAGAACAACTTTGACTCATGAAAAAAGTCAAAGCTCTATCGAATTAAGGAGATAATGATTCCATCCATGCTCTCCCCACAATCTTGCATGGCTAGCTAAGCTCTTTGTTGTTTGAGGTGTTAGATTCTATGATGTCTATTGTATTGTTTCTATGAATTAATGAAATGCCCTAGAGCATCGATGGTCTTTCTTGGAGCATCGATAATCTAGTTCTTTGTATGCTTGCTATCTTTCTATGATGCATTACTATGTGCGCGCTAATTATACTACTATCATGAGAGACAAGGAAACTAATCTCTTGTAATGTACACAGAGAACGTGGAGTACAACCATCGAAAGACCTCGTGAAATACAACCCGCTAGGCATCCCTAACTTCTACATCCAACCCATTTTCTCATTAGTATTACTCAATCTTACCCTAAGCCTAATACGAAAAACACGAATATGAGTATTGAAATCCAATCCATTTCCCTCCTGCCTCGCCCCATCGCCATCACTATTCACCATGAGAAAACGAACACCGCATAGGAGAGAAGTGGAAAAGTAGCAAGCAAGCAAAAACAACAAAAGAGGAAGTGGGGTCGGGCAGGCGTGGGAGAGATAAAATAAGAGTGAAAGGTACAGGCAGACACACCGGGCAATTTATCACGTGAATGGCCATGGGGCTGCACGTGAACTACACGCTTTTTTTTTTTCTTCACACCATTCTCTCCTCTCCTGAGAAGAAAGAAACTCGGCCGGGATTATATGATTTGATCTTTTGATTTTGATGGGCCTTCTGGATCCTATCGCCACTTGGGCTCCACCAACCCTTCTCTTGACTTGACGGGTCGAGTAGGTTCGTCTTTTGCGGGCTCTCTTGCCTGTTGCCACGCCTTCGGTTTCCTCTCATTATCACCGGGATGGCTATACGGTCGGATCCAGTTAAATTGACACAAATCGATTTAGTTACGGTCCAGTCTTTTTCGGAAACACAAGGACCAAAAATTGAATTGGATACAGTCAGTTCTTGATCCGGTCCGATCTCGGTCCGGAGTATAAAATCCGGTCCGGGTAAAACAAAAAATGCTGGACCAAATAACCACCCCTACTCAGTGGCGGAGCCACTTGGAGAGGAGGGGGTGCTTTGCACCCCCCTTGGGTTTGGAGAAAAAATTTCCGAGTAGGGGTATATACAAATTCGAACCAATGACCATTCAGTTGCAGGAAGAATTTCTTATCATTTCGATCGAATGAGTTTTGTTATGTAATGCACTTTCGTCTTTATTTATAGTAATAAATTGTTGTCTTTTGTTTAAATTCGCTCTTTTTTTTTAGCTCTACAACAGATAAATTTCTTGTCTTTTGTTTAAACAAAGTTGAAAGTGAAGAAGTACCAATTGAAGTTCACTTGTTTGTTTCACAAAATCAATTCCAAGGTACTTCTGAGTTATAATTTGTAATATTTGATGAATGGAAGTCTTGATTTGTATGTACTGAACTTATTTGTTTGACGTTGTAACCGGTGTACGTGAAACTATTTTAATGTAATTGTGTGAATTTAGAGTATTGCGTTGTTGACTTTTTGTTTAATTTAAAGTTGACTTTTCTATTGTATAGGTGATTTTTTATGATATGATAAAGACACCCCCTTGGCCAATTTCCTGGCTCCGCCACTGCCCCTACTCATCACCGTATCAAGACCCAAGCGGATGCATACAAAGTGTGATTCAACGTAGAAGTATTTTGATGATCTAACCACGCGTAACACATACATTCTTAAGCATGATTTTGTTGATGACAATAATTAAGAAAAGAGCAATTCTACGTAGAATTGTTTTGGCTATCTACCTCATAAACATTTCGCGCGATTTGACTACATTGCTCTCCTGAGGTAAGCGCTAACGCAGATGAGTAATCTAATTATTATCAGCATATCCGAATCTGGCCAGACTGGCTTTACCTAAACATCCCAGTCGTGGATAGCAGGTAGTACTTTTAGCTAGATCATCAGTTTCTAAGAAACCAGACAAAACAGGAGACGCGCCTTAGATTGAAAAGGCAATGGATCCAGAAGCATAATCATGTTGAGCCACGGAAGACATCCTTGATAGATTCGGCCACCACGTACCTCAGTTGCACCACCTTTTCCCTTCCCATCTGAATTTGTGCAATGTAAGGGGAAAAAAGAAGAGAGAGTCAGAATGTTTCCAAGTTAACAATGGTGGTTATATTTAGGTTGAGAGGAACTTGCCTTCCGCACGGCTTCGATCTTCCGCTGCGCGTCCACGAGCAGCTTTTCCACTGTTTCTTCGGCTTGCATCAGACTCTTTTGGTGGATGGCTTCTGCAGTTGCCCAAGCCAAACAACGATCATTATGCATAGATTTTAAGATTGATCCGTGGGGGAAAAAAATATGGAAGGGTCGAATTGTACTTTGCTTTTTCATTGTCCCCTTCAACTCGTTCTGGTACGATTCTAGTCCTTCCACTGCCAAATTGTAGTTCTGGAGACATTGATGAATGTCTTGCTCGAATTTCTCGTGTATCTTCTTCAGTTGCTCTGCTTGTTCTGCAAAAAAAAAAAAAAAAAATGGTGGGGGCATACGGACAACGAAACTGTAACAGAACGCGAGAAAGGTGATGCAAATAGCACAAGGCGAAGACAGAGAGAAAGAAAATGATAGCAGGTAACAGCTAAAACTCATAGCAGTGAAACACAAGAAGAGTGCTGCACTTTTTGACCAGATGACTGCGGCTCTAGTCTTTTAGACGTGACCATTGAAAACTCAAAACCTTGAAGAGGCAGTTATCAGGTTTCACCATAAATAGGAAAATGAAGAGTGAACTAATGACAGAAGTTCACACTCGGAGATAGATGCTAAGAAGGAAAAAAGTATGGCAAAGTGGAGGTATTAACTTATTTTCATCTAAAACACGATGTATAAAGAAGAACATGCGATGTTGTTGTCATCGGCCATAACCATAAGGAAATCGAAGTTCAGTAGATTAACAGACTGGATTATATTTGTTACCTCGCAAGCCTGACTCAACTCTTTTTCTTTTCGATGTGCTGATGCTCGTCAAATTCGCCCTACAATATCATGCGTGTGAAAAAAGTTACACCCAAAACACAGATAGCATCAGTTCGATGATGGGGAAAATTTTCAGTCTCAGAAACCATACACATCCTCTTGGGTTTGCAGCTTGATATTCTGCAACTGTTGATCTATCTCTGTGGAAACGGCCATCATAATCTCCGCGGACTTGGATGAAGTTGCTGCCTTAACTTTCTTGACATAGTTTTCCACGGCCAATGCAACGAGCATGATAACCCTGAAGCATCAAATATGTTCAACAACAACGATCAATAGGGTCTTAAAATATGCAACAACCAGAACTTCCCCTGAAAGTTTAACAGTTTAGGTAGCAGCTAGCACCTGTCACCATCATCCCCTCTGCAGCTTTCTCCAGGTTCCTGGGTCAACTCGTGGTCGTTGAAACCTATAGGTGTTTTTAGCTAAAAACGTCAGAAACTAATCTATAAAGAAAAAGATCGCCAGATGAAACAAAAGTAGGTTGGAAGAAGAAGTGCCTTTCCGATAAGATAAGGAGGAACTCGGTTTGCTCGCTCTTTCTTCAGTGCGAAGTCGTTTAGCTAGATTAAACTCAGATCTCCCACTAGCTCCCGTCTCTGTAATAGGGGTTCCGGTGTGGCCTGCATAGAACAACTATCGAACCTTAGAAACCACCCCATACTGAGGAAGGAAAGAAGTGATGTACCAAATGAAACAGCAAATTGTATAGCTGACAGAAACCACTGGGTTCAGTTTTGGTCACAAATTAGTCTTCAGAATATACTACTACAACAAGAAGTGGACTTAAGACTGTCGAAGAATAGCAAGTGTCTTTACCCGATACTATAACCCTCACGAATAGTATGTAAGTTCAAGATGTCCGAAAATCTTCTGTGATATTTTATCAAAATAAGAAATTCTGCTGTGAATTTAGAGGCAAATACCAACCAAAGATTAGCCAAGATTAATGTGCAAAAGTTGCCTATTCTTGATGTTGCTTTTGAATCCAAAGAAACTTGTCATAGTTGTTTCTCAAGTGCATTGCAATGTTTGACGAGCAAGTATTAGCTTGAGTTTGATCGTTACCTGTTGCTACTGGTGAAACATCGTCAGAGCTCTCAGTTTTCTCATCTTCAGACATTGACCGAGAGCTTCTGGATCCATCTTTCCCCACCTTTTCTGGTGATGATTGCACTTCTGGAGAATCTTTCATTCCTGCTCCGTCGTCCTCCTTAAGTTGATCAAGGAAATCAACAAGCATAAAGAGATAATTTATGAACATACAAGCAACCTCAACTAACTTCCTTTTAATTTAGACCCATAAATAGTCAAGGATACAGATGCATCTAGCTCAGAATTCGCAGCACAGCCACCAGGTTTTGATGCTCCAGAAGTTATGAAATGAAAGATGTTTCCCACTGGGCTGCTGCTTCTCTCTGATATGGCAGGACTCTGAACTTCCTTCGCTGGCTGCTCAGCTTTTGGTGAACTAGTGTATGGACTTGACACAGGAGAATTCATTTTTAGTGTTGGACTACCCTTGCTGTCCTGTGGACTTCCAATTTTGCTCAAGGGAGAATCTAGACCAAAGTCTTGCGACTGATCTCTATCTTTTGGTACTGTTGGATGGGTAAACCCCTCATTCATAGTCAATCCTGGTTCCCCAACAGAATGATGGGAATCTTCCCTCTGAGATTGATGGGAGGCTTTACCTTGGCATCCGCCTTTCTGAGCTTGCATATTATTTTTCAAAATTCCCATCTTAAACATATGCGAGGATGTCTTCGCAGTAGTTGCAGGCACCTCATTTGTTTGAATTACTCCTGGGAAATTATCTGAACTACTGTTACTAATGAAGCTTATCTTACGTGGCATGATGTTAGCTGTCTTCTTCTGGCCCTTCCTCCTGGACCTGGTTGATGTGCACGGATTACCATTAGCAGCAACATCTACTTTGTCTGCCAGACCCTCTTTAAAGGTAAAGACATCCTTCCTTTGTACCTTCTGAGTCAGAGCAGCAAATGGGTCTATTTTAGGTTTCAAAGGCTGCCTTTTGGTTGAGACTCTCTTCCGAGTAGAAGCACGTGTCAATGGTCTCTTCATAGAATGAGCAGGGCTGTCAGAATCAGTTTCAATGGGGTCAGAATTTTGTTTGTACCTGATATTTAGATCATCGTTGCTGCCATCCGTTGGCTTTGAAATGTTGGCACCTACATCATGACCCTTCAGATTGGGAGGCTGACTTTTTGGTGAAGAAACGGCTCCTAATACCTCCCACAGTTTCATCCTCAAATTGTCAGTCTTAGGCACTGCTACATTACCTGCCTTTTCTTTATCTGTTATAGGGACCTCATGTGCAGTTGGAAATGTGAAGTCCTGTTGCTTCTGTGAACTCTCATTCTGGCTTCTCTTCCTCGTATATGTTAGTCCATTGAACGACTTCTCCTTTCCGTCATCAGAATGCCCCGAACTTTGATTTGCAAAATACTTCACGGAATGAGTTACAGGTGGATCCTTCTTGTTGCTAAGCTTCTTCTTTGATCCACCAGCTGAAGCTAATTTGGAAGTTTCCTTCCCATTGAGAACATTCTCTGATGTTTGTGCTGTTTGGTTGGCTGACTTGGTGGTAATCCATGGGGAAGTGATCTGCTCCCGAGCTTCTGATATCTTCCCTTCATTTCCACCAACATCTTCCCCTTTATCCTTCTCTCCTTCTGAAGTTCCCTTTCGTGGAGTTTCCATTTCTTCATTTGGGACAGCCTTATCCTTCCCCCTAGCTCCATATCTTTTGTTTGCCAATTGATCTATGAGAATTCCGACAGAAACCTTCCGGGACTGGCTGGAGTGATGATAATTGCTACCAGGACTTCGACAATCACTGATTCCATCCTGAAATGGGTTTTACAGGTCATTAAGCCCCAAACCCCCCAAAAGGCCAAAACCATAGCATAAATCAAACAACTGCTATCTTTAGAACTTACATCTTGCATTTCCTGCAGTGTGTCAGCAACCATTTTTGGCAGTGTGCCCAGTTGACGCTAGTGCAAGCTCGAAGGAAACCTAAATCAGTTTACGAACAAACAAGTTCAGCAAAAGGAATATACAGGCAACTCACTTGACCCAATAGGGCAAAGATCAAATTCAAACTACCAGTTGAACCCAGAAAGAACGATAGAGTGCTAGTTCTGCAGTGTTTCCCCCCGGATTATTCCAAAGCCCAAACACAATTAATCGTCGTAAACAGGACGAGGAGTCTGGGATAAACAAAGCGGATCCAAACGGCAGCAGTAAGTTTCCCACAAGATTCGCTGTATCAGAAATCAGCAAAACCTACAGATCTGCGATTCTCCTCCAAAAATCATTTGTTTATCTCCCCGAAACGAACTCGTTCAACTCTAGCTAGATGCGTACAAGAATTACTGAATAGATCAAAGAGGAATTTCAAAATCAGACTCTGCTTGACCTAAGAGATCGTTTCCCTGTTCGGAACTAGAGGACGAGTTAGTCACAGAACTCGTCTATCGAAATCAAAATTACGGACAGGAATCTGGCGACGGAGCCGTCGCAAAACCTTGAGGGCTCCGAAGAAATGTTCGAGAAGCAGCAGAAGAAGAAAATTGAACTGAACTAGAGAGTAGGTTTTAAGAATTCGACTGAAATTCTGAGACGGAAATGAGAACGACGACCTTACACTGGACGGTCACCGCCGATGGGGAATTTCCCGGAATTCGCCTCGCGTCGAGCAAGAGAGAAAACCCGCGTGAAAGGAAATCTCTAGGCGAAGCTTCAAGCTATTGCAATTTGCAGTAGCAGAACGGGAGAGCGGATTTTGAAAAGGAAAATTGGACGCCACGAAATGTCGCAGGCGGGAAAGGAGAATTGCCAATTTAGTAATTTGCTATTTCATATTTGAGTGACACACTTTAGTACCGATTGACGGAAATACCCCTGCAGTCTCGTGCCCTATATTCTCAACTAGGGTTGTTAATAAGTCGAGACTGAGCTATAACTCGTTAATATATTTTCAAACTCGAGCTCGGCTCGCGTTAGTCACGAGTTTTAATATGCAAATTCGAGCTCGGCTCATTTAAGAAAATGAAAGCTCAAGCTCGAGCTCGCCAAATAAGTTTAACGAGGCCAAAATCGAGTTCAACACATAAAATGTTCATTATAGGTCAAGGTTGAGCTAGAACTGAACACAAAATTACATTCAAACCTGCAACAAAGTCTAGCAAAACAAAACACAATATTTATCCCAATTTCAATACATAAAATCTATGAATTTCAATCCTTTCTAATGTCAAACCGTTAAATGAGCTTGTTTGCGAGCTTTCAAGCTGAACATGTTATGGCTCGAGTTCGACTCGTTTAGTTAACGAGTTTGTTCGCAAGTCGGCTCGATTAAGATGAATCGAGTCTCGAACGAGTTTTTCTTGAGTCAGAAATCAAACCGTTCATGAACAAGAAATCTTAAAGATAATGCTACTGATGAAGAGTGGGTTTTTATTGTGTGGATAAGGGTATTATAGGTTTTTTTATAAATAGGTGCTACTTGAGGCATTCGAACCTTCGATCTCTAAATTTAAGACCAGTAATAATACCACTAAACCAAACTAAATGCTTGTTAATTAATGGATAACCAAATTCACAAATGAAAGCGCTTTTCATCGTTAATTATGTAACACTATTACACTTTGTTGACCATAGAGCTATTTACTCAAGAGAGCACAAGCAATTAGTTAGCGAATGCCACGTCACTCAAGTTCCAAAATCAGCTTTGTTCAGCTAGAAAGATAACGTTGGCCACTACTTTTCGTCCAGATTTTCTATCACCCGGCGACTTCTTTAAACCACCGAGATCGGTGCATCTTCTCTTCCGTCCGCCATGGCGAATCTCTGCGGAATCTCCATTTCCCGGCCCACTCACTCCCTGCTTCCACCACCGCTCTCCACTTCCGGCCCGAATTCGTCTCGCCGTCCCTTCAAGCTTCGGTGCTCAATAACCGAGCAGCCCTCTACGATTCCCCCCTTGAACCTCGATGGCGAATCGCAATCCAAGGCGTCGCGCTCCACCACTGCCGATTGTGTCATCGTCGGTGGCGGGATCAGCGGGCTCTGCATCGCCCAGGCGCTGGCCGCCAAACACCAAGATGTCGGTCCGAACGTCATCGTCACCGAGGCCAGCGGCCGCGTTGGCGGCAATATCATCACCGTCGAAAGAGACGGGTATCTATGGGAGGAAGGGCCGAACAGCTTCCAGCCCTCGGATTCAATGCTCAACTTGGTGGTAGGTGGTGAATGATGCTCCTCATTTTCAATTCAGCCTTTTGACATTTGCGTTTCTGCATCGAATTAAGGTTGATTCAGTTTGGTTATGTGCTAGGTGGATAGTGGTTTGAAAGATGATTTAGTGTTGGGCGATCCTAATGCGCCACGGTTCGTGTTGTGGGATGGGAAATTGAGGCCAGTGCCATCCAAGCCGGCTGACTTGCCAGTCTTTGACCTGATGAGTATTGGTGGGAAACTCAGAGCTGGCTTTGGTGCCCTCGGATTGCGGCCTCCTCCACCAGTTTGTCCTCCTGGAACTTTTGTATTCGTTAGTTGGATAATCTCATTGCTGGTCTGCAACTGTTTCTCGTCATAATGTTGGTCTTTTGACAAAGGTGACAGGGGCGCGAAGAATCGGTTGAAGAATTTGTACGGCGTAATCTTGGCGATGAGGTTTTCGAACGTTTAATCGAGCCATTTTGTTCAGGTATATAAAAATGCACAAACTTGTAGGTTTCTAGAATGTGATGAGGATAAAGGATGTTGAAATGGTTCGACAATGCATTTGCTAAAGTTCGAAAGATGTTATATTATAGTTTATTAGACTCTTTGAAAGTTTTTGTTCTGCGCAGGCGTTTATGCTGGGGATCCCTCAAAGTTAAGCATGAAAGCTGCCTTTGGAAAAGTTTGGAACCTTGAGCAAACAGGTGGTAGTATCGTTGGCGGGGCTTTCAAGGCAATCCAGGAGAGAAATAAAAATCCCAAGCCTCCTCAAGAATCGTAATATTATCTTGAGCCACTTTCTGATGTTTAACACGCCCCCATTTTCTCATTTCAATCACTCAATATTTGTTTTCTTCCAGGCGAATGCCAAAACCAAAGGGCCAAACAGTTGGATCTTTTAGAAAGGGACTTGCCATGTTACCTGAAGCACTTGCAAAAGGGTAAGTTGTTGGTCACCTATTTCCTGTTTTGACATTCTGTTAGAATCCAACCTTGTATTCACTTTTGGTACATGAACTATTCCGGAGCAGCACTTTCCTGGATGTCTCGTTATTTATTTGAGAGGAATTTCAGTGGCATCCCTTTTACATCTTTCATATTGTTGATAAGTACCAATTATGAGTATTGCAGGCTGGGTAACAAAGTTAAACTGTCATGGAAGCTTTCAAGTATCAGCAAATTGGAAACTGGAGGATATAGTTTGACCTATGAAACACCTGACGGATTGGTAGCTGTACAGAGCAAATGTGTTGTACTGACTGTTCCATCCCATATTGCAAGCAGTCTGTTGCAGCCACTTACGGTTGGTGCTTTTGAACTGATTACTTAGTTGTTTGTTCAATTTGTGCAAGTAGTTAGGCATTCTCAAGGAGCGTGCTCTCTGATGGTTTTCTGCAGAAATACCGGTCGAGAACTGACACTGTGTTAGAACTATGCTCTGAACTAATTGATGTGAAATGTAAATGGAGGAGGAAGAAGAAAAAATGAGTAAAAGATATACCACATAGGAGAAATGGGACAACGGTTTAACCTCAAATTGTCATATCCAACTTTTAGTTGGTTGTTTTATCTTCTCCATAGTACATCCCAGTAGTTCATTGTGGGTCAGTGCTGCAGCACTGTTGGAGAATGCAGTCATACCAGACCATGTCACCTCCTTGATCCAGAATTTCTTGGTGTTTCCCTTCTGAAAACACCTTACATTTTACTCCACATGTTGAACAGAAGCTGTTCTATCAACCAGGGCAGAAAATGAGAGGTCCTGGGGAGACAAGGTTGAGTAGGTTATCTGCCTTAGCTGAGAGAACACCTATTGAAGGTAGTTTTATTATATTTATTAGTATTATATGTATATAAGATGGAAAACCTCAAGCACTTCCGGACCAATGAGGTGACTCGATCTATCGGATGTGACCAGTTCTCCACTGGTGTCACGGTACTGACCAATGGTGGAATTATTGGGAAGTACTATGGAAATGATTAAACGACCCAGAAACAATTGGAGGAGGTCAGGGTAGATCTGAGGTAAAAACTTTCCTCCAGGTTCACCCGATGTTAACTTCGGGTTCTTTTCTTGGCGAGTAGATATGAATCACAGAGCATAATTCTTAGAAAATGTCAGGTCTCAATGCAGTAAGCACACTCAAAAATTAGTTGTATAAGTACTGATGGCTTGTACAGAAATAGCTGACTGAAGCCTGTATGCATGATTAATGAATCCCAATGTAGTCACTGTGTGCAAACCTATGTTTTGCAGGCTGTTGCTGCTGAAGAATTGTCGAAATTTTACTACCCACCTGTCGCTGCAGTAGCCATTTCATATCCAAAAGAAGCAATTCGGCAAGAGTGTTTAATCGAGGGGGAGCTCAAGGGTTTCGGCCAGCTGCACCCACGTAGCCAAGGGGTGGAAACTCTCGGTAATAACACTTTTGAGCATTATCATGTTTTCTGTTTTGCTTGAAGTTTAGAGTTGAAGAATGATCCATGCATTGGTGCTCCAAATCCTAACCAAAAGTTCGCCTGTTTGTGGGCTTTGCAGGAACTATCTACAGTTCATCTCTCTTTCCTAATAGGGTTCCACCAGGAAGAGTTTTGCTCTCAAACTACATTGGAGGAGCTACTAACCCTGGAATTTTATCGAAGGTAACTTGAAAAAAAAAGTAAAAAAAGACAACCAATTGAAAAGAAAAAACAACATAATAATCCTCTATCTACATGGCATGAAACATACTTAGTCAAGATGTGTGCAATGACGAATTTTTGCTTGTTCTGTTATTTTCAGACGGAGAGCCAACTCGTAGAAGCAGTTGACCGTGATTTAAGAAAGATGCTCATAAAGCCTGATGCAAAGGATCCATTTAAAGTGGGCGTCAAGGTGTGGCCACAAGCCATCCCACAGTTCCTGGTTGGTCATTTTGATATCCTGGACAAGGCAAAAACTGCTCTCAAGGACACAGGCCTGAAAGGGTTGTTTCTGGGAGGAAACTATGCCTCTGGTGTGGCTTTGGGGCGATGTGTGGAGGCCGCTAACGAGGCTGCAGCTGAAGTAACGGACTTCCTCTCCCGGTATGCGTACAAGTAATGTCTGGCTTATTTCGGGTCCCAAGTCATGTAGAGGCATCCCATGCCAAATGCATAGATGGGAGGAGAGGTTCAGGCCGGATAATTGGTTGTTTATGTAGTCATGTAGAGAATTTCAAGAGCTAGCCCTGTATTTTTTTCTTGTAGAGCCCTTTTCTTTGTCAACTGTAGTGAACACTATTCATGTCCTTCGGTGAGATGGAAAAGTCCTGAGAGGCGGCTTCTGTTTTTTGCTCCGTAGTTCTGTAACTGGTATTTACTCGAGGTAAAAGTCTTTAGAACAAGCAGTTGTTTTCATGCAAACAAGGGCCCATGATTTTGGGGTGCATAACACTCCAGGTTCAGTGGCTGCCCTTGAATTTATGCATGAGTTTCTTATGAAACAACCAGGCCTAGGGATATTGAGTGATCTTAAATTTACAGCTGCATCTTTCCCTGACCTGGAGTTAATATATATTGTATAAGATAATAAACTTAAGTATTATGTTTGACAAAATGGAGGCATAATGTCTTACATCGAGAGTTTACAAATGTCCATATCGGAGATGTCAAGATTAGATAATTGAAAGATCGTGAGTGGATATGGTATATGCTGGAACTTTTCAACATAGGTCTAGAATCTAGATAGACATAACAAACCATCTAGTTATTTATTAAACATCTTAACTTAGAAATATATATGTTGTTTATGAATACTATCAAAATAGTGATTGATTGTTGAGTATCTTTGATTGAGAACTAAGTCTATACTCCATCTATATATGTCTCATAAACCTACATGAAAAGTATACTCAAGACTATGAATATTTAATAGTAGGATGTTATGACAAAACAAACCATTTCAGAAATTGAAGATAGTAAGGTACAAAGATAAGTTCATTTTACACAAAATGAAATTGTTCCGACTAATGGATAAAAATGTTCTCTACATAGAATCACCCAGTCATATAAACAACGATTCAATTCGATCTTAAACCTTGAACACAAGTATAGATATTTATCAGTCTCTATATACACTTTGCAGTTTAGCGTGCATTTATACCCAGTGTGGTTAAGGGAAGAGGAAAGTTGTTTTATTCGTGTTTGACTCTCAGTAATCTATACTAAAGCGGGAAATAATCTGTCTAATAGTATGACCATCAACAATAACTTTGATAAGTTTATAATCACTATAATTATTTTGATTATCTTAAATTACAACATTTTTGTTTGCCATCTTTGTCATAAATTAATTCACATAGGTCAAAGTTGAAGAGAATTAATCAACCATTGACAAAATTAGGAAGATACAATATGATTTTCATATAAGCCAAAAGCATAAAGAGATCCAACTAAAGCTTTTTCGAGCATATGATTCACTAAACTTGCATTTTAAAATTACATGCATTATTTAAACTATGATTCTAGGCATAATGTACAATTTGGGTACATGTGATTGATTGTGAAGGTTATTCCATGGTAGGTATGACAATAAATGTCATTCTGACAAATGTCGGTGATCCTCTCATCTTAATCATAATATTTATCTCATAACATAATGGTAAAAACTATCTATTTTTACTTTATTTGTACATCTATTAGCTAAATATTTGTTAATTAATGGATAACCAAATTCACAAATGAAAGCCCTTCTCATTTGTAAATACCTTATTGTTGATGAATCTACAAATTTGGGAATTATTGACTACATGTCAAGGTGAAATTCGTGTAATTTGGATCTATGTATTTTGTTGTGTGTTATAAGTCAGGAGTTTCAAAAAATAAAATGGTTTTACAATCAAATTTTTTTTTATAATAAAAGTGATGCATATGCATCACATTCAGCTAGAAAGCTCTCATGAACGAACTTGCTGCAATTTGGAAGGATGAAGAGCTCTTTTGGAGCCAAAGATCTGGAGTCGATTGGCTCCAACATGGAGACCAAAATACCAAATTTTTCCATGCCTCCACCATCTTCCGGAAACAAAGGAACAAGATTTCTTCTCTTAAGGATGATGCTGACAATATCTTATCGAGTCCGGATGAGCTTTCAAACCACATTACTGATTTCTACCAAGCTCTGTTTACCAAAGATAATCATTTTGATGGCTCGACACTCCAAGAGTTCCCAAGAATTGTCACTGATGAAAAGAATATGGACCTTTGCAAAGATCCAACTCTTGAGGAGATTAGAGATGCTGTGTTTGATCTGGGACCCACGAAATCACCAGGACCAGATGGTTTTGCAGGATTATTCTTCAGGAAATACTGGACAAAAATCGGGCCTGATTTCTGTAAGGAAATCCTTGAGTTTTTTCGAACAGCAGTGATGCCACAGGGATGGAATGATACTCACATTGCTCTTATCCCTAAAGTTCAAACCCCTGATCGGATTACTCAGTTTAGACCTATAAGCTGTTGTAATTTCCGATACAAGATTATTTCAAAAATCTTGTCAAGTCGGATGAAGAAATGGTTGCCTATGCTGGTTTCTGAGATGCAAGCGGCATTCACAGGTGGACGACTCATACAAGACAACATTATTATTGTCCACGAAATCCTTCACAATTTCAAGAATCGGCGGAATGGTGACTGGGATATGATGATTAAATTGGATATGCGCAAGGCCTATGACTTGGTTGATTGGGAATGTCTTGATTTGATCCTCAAAGCTTATGGTTTCTCTGATCAGTGGCTGAGATGGATCAACTCTTGTGTTAGCACAGTCAATTTCTCGATACTTCTGAATGGGAGCCCAACGGAGCCTTTCACTCCTACTAGGGGAATAAGGCAAGGGGATCCAATCTCTCCGTTCCTCTTCATCTTAATGTCTAATGCCTTATATTTCCTCATCGACAGAGGGGTTTCCAGAGGTGACATTAGAGGAATTAAGCTCAATCAAGATTGCCCTCGTATTTCACATTGCCTCTTCGCAGACGATACCGTTATCTTTGGGAAGGCTAGTGTGAATGAAGCCGAACAAATTCAGAAAATCTTACATAACTATGGAAAGATCACAGGACAAGAGGTCAATCCTTCGAAGTCATCAATCTTTTTCAGTAAGAACACTCCCAATGCTTTAAGATCCCTAGTGGCAAGCAAGTTTGGTTTCCCGCCTTCTATCTGTCATGATAAATATCTTGGTGTTCCTACGGAGTGGGGGAGGTCAAAAAAAGAAACCTTTTTGTTTCTGCTAGAAAGAATGGAGAAAATTGGAGAATCATGGAAGAGCCTCCTCCTTTCCCCGGGTGGTAAGGAAGTACTGTTGAAGGCTGTTATTCAGGCTATTCCGGCTTACATTATGAGTATTTTCTTCCTCCCTCGATCCTTGACAAACAAGATGGATTCTATTCTTAAGCGCTTCTTCTGGTCGGGCTCTATGAAAAAGCAATCCATTCATTGGTGTGATGCGAGAGTTCTGGAAAAGCCAAAAGAGGAGGGAGGCTTGGGTTTTAAAAATTTCCACCTTATGAATGTGGCATTGATCGGTAAACAAATTTGGAGGATGTTGGATAACCCGGAAGCTTTGTGGGTCAAGCTCTTAAAGGGACTTTACTTTGCTAATGGGGACCTTTACTCAGCTAAGAAGGGTAGAAACGGATCATGGATTTGGAACGGATTTTGTGATGTGAAGGATAAGATGAAGATTGGATTGATTAAAGGGATTATGTCTGGTGAGGGAACCAATTTCCATAAGGATCCATGGGTACCTTCTATTCCCAACTTTTCGCTATCCAACCTGCAGCTGGAACCATCTCAGGTCAGCGATTGGATTGTTGCCTCTTCTCGAAGTTGGAATTCCGATGCTATTCGAGCAGAGGTCACTGAAGAGGTGGCTCAGGCTATTATGAGAGTTCCAATTGGTCCCCCGGAGGCGGAGGATAAGTGGATATGGAGGTACACCGAGTCTGGCTCCTACACTGTGAGATCAGCCTATAGAGCCTTTCGGGAAGCGAGGGACAGAAGTATTCATCCTGTCAATGATGATGGAGCTCGACCTAATAGACAGGATTGGAGGTGGTTATGGTCACTTTCACTTCCTCCCAAGCTCCGATTCTTCATTTGGAAAAGCTCGAAGAATGCTCTTGCAACTCGAGCACGCCTTTTCTCGCGCGAGTGTGCTCCAGCCTCCACCTGCCCTTTATGCAATTATCAGGATGAGACTGTTCTCCGTTGTTTTTTTCATTGTCAGCATGCTCATAACACATGGTTACTCTGTGGATTACTGACAATCTTTCCTGATCCTTATATGTCCTTTGCAGAGTGGTTCTTTAGCCTCAAGGATCAAATGCCGGATGAGCAGATTGCCCGCCTTGTCTGCTGTTTATGGAGTATTTGGAAGGCTCGAAATGGTTTCATCTTTGAGAGCAGGGCTATTTCCCCAGCCACCACGGCAACTTTAGCTAATCGTGAATTCATGAACATCAACGAAGCTCGAGAGACAACCTCACTGTCCTCGATCCTGAGATCAGCTAGTTGTCATTCTCAGCCTAGGGGATCCCGTCGAAACCCCTCACCACCGCCTGGCCCTTTTGAACGAATTGTGCACTGTGACGGCTCCTTTGTTTCGGAATCTCAGTTGGCGGCTTGTGGGATTACCATTGCTGATGCCCACGGTCAGGTGATTGACGGCAAGGCTGAGAGGTTCTATTGTTCCTACCCGATTCAGGCAGAAGCATTTGCTATTCTGGGTGCTGTGGTGTTGGCGGCCCAAGTGTCATGTCCGACGTGTATCAAAAGCGACTGCCAACGTTTGATTGTGGCTCTTATTCAAGACCCCTGCGATTGGCCTTGGCAATGTCGTGCGACCCTGGCCCGGATTGTGTCTCTTCTTCAGGGGGCTCCTTGGATCAAGTTGTCCTTCGTTCCTCGGCGATTTAATTCTCTTGCGGATTGGGTTGCTAGGAATGCCCGACTTGATCTCTTACCACAGGATTGGATTGTCATTGCAAATTTGATTTCGCCCTTGTTGTAGCCTTTTGTTTCTGCTTGTCTGGTTTGGTATAATAGAAGATGTTCCATTGTCAAAAAAAAAAAAATTCTCTAATGAGAGTCAAAGCTGAAACCCAACCACCAATCAATACTAAAATATTGCAAGAGCTCGATGAATCGGTGCGACGAATAGAGAGAATGTACATATCAGTTGCAATCTAAATACTCATTTAACAATAAAATGCTTACTTTTTTGCTAATACGTAGAGAAATTTACATTCCATCCAATGCAAAGTTGTTAAAGTGAGGAACGCGAGAGGTGTTATGCTTAATGCGAACACTGTCCACAAAATGGTGAAGAAGACTTCCACGAGTACTTTTGTGGGATTTGTACGACAACATCGAAGCCGACATCAACTAGGTAACAATCTAACTCGACGATTCCATTCATCTTAACTTCAAATTCATTCATTCATTCATTTACAGGGGAAAACATCATACTTAGCAAATCTCGACGATTCCATTCATCTCAACCTACTACCATCCATCATTCATCCACCAACCGTTAGTTACTATTTAATTTCTTGGGTTCTTTTTTTATATATTTTAAATTATGTAAAATATCAACAAAAAAAATTGACCAGACAAAGTGAGTAAATTGCAAGGAAAAGAAAAAGGGCATCCAAAAAACTTGAGTCACACACCCTTTTTATTCGATTTCGGTCTCCTTTTTTTTCATTCATTCTTTACTACGTACGCAAGTCAGATATCGATTTCATGGTGTCTCCAAACCGGAATTGATTGCATGTCTCCTGCCCAGCAGGCCAGGATTCCTCGCCGCTCCCATTTTCATTCTTTCGTGTCGCAGCAAAAACAACCCAACACAGCTAAAACATCATGCTACCAATTTTTTTTGTTTCCAACAAACAACGATAGCCTTTTTCTTTTCTTTTTCCGACGTGGCTTACAGCCATGAAAGACAAAGGCCGATGAAAAAAGTGGTGCAAATCAGGCAAAAAGGGGGAAACTCTCTCCTTTTCTCCTCCTAAAAAGTGAAAACCAGCAAGATTTGCTTCTTCGTTCAACACATCAAAAGGAGGAGGCCAACCTGTTCTTAGTCCTCGCAAAATCTTACCTTTTTTTTTTATTTGTTCTTTTGATAGAAAAGTAATTATGCCAGCCGGTGGTTAATGTGACGTAGATGGTAAGTATATATATATGTACAGCTAATTGGAGCTGCAGTAAAATGTACGGGTGATAATGTTATCGACTTATTCTATCAATAATTCGAGTTGTTGGGAGAGGTTAATGCTTGTGATCTCAATGAAGTAGTTTTAGAGATGACATCGGGTCGAGGACAGATAGTGCGTATCCATTATCCTACCAATGATGTTCTAGTTCTACTCATTATCACACAAGACTCGGGTAGAAAATTAAAATCACGTCCATGCCCGTTCTTGTTCCGAGTATTAACAATTATCAATAGATAACGATTTACCTTTTCGAGTAACCAACATGTTAACATTTACACATATACTGAAAATACATGAGAAGAAAAGTACGGCAGTGTAATGAAGAAAACTAGTTATTAACTACATAATTTTATTAAAAATATTATATATGCATAATAAATAGCAAATATGTTAAGAAAAATAATGATCATTTCTAAACAAAATACACATACATGGGTATAATCAGCCGGGTTCGGGTTTGATAGTGAGAAAAATATGTCTATCCATTACCCGCAATATTTGGATTCAGGTTTTACCCGTACCCACTGAAAATCCTTCGGGTTTGGGTTTTACCTTACTCAATTCAATTAGGTTGGATTCGGGTGGGTATCCACGGTTTAAGATATTTTTGTCATCCCCAAGCAGCTCTGATACATGTCATAAACCAACTTGTCCCAATAATTTGAGTTGTTGGGTAAGATTCACGTATGATACTTAACCACTTCCTTATACGCCCTCTCAAACGAAAGTCGACTCAAGGGCTTGAAGTTTGCACATGCTTGTCATACTATGTACCTTAAAGACAACAATTAATAGTGGGGATCGTGAGGACTTGAACACGTGATCTCAATCACAAACCAACTCTAATTAGGGGCGTACCCAAGTGGAGGACAGGATACCCCCGTAATTTGAGAGAAAATTAATGAACTCCCAATAGTAGTTTGAACATGGGAAAAAGGAGAAAAAAAATGATAGTATATGTGATTCGAATCTATAACACGGTAGTTTATTAGTGAACATTTGTTCTATTTGACTACACTTTATTTGTTGTTATAATTTTTTCATAAAGCGTAAAGCTCTTATCCCGAGGTTTTCTAATGTCTAAAATGAAACCCACAAACCAACCCTTATCCCCCATTGTATTCTACCGAGCAATTTCATCTTGAAGAGTTTAGTCACCTTCCTGATTATTTTCTTCTACAGCATTTGAGGATTATACCATGAGTGCATTTTACAAATTTTCAAAACCCAACAAATTAATGAAAAAGATTTAACTAATCCTATGATTACATGAGCACTTTAGTTTCACATACCGATTAGGAGAATGAAGAGAGAAAAGGACAAATGGGAACGCAAGCCCAGGCAAACAAATTTGTGGTTACACGGACACAGAGGCTTCTTCGTCTTGGCAAAGCTACAGAAGGGATTAATGAGTGCGGAGGGAATTCTTTTAATGTTGATGTGTTCTGTTTTCTTTTCTATAAACCAAATCCAAGGCCCCTCATGCGGTTTTTGGTACCCACTTAACGATGCGCTTTGATCCATTGAACGAACACTAAGCAACGTAATGGCCTCCTCAATTGAATCACTAAACACCATCCATCATTCTTAATTGTCGATGTGGGCAAACAAATTAGTGAGCTCTTCAATGCCAATCTGGTTCTTCTGTTGGGTTTCAAGGGTCATCCTTTCCCTTCTCCCAAAGCTGTCTACATTCATTCTAAATCCAATCCCATCCCATCCCTGCAATATTTCATCATGGGGAGAGCAAATGTGCACCATCGTTATAAGAAAATACAGTCAAATCGTGATTCTACGTAGCAGGGTAAAATTGGAATCTTGAATTTAAAATATTTAAGATCGCTAGATTTTAAAGTTCGTATGAAATTTAACGTTTACAGACACTGGATATATATATATATATATATATATATATATATTTGCATTGATGGAGGCAGAGGCCGAGAAAAGAAGATTACAGGGGTAGGGGGTTAAGAGGAAGCGAGCTCTTGGCGGGAAACAATCTGCCGCTCGAAAGACACTCCTTGGTAATCATCTCACGGAATGGAAGCTAAGCCTGGGGGCTGGTTTGCAAGCTCATGTACACCGTATGGGATAGACGGGAATGTGTTCGAGAGACAGTCCGCGTCTCTATTCCCTTCGCGGTATACATGAGTGATGCTCACCAGCCAATCTTGACTTAATCTCCTACCAATAGAGGCGATCAAACTGGCGCAGGGACGAACCAGGTCTTGCCTGTCCTTGATCAATTCAATAGCCAATTGTGAGTCGAACTCAATCTGAAGGGTTCGACATCCTAATTTCCAAGCTAACGTCAAACCATGGGAGAAAGCCCACAGTTCAGCCAACGCAACAGAAGCTTCTCCGATATTAGCCACAAATCCCGACACCCACTGACCCGCAACATCTCACAGGACGCATCCTGTACCAGCAGCTCCGGGATTCCCATTTGAGGCACCGTCGATGTTCATATTAAGCCAGCCTTCTTGAGGCGGGCTCCAAGCAATCCATGCCGTGATTGTAGAATCACACTTTTTTCAAGTCTGATACTACGGTGCCAAACTAGCTCATCTTGATGATTTGGTTGATGGTGGTTCCCCTGATTCTGAACGATTTGTCTATGTATCATGTCGTTTATGCGCATGTTTAGCTCGTAGGTTAAATGGGTGTTTCGTCGGAATTAGCTGAAGGTAGAGGACCGATCTGTGTGTAGTATGTCATAGATAACTCGCAAGCGATTTTGTCTTCCAAGTTGGACCGTAACTAGTTAGTCGTATTCGGCATGAAGAAAGCTTGTTGTTTGCTGATAGGCACGTACCTGGACCCAAAATATAAAGCAGGTGGGCAGTCACGAAAGATGTGGATGATGGATTCCTAGAAAAACGTAGACAATCAGTCGCTAGTTTTCCTGAGAAGGTCAGCCACATGAAGCTACCGATGCGCTCTGGTACTGGGAGACTCCAAACCGTCTTCCAATATCTTCTATCTAGATAAGCCTCTTGTGGTTCAAAAGCTGGTAGACTGAACTTGTCGTGAACTTGTCATGGGAGGAAGGCGTCCAAAAGAGCACGTCCTTGTATGGGGAGAGCTTGTCGACCGCCATACTCAAGATCTTATTTTGCGTTGAACTCGGAATCTTGTCACCAAATAGGTTTGTCCGCCACAAGCCATCACCCGTCACAAAATCGGCTACCACGGTCTCGGCCTGCTCATTAGTAATTGGGCTCGTCACCACGTTCTTAAACGGTTCCTGCAACAACCATGGATTAAACAAAATTTAGTGTTCAGACCATTTTTTATTATTCCATGCACAATCTTTATGTAAGAGGTTGGAAGCTTTGGTGAAGCTTTTCCAAGTGAAGGAACTTGCTGATCTGGATGGAGCAACTCGAGGTTCTCCCTTGATCGGATGTACTTCGTTCTCATCACTTGCATCCACAGAGTGTCCTTCTCCTTCAGAAGTCTCCGCCCATTTTAGGCGTCTTTCTGGACTTGGTTTCCTCTTCGAGTTCAAATCCCATTTGACGAGTCTTATTGTCCCCTGATGTTCCTAATTGGTCTACTGTGCTACTTTAACTTGATAATGCACAAAAAACTACCCACATGCGCATCGGACTGATAACAACATTCTCAAGCACACTTTGAGCATTCACATAACAAACTCAAGGTATTATGACGATAATTATAGAAAATAAATGCACTTTTGGTCACAATAACTGGGTCTAAAATAGCATATTTCACGTGTCATAGAGATGTAAGATGCAATCAAACACATCACCACCACGGATACCTGACCCAGCCAATGCGCCGGTATGGGTAAACCCCGCTAAAAAATTGATGGGGATGAGGCGAGTATGGTTTTAGCCTCACTGCTCCATACCCATACACGCCCCACCAATAGTATTTCTTTACATATAAAAATTTATGGATCATATTTTAGTCTCTCAATGAAAGGACGGTAATTCAAAAAATAAGAGCTGAAATATAATTAAGTGGTCACTCAAATCAAATACTAATTTCCTAATTCCCTCCATTCACTCTTCACTTCTTTTTTTTTTTTCCCTTGTTACCAAATTATGTTAGTTATTTATTGTTTAGTATATGTGTTGGCGCCGAAGATAAATAATTTCCCAGCTACCTAAAAACCACGGATATAAAATAGAGTTACAAATCCTTTCTTACATAAAATATGGGATAACCAGACAGACACAAATCCGATTATTTGAAAAATAGAAAAAAGTTAATAATGATTTAAGAAAACCCACCTCATTTACAATCATACAACTTCTTTACATGAATTAATCGTGGCCCGCAGTTTACCTCACTTTCCACGGACACATTACTACTGGACTAATAAATCAACAAGTTCCTCCTCCAAAAAAAAAAAGTTCAATTCATTAGATCGAAAAAGCAAACAAATCAAGCAATTTCTCAAAATAAAAGTAGAAAAACAATTGAATTAATTAACCTTTTTTCCCCTTCATTCCTACGCTTTATCCTCTTTTTTTTTTCCCCTGTCCCCCCACATCCCCTCCTCTATATATTCAAACCTCAAAGCTGGCGGCTTCCCTTGACCTCTCCATCTCTATCTCCATCTTCGACACACAAAAAAGCGCTCCAAAAAGAAAAAAAAAAGGCAACACGTAAAAATTAATGGGCAGAGGAGCGGGTGGTAATAACAACAATCATCATCATCACCATTACTCATCAGCCTCTTCTTCTTCTTCCTCTTCTCCTTCTTCCTCTCTGTCCCGCCACATGAGGAAGGCACTCAGCACGGATCTCAGGCTCGGCCTCAGCCTCTCCGCCGGCAGGCCCGCCGCCGCCGCGGATGAGGAAGAGGTAATAATGGATGAAAGGTACGGAGGAGGAGGGCATGGGCGCGGCGGCTGCGGCGGTGCTACTTTCTTCGTGAAGGTGTACATGGAAGGGATTCCGATCGGGAGGAAGTTGGATTTGTGGGCTTATGGTTGCTACGAGGACATGATCACCACTCTTGATGACATGTTCGGCACCAACATTCTCTGTAAGAAACCCACCACCACCACCACACCAAACTTTCGATTTTTTTCTTTCTTTTTTTCGTTGGTTGTTGGTCCTTTTCGTACGACTTCAATTCGACGACAGATGATAGTCTGTCTGTCTTCAAGTTATAGCAACAAAGTGAAACCAATGAATGCTCATATTATTTGAGATCATGTTGGTCGAAACTTCATCTGACTGCTATTTTCCTCGATTTGGGACGCGCAGGGAACGAGAACAACTATAATCAGCAGCAGGTGCAGTACCACGTCTTGACTTACGAGGACAAGGAAGGAGATTGGTTGATCGTCGGGGATGTTCCCTGGGAGTGAGTTCCTCCCGTTTTTCTCATTCGTTTTCTGAAGTATTGGAACCAATTGGTTTTCGTCGTAAAGAACAACGATATTGATTTTTAATTTATTTAATTTGACGCAGGATGTTTGTGTCAAGCGTGAAGAGACTGAAGATCACAAGAGCAGACAGCTTGTGATTGATTAAGTAAGGTCCTGGTTTTCCTTCCCCCGGCAACGTGCGTACAAACAAAATAAGAAAGATTTTTGTTTGGGCTATTTTGTAAAATTTAGGAATGCTGGTCTCTCTCTCTCTCTCTCTCTCTCTCTCTCTCTCTCTCTCTCTCTCTTTTTGGTATTTTTGTTTCATTATCTGTATGTATATTTTGAAGCTTTGTTAAAGGAAATATGGTAGCCTTTTGCTCTGCTTGCATCAGATTCCGAACCGGGATATTATTAGCCTGCAAAAGAGTAAATGGACTACTGCCCTTATTTGGGAGACATTTTTCTGGGGGGGTGGGGAAATTGGTTTGGTGCGTCTCCCTGCGACAATTTCAGGTCCTTTAATCGAGCGTAGCAGACAGTGCTATTCAATTGGTATAGGCTGCGGTCTCCTGGCTGCCGTCACTACTGTGTCTGCGCTGTCAGTCAATAATTTTGATCGACGATGAATGGTCGAGAGAAGTGATCCTTTCTTGTAGCGTCGTTTAATTTTATGATAATATACGAACACCCTCCATCCTGTCGTGATTTTTGTATGAATAAGAACTCCATTGTCGTTGGGAAATGATGGTCATTCCACCCTTTTGTGGTGCGGGGCTGACCCCTTTGCTATTCGAAATAGGGTATCGGGTACCATTGAAGTCGCCAAAAAGGTGTATCCGTCTAAATTTTCATCAAACCAAACTATTAATTACCTTTTGGTACCCAAAAATAATATTTCAACAACTGTTACCTAGTATAAAAATTAGAAAACCTGTTAAGCATAGTATTACTAGAATGACTAATGAAAATTTTTCAATAAAATAAATAAATAATAAATGAATATCAAGAAGGAATAATAAATATACTAAAAGATAATAATAAATATTTAAAATCAACATTAAAAGATCTATATAACCCCTAATCCGAAAAGAAATACCACTAAAAACAGTTAACACAAAACCTATTCGACTATCAATACGTCAAGACCAAAGAAGGATAAATATAGAAAAGAAAATATGAATGTAGGAAGAGAATTAGAATTGGGAAATTTAACTAATATGAAATATTTACAATATAATATTAGAGAATTAACAGGAGATTTAACATGGAAAATTAGACAACGTCAATTGGATGTAAGACAACTAAATATAACATACTCAGATTATTTATATCGAGACATAATTCATAGTATATATTTGTTTTGGAAAATAACTCAATCATTAGAACACATATGATAATTGAAAATCTTTATAATGATAATTGATTCTAAATTTCCTATTCAAAGACTGATTTGGTTTCAGAGTCAAAACAGGATTCCAACTAAACAATAAAAAAATAAAGTTTTGCATAAGTCCAAATGATTTTTTAAATAAGAAAATTAGAAGGACCAATTCTGAAATTTATAAAATGAAATATTCTGTCAACTTTAATGGAATGCACGTAACAGTAAATTTAAGTGGTACTGTGTGCACATATAATAGAGTTCAGTGGCACGCGATGCCTTATTCTACTTAAGAGGTATAGCTCTCTCAATTCTCATACTTTAATGGTAACCGATGTATTTTACCCAAAAAAGAAGCATTATAGGTATAATATGCTTTTGGACCTATGGTGACTTGCAAGTCACCATAACTTAGAAAAAATGATCGACCTCTTCCATTAAGTTGTCGACCACTGTCAAAGAAAATGGTCGACCTCTTCCACCAAGTGCTCTACCACTTGAGTCAACTGATCTACCATTTCCGGAAATAGGTCGACCTAATGACACACTTACCTTCAAGTGGTTGACTTCTTCCACCAAATGGTCGATCACTTTCCAAGAAAATGGTATACCACTCCCACCAAGTGATCCACTACTTGAGTCAACCGGTCTACCGTTTCCAGAAATGGGTCGACCCGAAGACACACTTACCTTCAAGTGTTCGACCTCTTCCACCAAGTGGTCGACCAATTTTCAAGAAAATGATCTATTCACTTCCACCACCACTTGGGGCAACCGGTCACAAGACAATGATAGGATAAAAAAATAAGTAAACTTAGAATTTGAAGGAAAGATGAAAGTGCTATATACAAGGTTCTAAAAGGCGCTAGGCGTAAGGCAGGCGCTCGGCTCCTGACTTGCGCCTTGCCCGATTAGGCGTAGCCTAGGCGCGCCTAGGCGTTCAGAGCATAAATGGAAAAATTGTCAAATATTTCCTGTTTTCTGGAATAATTCATATGATCCAAGTGCATATAAAATTAGTAATGCCTAGTTCTTAATAGTAAACACTTAACATAACAAATAACAAGCAAATAGTGACCAATCATCTGCTAATAGGTGCTTATAGAGGCAAGAAGCTTGTGCTACGTACCGAGGAGAAGGAAGGAGCAGCAATTGACGAGTTTCGACTTTATTTCCCACTATAGTAGCGGAGCGATGTGAAGGCGAGAAGAGTGATCGATGACTTTCTCCTGCGGCGGCAGAGAGCAGCAAATGGGGCGAGAGCTAGGGCGGCAGGCGGTAGCAGATGGGGCGAGAGCTAGGGTGGCAGGCGGCAGCAGATGTTACTTCCCGTGTTTCTGATTTTCTAGGGCAAGAGGCAAGTTTCTGATTTTCTAGGACAAAACGAAGAGTATTGGGTTTAACTGCCTAAGCTCGCCCAGGAACTCCCAGGAACGCCTTCTCTCCACTAGGCGCAAACTAAGCGTTATTCCTACCTATTAAGCGCTACCAGCGCCTTTTACAACGCCTATGACCAAGTCAAGGCGATCCTCCACCGCCTAGCGCCTAATTGAGCCTAGACGTGTGCCTAGGTGCGCCTTCTTGAACCCTGGCTATATAGTAAGTCAAATATAAGAAGCAAATATGCAAAACATTTTCCAAATTTACGGGAAAACAATCATTCGAGAAACTTGTGATCTATGCTTGCAGCATTGGTACTAATATTAAATCTCTTACTAGCAATCATATATATTATTACTGAACTCTAGTTATTTATGATTATTTCACTAGCAATGGTTCATCAAGTCCACCGGTTATTGAAGCGGTGGACCGCTTGGTGAAAGAGGTAAACCACTTGATGGAAGTGGTAGACCGTTTTCTTGTAGAGTGGTCGACCTTTTAGCGGAAGAGGTCGACCGTTTGTTGAACATAACAAAAAGGAAAATAGTACATCTGGTCGATCATTCGAGCAAAGAGGTAGACCATTTTGTCAAACATGTTAGTTTGCTATTTTTGTATTATCAAAATACCCTTAAAGTTATCAATCATGCCCTTCTAATAAAATTTCCATAAAAAACCGTTAACCATGATTGAAGTGTGGTTTGGGAGACGCAAATATCTAAACTACCCTTGTACTTTGGAAAAATTATCAACCATGTGCTTCTGGTAACATTTTCATCTAAAAACCATTAACCATAGTAGAAGAGTGATTTGGGACTACAGATGTCTAAAATATCCCTAATAATTTTAGTTCAGCTACACTTAGTATTAAATGGAGGGGCAAAACTGATATTTCATTTCTCATTTTGTCGAGATCGGGTAGTTCGAAGTTCAAATTATGGTTGATGGTTTTTGGATAAAAATCTTAACAAAATTAGATGTTTGATAATTTTTTTGAAATGCATGAATATGTTTTTTGCAAAAAAAAAAAAATTAAAAGAATATTTTTTTATAGTAAAATAGCATGTTTAATAAGAATAATCGACATGTTATAGTGTATAACTTATGACCAAATGAGTTATAAAAAAAAACTTATGACCAAAAGAAAATCTCATTTGATTCTATTATAAAAAAAAAAACCCCTTGAACTAGGTGCTTTTGAATTTCGAAAGGGGAATGAGACCGTTGGAAAGGCCAACTGACCAAGTCTGTGACTCAAGGTCTCAATTCTCAAGTCTTTCACATCTCTGATCTCCTCCATCTCCCGGAGAAAGAACAAAGAGAGAACACCAAGCTCTCTTCCAGCTAAGCCATTTTTGGAAACTCAGATTTCCAGAACATGATCGCACTCACCATGAGGCGCCACGGCTGGCAGCGCCCTCTCCACCCTCTCCAGGTACTCTGTTTTTCCCTTCATTTCTCTTTGCTGTCTCTGCCCGAAACAAATCCCAGTTCGTTAATTCACCAGCTTCCTGAAAACGTTTTCCATTTTGAATCCAGTTCGTGGGAATGGCTATCTACAGCTTCCTCGTTGTGACCTTCTACTCGTTTCTCGGACTCCTACTGGGAAACAGAGTCGCCGAAACAACTGTCACAACGATCTTCTCCGTCGCGGTAACGAATCTCTTCGTGAACTTGTGCTTCGAGTTAGTAGTCCGTAGAGAGATAGTAATTTTCATTCTGCGGTTTCCTTTGGAGCCGATTGCAGGCGGTTTCGGTCATGTTGCTTTTCATTAGGTGTACGGCCATCGACCCGAGTGACAGAACCAGCTGCAGAAAGAGGAAGCGTGCGAAATCGAAAGATGGTGGGCTGCCGAAATTGAGATATGGATTCCTTTTTGGGCAAATGGTGAAGAGGGTTTTCAGGCGGGTGGAGAGGAAGATCCTCAGGACTTTCATCAGGAGGAAGTACTTAGATCCGCTCAAGGTCGCCGCTCAAATGGAACCATTGCTTCCTTTCCCTCTTGTAATGAAGGATGATGCTGCTGTTTCCCCTGACTCCAAGCTCGATGACATCTCTTATTGCTCCCTGTGTGATTTCCAGGTTTGGGCGATAGATTCCCCTTTTATGGGTTTGTCTTTAATTAATCCGCTCTGCAATAAGGGCAAATAAAGTTCAAAACTTGGGCATTATGAATGTAATGGGTCTATCTAAAAAGGCTTAATGGTGTGGTGTTTCCCAGGTGAAGAAACACAGCAAGCATTGCAGGACCTGCAACAGGTGTGTTGAAGGATTTGACCATCATTGCAGGGTAAGTAAGTGGGCTTTTGTTGCTTCTTCTTCTTTCCTTATTTTGAACCCACCTGCTTGGGAGTGTTAATCCGATTTCGGTCGGTGAAATTTTGTTGCAGTGGCTGAACAACTGCATAGGCAAAAGGAACTATACCACATTTTTCATGCTCATGACATTTATCTTGCTAATGGTTAGTGAAATGTCCCTTTTAGTGACTCAGATGTTTCAATTTGGATGGAAAATGAGATGTGTGTGTGCTTACTTGATCCGGTGACTGTGGATGCTGCCTGTTGCAGTTAATTATTGAAGGAGGAACCGCCGTTGCCATATTTATCAGGTGCTTCACTGACAAGAAAGGAATGGAAATGGAACTTCAGACAAGGCTGCATATGGAGTTTCCAAGGGCTGTTTTGGCTACAATTGCGGTACTTAACCTTCATATCTGATTGCTCTTTCCCTTGCCCTTTCTTCTCCAAAGGCAGCTTCTTTTCTACTGCTGAAATTTAAAATGGAAAGAGAATGATTCGGCCATGAGAATGGCATCCTAATGAGTTGGCAAATGTTGCAGGTTCTGCTGGTGTTAATGACAGCTTATAGCTCAGCAGCCATGGGCCAACTCTTCTTCTTTCATGTGGTTCTCATCCGCAAGGTGACTAAATCTTTCCCCCTTGGATCCATGTAACATAAAATGGCCGCGACACTAATCGTGAATGCTGTGGTATGCTTCAATCTTTGGGCAGGGAATGAGAACGTACGACTACATCCTGGCTATGAAGGAGGTGAGTGAATTAGTGGAATCGGAAGATGACCCATTTGATGATGATTCAGATTTCTCTTCAGATTCTGATTATGATTCACCCCAAAGGCCAAAGTTCATTTCCAAACTCATCTGTGGACAACATCAAGGAACTCAGGTAGATGTGATTCAGCAGTCATTTAGTTAGGATGTTTGCTCTATTAGACTTTTGAAGGGTTTGAGTGATGAAGCCATATCTTTTGTCAGAATCCAAGAAGGTTGTCCATCAAAATAGACAAGGTCCCTGAGCCGTCCAGCTTGAACAAAAAACAAGGTTTCCATGTGAGCATCAATCCGTGGAAACTGCTGAAGATGAGCAGAGAAAAAGCTGTGCTTGCTGCTGAGAAAGCCAAAGAAAGGCTCAGGAAACAGAAGCCAGTGGATCACCAAGATGAAGAAGATTCTTTGAGGCCATTACCGCAGGAAACAAAATGTGGTCCATCCATGAAACCAGACAGGAACATGACTTCTTCTGCTGCTGCCCCACTCATTCCTAAAGCCACGACGGTCGTCGCCTCGTCATCGCCACGAAGGATTTCGAGTCCAAGAAGGCGGTTTTCAGGTTCTCCAGGCGTGTTCACAGCGGCGGCGGCAGCAGCAGCAGGAATTGTTCCATCTCCAAGACAAAAGAAATACAGAAGCAGCTTTGACTTGAAGCTGACAGAGGTTTCCAGGGAGCTTGAGACCTATATTTCCAAACAGGTCTTGTGTTCTGTTATCAAGAAAGATGCTTCTGAGGCATCCCCAAGCTAAAGATATATTATGATTTTCATCAGACTCAACTGATGTTTGGCCGTCTCAGGCTTTGAGAAGGAAAAACAAATTATTCTTAGATCAAAAGTATTTAATTTCTGGATTTGTACTTTCCGTTGGACTTGTGTTCCAATTGAATATGTAAACAACTCAAATATTGTAAGGGTATACGAATGGTCCTAAAAACAGGATAGGCCGGCATCTTGTGGACTTGAAGGGAAGGATGGTACCTTCTTAGTTTCTGGAATTGGTTGATAATGCCAAAAGCAATGGAAGCTCAGTTTGATTCCAGTACATATTCGATTGTCCGAACCGTCAGATGTGGCCACGTGTACTTGATTGGGAATCTCAATTGGAAATGGGAAGTTGCAAGGCATGCTTTTTTCTTCCTCATGAATTGAACAACATGAATGGGCAATGTTGCTGACAAATAGGTTGGCATGTATTGAGAGGTGAAAGATACAACGACAGCTGAAGTCTTTCGAGTAATTGAGCAAAATGAAGACACAAAAGAATGACTGGACTTATTTGCTACTGCACAACATGATGATACAGCAAAACTCACTTCCCCACAAAGCCCACTAACTTAGGCCAAATTGCATTCTCAAACTTTTCATATCATACCTCTGGCCACCAATTTCCTCTGCAAGGCAAATGAACAGCTATGTTGAGAATTGACAAGAAGCAACTCAAGCTTGAACCGCAGAAGCTAACTGGCAACTTAACTTACCAAGACAGCCACTGTTTGCCTCTATTTAGTCTGCTACTCGAGTTCTGTGAGTAGATATTATAACAATCAGACCAGTGATCGGGAAAGATTTCCTCCCTGAGAAGCTTACAAGCTTTTGGGGTGACCAAATCTGAATAGCCTGCAATGTGAGCGCAGTCCCATGGAGGCTTAGATGTCACACTTAGGGTGATATTCAACAGGCAGATGTCGAGAAACGTGTCTCCTTCGATACCCTCCAGAACTCCTGCGTGTGTAATGTTATCTCCTCTCACATTCTCGATGGTTATACGTTCAACTACAGGTAGTGCATTCGGATCATAGTCGTCATCAGGATGCTCCCCATAGTGACCAGTTAACCTTATGGTTGCATTTACATTGGTCAAGGTCATGTTTGCTATGTGGATGTTTTTGACATAGCCACCCCTTCCAGGGGAAGTCTTTATCCTTATGGCTGAGTTGGTACCAAAGAAGTGGAGATCTTGTGCATGAACCTCTGATACCCCTCCAGACATCTCGCTGCCTATTGCAATTCCTGCACTCGATCGACTTTGTCCAACAAGCCGGTGAATGCGAATGTTCTTGCAAGGGCGACCATATGATATACCATACTCATCCCAGCCACTTTTAATGGCAATTAGGTCATCACCAGTACTAATGTAGCAGTCCTCAATGCAAACATCGCTAGAAGAATCTGAATGCATATTTAAAAATCACAATAAGAGTAATCCCAAGAAAGTTATAGAACTAGTGTGGTTGAAAGATAGAGATATGATGGATTAACAATATAGTGAAGCAACTATATTATTTGCAAAGTTGGAAAGAAAAATATGAGGCCTAATCAGGTAAGTAGAGACAGTCACCTGGATCAACTCCATCAGTGTTTGGTGAATCCAGAGGAGCAAGGATTGTGACATTCTGAACAACCACTTGGCTGTTAGTACAAGAAAAGAATAATATTAGCTGTCATTTCTTAAGAAACACCACATTTTTACACATAAATCTCAAATGCTGATGTGGGAGTTGGAGAAACCTGCAATAAACAGGATGAATTGTCCAGAAAGGCGAATTTCGAAATGTCAAGTTTGAGATGACTACACCAGTAGAATTAATTAACTCAACCAAGTGAGGGCGCGTGTAGTTAAGGGTTTTGTCGTGAAACCAATTCCACCAAACATCACCTTGACCATCAATAGTTCCATTGTTGCCTGTCACAGGAAACCACAGTTATTCAATACAAAAAACAAACTAACAAACACAGGAAGTGAGTCTTCATTTCTATATCACCAACCTGTTATAATGACATCCATCAAATTTGAACCATAAATGAGGCTACGATGCCTCCTACCAGGCAACTCCCTCCCTCGGCCATATGATGGTAGAGGGTCAACGACTGGCCAATCATCAGAATTCTGGAAATTACAGGTTGTGGATTTTAGTATATTGAGGTAAACTACTCTAGCTGTGCCCAATATGTAGTTAGACTAGCGACACATTTGCCTAATGGAAATCAAGGCTCAACCTGCACAACAAACTAGCAGTGACAAACCAACTAATCAAAGAATGTTCTTGCTAGTTTAGTTGAAGCAAACACCATTGAGCATTTATGTGCACAATATTTCCCCAATACATAACTAAATTTCTATATGGTAAGCTCATTTTCTGGGTAATGACGGCAGTAGCTTCCCTAACTCCTATACAAGCTCCTCTCTCTACTGACTATGCATTGGCATGGAAGCAAAAGGTCTTACCGTCGATCCAAGAATGACTGCGTCTTCATCCAACGACAGTGTCAGATGGCTAATGAGATCAAAACTTCCAGTCAACCACCGCCCAGCAGGAACGAAGAGTTTAGCTCCACCTTTGTCAGCGAAGGAATTGATGTAGAAGATGGCATTCTGAAATGCCTTGGTGTTTAGTGTCACCCCATCTCCAACTGCACCAAATTCAGTAATGGTGACACTGTGAGGCCGGCTGATATCTGGGGTGGCTCCTTTGCAGTATGAGCTGCTACCATTGACAGCCCAAGGAGCAGGGGAGAGGAAAGCAAGTACCAGAAGGACATCTGCTAGCTGAAAACAAAGTGTATAGGACGCTGTCAATGAATTACTAATAGATTCATAAAACTCAGAAACTGAGAAGCTAAATCATTTCAACAACCATTCAAGGAAAATGTACTTAAAACACAGAACAAGCATAACAAACTAAATCATGTTAAACACAATTGAACACTCTCACTGGATACATTTTACTGATGAAAAACAAGAAACAAAACTTGTTATCTATGATCCCTCAAAGAACATAGAAAATTCTATACATTTAAACGGGTTCTGGAGCTGAACACAACCAGGCAGCCAATTGTGGAAAAGAGGAAGAGTTGAGGGGAAATTATGCGAAGAACTAACTTACAGCAAAAGGTATCCTCATATGATACTGCGCAGAGATCCAGTCCTTCCCCCTTTTGAAGCTCCAAGAGGAAAAAGCAGCAGCAGCTTAATTTCCTACCCCTTTCCTCAGCAGAACAGGAATAAATTTTGCCTCAACAAACAACAGAAGGGTTCTGATGATTATGAAGAAGAACATGGGCCTGGAATACTAATTACAAGAAACCTCCACCACATAAAGGAAAGAAAGGACAAGGGAAACAGTTTATTGCAGGCCAAAAAATCAAGCAGTAGGACCCTCTTGTTCCTCCTTCACTTGCTTCTCCATTACCACTGTCTCCACTTTTCCTTCACCGAGGTAATAAAACGCCAGTAGAATGAAAAAGGTGAAAAAGGGAAACCGACCCAGAAAGCGAAAAGGCGGGGGGGATCAGACCGCCGGGGAGAGAAAAGCTCCACCGACGGAAAACGGAAGTGGGTACAATGAGAATTCTCCAGCAGCCGACGGTGAGGAATCCAACGATTTCTCAAAGGAAAGAGACGGCATAAGTGGGGAAGAAGAAAGGAAAGTATACTAGTGTTGCTGCTACTGGCAGCTCCGCCTGCGGCTGATATATAGCTGCGAAGGTGTGGCGATTGGAATCATCTGTTATGTCTCTTCTTAACTCGGAGTTGTTTAGGCATCCTCCCTTCGCCATCTCGTTCCAAAGCATGTGACCCCTTCACATTTTTCACATTTAATTAAGGTTGGTTGATAAAGTCATTAGGGTCCCCTCTCCATCGCCATGCCAATGGGTTCTTGTAACCACACTTAAACCATGGGTGTAGAAACGCCCGGTTCGACCGGAATATCAGGAACCGGAGCTTAAGTCGGAACAGTACAACCGAAGTTCCATATATGTCTTACCAACCGATTTGTGCGGTCGAACCCTCGAACTGCAAAGTACCGGTCGATTTTAGTATGATCGTTCGGTGATTTAAATTAAAAGCAGACCCTGCCCCAAAGCGACGTTGTTTAGCTTAAAAATGTCGGGGGAAATTAGACAATTCACCAATGTTTTGAAATCAAGACCGATCGATTAGTGCGACCAGTAAATCTGCAACCGGTCACCTGCACGATGTGGTTGATGTGTCTGACCGACATTTGTGAATCGACACTAAAGGATATGTCTAATTGTCTATGGTTACTTTCAAGTCTGACTAACTTGGACAATACGGTCGAACGATTACACCAATATGGGAGAGAAGAACGATGGAGAAGAGTAAGGGTAAAGATTATTGTTTGTATTTCAATATGGGTGGCTAACTGGTTATTACAGTTGATAGGGGTGACAATCAGTTTTCTCGGTTACCGTACCGATTACCGTCGGTAATCGGTAAACCGATAACCGAGATGTATCGGTATTCGGCACGGGTTTGAGGAAACTCGGTATACCGACCTCCCTGTCGGTATATACAGACGGTTTCCCGATGTTACCAATAGACCAGCCACCCCAACCTAATTCATGATGAGCCCACCAACTTCCTGGCAAGATGCCTACGGTTAAAAACCACCAACAGGTCAAGATCCAAATTCGAATTGGTTCCTGGTCCTGGTCAGAGACCACTGTGTTCGCGCCGGCGGCCCAACAAAGAGGCGAAGTAGTGGTATCTTTCTTTCCATTACGAACGACACGCTTCGCCCGCTCCCTCCCTGTGTCCCCGACCAAAGGAATTATCCGCACTTCCTTTCAAGGATCTGAACCACTGCAGCAGGAAGTATAAAAACACCTGTCCAGTATATATGCAAACTAGCAAGTACAGACTGAAGCAATACTAGCCTACCAGCAAAAGAGATATGTTTTGAATTCCATGTGGCTAAATTTATCAATGAGACCAAGACAATGACTTTCTCCTTTCTCCAAAAGCCTCGTAATAAGCTTTTCTCCCTTTTGGGAAACCGCATAAACTCGAACATCAGATCCATCATCAACAGAGGTCAGATACTTATCGCGTTCAGATATCGCTTGCTTGTCTTGTTGAGTGATTACGAATTGACGATGGTCTTCGCTTGGGCGAGAAATCGGCTCTTGAGCTTTTGGCTACTGGCGCAGATGATTGCCCCTAAGGCACCGAAGGACCCGGCCTTCGTCTATCACCCTTCTTGATTTACTAGTTAGTAGAGTATTTGCACTTTAGATCTCGTGACTCGACCTGTAGACGGTAATACCGCCACTTTCGGAGACGTGATCTTCTCTTATTCACTTGTGCTGGTACTTGAGGTCGGTGGGTTGGATAATAAGTTGGTTTATTTTAATGATAACGTGATGCTCTTTTTGATGTTTTTAGTGATCTGGATTGTTAACTATGCAAAATCAATCGAAATTTAGATGGTAATGGACGCAATGAACATTTCGTTTAACGTTATAGTTTAGGTGCATGCTATTAACGCATAATAATTAATTCAACAACTGGATAGAATAGAAGAAAGAAATTGGTCTGGTTTGGCTGGATACGTGGTAGCCACCTGTCCTTCCCTTCCTTCTAAACCTGCTCTATGTGATGCTGCGAAGCTCTTCTTTCCCTTATCTTCTGCTCTGCTCTCGATCTTCTTCCTTTCGACGCCATTTCCACAACCAAGTACAAACTTTTAACTTACTGATACCAAATGAACTGGAATTTACTTTGAATGGTCACACAGCTTCTCTCAATCACTTCTCTCGACATATTTTCAGCTGCTAGCTTCGTTTGCTACTCTTCAAATCATCCCGAGCTTCACTTGAAATGGCGGCTCCACTACTCCGCGAGCTGTCTCTGGTTTCCTGTCACCAGTTTCATCCGTCCGTCCCCTCCGTCTCTCCAGCCTCCAGCTTCCTTCTCCCCCATGAGCACAAGCTCCACTCTTTCGGTTCTCCGCCGCTTCAATCCCTTTGCTCTGGTTGGCAACCCAGAGCTAGGGCTCGTGTCAGGAGTCGGAGGAATATGCGCGCAATGGCTTCACTTAGTGGCTTCCTTGGCGGGATTTTCAAAGGAACCGATACCGGGGAATCCACCAGGCAGCAGTACGCTTCGACTGTGGGATTGGTCAATGGGTTGGAGGCCCGGATTTCGTCGCTCTCTGATTCTGAATTGCGCGACAGGACTTCCGCTTTACAGGAGCGTGCTCGGCAGGGCGAGTCGCTAGACTCTCTTTTGCCTGTAAGTGATTCCTTCAATTGACGTCCTTTCCTTTCAGCTCGATCCTTTTTGTTTTCCTGGAAGTTGGTTTGGTCAATTTGGTATCTTCTTGCTTTGGTTTCCTGTCTAGGAAGCGTTTGCACTGGTGAGAGAAGCTTCCAAGAGGGTTTTAGGCCTCCGTCCTTTTGATGTGCAACTCATTGGTAATGCGTGCAGCCAACTTTCGAGGCAGATTATGTTCTGTTCCGTGCCATGAAATCATTGCTTCTCGTCAATGTTCATTTTGTTTGTCCTGGCTAGTGCAGGTGGCATGGTTCTTCACAAGGGGGAAATTGCTGAAATGAAAACGGGAGAAGGGAAGACCCTTGTTGCTATTTTACCAGCGTTTTTGAATGCCTTGAGCGGGAATGGAGTTCATGTTGTTACCGTCAATGACTACTTGGCTCGCAGGGATTGTGAATGGGTTGGTCAAGTTCCTCGTTTTCTTGGACTGAAGGTTGGCCTAATCCAGCGTACGTCCTTCTTTTGTTTCCTTTCCAGTTTCAAGCTTGCTTTGTTTTCTTTTCCTGTAATTTGCAAGGTGGTCGTGCTGACTGCTGCGTGTTCGATTGACAGAGAACATGACTAGTGAACAAAGAAGGGAGAATTATTTGTGTGATATCACTTATGTCACAAACAGCGAGCTGGGTTTTGATTATCTGAGAGATAACCTTGCCACGGAAAGTAATTCTTGCTCATTCTTGTACTCCTGCTTACTTTTCCATTTTCATTTTGCATCATTTGGTTGCATTGCTAGAAGCATAAGCTTAATCATTCCTTACCTTGTTCAATGTATCATGTATGCAGAGTGTTGAAGAGCTGGTCCTCAGAAGATTCAACTATTGTATTATCGATGAAGTTGATTCCATCCTGATTGATGAAGCAAGGACTCCCCTCATCATATCTGGACCCGCTGAAAAACCTAGTGATCGGTACTACAAAGCTGCAAAGATCGCTACAGTATTTGAAAGAGACATTCATTACACTGTGAGATCAATATTTGGTGCTATTGCTTCTTACATTCAGAATTATACCTTGATATTTGGGTACACCAGAACCCTCGGTTTCTTAGCTGACAAACAAAACACTATTTTTATGGTGTCAATGAATTTACAATTTTACGGTTTATAGTCTATGATGTATGGTGCAAATAATGTATTAAGACCTACTAATAGTCTCAGGAGTAATTGCCTATAATTGGTGCTAAGATCGTATGTTATTTTACCATTTTCCCACTCATATGTTGGCGATTCGCATTAGCCAGCCGGATTGCTCAATCTAGTCGAGAAGAAATACCATCTCATTTACCTGTAGATTAGTACCCGTTTCAGTCTGCTACATTATCAATATGTTTCGCATGATTCATTTTGCATTGGACTTTTTAGATGGGTTCTCATTTTCAGGGTTGTTCTTGCAGGTCGATGAGAAACAGAAAAATGTTCTTCTCACTGAACAAGGTTATGAGGATGCTGAAGAGATTTTGGATCTTAAAGATCTGTATGATCCCCGTGAACAATGGGCACTCTATCTATTGAATGCCATAAAAGCAAAAGAGCTGTTTCTTAGGGATGTTAACTATATTGTACGGGGCAAGGAGGTGCTTATAGTGGATGAGTTCACCGGTCGAGTTATGCAGGTGATATCCTTCTCTAAGTGGTGTAATTATTGTGGTTGAACAGAAAGTATGTTGTATGGGAAACTTAATCCACATAGCTCATGTTACAAAGAGTCTAGAATTGTTACCAACTCACGGAACCATAAGTTAGAAGTTACCTAAAGCAGTAGTAGAACAATCATTTGAATCTTGTGTTCTCAATCAGGGTAGAAGATGGAGTGATGGACTTCACCAAGCTGTTGAAGCAAAAGAAGCTTTGCCTATTCAAAATGAGACTATAACGTTGGCGTCAATTAGTTACCAGAACTTTTTCCTTCAGGTCTGAACTTGGTATTTATCCACTGGCTCGTTAGTTCTTATGAAGTTACTGGTAATTTTTTGCTCAAGTTTCTAATGTTTCTTGCCAGTTCCCGAAATTGTGTGGTATGACTGGGACAGCTGCTACTGAAAGCACTGAATTTGAGAGCATATACAAACTCAAAGTGACTATTGTGCCTACAAACAAGTCCATGATAAGAAAGGTTTGTTTGGTTATGCATACAATACGCATGTTAGATTTTTAAGCTAAAAGTGTTTCTCTTTATCTAAATACTTTTTGCTGCTAGATCTGGAACTAAGCCTAAACACTTTATTGTGTGGGCTGTGTTCTCTAGGAAAGTATCAATATTAACCAGTTAATGTTTTCTTCCACACGTTCAACGAGAGTTATTTGTATTATCAGTGGTCTGCCGATTCCCTTATCATCTTGATCACTTTACAGGATGACTCTGATGTCGTATTCAGGGCAACTGTGGGCAAATGGCGAGCTGTTGTTGTAGAGATTTCAAGAATGTATAAGACAGGGAGACCTGTGCTTGTTGGCACAACAAGTGTTGAACAGAGTGATGGATTATCTGGTCAGTTGCAAGAAGCCGGGATTCCTCATGAGGTAAGCCCTTCATTTGATGGAATGAAATTATTGTTTACTCAATTCCCACTTATGTCCATTAGGCACTTCCTACATTAATATATTCCAGGTCTGATTCATAAGACTAGTAAACAAAAAATTGATACTCATAGCACTGACTGACAAATTAAAACTGCAATGCTTAGTTTTGCTGGGGAAATATTCCCAATCAGATATCCATGCTAAACTGATATCAGGACGCTTGACAGCCTCATAAGCAGAATGGTTTTTTTCTGCTAAGGTGTGGACTAATTGTGCAAACATCTCAAGCAATGATTAATTGATGGATGATGTAATTAGCACGTGAATTAGGATTGATGTGCCTTTTTCGGCTCCCCGCATCTTGCAGTTCTATCCTGCTGACTACTTCTTTCATCTTAAAAACTTGTTTCTTTCATCAAGAAGGAAGATACTTTTCTATTTATAATAGTTGCAATTTTTGCCAGAAGATTTTATCTGTAAGAACTCTCATAGCTGTGGCGAGGCTCGCTTGTTCTGAAAATTTAATCAGCAGTTTTTCCTTTGAAGGTTCTCAATGCAAAACCAGAGAATGTTGAGAGAGAGGCTGAAATCGTAGCACAGAGTGGTCGCTTAGGGGCTGTAACGATTGCCACAAATATGGCAGGTCGTGGAACAGATATTATTCTTGGAGGGAATGCAGAATTTATGGCCAGACTGAAACTACGTGAGATTTTAATGCCAAGGTGCTCATTCTTACACCTACAAGTCTGGGCCACTTTTTTTCTCAGATTACTTGACAGTTTGCTGTCTGAAGAATCGAGTCTTATTCCCTACTGATACATTTACTATGAAAATCATATCTACAGGAAAAATCAATTTTCATGGCATTTCCCTTTTAGTTTCCTGCAATGGGTGTAGCATATCATAATCTGGAAATAGTTTATATCTGAAATGATTTCCAACGAGTTTACCTTATTCTATGACCTGAAGGATCCTTAACGTGCAGAGTTGTGAGACCAGATGAAGCTTTTGTCTCAGTGAAGAAAGCTCTCCCTCCAAAGAAGTCATGGAAGGTTTGGTTTCCTGCTGTCAACTGTAGACCGGAACTTGACATGATGAAGTATTAACTGGTAGTTTACGTATTTACTACAGTTTTTGCATGAACATTTCTAGGTGAATGAAAATCTATTCCCCTGCAAACTATCTGACGAGAATACAAAGTTGGCTGAGGAAGCCGTTCAGTTTGCCGTGAAGGCCTGGGGTCAGAGATCATTAAATGAGTTGGAAGCGGAGGAGCGACTGTCTTATTCTTGCGAAAAGGTTTAGTAAATGGATACTCAATAGAGCCTGCTATTGGCTTTGTGGTTATTCAATTCTTAATCATTTGTATCCCTAGGGCCCTGCTCAAGATGAAGTAATAGCAAAGTTGCGCACTGCCTTTCTAGAAATTATGAAAGAATATAAGATATACACCGAGGAAGAAAGGAAGAAGGTACTTTTATCTTAACAGTTATTGTCATCTTGTTTATTAGTGTTAGTTTACTTTCAGCTGATGTTATTCTGACTGCAGGTCATATCAGCAGGTGGGCTACATGTAGTGGGGACAGAGAGGCACGAGTCACGAAGAATCGACAATCAGGTGCAATTCTCAATTCACTCTTCTTTTTGCTGAAATTCTGATGTGGAGGAGCATAAGCAAACGGAGTGTTTGGCTTACTGCGAGTCATGATAGATAATTAATGTACACAAACTAGCCTAATCAACTTTTGTTAGTATCATCCCTATAATGATGGTTTGAAGTTCGAACCTAGTAGTCCATATAAATGTATACAACTCAGAGTGATGATTGTAATTATAATAACAGTCAATTGCATATTTCAATGTATGAGAAGACCAATGTACGATCTCTTGAAAATCGTAGGAATGAAAAAGGGGAGGGCTAACCTGGGTGTCAGGGTCTGGTTTGACGTTGATTGGGACTGAACTTGTAATTTGTATCTGCTCAGCTTCGAGGCCGCAGTGGGCGCCAAGGGGATCCAGGAAGTTCACGCTTCTTCCTTAGCCTGGAGGATAACATCTTCAGAATTTTCGGTGGAGACAGGATCCAGGTTTTCTACTGGCTTCATTTTATTGGACTCATAATGCTACTCCAGGATATGTTTTTGTAGGCGAGCGTAGTTTCTTAATCAACTTCCTTTTCTAGGGCTTGATGAAAGCATTTAGAGTTGAGGATCTACCCATTGAATCTCAAATGCTAACGAAAGCACTGGATGAAGCTCAGAGGAAAGTGGAGAACTATTTCTTTGACATTCGGAAGCAATTGTTCGAGTATGATGAAGTTCTCAACAGCCAGAGAGACCGGGTATACAGCGAGAGAAGACGAGCCCTTGAATCTGACAATCTCCAGTCTCTCATTATTGAGTATGCTGAACTAACAATGGATGATATCTTAGAGGTAACATATGTTGTGGATCCACTTGTGTGTATCAAACAATGCTCTTTCCAGTAGTATTCAGCAGCTTGTGACACTGGGTTTATACAGGCAAATATTGGTACTGATGCACCTACAGAAAGTTGGGATCTTGAAAAGCTGATTGCAAAAGTTCAACAGTAAGTAGCCCTTCATCTTCATGCACAATCGTTGGCATGAATGAAGCCATAGTCTGTTCTAAAGAATTATAAGTCTACATTCATTTTTCACTTGGTGCACGTAAGTTTTATGGTTGACATCCCAGATTCCTATCAAATCTGTCTCTTGTTCTTGTCCATTAGATCTCCTCCACAATTCCAAATTTATTGACAGTGTTTCCTGTCACTTTAGGTATTGCTATCTGTTGAATGATCTCACCCCAGATTTGCTGAGAACCAAGTGTTCGAGTTACGAGGACTTAAGAGACTATTTGAAGCTGCGAGGTCGCGAGGCTTACTTACAGAAAAGGGTTAGTATTATAAGGTTTGGCTGGGGAATATTGCGTTCCTGTGAAAATCGATCCGTTCATGGACTTTTTATACAAAACTCCATTTTCCTTGTGACTTTTGTGTTCTAGGATACCGTGGAGGAACAAGCACCAGGATTGATGAAGGAAGCTGAAAGATTCTTGATTTTGAACAATATAGATAGGTTGTGGAAGGAACACCTGCAATCAATCAAGTTTGTCCAGCAAGCAGTGGGGCTACGTGGGTATGCACAGCGTGATCCACTGATCGAGTATAAACTTGAAGGCTACAACCTCTTCTTGGATATGATGGCTCGGATTAGAAGGAACGTCATATATTCCATATACCAGGTTTATAATCCAAACCTAAACAGATGTCCTTGTTTTGGAAAGCCTAATTCCTTGATTGCTAACACACTTCCTTGCACATTTCGATTTCGGAAAATCGGAACTTTGCAGTTCCAGCCAGTGCTAGTGAAGAAAGATGAGTCGAAAGAGAAACCTACCGAACTGGTGAACAATGGTCGGGGGCGTAATAAGAAAGATCCAGTTGGTGCCACCGATACATCCTCTGCTTGAGGCCAGGCTCCAAAGCTATTGCAGGAGCTTCCTATTCAGGCATCAAGAAGAGTTGTTGCAGCAACCTGTTGTCAGTTGTAACCTGTGTAAAGGCCACCAAAAAATTTCTAATAACATAATAGTATAAGAAACCAAAGAACTTGGATTTTGTTGGAGACCACGGATTCATTGATCCATTAATGGCAGAGTGCAGAATCAGTTGCTCTGTTTCGTTGCTTGATTCCATTGGTGCAGCTCCATGCATTGATTCATAGCATTCCCCTTGCTTAGCCATATGGGATTGCAATCTGAAGCTACTAGCACAGCGTGTTCACCGCAGCAGCTATCAACGATGTCGGTTTAATTATTTTTGGTTAAAGTGACGCATGAAACGATGTCGGTTTAATACGGAGTCTATCACCATGAGTTTTGACATGAAGTAAAATATACCATATCTTACTGACTATAACCTAAAAGCAAGCATTTTCCACATTCTGATGTTAGGTTGTTTAGCCAACCCAAATGGATCTTCGAACACAACTCTAACAAATTACAAGAGGAAGAATGTAGCGAGGACAACATGCATTTCGCAGTAAACCAGAAAGTAGCAATCTCTGACGTGCTTTTTTCCAACATCAAATTCTGAAGCAAAATGCTGCTTACTTTAGAACAACAAAAATGCCAGTTTTAGACAGCTCCAACTGCTAAATAAAAAAGACACTGAAGCAAGCAAGAAGACCGCTTCACAGTAAACATATAGGCCTAGTAACTCCTGCCCCAATAAGTCCACTTCTTCGCCGGCTTACCTGAGGCAAAGCATTTAGTACCTGCACAGGTTTGACAAAAAAACTCAATTATGGAGGGGGCTCAAAAATATGTTTCTTCCCATATCTGGCCTAGTGATAGCAAAGAAAGGACCATTAATGGGAATCCAAAGAGATTGAGGGAGTAGGGCTGATGTGAATAGCATTCATTATCAGTGACATGGAAAGACCCACTGACCTTCAGGGAGTTCTGGCTGCTCGAGTGGAGAACAAAGACTCTTAGCCGCGCCCATTTCGCCCCTTGTCCGCTCTTTAACATCTTTTTCCACTTCCTGCACATAAATACAGCTAGCTTACTTTCCGAATAATGATAAACAGAAACACAAAAGAGAAGAAACCACCTCTCTCACACACACACTCAATGCCATGCAAGCCAATCCTCCATTCAGTCTTATATTATCCTATATTCACAGTCACACATGAGTGAAAAGAAAAACTTCTCTATCATTTGCCTTGTACCTCTTCATCACACCATGGAGCTAATATCATTTTCTTCTGGGCAAGGGCATCTTTGAATTCATCCCAGGTCTTCACAACTTGAACAGAGGCATCTCTCTTAACTTTAGCAGCATCGAACAGGCTCTGCTGAATGTTATCCAGCAAGACCTTAACTTGCTCAACCAGGTTGTCCCTCGTTATATCTTGTTTTGAACCATTGTCACGACGAACACAGCGGACCTACAATCAAACAACATTTGATAAAAAAAAACACTCTGAAAGGCAGGCATATATACATACAACTAACCCCCAGTCCCTCACCTGATTCTTTTCTAGGTCCTTTGGCCCTATCTCAATCCTAAGTGGAACGCCCTTCATTTCCCAGTGAGAGTACTTCCAGCCAGGTGAATAATTATCTCTGAGGTCACCCTCAGCATGGACACCAGCCTCTAACAAGGTCTCAACAGTTGCAGCACAAGCATCAAGAATTCCTTGAGTATCAGCAGTCTTGAAAGGTACAGGAACCACAACAACTTGAACTGACGCAACTTTAGGTGGCAGAACCAATCCTTTGTCATCTCCATGAACCATTACCATCACTCCAATCTACAGACATAAAGCTCTCAAATGTGTTTCAAATACACAACAAACCAACAATTCAGAAGGCGGTTAAATAAATGACACTTTTAGAAATGATGCAAGAATTATCAATTAAGTAGGTACACAGTAAAATTAAGGATAGAAGCCCAACAAAGAGAAACAAAGATTCTATATGATAAAAGAGCACATCATAGTAAGTAAATTCACTAGCAACAAGTGAAAGAGAACATCCAACCAATTATGATAACCACCAAAGAGCTTACCGTCCGAGTACTGTAAGCCCAAGAGTTCTGCCAGACCATACCCTTCTCACCCTTCTCATTTTCAAAGTTTATCTCAAACATTTTTGCAAAGTTCTGTCCTAAGCAATGTGAAGTTGCACCTTGTACACCACGTCCAGTGTTAGGAATAAATGCCTGATACCCAACATTTGAAGAGTTTCAGTAAAATAAATCAATAGGTATTACCAAATATAGGAAACATTGTCTCAGCCAAACAATGACAAGTGGTGTCTATTGTTTACCTCAACACTAGTTGTGTAAAGCCCACCAGCAAACTTCTCCATCTCACTTTTTTTGCCCTTTATGACAGGGATTGCCAGAAATTCTTCATAAATGCGTCTGTATAGCTCCAATACTTGAAGGACCTGAAATAACAAAATCCTAACCAGGTTTCTTCATGTGGAAAGATTAAAATAATCAGGAGAAGCCACAACATATTCAGCTATCGCAAACATAAATGGTGTGACTACATAGATCTCAGCTTCAAACCTAAAATCAACATCTGATATTAACGAATCGAATAGAGCAACATGAAGGAGAAAGCATCGTCTGGAACGTCAAATGGTTAAATATTTGACAGGCAATGACACAATGTAATTCTTTTATAGTAAGAAATTTAAAATTAATGTACACATACCTCTTCATCTGCTTCCTCCTTCGTAGCAAAAGCAGTATGCCCTTCTTGCCAAAGGAATTCACGGCTCCTAAAGTTGAAGGATGTCACTCCGGGCAATGGCACAAAACACCAAAGTGACATAACAATGGATCTAAAGAAACTGATTCAAAAAAGCCCCAGTGTAACACGGAAAATTAGAGCACCTGATAAATGGAGTAGGATTGCTGAACTCCCAGCGAACAACATTGCACCACTGGTTGAGTTTCAGAGGCAGATCACGGTGCCCTCTTATCCACTTGGAGAAGTAGGGATACATCACAGTTTCACTAGTGGGGCGAATGGCGATTGGAATTTCGAGGTCAGATTTCCCAGATTTTGTGACCCATGCGACCTGAGATTTACCACAATATGAAATATAAACCAACATTACAAGTGATAAGAGGTGAGGTGTTCTTCTCCCTAATCTCTTTTTTGTAATAAAACCATTTCTATTCAAATGAAAGAATCATGATAACAAGATGGGGCATGAAATAAACAAAATTGAAGTTCCTCCATCTTTCAAATAGTAGGAACAGATTTACAACTCACCTCAGGAGCAAAGCCCTCAATGTGATCTTTCTCTTTTTCTAAAACACTGGACGATACAAAAAGAGGGAAATAGCAGTTTTTAATTTTCATCTTCTTGATCTCTGCATCAAAGAATACCTACAAGCCAACATAATGGAAGATATCGTCACTTAAAACCAATGTAAACACTGAAGAAATAAAATGATCAACCAACAGAAACAAACACCCATCAGAGAAGCAACTATAAACCAAAAAGCAAGTAACGGGAAAGCTCTCCAACAAGTTAACACTTGATGAAAGAAGAAACAATTGAGCTAGTATCATCTTTAGAAGCGTGTAATCACATCAATAGCCCCGAATTAATCGTCCAGGCTGTTTGAACAAAATAGGCCAGGAATGAAGAGGCCTGGACAATTATCGAGGAAAAAAGTGCAGCCCAGTATCCTGGGAGCATACCCCAAAGAGAACACAAAACAAAGCTTCCAGAAAAGAGCAGTTTGGAGAATGTCCCTTACTTGCATTACTTCCCATATACCCATCGACCATGGCCTCAGAATATAGCAGCCAGAAATATCGTAGTACTCGATCATCTCGCCACGGACAACCACCTATTAGCAGCCAAAAAGAGCATAGATTCAGGCTAAAAAGGATGAAAAATCAGAAACTGCGCCATGGCCTCACTTTAACTGACTAAAACAGATAATTAAGGATAACCAGTAACACGAGGGCTAGTAACTAATCCCTGCTTTTCAATTGAACTGTGAATTGAAAGGACATAGTTCATTCATCTATTTATTCTAGGATATCGTTCAATAGACGGAAAACCCACTTGCACATATATCTGTTTAACACCGTTCACATTTTATACAAGACTTAAATTATCCAAAAGTCGAAGCTCACAAGCATACCTCCGAGTACCACTCTCCGAAATTTGCATCCTTCTTAAAGGACAGCCCTAAACCAGTCTCCTTCTTCACTTCCTTCTTTTTACCACCTGAACATAATAAACAGTTCCTTATATGCCAATTCCACGAGCTACCAATCCCAGAGAGTAAAACAACAAAGAGTTCAAACATGATTGTAGACACTCACCACCCATTTTCCCAAGTTAATTTTGAAGCAGAGTAACTGTGAAATGAAATGCAGAGTCAAGAACAATCAAATTATCACAATATCAAATCTATTTCATCACATATAAGCCACTTGGGAGCTGAAACTGGATTATTCCAAAGCATTCCTCTTAAGAAGATCGACGGGGAAAATACCCGGAACTCGGAAACCAGCCTGCCGTCTCTCACGGATTCTGCTCTCTTCCTCAGACAAAGAACGAAGCAGCCGCCGACCCACCTTCAGTTCTCTTCTTCGCCGCCCTTTTTATTTTTAGACGCAAAAGGCTTAGGCAGCAGAGGTTCCCCTATAAAAGTCTCCTCACGCAGAAGCAGAATATAGGAAGTGCGAGGCCCGGCCCGGCCCGATCCGACCCGACAGTTGGATTCTCGATTTTGGTAATATTTTTCGGTTTATTAATTAATACCAATATAATAGTTAAATCAGTCGGGTGCAATATAATAGCAATGGATTTGATCAAGTATAGTAATTAATGTAATTAAAATCGAGTCTTCGGTCGGACCGATAAAATCGAGACCAGCCCGTCCACTCGATTAGGATCAATGAAAATCCCTAAAAAAAACTCGTACCGTCGACGAGCGAAGTGAACGGTTAACTGTTCAAACCGTTTGAACCGGCTACATAATTCGGCCGCCCCATTCAAATGTCTCACCCACACAATTTTTTTTTTTAAAAAAGACTTCATCTCGTCAAGGACAGGAAAAAGAAAGCCCCAAATCAACGAAACTTGCCTCCATCAAAAAATTTGCTCCAAGTTGATACACTTTCCATTCTCCTTGGTGTATGAAGAATTAAATGCCCCAATTTAATCATCAAAATTCAAAAGTAATAAATTGAGGAGAGCAAAAAATCAAACAAATTAAACTGGAATGAGGGAAATTATTTTTTATTTTTCAGAAGCAAAAAAGATGAATTGGAATAATTCTCAAAAGTAAAAATATTAAATTAAGGAACCAAAAACTTCAAATTATTTTTCGCAAAGAAAAAAAAATATTAAAATATTTTTTTTATTTTACGAATGAAGAAAAATTAAACGAAGTGTGCCTGTCTGGCTGAACCATTGCTAAGAATCAGGGTGGGAAGAAGTGTGTAATGGGATGGCCTGATTATGGAGAAATTTTCTGTGTCAAAAAGGCAGAACCTTGTGACAATGCATAAGTTGATCTGGAAGTAACGTTAACACATGTCGAATCATTATGGCACCACCAAGAAAACCCAAACGACTTCAGTAACATTTTCCATTTGAGACAATCTTTCGACGTTGTCCATGCAAAACGGCTCAAGCAGGGAAGTAGCAAACCATTGCAGTGCTCCCTCGAGTCTACCCTTCTCTTGGAGGTTACAGATTATGCCAGACTTCGGTGTTGGCTTGCTTAGTTCCCTTGGTTAGCTTGGCTCCGGTGGCACGACTTTTAAGCTCCGTATCCATTCGCAGAAACTGGGATCATCAAAGTGCAGAAAGCTGCTTTTCAGCTTTGTCCGCTGTTCCATTGTCAAAGTCTGAAGCTGTGGGAATCTTGCCTCCTACAGTTATACATCATCACAAGGCGCTACATCATCGTCTGGAAGTAATGCAGGTTCCGTCAGCCAAGGGCATGCAGCTCTCGTTTTTTAAAAATTCTTACCTGTTCGTAAGGAGGATCTTTGTGTGCTGGTATCAGTCGCGAGACAAAATATCGTGCCTGGGAGCTCCCTTCCTGTTATTAGCAAGTATAGAAGACACCATCATTTGAACATAACCAAACAATAAAACGTAAGATGTATAGGGATTAGACTGAGTAATCAAAGGTGAGAAAAGCTGATAAATCAAAGAATAAGAACCTTGAAAGCAAGAATCCGAGGAGCTGGAAATCGCGATTCAGTGAGCTCTTCAGCCAACGTTCTGCAAGCTGCTAACGCTGCTGCACTTCTACCTTCGTCCACAGCTAGTTCAGCACCCTGTCCTCAACGATTATGAGGGGGCAAACAAAGTCTTTATTATGGTGGATATGATGTAAATATCAAACAAATAACTGCCTACATACTTCCAGAATCAAGACAGTACCATTCAATCAACGGTTAAATTACAAGGAATAACATGTTACTAAAGCAAACTTTTTCATGAAACCAGCATTACTTAGAGATATGCTATGTTTGTAGCAAGCACATGATAAAATTGGAACCACAGCTTGCATGCTTAACTACACATCAAAAGTTGAAGAACTACTCTTAACTTCAGCATATATCAACATTTTCACAAAGGTCAGTTCCTTACAGTCAAGCAAAGCAGAGCCATGTATGTAGAATTAAGAGATCTCCAAATAATTTGCTTTCCAACAAGCTATTACCATGGCTATCACCTCAGGACAAGACCTAATTATTACTCTGGTGGCTAAAGTGAATAGAAAGGTCACCAGACCACCAAATTATAACAAATGTAAGGCATTTGTAACAGACCAACAGATTGTGAAGCACAAGAAGCTGATGTCATACCAACCAAATGAAGATATCAGTGCCATGATCAAGAACAACAGCTGTGTCAGACTGCATTGCGAGGTCATAGGCTGGCAATTCCTCGAAAGTGCCTCCTTCTCGGTGCATCAGACATCGCGGTGCTACCATACGGAGTGAAAGATCAAATGATGCATTCAGAAACAAGTTCCTCAACACAGAGCGTTCATCCTCATGGCCGACAATGCTTCCCAACAATGGCCCTCTTCTGAGATGAAAAAGGAGCTCAGGCAGCAAGGAGAGTTCCTTGGGGAATCTTCGAAGTTTAGACTTTGGCACTTGAGCACCAAATTTCAGAGCGATATCCTTGATACGCTCATCTATCGATGCCCGCATATCAATTGCATCGGCAGAGTTTTTGGCTCGCAGTAGAGTCCTCTTAGCAATCAGGATGGCAGCCACCTCATCATGTACACACTCAAGATATGCTGAAACACTATCTACAGTAGCTAGTCTAATAGTTATGACCCTCGAAATATCTGCCTGATAAACATTTGAAAATTGTATGACGAACTGGAAATACACACTATCACTCTTGATGTCGCCTTTATTTTCCATTGACAATGCGAAGCACTGAGATTCTTCAACACTTAACATCTGAATAGAGAGAGAAGAATCACTCTTAAATTCACTGCTGTCTTCATATTGTGCCGCTTCCCCAGGACCGACGACTTGCGTAACAATGATATCATCAGAGCATCGAATCTCCAGAAGACCATGAGAGCCTGATGCCCTGGAAGCTGCTCTTTGCAAGTTCACACCAAAGGCTTCACCAAAGTCGTCGTGAAGTACCAGAACACCGCCAGAAGATTTAGCAAGAGGCTGCAGAACTGGAACCCTAACTGGGCAAGTTCCTGCACATAGAATATCAACCACTGTATTGTGTCGTTGAGCTTCACGACCCAGCTGTTCCATCCATTTGAAGGCTGTACTTTCAAGGTGAGCATAGTTTGGGTGCCCAAAGGAATGAGGAACAGATCCAGGACCATAGGTATTTGGCCCACCAGAGCATACAATGATCCTAGTATTACCCCCTGGCCTCTTGAGTACACCCCGAGACATCTCTCCCGATGGCCCCTGAATTATAGATAGAGCTATTTCAACAGCAGCACCCAGGCAGCGTTCCCTTGAAGCTTCTGCAATGTCCAACTTGAATGGTCTCAATGATGAGAATATTCTATGTGCTACTTCTTTTGAAGCATGCATTGGCGACAAATACACACCAGTCCCGTAGATTAATCCTTTCAAGGATTCTGGAGTGGGTGATTTATCTCCTGGAAGCACGTCGGCTGAAGCAAATGATTCCTCTGAAAAATCATAAACAGATACTACACGGCCGTATGTTATGATTCCTATTCTGGATGTAGGAGGAAGAGAATCAACAAATGCATGTAAGGAGCTTTGTAAGTGCTGCAGGTGTGGCTCATCCAAGCAGTCATCAATAACAAGAACGACAGGTGCAGACACTCTAGAATCAGAAACTGGAATGAAACCAGGTCTCTTATTCCCAGGTTGAACATAGTCAACTACTGGAGACGAAAGTTCAGGCAGGTTGCGCAGATCTTCTTTGCTTGGTGCTACATATTCCCTGTCACTTCCATTTAATGACATGCAAATCACACATTGCCACTGACCCGAACCAAGTAATATTTTGCAATACAGATTTGCATAAGCTCCACAGTTTTGGCAGCGATGGGCAACACGTTGTACAATTTGGGGACCTTGTAAAATCTCTCGACCAGGGGAAATCAATGCCCCAAAACCCAAACTTGCTGCATTTGCCAGTTTTTTCTGCTTCAAAACCTGCATGAAGTTGAAGGAGGTAAATGAACGAGGGACTGCTAGAAACAGTTTACAAGCTTTTGATATCAGATAACATGCCAGTTTTATTGAGAAATCAAAATATTTCAAATTCAGCTATGCATATAACTTGATTGATCTGTAGCATTGCAATAACTAGGTAGACAAGTAAAGGGAGAGAGATACCTTAGTTGCCGAGAATAACACACATGGTGATTCCTCAACAGAAGAGTTCTCCTCCATTGCTTGGGGAAGCTGGGGATCCAGCTGGGGTGAGCCATTTGAGAAATTGGGAGGAGATGAAGTTGGCAGCGATGATCCTGATGAGAATGCAACTGGTTGTGGAGTTGATGGGGAAGTCCGGAAAGGCACTGCAGCAGGCCGCACAGGTGAAGTGAACACCGGAGGGCCAGGTGGGGTGCTCAAGTGAGGAATTGGGCTTCCACTTGAAACTGCATTTGCCGGTGACATCAAGGTTGGGGTTTTCACAGAAGGGGAAAGGTGATCATGTTGCAACTTAGGGGGAGGAAATCTGGGAGGTCCAGCTAATACTTGAGGTGAAGAAGTAATATGACTTCTATCAGGTTGAGGGATTGATGCTTCAGGGTTGGAAGGACTAATCGCAACAGAGTACCCTCGGGAAGGTTGCTGTGGACTAGCCATTACAACTTAAATCTCTCTACTTGCAAGCAGCCAGGAAGTTGGAAGAAACCAGCTCAGACGTTCACCCTTTCAAAGTCTTAACAAGAGGACCAAACAGATCAATAAGGAAAAAGGGAGGCTCAACAGTAGCTGCGCAAGGGAAGTTCCACTACAAGCATTTCCAGAATGATTAAGGTGCTCGAGGACTATAAGCCCCCATTAACAGCAGAAGAAACTGGAATTGAGGTCCTAGATATACCAGATTGCAACACTAAAACCCCACAAGGAAAAAATGGATTCGAATGAGACCCCAGTTCAAGAAATCCCCAGCCCACCAAAGAAACCTCCACAAAGCCTCAAACTTTCACCTTCAATCACAGAATTGAGATCACCTACGGCTTCCACTTCTCTGCACAACCGTACCCCACAATCCTTCCTTCGAAGACAGATGAATCTGAGTAATGAATAATTACCGAGAATAAGAATCGGGTCGAACGATCTAGGGTTCTAAAAATGTAAATTAGAAGACGGACTGTATAATTCGCAACCGGCGTACCTGAGAGGGAAGGACGGACCAAGGGGAACACGATGCGAGATGACAAAACCAAGAAAGGAAATGAGCCCTTTTCTCCTCTATTCTGTTTATTTATATAATGCTCAGAGGTTTCTCATACTTCGAGTTTAAAGAGTTAGGCCGTCTTAGAGATGAAGAGTTAAATCACTCTTTCTTGTCTTTCTCGCTGTCTATCCCCCGGCTGGGAACTGGGGGAAGGGGGACAGAGACAGAGAGATGTAACTTTTTTTTTTTCCTAATCCAGTTGCCTTCTTTGGATTTCTTTCTAAAAGGAATTTTTTCCCCCAGAGTATTTGCTTTATTTAGTCTTGATGGATTGTTTGGTTGAGGATTTTTTTTTTTTCTTCATAAATTTGGGTGCATAACTGCATATTACTCAATTAAAATATTAGGTATTTGGTGTGAGAGATTTGTGTTAATATAAGAAGTTAAAAAAAATAATTTCACTATAACATTCTTTTTTGTGTCTGCCCAACAAAAGTGTGTTAAGTATCGGGATTGTGCATGACGGCTGGTTACGGTTTCCTGCCCTTTTCTTGTTATTCGCTAGAAGAGTTGGATATGGATGTCGTGGCTTTGTTCAAGCGGATCCATAAATTATTCGTGACTCAGGATGCAGGGGCTTGGGCGGTCGCGTGCATTTTTACCAGGCTTAGTTTTGCTATAGCTAAGGGAGTGGGGGCTTATATTGTATCTCGGCTACCCACTAATTTTTTGTAGACATTTGTTTGTTGTGATTCCACATTGATAATAATAATAATAATAATAGTATTGAAGTACTACCAAAAAAAAAAATTAATAATATTTTAAAAAAACTATTGCTCCAATCCCTAACAACTCCATTTCTTCCCTGCCATTACTAGTTGCCTCATGTCGCTTCTCTGTTTCATCTAGTTGGATAAGAAGGTTGAGATTCACGAAGAATCATTTGATTTTTGTCTACACAACCACTCCTAGAATCGTCGATGCCATAAGTTAGACTTCAATCCTCTTACCAACTCAAACCTGCCTCCCTCACTAATCGTCGCCTGACAATGGGCGGATGAGGAGAGGAAGAGGTGGCAGAGGCATCATCGAAGTTGTATTGCTTGTATATGAGTGCGGGGAAGGCGAAGGAAAAGGATTGATGGGACTGGTTGAGGGAATGGGAGGAGAGAAAGGATTGGAGGGAGGAGCAGGTAGCGGAAATTTGGGAGACAGTGGAGGAGGCAAGGATGGCGGGGGCTAAGTATTGGGAATTGGAGATATAATCGAATGGTCTTCAAAGAAAACAGGAACAACAACGCCTTTTGCCGAGGGAAATTGTTGGGTTTCATGGCAGCTCGATCGCCCATCATTAGAGGATCAAGGCAACTATACTTCGCTCTCTCAGGTTAACTCTCCACCGTCGTTCTTCATTGTTGATGAACATAGGTACCTAGAATGTTTGTTTGTTGGGATGTTTGTCATGCATGGTGGTTGTTGTCACGTCAACATTGCTTGTGGACCCTAAGTAAAACAATTTATGAAGCAAAGACAACCTCACTCTAGGTGTCCATTACTTCTTCATGTCACCTTGGCCACCCCCTGGGGTCAATCACCACAACCACCTCACCCCAGGGTCGCTCCGGCCACACCTAGGGTCACCTCGGCTAATCCAGAGTCACTTCCATCATCGTCGGTCTCATCAGCCATCTCGAGATCACTTCAGCCACCCCCTAGGTCCATAACCCCATGTCATCTTGTCACCCCGGGGCCACTACGCCTACCCCTAAGCCCGGGGTCAATCACCTCAGCATCCCAAGGTCACATCCGGTCACCCCAAGATTACTCCACCCACTCTTTGGGTCGGGCACCCTAGGTCACCTTGGCCACTCTAGCCACCCTTGAGTAGCTCAGACCACCACCAGGGTCGGTAACCCCAGGTCACCCGAAACCCTTGGCCACTTACTCCCATGATGTGTATTTTCCTTATCCCCGAACTCCCAAAGGAAGACATGTACCCCTTTATGATTGTTTGATGACCATTGGAAAAGGCCACCTTTGTATCCAAGTGAAGATAAGCAAATATCCTAATGTCTAGACTCGTAAACTCTCGTTATGATTAGTGAAGATATTCACTTTCAACTCCCTTCCTCATGTTTCTTTTCAATGTCATATTCCTCTTTTTTGGGGAAGGTAAAAGTTCGCCAGAGAAATTCATGGAGGATGAGACAACAAGAAGTGGGGAGGAGGTGGAAGGCAACACTGGTATTCCCTTTTCCAGGTCTAAACCCAGAAAGTGTCGAGGGTTGATGATTCATCGAGATTCATCAATTCCTCGTTGGTGGAGGAGGAATAAGTTTGTGGGTGCCGACTTGTGGCGGTTGACACGGAAGAAGAAGAAGAAGAAGAAGAAGAAGAAGAAGAAGAAGAAGAAATGATTATGTGTTTGAGCCATCGTTGGAAAAATCACATTGTCGCTCGAGGAATGAAACTGTCAAGAGATCGTGAGTTTTGAAAGAAGGAGAAGAAAAAGGAAGAAGATTGGAGGTGGGGTAAATGAAATAAGAATGAGAAATTTGGAAATATCTTATGAGGATTAACTCTTTCAAACTCCCACAATTGAGGATTTTTTAAATCTTGATTATGAAATCTCTCATCTTACCAAACACATAATTGTACCGGAATTTGACAGAACGAGGGATTGTGTCGAAATCAATCTTCCCGATTTTCCATCCAAATGAACCCTTAGAAAACAATTCATTTTTTTTATAATCAACCTGCTTCATTCACTAAAAAGCCATTAGGAGAGGCCTAAAACCCAGTTACACAATCCATTTTAAAGAGGCTAAGTAGGTAAAACCAAATTCTTTTGCGATATCTCGAAATATGATGACAAGTATGTTGTCAACTCAAACTCGAAGGATGGTGACGTAGTGATGAAGAAAGAGGACGATGTGATTGCTGACGAAGATTATGATCCGAAGTGCCTTCTTGCTCTGTTAACATCATCGAAAAATATTGGATCTCTACGTGAATGATGTTAAGCTTTGGTTGTGAAGAGACTAGGTCGGAACATTCCGTATAGTCACCCACCTCATTAATTGATCTCATTGTGAGCACAAAAAAGAGGGTTGTAGATTTGTGATATTAAGAATGATAGTTTTTTTTGTTTCAAGAGCAAACTTGTTTATGAAACCGACCGGTACCACCCTCAAGACTAACTGAACTAAAAAGAATGTCGATTGGGGTGCTTAGTTGAACGCGACTATCCACAATATAATAAAAAAAAATTGTAACATTCCTTCCTTGGATAACCGAATTTCACAATGGTATCGATGATGGGTTGTTGTCCGTAATACTAATTCAGCTTTGAGTAATTGACTAATTCGACTCGATTAACCGAAATCGAACGGAATTCCAACCTTATACCGCATTGCAACTAGGGGTGTCAGTTCGGGTCGGGTTCGGTTACCCAAACCGAAACCCGAAAACTCGAAACCGGAAATCACTAAAACCGAACCCAAATCCGATAAGGACTTGTGGGTTCCGGTTACCCAAAACTGGAAAATTCCTTATCGGGTTCGGTTAAAGCAAAACCGAAACCCGAAAACCCGAACACCTTAAAATGCGGGCTGAGTTCTATTCATTGGAGGTTTTAGCTGGAACCCAAAAAACGATAAGCAAAACCGAACCCGAAACCGAAAAACCCAAAATCCAAAACGAACCCGAAAAACCGAAAATGTATATAATCGGATCGGTTTCGGGTAAACCCAAAAAACCGAACCCGAATGAACACCCTAAATGCAACCAAAGTGGTGTACAATTTTATCTTTTTTATGAAACCGACCGGTACCACCCTCAAGACTAACTGAACTAAAAAGAATGTCGATTGGGGTGCTTAGTTGAACGCGACTATCCACAATATAATAAAAAAAAACTGTAACATTCCTTCCTTGGATAACCGAATTTCACAATGGTATCGATGATGGGTTGTTGTCCGTAATACTAATTCAGCTTTGAGTAATTGACTAATTCGACTCGATTAACCGAAATCGAACGGAATTCCAACCTTATACCGCATTGCAACTAGGGGTGTCAGTTCGGGTCGGGTTCGGTTACCCAAACCGAAACCCGAAAACTCGAAACCGGAAATCACTAAAACCGAACCCAAATCCGATAAGGACTTGTGGGTTCCGGTTACCCAAAACTGGAAAATTCCTTATCGGGTTCGGTTAAAGCAAAACCGAAACCCGAAAACCCGAACACCTTAAAATGCAGGCTGAGTTCTATTCATTGGAGGTTTTAGCTGGAACCCAAAAAACCGATAAGCAAAACCGAACCCGAAACCGAAAAACCCAAAATCCAAAACGAACCCGAAAAACCGAAAATGTATATAATCGGATCGGTTTCGGGTAAACCAAAAAACCGAACCCGAATGAACACCCTAAATGCAACCAAAGTGGTGTACAATTTTATCTTTTTTAATAGTGCAGTGCGCATTTTCCTTCTCCTCCCTGTGGCCTTCTCTTGTCTCCATCCTCGCCGCAGAGCTCACTAGCCGAACACCGCTATCCCCCATCCGAAACCCTAGAGTTCAGTATTACTTGTCCCATTTCCATAGTTTCTGCTCTGCTCTCGAATCGCGCCGTCCATGGAAACCGTAGAAGACCATGGCAACGGCGAGCTCAATCACCTCACCAAGAAGCCGCGTCTCACTCGTTTCATAACCGAATCCGCGATTGCCGACGAGTTCGCTCACCACCAGCCAGGCGTAGCCCGAATCAACAACGGGAGTTTCGGGAGCTGCCCCGGATCAGTGCTCTCTTCGCAGCGGGAGTGGCAGCTCAAGTTCCTCCGGCAGCCAGACGATTTCTACTTCAACGGACTCCGCAAAGGCATCCTTCGCTCCCGCACTCTCGTCAAGGACCTCGTCGGTGCCGATGACGTCGAAGAGGTCTCCCTCATCGATAACGCCACCACTGGCGCTGCCATCGTCCTCCAGCAAATCGGGCGCGCCTTCGCTGAAGGCAGGTTCGATCGGAACGACGCGGTGCTGATGTTCCACTGCGCTTTCCAAGCGGTGAAGAAGTCCATGGAAGCTTACGTCCGGCGGGCGGGGGGTTCTGTAATCGAGGTGCGCTTGCCGTTTCCGATTCGTTGCGATGAGGAGATAATTACGGAGTTCAGGAAGGGATTAGAGAAAGCTAAATCCAATGGTAGGAAAGTTAGGTTAGCGATTATCGATCATATCACGTCGATGCCATCTGTTGTCACTCCTGTGAAAGAACTTGTTAGGATTTGTAGGGAAGAAGGAGTTGACCAAGTTTTCGTCGATGCAGCTCATGCTATCGGCAGTGTTGAAGTGAATGTGCAGGAGATTGGGGCTGATTTCTACGTGAGCAATTTGCACAAATGGTTTTTCTGTCCCCCATCTGTTGCATTTTTGTACTGTAAGAAGTCAGGGTCGTCTTTGGATGCTCACCACCCTGTTGTTTCGCATGAGTATGGTAATGGACTGCCGACAGAGAGTTCCTGGATTGGGACGAGGGATTATAGTTCGCAGCTGGCTGTACCTACAGCATTTGAGTTTGTTAATTCCTTCGAGGGAGGAATTAGAGGGATAATGAAGAGGAATCATGATGAGGTTGTTAAGATGGGAGAAATGTTGGCTGAATCGTGGGGGACCAACCTCGGTGCTCCACCGGAGATGTGTGCATCCATGGTGATGGTAGGCTTGCCTTCGAGATTGTATGTCACCAGTGATGATGATGCTTTGCGGTTAAGGTCACATTTACGAGCTTATTATGGGGTCGAGGTCCCAATACACTATCAAGGTCCAAGAGACGGTGAAGATGGTGTGAAGGATGAGTACGGGATTGTAACAGCCTATGTGAGGATTTCCCATCAAGTTTACAACACATTAGATGACTATTGCAAGCTTAGAGATGCTATAAATCAGATTGTTGACAACAAGAAAACCTGCAAAACTCTTCTGATAGAATGAACAGGTATTCATGCAGACAATTTGTTTTTCAGATATGAGTTCACTAAGGAAAATCTTGCAAATTCTGTCTCCTTTATAAATTTAGCTATGGTATCTGATAATAAGAGCATTACTATCTCAAGTTACTGTAGTGCTAAAATAGTTCCTTTTGAAAAGAAGTCTTGGAAGAATCTTCTTTATTTCTTGCCAAAGAATAGCACAACCATTAAGGCATAAAGTAGAAAATTGAGTACTTTGATTCTCGGATTTGAGTGAACTTTGGTTTAACCAGAAATTATTGGAGTCTCTTAATTGTTTCTCGATAATGTTCTAGGAGCAGTTCTTTCCAACTGTGCTTTGTACCCGAACTTTGCACTGGAGTTGGGATTTGTTTTTTTTTCTTTTTCTTTCCGTACTGGATTCCACTTTCAATCGCATGTATCATGTGTGTGTGCCTAGCTTTCCCCATGAGGAGTATCGTTTGAACTCGTCATGAGTCATGACAATGCTGAGTTGATCAGATATGTATGTGGTTTGTGGCACTATCTGCTACATTCTTACACCCTCCATTCGATTATTTTTGTCTGCTAACTCCGGATAATCCAGGCAATTGAAACGACTTTCAGAACATTTTTAATTAATCTGACCCAGCTTGTATTATTATTTTATCAACCTCTTCTTTGAAGGTGGCTTTGTAGGTTCATAGTAGTTTGGGTTGGTTAACAGTGCCTTTAACGTGTTGACACATTTTGAAAAGAAAATTATTTTACTTTGGCTGTTTTTTATCTTCTCCAGAGCTTTAACTTTGGAACAATATAGAGCGTGGATAAAAACAAGCTTTTTCTCGTAGATGAATGGCGGCCTTAAGGTTTAGACTTAAGATGGATGGGATTTCTTGATGAACATGCTTTTGCGGATTACAGTTTGGATGTAGCAAGCATCAAAATAGAGTGGGTGAGGATCATATCATGCTGAACGTTAGTCAGGCATGGCGGTTCCTGTTCTGTTTGACAATGATGAACTAATTGCTTAAGCTAAAGGGTTGCATTTAGTTGGAGTTTAGGAGAACATTCAGCATTGAAGACGTGTATCTGATTAATTGATTGTCACGCTAGTTGCTTAGTTGTACTACTTCTATCCTGAAGCTGAGATCCTAGAGTCAGAGGTGCTGATGGTTTTGTTCCTTATCGGTATCTGAATCTGTACTTATCAGACTTGATGTAAGCTCCTACTTCAAGGACTTCAACTATATCATCATCTTATTCATAAGCATGCTGCTCTATGTCATTCTCCTTTTAGCGGCAGAAATTGATCAGCGGCGCTTGTCTCTGCAGTTTATTTCTTTTGCGCCTTTCCTCATGCGGTCAAGTTCAACTGAGTCTTTATCTTCTTCCTTTTTTGCAACGTTGCGAGTGTATCTTCTGTATCAGATTTACCTAATTCTCTTATTTCTTTCTCGGTCAGATCATTGGAACCATCGGAGCAGCTTTTGCAGAGTAACTTTAGAATGACATTTGGGAAACCGAACAGCAATCTTGGTGATTGTTGCTGATTACAGTATTCAAACGACTGGATTTTTTTCTGGACAACCACTTGACAGCAAATAAGGAAAGGAATAATACTTCCATGCCCTAGAAGAGAGCAGGAAATGAGGCCGAAACTTGACCAGCTACCCCGAGGGCATTGCTGAATCCGCGGCAGCATGTTGTTCTGTCCCTTGCCCATGCTTGTAGGAATGAAAGCTCGCTCATATCAGGCATCACTTGGTTCCGTACTATGCTTTTATCTTCACTGTATGGAGACGATTTTGGTACTTGACATCAGTCCTAGAATGTAGCAGACTCGAGAATTCAGTTACATTCTTCTCTTGTTCTTTCGTTTTCAACTTTTTGGAAGCAATGGAGATAAGAAGACTATGCAAACAGTAAGTTAAAACTTTTCTATCCTATTTCACTCTTGTTGGAAGACCGGGGGAAATGAATCATATAGGACGTAGTTGTTTCTTGTTTGGCTACTGGCATCTGATCACCAGTTTGTTTTTCTGTTTGGTCTTGAATGGTATCTGAGCAATTGTTGGAGGGGTATGGAATGACGATTCTAGATTGAATAATTGACTCGGAATCTCCATATGTGGTGAATCTAAATCGAGTCGAACCTTACGTTCCAACATCAGGTAACTGATCTCTGACTGCATGGTTGGGAATTAGAGGGTGGAATGCACCATTTCCCGACCTGCAATTTGATATGGCATCACCATATTCTGTCTGCAGAGGATGTTCAGTTCAATGAGTTGTTTTGTCATGGAGGTCAGGGATCCAAGCTGCCATGTGGACATTGAACGAAACAAACAGGAACCATCACCTTGGGATTCAGTTTCCAGAAGATTGGGATCCATCTGCAGATCCCAATCTTCTTCTTTACCAATGAAACAAACAGGAAACAGTTTTGCAGTTCATACATGTATACAGCACAAGATAAAACAAACGCAATCAGCACAAGAGTGTGACTGATATATACAAATTACAAACGACTGAGAGACAGCTGAAGGAGCAACCAGAGTCCAAGCTCAAACAGACCCTGCCATGGCCGGTGGACAGCCGGTTCCTTCGCCCAAAAGATTGGCAACAATGGCGTCCACATCTTCCAATCCTACGCCGATGCAGAGAAGCTTCTCAGCAATACCATCCAGCTCTTGGAAGCCATCGGCACTGCAACTCGACGATACCCTAACGTTAGGGGCGTTCTTGCATTTCCCCAGACACTTGCAGGTTGCAACGGTAGCTTCCCCTCCCACCTTCCTTTGAAATTGATCCATCAGTTCCAGAGCTCCCTGTTTCTTGCATTTGCCTCCCACACAAACCTCAATCTTCCTGCTCAACGCTCCCACAGTGTTAGCAAAGGTCGCGAAAACATCACCATTACGCTCTTCTCGTTCTTCTTGGAGAACTCCAATAGGCTGAATTGTTCCAATGTCTTGTATAATTGCAGAGTTGGACTTCTTGCGCTGTGATTTCATCATCATTACCTTCTCGTCTTCACAATCACTGTCGCTCGACTCCGATGAGCTGGAGTCGGATGATTCAGATTCGCAGCAGTCTTTCGGCTTCATTATAGCTCTCTCCAGCTCTTTCTCTTCATCGCTCTTCCTCTTCCTCTCCATCTCCGCCGATCTCAAACCCTCGAGCTCCGCCAGCAAAACCTTCTGCGCTTCCTGCGCTCCATCACAACAAGTAATTTACAGATCACAAAACGAAAGACAAAGCGAATTTTCAAATACTCTAATTCACAAACCCTCACCATGATTGCCATCCCTCCGTCCTCTTTCCCGGAAGCGTACATCTGCAGGTCTTCAGACAGTCTCTTCAACAGCTTCAACTTCTTCTTGTTGTCCTTCTCTTTCTCCTTCACCTTCTCCTTCCCCTTCCCACCGCCGCATCTCACCGGCGATGCGTAGTACTTCGTATGCTGAGAATCCGTGAAGCCGCCGCGGAGAACGCTGCCGAGCCTCCACTGCCTTGTCCCGAAGCGAACCCGGCGATTCGGAACGCCCCGACCGTCGGCCAGCGATTCCAGATCGACGGCTGTCGCGGCGGCAAAGCGGGGAGCGATACTTCGAGCCGTCGCCATGGAGAGAGAAAATTGGAATTTAAGATTGGACGGTGGTTTAGGTTCAGAAGGGAATGGTTTGCCTTGGATTGTCCGATTCGATTTCTGCAATTCTCATTCTCAGGGAAAACGGAGGAGACAGGAAAGGGGGATAGGAGGACACGTGGAAGTTCGTGGGTCGGCGATAATTACTGCATGATTATGTGGACGGCGGAGATTCAGAGCTAGTGTCCCGCGCGTGGGTTAGTTTTTATGACTCAGCTGGAGGAATAATGGGCACGGGCTGTCGCTTCATTTAAACCGTAGGATTTATGGTGCACGAGATGGACGGGTTAAGATCATGCCAGCTAAGCTCTCTTCAAATCCTATGTGGCGAATTGTCAAAAAGAAAAATCCTAGGTGGTGAATCGGTTGGACTCTCTTGGGAGAATTTGGCAACGCTGCTGACTGGGTTTTGTGGCAGCAGCTACAGATTTTTTATTTTTAAAGTTCCAATATTTTTTTTTTACAAACCTTTTAAACAGACTGTTTTTTTTGCATCTAGTCATTATGATATTTTTTTTATCATAGAAATTTAAAATTTCCTGAAATAATATTAGTGGGTTAAACTCCTAAAGGCTCGTGATCGAACAAATTTAACATAAATATGGGTGGTTTACCGACCCATTTTTTCTGGACCTCTCAATCACAAATGACTTGGGCCATAGCATGAGTGGCCACATTTCCTTCTCGGCACCCGAAATTCCATTTGATCAACCCGATCCCGTTCACCATTTCTTGAATTTCCTTCACTCGAACACTAGTCTCTTGCCTTGATTCTGCCATCTTCTGGAGTTTGAGAATGACAATCTTGCGGTCTGACTCAAGAACGGTAGGATCCAGCCTCACCTCCTCCACCATTTTCAGGCCGACTTTCAGCACCCGGAGTTCTGCTAATTTTGGCGACCATGAGTTTCGCTCTCGACGGACCGACACCGTCAAGAAAAGATCCCTTTGTGTTCGGGCAACATATTACATGTAATGTTATTAGGCTTTTGAATGCTATGATGCCATGAAAAATAGAAGTTAGGGGAAGAATTCATACCAACAAATTTGGATAGAGCTAAAGACTATGATTATGGAGTTTATTGGAGTTTCTCATCCAAGCAATGAGGAAATTTGATTTTCCCGAAAAATGGATTGAGCATATTTACATGTGTATCTTCTTAACTCGTTGAAACTACACTTTTGGCAATGCTAAGTGAAACAATGACATGATCGCAATACAGTGGCATAAGTAATAGAATATTGAATCCACGGGCCTCAAGATTTACTATTACTCAGCTTCAGTTTATTATTTAGAAACTAAGATTAAGATAAACTAGCTACAACTACACCAACAAACTAGAGTTAAGGTTAATCTAATTACAGGTTGAGAACTCACTCAAATATTGATTCCCCCTAGCCACTAGTCAAAGTAATGATTGATTATTCTCTAACTTGTTTCATTCTTCATTCACAATGCAATCATTGACTAAGCCTTGAATCTCGATTAAAGCAATTCAGGCCCTCTTGAGTGGGTTGCTTAGAGGGACGTATCCTTCTCTAACACAATCGAAGATGTTTTACACTAGATCCTTCTATTGGGTGAGGTTCTCACTCGATACAAAGCTTTGAATCAACTCACTCTCGCAAAATAGATCCTGCACTTCCAATCCATGGTGCTCTATTAACCTCATGAGGTTTCCCTCTCATAGAATCAAAACATAGTCAATAATCTCGATTAAAGTAAAATTGAACATGGATCATGTATATATAGAATATAAACTCAAGATTAACAAGAATGAGTACTCATACAGTCATCCAATCAAACAAAACATGGCTATGGTTTCTCAAAATCTAAATGAAGGGAAGTTACTTCATAGAAAAGAGAGAATGCATGAATATGATCTAGATCTTCGATCTCCATCTCCAAACTTGATTCACAAGCTCCAATGGAGAAGAAATCCTTCAAATCAGTCCCTAGAATGTTCCCAAGTCACTCTTTCCCTCGGGTTCGTCCCTTGGGTGCTTGGGTTTCAAAAATCCATCTCCCTTTATGAAAACCCACATATGCAATACATAGCAGCAACTAGAAAAATCACCCCAGAATGCACGCCTGTGCTTTTGGTTTTCTAGCCCATGCTTTTCCCAAAATGCACCATTTCCATTTCATTCTTCATGAAAAGCATGGGTGAGCCCTTGGAAAGCACGACCGTGCTTTTGGAAGCTGATTCTCGTGCTTTCGGCCCAGATCTCTTATCTCAAAGCACAACCTTTAAATGGTAAAGCAAGAATGTGATTTTGTGATGCTTTGATAGTACATTCCGTCCAAATACACGATTTGTCATGCCAATGCTCATGGAAGGTCTGGTCGTGCTTTTCTTCCCTTTGGCACTCCTTAGTTGCGAATGACCTCCAAATGACCCGAAACTTGCACCTAAGCTTTCCTTCACTTGCTAGAGCCTGATATATGTCAAATGAACACAACCTATCACAGGCAAATGAGAAGCATGTTATCAAGACAAACATGTCAAAAAAAAAAATAAAGAGATGAGTGGCAAAACATGTATAAATGAGCTCATATAACTCCTCTATCATCTACTCTATTCTACTGAATGGACACAAGTCGAAATTTCAAAAAATCTCGAGGATCCCCACAATATGACCATTTCTCATCTTATCTATTTATACTTTGTCTTGAAGGCATAATATATTTGATAAATAAGGATGAAATGGAAGGTAAATTTCATGAAATTCAAGTATGTGGGGGCGCCCCAGTAATATCACATCTCTTCTCTGCAGATGATTGTGTGATATTCAGAAGGACTACACCCCAAGAGAGCAACAACCTCAAGGATATCCTAAAGATATACGAGCAAGAATCAACCCAAAAGATTAATTTATATAGGTCTAAAAGATATTTAGCAAAAGATACACCTCCCTCCCACGAGAATAAAGGAAGGAGGGCTTGATTTTTGTGATTTGAGAGTTCTTAAGAAAGCCCTTTTGGCAAAACAACTCTGGAGGATCATTCGGAATCCTTATTTTTTTATGGCTGAGATTTTAAAGGAAAATTACTTCCACCCTTCTTCTATTTTGCAGGTTGGAACACACTTAAACTGGAGTGTTGTCTAGAAGCTTGTTGCGAGCTAGAGAGCTTCTCTTAGAGGGTATGAGATGGATAGTTGGCTACAGATAGATATCAGAATATTGAACAAGAAATGGATACTTAACGAGACAAACCACCCCATATATTAAGTTAAACATAATCAACACATATGTGGTTGTGGACTCACTTTATATATGAGTCTATATGACTTGCAGCATAGTATAGATTCGTGTTTGAGAAGATAAAAAATAGCAATGAACAAAACATGGACTACTAATCATACAAAATTGAGATTGGGGATGCATATGAGTGTAATGCAATCCGCTCTCACTTGAAGGAGAACTCGATAAAAGGGTACTTACTACTGACGCTAAGAAATAGACAGATGGAGAACAGATAAATTAACGGAAAGAGTTCTTTTGTCATTTTTGCATAATTCAGTGACCAAAAATGTCATTTAATCATTGAAAATGTACAATGCTTAAAAAAGAAAAGTCTAAAACAAGGGACATATTCAAAATTTGAAACTCGGCGACTGGAGGCGCTCCAACGGTCCACTAAACCTATTAGGGTTTCCGCTTCCCTGTGGCGGCCCACACTATATATACTTCACCCACACAAAATGAATCCCTCCATTCCCCATTTCCTCCATCTTTGCCGTTTACTTCAGTTGCAGAAAGGATAAGCACAAACCGCCCCCCGCTGCGATGGAAGGTTTCGATTTCCACAGCCTTGCAAGGAAGGACCTCCAAGCTCTGTGCAAGCAGAACAAGATCCCTGCCAACCTCACCAATGTCGCCATGGCCGACTCTCTGCAATCTCTCCAACAGGTAATGCTCTCTCTTCTTCCTGCTCTCTCGTATTCCTTTTGAATCGTTTGATGTTGACCTCGACTTCAGATCTCGCAAAATGCTTGTACGATTGAACCTGAGTTTCTACTGTTGCTTCATTCCTGGATTTCGTGTTTCATTTTTGTGCTTCGGTTGATCGGATCTTCGTTTTGCCTTCGGTCCTTCCTTGCTCAGTATTCAGTACTAGTGAAATCTTTGTTCTGCTCTCGTAGGATTTTTAGGGATTTCTTTTCGTTCCTTAGATCTCAGATTCACTTCGATTCAGTTTTGGCAATCTGGAAAAAGACGAATGTCGGAAAACCTAATTCTGTCACAATCATGGCCTTCGATCAATTTAATTAACCGCTTCACGTTTTGGTGAAAACTGTTCTCCTTTTCTGTAAGGTGGAGGGACTCGATGAATTAATCGAAGCACTGAAGTCTGATCCTCATCGTTCCCCGGGGAAAACTGTCCCCGGAACGCCTGTGGTTCCGCCGTCCGGCCGCCGAAGTACAGTTAGAAGTAAGCCTGCTATAGTTGAGCCAGTGACTCGTACTCGGCGCACTACAAGGAAAACTGCTGCTCCTGGTGCAGTTGCTGAAACTCCGGTGACGGCAGTAAGCAGGAGGAAGGTGCCCGTCCCTGAAGCTAGCAAGTTTAGTTTGGAAGGCGAGGGAGTTGGTGTTGTGGAGAAGACTAAGGCTGCCTCAGTAGCAAAATCTGTCCAGAGTGGTTCATCGTCTGTGGCCACTTCTATCCACAAAGATGAAAAATCTTTCCAGAATGTGTACAGCAGCAGACGATCAGTAAGGTTGTTGGAGAAGAGCATGGCAAAAATTTGTTTGAATGAAGGCGACGCCGCTGGTGAGTGGTGTTCTTTGCTTTATGTTAGCATTGCTTCATTCTTACTGGTCTCTAAATTTGGCGCTCCTGACTGTGTTGATGGTAATGCTATGCAGGAGATGATTCATCGATTGCACCAAAGGAGGAAACCCATGTCTCTTGTGGAAACTTGGACTCTTTATTGGAGAATGAATCTGAAATCCAAGAAGGAGTTTCTGCAGATCATGCGAACATTAGCTCGGAGTCTGTTAAAAGTGATGACATGAGTGTAGTTCCAAGCTTAGGTTCTCAAGAGGAGAATGTTGATATGAATTCGGATGTAGTTGAGCCTCTTCCCAAAGCTGACTGCCACAATGGAAATGAAGCATCTAGTAATGTGAACAAGAACGAATCCATTGATGAGACTGGTAAGCAGCTAGATCCCTGCCCTGTTTGTTTCTCTTTCCTTTCCTTTCCTTTCCTTTCTTAAACGTTGTCTGTTAATTTACTAAAATTTTGGAAAATGGTTTAATTGGGCAGTATCCCAAGAGGATGTGGAGAAAACTGTCTCCAGTCTGTCGGAGAATGAAACTGGAATGAACTGTGATCTTCAAGCAGATGAGGGAAACAAAGATGAAGTGGAGGAGAAACAGTGCATTGACCCTGTTGTATGTGATAATGTTCAAGATCATGAAGCGGATCATCTTCAAGTTAACACCCAAGAGGAGGCAGTTGATCTAAACAATGAATCCCTAAAGGAGAGTGGTAAGTGCTACCCATTTTTTTCCCAGTCATTTCGTGTGATTGGCTTTCTATTCCCCTTTCATTTTCTCAAGTTAAAAGGCTTATTCGTTGACATGACAGAACCAGATGACATTCCAATGGAACTCAGCAATCCAGATGCTCCTTCCATTGGCAACCGTTCACCGGACACAGAAACTAAAATGGACGCTGAAGTTCAATTGAATGGCAGGCAAATAGCAGCAAGCGCAGAAAACATGCCTGGAAGTCCCAATCTATCAGACTGGTCAGGTGGAAGCTTTGATGAGTGGTTAGCTAAGGAACAACAAAAGAACATTGATGAAGCTGGTATGTCTGTCTGGTCTCTTCTTAACACTGTTAATATTTAAGTTCTACGCACAAACAAATACTGCTTTCAAATCTCCCTGTAGTCGTCGCAATGTAGATAATAAAACCATTTGCAGGACCAGCAGCAGTCTCAACTCCAAGACCTGCTCTGAAATCAATCGTTGTAATGGGATCAAACAGCCACCATGTTTCTTCCGCTGCTCTACAAGTGTCTGAAGACACCACTTCTCCTGCAGTCGCTGAAACAAAGCATATTATGCACACTGATGACGACTCGGAGGACCATGATGGGATGAAACTAGATGGAATTCAAGGAGATGTTGTAGTCGATTCAGAAGAATTCGTCACCATCACCCAACCAGCTGCAGCGGATGCTTCCTTGATTTCGGGCAACATGAAGCTCTCGTCACCTTTCGCAGCTGACGCACTTCGGGGCCAGTTTCCCAGACCCTCGTTGTCGGCCAATAAACAGCAGGCAATCCAGAAGAGTAGGGCCGACATTGCATCGGAAATCAACAAGGAGAACGTTGACAACTGGGAGATCATGGGGAAGGAGGAGACTGGAAAAGATGAAGCGACGATGACGACGAAGAAAGAGGGTTCCAAAGAGTTGGAGGAGCTGAGTATGAGGCAACTGGAAAAGATGCTGAAGGAAAAGCTGCAGCTTGCTAACAAAAAGACTGAAAAGGTTGAGCACTATATATATACGTATTACATATCAGAACATTGTAGTAATTGCCAAATATTCAGCAGAAACTCTCTCATTCATCAGTGACTAAGTGTAACTTTCCTTTTTTTTTTTTTTTTTTTTTGCAGGTGGAGGAGAAGAGGCAGGCAATGCAGAGGTTACCAGAGAATCGTATGCCGGTTGGCGAAACTGATAGGAAGAACTAGAGATCTTCAAGACCAATTCGTCGAGTTTGAAATGGAAAATTTCATTCTCCACTTCGTTGATGTTCAAGACAAGACAAACCTTCTTGGTTTGCTTCCTTTTTTTTTCCTTCTTCTTCTTCTTCTTGGTTTTCAGGTTACATGTTGTGAGTTTTGATGAACGGTGATACAATAATTTGTCATTCTGGAGTTTGGTCTCCCTTTCTAGAGTTTGTAAACCCGTCAATAGAAATGAACTTGCTGTTCAAAAACGCCAATATTTTGGAACTGAAGAAGCTTGTGAGATTCCCGCAATAGCTCACGCCAATGCACAAACTTGACATTCATCTGAGTGTTGGCCCGAATGATTGAAGACATGGATCCCACCCAGGCTGCTCCCCTCCACGACTTCAAAAAGTGCCCTCACTTTTGCTTTGAACGGGGTGGAACAAAGAATAGTATCAGCTCGTCCATCAAATACTTGTCCACGGTGGTTAACAACATTAACACAATATGTTGCAGGTTGGGAGTCTCTTATGAACGACCCATCATAGTGAATCACCATTGGATGATTGCTTGGCAGTGGAGAAGGATGAGATTGGGTTTCCTTGAGATGACTAGAGGTGGGAGGGGCATGAGGTTTGGATAACCTCGGATATGTTGCCTACTCAATGAATTCTCTTACAGTTTGCATGCAAATGTTCGGGGGCCATGGGGAGCGGTTTCTGTAGGCACGTTCATTCCTCGCTTTCTAAATATTCTAGCAAAGGAAGATAAATATGGATGATCTTTCTATATTGGATTGATTCCTTAAGAGAACAAAACCAATCAACGAAAGATGTCCACTCTCCTGAATCAATCCAGTCTTTGACTTTCTATTGATTCTAAGGGCCTACTCCCAATAGTTTCCTTGTGTAGGTAAGGAATCCATGGATCCTGATCCACCCAAGTGTCTACTTTTGACCCTGTCATTTGAACTGCTCCTAGATCAATAACATCTTTTTGCCTCCCACAAGCTAGCGTAGGTCCAAGAAGGTCTACTTTCTTTCTTTGTCGATATATATTTTCCCCTTAGGAAGTACAATCACTTAAGTAGGCGGCTCCATAACACATCTGGGGTAGTAAGAAGGTGCCGACCTTGTTTAGCCAAAAGAGCCTTTTTGAAATCGGCAAAATTTTTGAAGCCTAGCCCTCCCTCCAACTTCGAGGTGCACAAGATCTCCTTTCTGCATTAATGGAGAGTACTCTTTTTGCATAGAATCTTACCAGTGAAGTTACTCAAAATCGAATCCTTCTTCGTAATGACCATTAGCAAGAGAAACAAGCAAATGATATAGGAAGGGATAGCTTAAATAAGAGCTTCAGAAGAATTTTCTTTCCTCCATGGGATATAAGTAAGATTTCCAAGCTCCCCCATTTTCTATATTCTTTGAATGAGGAAATAGAAAGTCTCCCTCTTTGAGTTTCCTCATTCTGTTGGAACCCGAGATATTTTGAGTGAGAGTTGGAGGTAGCAAACCTGGATGTGAGCAGTGATATATACTTTTTCATTGTTATATGAACTTCTTGGCCCTTGATAGCCTCGTAGTTAATGATAATGTCCATGATTCTCCCCACCCCTTGTTGATTAGCATTCCCAAAAACCATTGTATCATTAATAAAAAGGCAACGAGTGAGGACCGGACATCGATGATTAAGTTTAATACCGTAGATTTTTCTCCTCGGGAACCTCTTTTTCAATCAGGAAAGTCAAGGCATCAAACATTAAGATAAAGAGAAAAGAGGAAAGAAGATCTCCTTGTCGAACACCTTGAGACGGGCTAAAGGGCTTTGTGGCTTCTTTGTTGCACAAAATGGAGAAATATATTGCTAAGATAAAAGCTCTAACCCATTTGCACAATCGATCGTCAATACCATACTTGTCGAGAAGACTTTCCAAGCAATCTCATTCAACCATATCATAAGCCTTCCTCATATCCAATTTAAACATAAATATTAGGGCCAGATTCCCACTTCCTATGTGAATTTATTTAAAGAATCAGAATATAGTTAATTACTTTGTATTTTAAAAGGTTCATAACGTGTTCAATAACGAACATGTAGCATATTTGGTAAACAAGTACTAGAAGGGGAATTTTTGGGTTGTTGTTGGAGAAGGTCCAAGTAGTAACAATCTTTGGATGGAAAGGTGGGCGGTTAAACAAAACAGATAGATTGGATAAAACTTTAGGATTAGGAGTGGAGTATTGGACTATTATTGGTTGTTGAAACTGTACTTCAATCACAAATCAGCAGCTCTCTTCTTCGCCCACCAGCCAGCCAGCCAGCCAACTACTACTGCTCTATTTTCCTCCCCCATTAGCTTCCTTTCTCATCATCTATGGAAAATGAGCCATTCCTCTCTACCCAGCCGCAGCTCCAAGCAATCCCAGAGCTCTCCTCCTTCGCTTCTCTCCCTGAGCCTCTCTCCACTCCCCTCATCTTCCATGAAATCGAGCCCCACCAGCCTCCGCCGCCGCCCCTTCAGACGACGTCATCTTTCGATTCTTCCCCTCCGGCAACGACCCATCTCCGGAAAATCCGATCACTCCAGCGCTCCAAGACAGCTCCGGCCATGGTGGTCATGCGGGACTTGAAACCCACCAAAACCCCTCAGTTGCCCCGACCCAATTCCGATTCCACCAGCTCCATCGTCAGGCGAGCAATCTTCCTTCTCTCCCTCTACCTCTCCTTCGGGGTCATAATCTATTCGCTTAACCGGGACAAATTTTCCGGGTCGGAGACCCACCCGGTGGTCGACGCGCTCTATTTCTGCATCGTCACCATGTGCACAATCGGGTACGGCGACATCGCCCCCTTAACCCCTGGTACGAAGGCCTTCGCCGTTGTGTTTGTACTGTTTGGTTTCGGGTTCATTGACATACTGCTGAGCGGGGTGGTCAATTACGTCCTTGATTTGCAAGAGAGGATGATCCTGGCCGGGATTCAGATGGGGAAATCGCAGCAGCAGCAGCATCATCATCATCGTCATCACCATCATCGGGATAGGTTTTCGGCGAGGAATTACATCGTGGATGTTGAAAAGGGTAGGATGAGAATCAGGTTGAAGGTTGGCTTGGCGCTTGGGGTTGTGGTTTGTTGTATTGGAATGGGAGCTCTGGTTCTTTGTTCTGTGGAAGGTTTGGATTGGGTTGATTCGATTTACTTGGCAGTAATGTCTGTTACCACAGTCGGGTATGGTGATAGGGCGTTCAAGACGTTGCCTGGGAGGCTGTTTGCAGCTGCTTGGCTTCTGGTGTCGACGCTGGCGGTGGCCAGAGCTTTCCTTTACTTGGCTGAGTTCAGGGTCGATAAGAGGCACCGGAGGATTACCAATTGGGTATTGCATAGGGATATCACAGTTGAGGATTTGCTTGCTGCTGACATGAACAATACCGGGTTCATTAGGTTCGATTCTCGCCTCTTTTCTCTTTTTTTACTTTGTTTCTGTTCTTGGACTCGAAATTTTCCATCATATTTGGCAAGTCGTTACCTTTGTTTAGTCAGATTTTAGAAGTTCGGTGGTCTGGTTTTAGTATGTTCAGTGGGATAAATAAGTTGTCTGCTGCGCCTCAAATACATGGCAGAAGTACTTTGCAGGAAAACAGCAGAAGAATCATGGAGTTCACCAATTACTAGTTAGGGAACTGAAATGTCTATGTCCTCACATGTGCTGCAGTTAGGCCATCCACAATTGCAAATGTGATATTTGATTGCAGTCTTTCTTGGCCTTTAAGTGCATAGCGTCTGATCGACATGTCATTGCCTGCCTCTTTAGCAAGGTTTGTGATGCCTGGTTTGCTAGAGAACAAGTTGAAAGAGGTGAAAAACCAAGCTAGGTAATCCTTCGAAGTTCGAATTGTAGAGTTACGAGAAATAATTTTTGGGCAAAGGGTCAAGTGATGTGCAAGGCTACTAGTGGTGCTCTTTTGCATGGTGAATTACTAGGCTGGAAAGAAGGCTGCTATCTTGTTACCAAACGATTCTTGTATAAGACTAACCTAAAATAGTGCAAGTGCTATGTAATCAAATACACAATCCATCCCAGGCATTGTTCCCGACGTAGCAGCTTCTTAATAATGCTTGTGACTCCACATTTTGGCACCTTCAGATAGGATGCAGCAGCAATCAAACAACGCCACGTTAGACATCGATCCTCATTAGTCTTGAACAGGCAGTCATTAGCTACCCAATTGATTGTTGTTGGTTCACATTGACACTGCTGGTTTCTCATTGACTATTTGTCTTACTTTTACAAAGAGTTATCTGAGTCCTGCCTATGTGTGCGAGAGAATTAGGGACTTCTGCAGATGTCATCGGTTATCTTAGTCTGAATTATGATGTGAATACTGCATTCCATTGTGACAGTAAATCGGAGTACGTGATATACAAGCTCAAAGAGATGGGGAAGATTGGGGAGAAAGACATATTGCAGGTCTGCAACCAGTTCACCAAGCTTGATCCTAACAACTTGGGGAAGATCACATTGCCTGATCTTTTGGAGAATCGCTTGTGACAAATATACAATGAAGCCTCTGGTATGCATTGCAGGCACTCTGATTCTTCCCTCTGGTATTGGTAAGCAGAAAGTAGATACATACATACATAATGTAGGAGAGGCAAACAAACAGCCTTTTCAGATCAATGTAAGATGGAATTTAGCAAAGAAATCTTATGAACACCTTTGATTGCTAGAGAATTTCATTCTCTCTCTCTCTCTCTCCTCTCCCGGGTAGATTTTGTTGCACCCAATTCATCATCTCCCTCGAGACAACTGATAGGATCATAATGTACAGTAGTTCGAGGAGATCGCTAGTTGTACGTTCTTAGCTAGAACTATAGAACATTTGTACTCGGGTGTATTTATTTGCTATAATATAGATATAACATTTAGCTTTAAGCTCTACAATTTGGTCGAATAGTTATTGACTTGGTACAAATTTGACGCCTGATGTGATTCGATGTCAAATGGCGAGCCAAGCTCGAGCTTATATTTTTATAAACGAGCCAAACTAGAGTTGGCTATTGAACTCCGTGTCGAACTCGAGTTTATAATTATTCTTACAAATCGAATTCGAGCTTGAAATTATTAACAAACCAAAACTTGAACATCAATAAAACTCGGCTAAACTCGAATTATTAAGGCAATTATGCCAATTATGGTCCGCCTACCAAGGCCCACCCTAACCTTTGACATATCGGCCCAGCAGCACAAGTACCGAAACCGCCATTCATACTGATACCGCCAGAACGGCGCCGTTCCTATATGACTAGAGAGCCACCAATCATTTACCCTTTAGGCATCGTTGTTTCGTCCTCTTACAAAATCGCTTCAGAAAATCTGCCCCATCGTCCCTCCATTCTCTCCTACTCTCTCAAAACATCTCTGAGAAACGAAAAAGGGAAGAACGCCCAAATTTCCCGAACCCTAAAATTTACAAATTCATCAGAAATCCATCGCACAATTTCAATTAGCCACCCAAACTCCAATCCCCCTTTGCAATTCCGACCTCCTCCCCCGCCGCCGTCCTGCAACCTTGACCTCCCCGGCCGCCGCCATCGTTTCCGACGTCTTTTTTTCCCCCCTTCTCTTGCCGGTTAGTTTCACTCTTCCGTTTCCCTGACTATCTATTGTTATTTCGTTTTCTTTGCTTTTCTCCAGTCAATATTCTTTTCGTCACAACTCTGTAACTGAAGAGGAAGAATCCCGATTTCGGGTTTTCTCCGTCGCGATTGTATCTAGGGTTTTTTTCCGCCGATTAAATTTCATCAATTGCCTTGCTTTCAAACGGACTGATTAATCATGTGTGTAGTTTTTCTCAGTTATGCCGAAGCTGATTGTGATATGTCAGTCGGGAGGGAAGTTCGTCGCGGCGGGGAACGGCGTCCTGTCGTACTCCGGCGGAGAAGCACACGCGCTGAGCATCAGCCGGGAGAGCAAGTTCGACGAACTGAAGGCGGAGATGGCCGAGATGTGGAAGTACGATCCCAACTCCGTCATCGTCAAGTACTTCGTCCCAAACAACAACCGGACGCTCATCACCGTCTCCTCTGACAAGGACTTGCAGCGGCTGCTGGATTTCCATGAGGATTCCGGCACAGTCGACGTCTACGTCCTTGCCAATGAGGAAGCTGCCGCCACTGAGACTGCTCTTACCACAACGTCCACAGGGTAACTTTGTCTCTTGCATCTCCATTGTGTCATTATATCAACTAGTGCATTGCCTGCAATTTTGGGGTTTGCTTTCCTTCTGATTTCATCTGTTTATGCGTTTCTTTCTTTGGACTTGCTAAAGTAAGTCTGCCAAGGCAAATGCGTCGAGAGCCCGAGCTGCAGCTGCAAGACGTAAGAGAATGAGGTGAATATTGTTCTTGTTTGTTGTATGTTAAGTTGATATGCAGTTTGTAGTTGATAACTGAAAACCTGACAGAAGTTCTCCCGGCTTTGTGCGGTGTTTGTACTGACTGCATTGCCTGGTTAATTTGATATGAATAGTGAGGAAGCTGCAGCAGGCAGAGAGCAAGAGCAGCAGGTAGCAACCGCTGAGCTCGGTCAGGTACAAGCTATGAACGGAGGAGAGGAAGCAACCATGACTGAAGCACCTGGTAGCCCGCTGAACATCACTCCGGTAGCAAGCATCATCACGGATGGTACCCCGGCACCACAGCTGCAGATGAGGACTAGCACGCCCTGTGCTCTCGACGTGATCGGAGAGCAGAAGCTTCAGAAAGTGTGGGAGAACTGCATCACTGGTCTTCACCAGCAGTTCAACCATGTTGGCGAGGTACGTGAAGCTCTTCGCCGTTACTCCCTCGCTCAAGGGTTCACCATCAAGTTCAAGCACAACGATTCCAGGCGAGTGAGCGCAAAGTGCAAGGCCGAAGGTTGCACGTGGAGGATTTATGCCTCCAAGCTGTCCACCACTCAGTTCTTCCGAACCAAGAAGTTCATCGACACCCACACCTGTGGCGTGGGCACCGACTCCGCAGCACGTCCTCATGCATCCAGAAAACTGGTCGCGACCATTGTAAAAGAGAAGCTACTCAGCACGCCCAACTTCAAACCTAAGGAAATTGCCGAAGAGATACAGAAGGAATTCGGGATTGAGCTGAGATACTCCCAAGCTTGGAGGGGAATGGAAGCTGCAAGACAGGAACTACAAGGCTCCTACAAAGAATCATATAATCTGCTCCCATGGCTGCGCGAGAAGCTATTGGAGACCAATCCAGGTAGCGTCGTCTCCCTCAGCACCTCCGACGACCTGACATTCCGCCGCTTCTTTGTCGCCATGCACTCTTCCATATTCGGGTTCGAGAATGGCTGCCGTCCTCTTCTTTTCCTCGACGAGATGTCGGTGAGGTCAAAACACCAATCGGAGCTGCTGACTGCAACCGCAATCGATGGGAATGATGGAATATTCCCAGTGGCATTTGCAGTGGTGGACACCATCAACGAGGAGAGCTGGTACTGGTTTCTCGAGCAGCTCAAGTCTTCTCTGTCCATCTCACAGTCTATCACCTTTGTCTCGGATCGACAGATGGGGTTGAGACAATCTATCGCCATGCTTTTCCAAAACTCCTACCATGGCTTCTGCGTCCGACGCCTTTCGGACGAGCTGCTGAAAGATCTCAGAGGGCCGTACACTCAAGAAGTCGTGGACGTCCTCGTTGCCCACATGTACGACGCAGCCAGAGCATCGACCAGGGAAGGTTTCTTGAAATCCATGGACAGCATCAAGAGCATCTCCCCTGAAGCTTGGGAGTGGATAATGCAGAGCGAGCCGGAGCACTGGGCCAACCACATGTTTGTGGGATCCCGCTACAACCACATCTCCTCAGGAATCGCAGAATCGTTCTACAGCTGGGTTCCTGAGATTCAAATGCCGGTCGTCCAGTTCCTGGACACGATTCGGCAGAAGATCATGGAGCTCATCTACACCAGAAAGGTGGAGTCGGAGCAGTGGGTTTCTCGAGTGACCCCAATCCTGGAAGAGAAGCTTCAGAAGGAAATCATGAAGGCGCAGGCGCTGCAGGTGTTCGCGTCCCAGGCGGCGGAGAACACGTTCGAGGTGAGGGACTACTTCGGATCGGTGAACCACACTGTGAACGTGGAGTCGTGGAGCTGTTCCTGCAGGGACTGGAGGCACAATGGGTACCCGTGCTCGCACGCAGTGGCTGTGCTTCAGGGGATAGGGAGGGATCCGTACGACTACTGTGCCAAGTACTACTCGACGGAGGCTTTCCGGGTGACGTACAGGGAACCCATCAACCCGGTTGCCACCGCCGATCGTCCGATTCACGGATCGTTGGTGCCGATACTGGTGCAGCCGCCTGCACTGCGCAAGCTGTCGGGACCGCCGAAGCAGCGGAGGATCAGGAATAAAGGGGTGATCAAACGACCGTTGCACTGCAGCAAGTGCAAAGGAGCAGGGCACAACAGAGCTACTTGCCATGTTTTCTCTTAGCAAATGGTGGTTATAGATTGGTAATCAGATTAGATGTCTTCTTAGGCCTAATTTATGGTGATCCTCCTAGAGGTAGTGCAGTAGTTAAGTTTCCATTAAAATGTTTTGTGAGGTGAGGGCAGGACAGAAAGGGAAACCCATTGGAATAGGTTTAGGGTTTTGTCAGATGCGCTTCAAATTTTTTTTTTTTTTTTTTTTGGGTGGGGTAGTAATAATACTGTAATAGTAGTATGGGTCTGTCTATTCAGTCTTTTTCTGTAACCTTTTGGTTCTAAGTCTGCTCTCTTTTCTGTCCAGTCCATTGATTTCTTCAGGTAATGTTAATGGACAAATTTGGGGTTTTCCCAAATTTGGGTTTACTTTACTGCTACGGTGCAGGATGCTTGTAAACTTGCAATGCTAGAGGTGTCCACTATGTATGCAATTGCCATTAGCCTGACAAGTTGAGCTATCATCACGTCGAGCTGGTTCCTGAGTCGAACCCAGATTAGCTCAAATTAGGCTCGTTAGCGAACTAATTGAGTTTTGAACGAGGTTTTCCTGATCCGATTGTGAATAGCTGTTGTTCGACTCATTTCTAGCCCTAAGTGCCCGCCCGAGAGTTAGAAAGGACGACTTCTTGCTAAGTCGAAGGGGTTTGCAACTGCCAGTACTAGTGCAGTACACCATTCACCCACCGTTTGAACAAAACAATAAACGGACGCCTCTGTTCTTTTCTAGTCTTCTAGACCTTGTAGTACACGGGAAATAAGAAAGGAGGGAATGGGGAAAGAAATGTGAAGTTTGGGTAGTAAGTAGTACACAAGAAAAGAATGAGATGTTGAGTAGTAGTACATTACTTTGTGTACTTCTTTTTACAGGGTGTCCTGGACCGTGCTTCGAATCAGATTTAAAAGGACAAGGGAACGCCTCATTCATCCATCCCAAGTTGCCTAAACAATAACAATGTGCCACCAAATGGAAGCCATGAAAGAAAGAGCAGTGTGGAGAAAGGAGGAGGACAGGCACAAGTACTGGGTGAGAAGGTAAAACAAGGGGAAGAATGGAATGCTTACAAAAGGCTGGGAACAGGCAGAGCATGGATTGAGCTACAACAGCATACACATATGTTTTGGCACATCCCATGCACTGCCTCTTCCCTGGCTTTCTCCTCATTCTTCTTTCCCTCTCTTGCCTCTTTCGATTAAGATTTTTTTTAAAAAAAATATATACTATTGTGATTTGAATTGTATTGTGGTGTATTGAATCAATACCTATCGAGAAAGAGGTTTTGCTTGCGATTAATCAGGTACTACAGAGTGGTTGACAACAACGAAGAAAGTAAGAAGAACTGGAGGAAGGATGGTTGATAAATCTGCAGCAGTCTCTCCATATCTCCTAGAAGGCATGGAAGTCGGGAAGAAAGCCAAACTGCTGCTACAAATTTGCAATTAAGATGGAGGGGGGTGCTGCTGGTGTAGCCTTCCGGCCATCACACTGCAGAAAGCGCCCTGCGAAAGTTCGTTTTCGGAGAAAAGAAGGATGTCGAGGCTAGTTGTGAATTCAGTGTCGTGATTTTTATCCTTCAAGAGTTTGTAGCAATCACATGGGTGGCTTGCCAATCAGATTAATGTGATGTAAAGTAATCCAGATCAAATTCAAGCTCTAAACATCAAATCTGTTAGTTGATGAACACAGCTCGTAACAATGAATGTTATCTCCAATTATGATAAACATTTGTTTCTTATTGAACCAACGATTAGCCTAGTGCTAAAATACATAACAAATTCCAACCCAAGGAAGAGAGTGTTCGGTTCAAAGAACCAAGTTGTCGGTTTGGTTCAGTTCGGTTCAAGTTTACAGAACCGGATGCCCATCCCAGGGTGGTGGCAGTGGCCCTGCAAAAATACTATTACTAACCATAGAAGTCAGCTCCACCAATATATCAGCATCTAAGAGCCAGTGAACCTGTTTCCAGGTTCCACGATAAACTTCGCACTCCACAGTATTTTTCAGTCGGCGGAACTGAACGATGCAACGGCATCCATTTCCTGCCGCAAGAGAAGAGCATCTATGAACACATCTAGATCCTCTCCCTGCATAACATCAGTGAGTGCATGGTGGGTGATGCCTACCCTGTGATCCGTCACACGCCCTTGAGGGAAGTTGTATGTCCTTATTCGTTCCGATCTGTCTCCACTGCCTATCTGTGGAAAAAATGAGTTTTAGACAAAAGAGGGGGCACAAGGTCAACCCCTAGAGAGATGAAGATGAGTGAAAAGGCGGGGTTCAAGTCCATACTTGGTCTGATCTAAGTTTTGACCGACTCGAATGAAGTCTTGACCTTTCCATTTCATACAGCTTTGCACAGAGGACCTTCATTGCTTTAGCCCTGTTCTGCGCGAACGCACAAAGAAGGGAACATTAGTAGTTACACACGGCATGAAGTATCCAACTGAACGGTTATTCTGTAGAGTGCGAAGCAAGCAACGGGGTAAGAGTCGCAGTTGGCTACATAAGATTCAAGACAACTAGATCAAAATAGATGATGAAAAACATGGTGGATAATGGTGCTGACAAGCAAATTCAAGCAGAGTATTAGTGCTGGGGAGTGGGGATGTAATTGAAGACCCTGTGAAATTATTATATGTATAAAAAGAGGGAAATGTCGGATGGACACTTCCTCTAACTGCTGTTTTCACCAGTTGAGACTGCGACATAGCTGAATTTACTGATTAACAGCATTAATTTACCATATGCTGGGACCGTTCATCTTGTATGGCCACGACGATCCCGGTAGAAAGATGGGTTATTCTGACAGCACTGTTTGTGGTATTTGCATGCTGGCCCCCTGAACCACCAGATCTGTAAGTATCAACTCTCAAATCTTCGTTCCTCAACTGGACATCCACCTGTCGAAGCACACAAATAAAAATAAGAAGATGATCACTTCAGGCAGAACACAACACTAGAACAAGGTCAACAAGAGGGCATGGTAACTTGAAAAAACAGAACGATTAAATAAAGTCTGTAACTTTTCTTTCCCTGGTCAATATATACTGCAGGAGTTTCCATATTCAATACCTCATCAGCTTGTGGAAGGATAGCAACAGACACAGCACTAGTGTGGATGCGCCCAGACTTCTCAGTAACTGGAACTCGCTGCCAAGGTTATGCTGGATAAACATGTCTGCTACAAGAAGTCACTTGTAGATAATAGAAACACAATATTCAAACCTGAACTCGATGAATTCCACTCTCAAATTTCAGCTTCCCAAAAACATCAGCTCCTGAGATTGCTGCACTGGCTTCCTGCAAGGAAAGAAGAGGCGGCTAAAGATGCAATTCACAATAGATATCCTAATTCATAATTCAGAACCGATGCAAAAATAACTTCTGGAAACTGAAAAGATTGAATTATAAGTGATAATCTGCCAGAAAGGTATGCATTCCAGGTTCGGAAGGGAAAACAGACCATACCTTGTACCCCTTCATATCAGACTCCGCTATATCAACCACTTCAAATTTCCAACCATTCTTCTGCGAGTATCTCTCATACCTGCTTGGAATCTACAAGGTTAACGGGATAAACAGAAAAAAGAAACTTGAACAACATACTGAACTGTGGCATAGCTGAAAGGGCTACAAGCACTTACATTCGGAATATATCCATTGCAAATAAAGAAGCCTCCTCGCCTCCAGTTCCTAATGAACACTCGTGTCAAATTCACGAAAACAAAGGAAGCCATATATGGGACCATCCTAGTGAAACGTCCAGAAAGAAATGACCCGAAGTTATCTGAACATACGAGGGGAAATGTAGCTATACCTGCTCTCACCTCCAAAATGCAGTCTCTCTCATCAGCATCATCCTTCGGAAGTAACAACTTCAGCAGCAAAGTCTGAAGCCTTCTCTCTTCAGCTAACGCCTGGCTCAATTCCTCATTCGTCATATCAATCATCTCCTTATCTTCCTCACACTCAGACAGCATAGATTTCAAACCACTGATCTCCTACATGGACACCAAATAGCAAATCACATATTGCCACCCATTTCAACAAACTAGAAGAACCAGAAGCAAGTTAAATGGTTTCGAATATTAGTGACTAGAGACTAGAAAGGTTTTCACTTTCCGCTTTCTTTTCCCATAAACTGAAACATATGTTGCTCAATCGATAAGAAAGCATACTGTACAAGCAACAAATACGATTGAACTACCTTCTGTTTTGTTCTCAAATCCTGTATGAGATCCATATGATCCCTCAGCTTACGCAGCTCCTTATTAGCTCTTGAAAATTCAGCTGGCGAGGCTTCTGGCTGTCTTCATTCAAACACCAGAATAAGGTTAAAGCAAAAAATAAACCTTGCATCCAAAATAGAAGACATTGAGAGGGAAATGGAAGAAACTAGAGTGTACCCGGTTGATGAAGCTCTCAAGGGAAGCACTCCTGTGTTCAATCGATGATAATCTCTGCTCCATGATCCGTACAAGGTCCGGAGACAATTGAGTTTGGAATTCTGGCATATAGAGAGAAACCCAGTAAGTTACCGGAAAGCAATTCTCAAATTGGAAGCATCTCAGAGCCGGGAAATCGATGAACGGGAAACAGAAGAGCTGTACCGGTGGAATAAAGGCGGCGATAAATTGATGGGGAAGTAGACTGAAGAAAGGAAGCTGAAATGCGGGCATAAGAGCAACGAATCGGGGGAAAGGACCGCGCTTGTTGCTGAAGCTGCTTCATAGCCCTGGCGGCCGCGTTCATGTTCCATCTCATCGTTCGTTATCCCTTGTATTCTGAAGAGTTCCCTTCCCTGTTCAGTTCCAACTCAATCCAAGTCAAGTTTACTTCGGCGCACTTCTATTTCCTCAACCCATAAAAAAGCAACACTGTCGGCGGCGATGATGGGAATGGCGGAAACGGAGGCGGCGATTCTTCGCAACCATGAATCTGCTTTATCAGAGGGGCAGAAGGTTTTTCCTCCGCCGGATCTTACACTCCTCCTAAACGCTGCGTTTTCATTAGAGACTGAGACTATACATGACCCTAGAGGCAGTGAGGGTGAGGCCAGTGATGGTAATGGGGCATTCGGTGCGGGTATCTCAATACTCATGTCTCACTCCATGTTACTATGGATCGGGCCAGGTAAAATACATGCGGATATAGGATTGGGGCGATCGATCTATTCTTACATGTTATTTTAAAAAAATGCACACAAATTTTACTTTTTATGATAGAACGAAAGGGAAAACACTTTATGAATGAAAATAGTGACAATAGAATGGGTAATTGAGTCTAACAAGTTGTAAGATTGACTCTAACTAGTTGAAGAAAAGTCAAAGTAGGAGAAATATGTATAGATATTGTAAGAAATTGAGATAAAATGGGCCAAGAACGGGGCGAGCAAGGCAGAGTGGGTCGGGTAATACCCGTCTCATTGCGAGTCAGGTTGGATAATAACTGTGGGGCGGGTTCAAATTGCTATCACTACCTGAAGCTCTATTCACTTCCCATTCTGTTTCTGTTGCCAAAATATAAAATTTGAAAATGAGAAAAATAACATGTTCACTTGGTTTTTTTATTGGCGGCAACCAATTGACAAGAACAAGAGGCAGCTAACCAAAACGAAAAATGGTTTTCTACAAACCACAAGACTGGTTTTCTCTTTATTTTAATGAGGTCGAGTCTTTGAGACCTAGTGTAACATCCCGAACATTTTTCCGAGCAAGATATTGTCCGCTTTGAGCTTCGACATTCACGATTTTTGACTTGACAAAGGTCAGATCTGGTGGATTGCATCACTTCTTGGTGGGCGCTGCTATACTTAAGAGGTCGTTTGCATCGTGAATTTAAAAAATGAAGGTTTTTGTATAGTTTGGATTTTGAAAACCCATGGATATATGAGGGTTTTGGAAACCCATGGATAAAAGTTGATAAAGCTAAAAAATTTTAATGAAAATGTTGTTTTTTTTTTCAGGGAAAAACTAGAATTTAAACATCAAAAGAGGGAAATTTTATTTGCATAAATGGCAGGATCTAAGTTAAGCAAAATTAAAAGGACATTTTTGAACGAGCCATCATCATTCTGGCGCTGTCCAAAACAAGAAGCCTCTTCTTCCCCGGAGTATTTCAGTTTCTCCTCCGCCATGTTACTTCGTACCCAATCTCGCCGCCGTCTACCCGAAACAACGGCCACCGCGCTCGTCCGGTCAGTAATGCGAGCGTCCTCGTTCTCCTCCCTAAACGTCGATGCCGACTTTCTGAAATCTTACACCGTGACGCCACCGATCAAGCCCTGGCCGCAGCAGCTCTACCCAAAGCGCCTCGTCACCATGATCACCCGGCAGCAGAATCTCGACCTTGCCCTCCAAATCTTCGATTACGCCGGGAAATACCACCCCGGCTTCTCCCATAACTACGACACTTACGAATCCATCATACAGAAGCTATCGCGGGCACGGGCATTTGAAGAGATGGAAGCTTTGCTCACTCAGCTGCGCAAATCCGACACCAAATGCGGCGAGAATTTGTTTATCAATGTCATTCGGAACTACGGGCTGGCGGGGAAGCCGAAACTGGCCCTCCAAACTTTCATCCGCATCGAGGATTTCAAGGTGCAAAGGTCCGTGAGATCGTTGAACACCTTGCTCAATGCTTTCGTGCAGAACAAAAGGTACGATCTTGTGCACGCTATGTTCAAGGATTGCAAAGTCAAGTACGGGGTCGTGCCCAATGTTTTCACCGCCAACATTTTGATCAACGCGCTGTGCAAGATGAATGATATGGATGCTGCACTGAAGGTGTTCGACGAAATGCCTGCGATGCGGATGATCCCAAATGTGGTGTCTTACACGACGATTTTAGGTGGGTATGCGTCGAAAGGAGAGATGGAGAAGGCCAAGAAGGTTTTGGCCGATCTTTTGCACAGAGGTTGGCTGCCGGATGCTACTACCTATACCATATTGATGGATGGGTATTGTAGGCAAGGCAGGCTGGATGATGCTATTAAAGTTATGGATGACATGGAAGTCGAGCCCAATGAGGTTACTTACGGGGTCATGATCGAGGCTTTTTGTCGAGATAAAAGGGCTGGAGAAGCCTTCAACCTGCTCGACGATATGCTCCAGAAGAATTTCGTACCGAGCTCTGCCCTTTGCTGTAAGGTTATCGATGTGCTGTGCGAAGAAGGCAAGGTAGATGATGCTTGTGGGTTGTGGAAGAGGATGCTGAAGAAGAATTGCATGCCGGACAACGCAATATTAAGTACCCTTATACATTGGCTGTGTAAGTTGGGGAAAGTTTGGGACGCAAGGAAGTTGTTCAGCGAGTTCGAGAAGGGTTCGAATCCAAGTCTCTTAACCTACAACACGCTCATTGCAGGGATGTGTGGGAGTGGCGAGCTGAACGAAGCAGGGAAGTTGTGGGATGACATGTTGGAGAAGGGTCACAAGCCTAATGCTTTCACTCATAACATGTTGATTAGTGGCTTCTGTAAAGCTGGGAATGTGAAGGAAGGGATCAAGATTCTTCAGGAAATGTTGGATAACGGATGCCAGCCCGACAGTTCTACTTACACAGTATTGATTGAGAAGTTGAGGGAGGTGGGAATGGAAGGAGTAGTCTATAATGTAGTTTCAATGGCTATAAAGCGTGGAGGCGGCGTTGATGGTGATTCTTGGGAGCTCTTCGTGAAGAACTGTCCCCCCTGTAAAAAGCAGGTAGAGTGCTCATGAGAACAGTTAGTAATGACGGACCGAGTCTCGATTCAAAGCCTGTTTGTTTTGACGGACCAGCAGATTCGTACTTCTGTTCATTCCCAAACATTGAGAGAGACTGCTTGTATAGAGACTAATAGCTTAAGGTTGTCAAATAATTATGACACTACAAAACTTGTTTGATCTATAATCCATGAAAAGGAGCCAAAGTTAGCAGGAGGCTTTGATTGTAGTTTGTTTCGGCATTCATTTATATTTATTAGTCAAAAAGTCTCAGCTGTCGACTCTCGTCACAGATTCTCCTAGAGACGTTTCCTTGAGAATGTGCCAAAGTGTAAGTACTTCTTCAGTTCCTTTCTTTTCTGTCTGCGTTATTCTTTTTCTGTTCTCGTCATTGAGCGATGACTACGACCAAGGAAGGGCTGTTCCTTAGATTGGCAACTTCAGAATACTTACATTATCTGAACAAGATGAAAATTTCAAATTCATGAGTATACTTTCATTTTAAGGTATATGTTAGTAAATGATATAGGATTCATAATTGAACCTCTCTTAACAACTCAAGTTATTGAAATTAAACGAATCTTCACATATTTAGGTGTTTGACTGGTATGTAGGCCTGTTAGTCGGTGCGGTTTCCGTTTAACCGAACCGCACCATCGGTTAGCCGAGACCGAGAATCACCTAGCACGGCCAACCGAAGCCGACACCGAAGGGGTCTTCGGTTAACCGCCAACCGCAACCGGCGGTTTCGGTTTTTGGCTGCGGTTTGCCGAAACCGACACACACCACCTCCGACCACCGCCGGAGATTTTCCAGGAAGTTAGAAAGAGATAAGAACAAAGATAAAAACCAAAAAAATTAAATTGAAAAATGCAAGGACACAACACATAGTGACAAAATCTGTTTTTTCCATGTTAGCCAATTACCAATTTACCTTTAGCAAAAATTAAGGAGAGAGACAGAATTTTAAAATTGAGAAAATTACATGAAACTCTACTATGAAAATTGAGGTATCAAGCACCATAAAAGTACTTACGGTATACTTAGTGGGCTTGCTAATCATGATGAAAAGTCCTGCGATTTTCAGAGAGTTGATTTTCGTGTATATTTTGTATTCAAAACGACACAACAAATTTGTTCAGTGTAAATGGTTGTGATTATTGTATTTGTTTGAAGAGACCAGTGTTCAAATTCTTATATTGATATTTTTTATGTGAGATAAATAATTAATTGTAAAGACAAAAATGTCATTCCTACTTTCACTCTCGTTGCATGAAATTTGAAAAGGAGAAAAGTACACAAAGGTGTACTATATATTGTTGGGGGATTGCAAGTGAATTACATTGATGTAGAACAATAGAATAAAACTATAAAAGTGAGTTGGATTGCATAAAATTTGAAATAATAATATAAAAATAATATGAAATTAGGTTTGCAATTGTATTAATGTGGATACTCTAAAGTTGAGTAATAGTGTTGGGAAACCAAGATAGCCTTTCCATTATAAATCTCTAATTCCAGTTTGCATTTCTTCTAGTCCAATTGCCACACCCTAGCTCCCCTTAATTGCTAGCTAGACCTTCGCAAGAGGTTGAAATGTTGGCATGTTGCTAGCAAAAGAAGTAGAAAAATGAAAACAAAAAGATGGAAAATAGTTTTGTATTCAAAATGGCACAATAAATTTGTTCAGTGTAAATAGTTGTGATTGTTGTCTTTATTTGAAGAGACTCAGGTGATATTAATAGTTTTTATGCGAGATAAATAATTATTTGTAAAGACAAAAATGTCCTTCTTAAACTCTCATTACATAAAATTTGAAATAGAGAAAAATAGACATTTGTATATTATTTGGTGATTTTATAAATCGAACCCAAGCGAACAAATTTACGTCAAAACGAGGAACAGAAACGAGAGCGATGAAGGGAGATGAAGCCAAGATATTGCTAGGCTTCCCTCCCAATTCCACTCCAACCAGCTCCCAGGTAATAAGGAGAAGCAAAAACAACGCCTTTTCCCCCACATCTCTTCGCTTTGATAAATCAATTTCATTCCTCCCTTCTGTTCTTCAAGTAGGGTTCAGCCCCTTGCTTTAATTCTTGCCCAGCTGGTTTTAAGTTGGTGATGAACCGATTTACGAGCTCAAGTTTGCATCTTTTTGTATCTTGCATTTCGTTGAATTCTTAGGTTAAAGCTGCTTACAAGAAGAAGGTTTGGGAATCACATCCTGATCTTTTCCCTGTTCACGAGAAGGGTCATGCCGAGTCCCAGTTCAAGCTTGTAATGTCTTTGCTTAATTGCTTCTTCTACATTTGTCGGCACCCTTTTTTCCCCTTATCATCCACTCTTGCCTTAATGTGTTGCTAAACTTATGGATGCCTTCATCCTTAGAAGTTGTGGATGGTACTACTGTGAAAAACTGTTTCGGAAAATATTTCTGTGTCTGCAATTTACCTGCCCATCATTTCGCCCCTCTCGTTCTGATGTGATGATATTCATACTCTTGCTTCTTCTGGTTATGGCGTTGGACTGAATTGCCTCTCTGTTCCGGTGTCTAAGAACACACTATGCGGCTACTCTAGCTCTTGAGTGCATCAGAATCAGCACCTTCTTGTTTATACTTTTACGGGGTTGACTCGTCATCAATTATAAGCTAGGAGATTTGGCATAACACGTTTTGATTCTTACATGTATTGTTACAGGTTTCAGAGGCTTATTCTCACCTCTTGTCAGGTAAATTTTTTTCGGTTTCTTTGTTGTTTGTTTTACCTAGTTATGCTCCTCGTCATGGTTTGCAAATTCTCGAATGGACCACAACTTGTCGCGGATAAATCTGCAGTGTCGATGTATGATCTCCAAGTCGGAACAATGTTGAGGAACAAAATGGGCTTATAGCCAACCTCCTGTCTTCTTGTTCTGCTACTCTCTTCTTGTACCTTTGATCTTGTAGACTGTAGTAAATTTTTCGCCATGTAAGCCATTTTTTCGGGGGGAAATTTCAGATTTCCTGTGATCCTTTCCAATGCTTGGCTACTGATTTCTAGCTGATCTCTCACCATAGTTTTAGTTACTAGTTCAGCATTTGTTATTTGGTTCATCTAGTGCACATATGAGTAAGCAAATAAAGTTAATCAGGCATTTACTTTTCCTAAACACATAAGGCTCTCAATTTGGTTGTTACATGTTAACTAACAAGTGTCTTGTTCATACAATGAGTATGGTCTCGTATTGATTCGGTTCCAAAATCCTTTATCCACTTTACGAGATTCCATGAGGGGAATAGTCTTTATGGAGATGCCATCGACAGATGCAACGGGGAAGATAAACAGGATATGTCTATTGATCATGAAGGTGGTCTTCAATCGGTAGATGAGTTTTGTGCTCTTTTTTTCTCCCCTATCCCTCTTCTGTTAACTTATGAAGACACTAACAGAGACGAACAGCATCCTCTGCAATAATCCTTTAGGTAATCAAAGCTGCGTTGGAATTTCCTATTAGATGTCCTGGGTGGGGTGGTCCATGCCTCAGTTACTAGTGCTGAATCTGGAACTTCTGAGATTTGTTTGCCAACCACTCTAGTATTTGCCATCAGCATGCTTGTATGTTGACTGGTTGTCTTGTGATTTCCATGCTTTTGGTCCATTTTGTTCTGTATTTTGCTTCATTTGTTAATTGATGTGTAGAAGTCTGTAAATCATGCATTGATCTGCAGTTTATCTTGCTCTGGATATGTGTTTCCATGATACTCACGTTTGCAGACCATGTCGCACAAAGCTTGTACCTTCATAGAAGATTCTATGATTATATATGACTTAAGTAATAAATGAATGCTCCCTTGTTAAACTCGGTTTTCATGGGTGGCACAGGTGGAAGCGTACGAGACTTCTCGTCAGGTTCAGGTAAATAAATCTACAGTCTACACCTTCGAGCATATATTCTCCCCTGAATCACACAAAATTTATTCCAGAGTTTGCTGGTCGTTTGACTTGTGTATTTTAATCATCTTGATACAGCCACCACATGGTCTCGAGTAGTAGTTAGAGCCGGAGTACCAAAGGGAGCAAGAGGAAAGAACGAACTCCGAAGGCTTTGGATTCCATTTATGTTCCTTGTCGGGGGAACTATCGGACTAGCTGGTTTTATAGGCGCCAGGTGACTGATCTGCCTCTGTGTGGAAGTTTTAACTTGATAATGCATTGTTATCCAATCTCCTTCCTTTGATTATTCTCCCTTGCTTTGTTCAGGGCTTACAGAAAGCAGAAAGAGGCATATCCTTCACACAACCCTTTCCTTCCTTGATATCAAGAGTTACCTGTTTGAAAAAAGAGTTCAAATTTAATGTATAGGCTGGTATATATATCATAATTCAATAGTTACAGTCGTCTGTTATTGTACGATTTCACTGCTACTCGCAGTTGCAAAATGAGTCGGGGAGAACTGCAGCTGGGTTCATATCTATGTTCGATAGAGTTTATTATATAGATTACTTGACCAGAATGGATGCGCAAGTGATAAACTGAAATGAAGTCAATTCACGATGATATCTACTCCGATCTTACAACCAAATTGCAACTTGTAGGTGAAGGGTGTTCACTGTTCCGGTTCCCACTTGGGCAATAGAAGGGGGAGAAAGAGAAGTCTGTTTGACATTTGTAAAAGAGTTGGCATTTAACACATAAATAAATTAATGATTGAAGGATATGGACAATCAAAGTGTTGAACTGAGTAAGCGTAGAACATAATTATAATTTATAAGACACATTTGGATCGATTTGGTGCCGATACTTAAAATACAAATCAACGACAAATTTATTACCTTTCATTATCGATTTCAGGGGAAACTCGCCTAAAATAACATCGATTAGATTTTTCAAGACAAAATCTATTCTAATTCGGTTGGATACTAACAGTGATCGGTTATTTTACCGTTCTTACTTGGATTATAACCCCACTCAAAACCGATAAGTCAAGTATGTAACCTACCAAGACCATAAGAATTCTGATCTCTCCACAACTATCATATACACGAGTATGCAATAAGAAAGACTGCAAAAGGATATGTTCACTTCTCATTACCAGATCTGAGATTGGATAGGGACTCTACCCATGACAATTGTAGAAACAGAAAATACACGTGAAAATGAAATTGTTCAAATAAAGAGAAACCACCCCAAAATGCTAGCAGAGTCACCGGAACAGGGAAGAGCCATTACAGCCTATTCAGACACTTTCATGTTTGAGTTAAAAGAGTCATCCCAACCGACCATGTAAAGCTGCTCAAACCCAGCTTCTAAATTCTATTCTCCGACGCAAAAACAAAATAATCGAACACACATATGCCATGCTGCGTATACCGCATTCATAGCCCGTTCTTTGACGCTTCATGACCTTGATAAGCCAACAAGTTTGATCTTGTCCTGCTGACTACCTTGTTATCTGTATCTAGCAAGCAAGACTTGTCCTGAGCAGATATCAACTTTTAAATTTGAATACGATGAATCTTCCATTCCATCTCATTTTCACCTAGTTACTTCTCAAGTGAAAACATACTAAAGTAGCTCTGCGTTTATCTCGGATCTGCTCTTGCATTTTACTAATACTCACTCCCTCGAATCATTACCTTGGTTTTCCTTTTACTGCAAGAGTGTCCGTCAATGATTATATTGTGGCGCCTCCTTGGCACTTTTTATCTCGGATCTTAAATTCTTCGCAGGATATAATACTGACAGGTTGCCATCCTGATTCATGAGGACCAATCCATTTCTTCATATCAATCATCATCTCTATGATACATAAAACCTCGCCTAACACAAGATCTTCCAAGCATGCGCGTTTCAGAATCATAGCAGCTTCATATCTGCAAGTGCCGTAAAAAGAATTACAGAGTTTGAGATGTATCTCACATGCGATAAAAAAAAATGAGGAAGAATGTGATTGAGGAGCATAAGGAAGCTAGAAATTAGAATGGATACCTGCATTCAGAAGCCAACAATGCTGATCTCCCGTTCTCAGAAGTTATAAACTTCTTTATCTTATCCCACGTTCCTGCTGGGTACTTTTCAGGATCAGGACACTTGGGATTCACACACATCCACAGGGTCCCATTCTTAGGGATAAACACCTGGAAGGAACCTGTTGTTTGCTTTACTACCTTCTTATACTTGATTGCATAGTCAAGAGCCACCTCCACATCAACATTCTGATGTTCTTGATTCTCCCCAAAACGGATGCAGTAACTAATGTTTGCTTTGCTAGGAGTTACTTTTTCGTGCTTCAGGATATCTAGAGCACGGAGGATAACCGTCATAAGACCATTAACATGATCTGAAGAAGCCAACTGTGGTTGAGTTTCTTGAGTCGCATCATTGGAAGACACGCTAGTGCTAGTAGATAGGGTACATAAGTTTTGTGGAGGTGAAGGACCACGAGGGCGCCAATATTTGGCCTGGCCACCATGCTCCTGCATGACATGGTTTGGAGGTGGTGCACTAAACGAAGGAACATGCAAAGACTGAAAAGAGCCAGCATTGTACTCTTGTGGAGGTTCACGTCTGAAATTAGAAGAATTTGGAGCATAATTTGGGGTTTGAGATATACTTAGCTTCCCAATGTCAGGCACATTGTGAACGGAAGGTGCTGAATGTCTAAATTCAGGTCTGGGTGGAACGGGAGGTGCTGAATATCTAAAATCAGGTCTGGGTGGAACAGAGGGTGATGGATATCTAAAATCAGGTCTGGGTGGGATCGGACGATACCCATGATTATGATGAGTAGTAGGCATATGATCTGATGCAAAAGTAGGTTGGTGTTGCTGGGGTAAGGTATTAGGCCTCAAAGGATAGTTTTGGTGAGTTGAGTTCTGCTGATTCAGGTTCATGTACATGTTGTTACTACTAGGATCTCCCATGGGAGCATAAGATGTATTTGTAAAGGCATTACCAGAATAACTATTCCCGGGTTCCCCGCCTCCAAAGAACTCGTGCGGAGCCTTCTTAAACTGCTTTGCTTGCATATTTCCCTGGCCTCCAACTTGGTTAGCTGCTGCGTTCCCGTTACTACGAACGTGCTTCTCGTTCAATCCGGGATCAAAAGCATTGCCACTGCCATTACCATAGGAACTATGATTCCCAAATCCAGCAGTAGTAGCTGTAGAAGTGACAGGCTGCACAGGGCCTTTAGGTCTCACAGGCTCACCCGAATGCCTACCGCTCTGTGGCATTCCAGTGGTGGAACTGGTCTGGTTGTCATTATCACCGCCGGAGGGTTGAGAAGATACAGTTGGAGGCATTGGAGCACCTCCTGTGCAAAGGCTAGACCAGAGCCAAACCGCGGTGGCAGCGGCAACAAGGGGAACTGAAGCCTTCTGCGGCTTCGCTAACAGGATGTTGTATCTCCGAAACCGAAGCTGATGAAGGGCATTGGAAAAATCGCGATCTCCAGATATAAGCAGGTAATTCGCCGGCGCAGGGTTGTCAACCGCCCAGAACAGCATATCAACCAGGATTCTCTTATCACTTGCATCTTTCACACCTGTTTTTTTTCCCCCCACAGTTCATAGCCACCGAACCATTCAAAGCAGAGACAATTCTCTACATTTTAGTCACTCAAGATTCAAGAACGCTGCTTTTCACAAAAACCCTAACTACAATCTCGCCAGTGGAAGAAAGAAAAAAAAAAACAGTATTGAAAAGGAAAACGAACCGGCGGGGACGTGATTGAGGGTGACGCCGGTGCTTGAGAGAGCCTGCTGAACGAGAGGCGGAATCCGGTTGGTGTCGCCGTAAGCGCAGATGGAGACGGGGCCGCAGTAGTTGACGCGAGCCAAGGCGGAGCTGATGTTCTGCGCAATCGCGTGGGCGTCGCAGTTCTTGGGGACCTGGCAGTTCTCGATGTCCCACCAGACGGAAGTCTTCGCCGAGACGTACTGTGGCTCCGCCCTGAATCCACCGGCGGCGGGTGCGGGCGTCACGCCGCCGGCAACACCCCCGACCATTTACGATTCGAGTTTGGGAGGGATCGCTTCAGAAAAGGATCAACGGGGGAGTCCTAGTGGGTGGAGACGACTGACTATGTACGGCCGCCTTTTTTTCCCCTTTCTTCTTTAATCTTTTTTTTTTATATGGTGAAAATGAAATACTCCTTTGACCTTTTTACTTCTTCTTCTTCTTCTTTATCGCGTCGTGTAGTCGTGTTTTTTCTTCGCTTCTTCCGCGCTTCCTTTTCTGCACGATTTCGCCGAGAAAGGGTGGCTGATTTCACGGTGCTAACTTTAATTGGACCGAAATCAACTCCGCCACCCCGCCACGAAGCCAATCCACGACGACATGGTAGGGGAAAATTCAACATGTTATTGGAATTTTTCCCAAAATAAATAAGTTACTATAAAAAGAAAAAATTCCACCATACCATACTTACAAAAATAGTCTCGAAAATACTAGATTTTGGCGCGATTCGCTCCCGTGTCAAGCGGACTATACACTGGTTCGCTCTTGCGTAGAGATGACAATTTACTCACCCATGGGTAATTTTTGCCCAAATCCAAGTAAAACCATTAATTATGAGTAGGGTATGAGTGAGGTACATATGGATTTGGGGTGGGTTTGAGATGGGTATGGATATTGATTTTCATACTCTAAATGGGCTTGTATTGGGTTTTGATACCCATGTACTTGAGGTTCTAACAACACATAAAAAAAATGGACCTATTTATAAAATTCAAAAAGTTTAGGTACCTAAATGTAATACACAAAAAATTTAGATACTAAAATGTAATTTTCTATCGATATTTTGAGGACTTATATGCAAAAAAAAATAAATTGAGGTACTAACTCTAAATACATTTTAGGTTTAGGTACCAAATTGTAATTTGTAAATGGATATGTGTACAAATCCATTAACTAAAATCCCAACTAAACCCAAATAAATGTGTATGAGTATAAATTCATAAAACTCTACTCATTTACCATCTATTTGGATTATTACAATGACATATCCACGAACGTATTTTGACACTATAAGTGACAAAAAGAGGATTACAAACAAAGATGATACAATGATTCCAATATAAAAAATCATAGTACCCGTCGTATGTTAAAAATATATACTTGGTATATCAAGAATTCAAAACAATGATACTAAAGGTAAAATTAATCACCCAATTGGTGATGATAATGCTCCAAATGAATGTCATTATATCATTATGTTAATTAATATTATATTACTCCATAAATAAAATATTATTTTAACAAATTTATTAGTTTCTTAGTGTCTTTTATTTTTTCTTATAGATATTTTTATTTTGTAAGAATTAATACTCTTGTCATATGAGAAAATGCTTACTAATAACACACCAAATTGTAATGTCTCAAAAGATAAAAGATGTAGAACAAAAAAAGCTATGTATGTAAAAGCTTCGGAAGGGCTACTGTTTTGAGACATGAAATAATATATATGTTAGCCGATGATGCATTACCGAATTATGAAACCATGAATAATTAATACGCATCAGAAATGTGTTCAGAGGAATATATATTTAACTGAAGAAATTTGTACTACACATATTATTACAATTAGTACATATGAAAGTGTAAATCAAAAGTTTACAAGATTTTATAACTTTGCATTTTGGCACGTCCGTTACGATCATCCTAGTTACGATCATCCTAGATAAACATGCAGGAAAAATTATTGAAATTTCATATGAAAGTCAAGTGAAAGTTTAGAGAATTCATCAATCAAAGGACATATTATGTGATCGATGATAATATACTCCATTGTGAAAGTAATTGAATCTATTGTTGTTTTCTGAAAGTGTATGGAGAAAAATACACTCATCATGCGAATCATATAGAAAAATTTTATGATTTTGATTGATGCCTAAACTATATGATCATGCATGTTCATGTTATCTAACCACAACTCGGTGTTTATGAGATTAGTTATTGAATGATGGATATATTTTTAATGATTATCCAACCAAACATAAGTTTGATATGACAACAAGCTAAGCTTACCGATCTCTTGTCGAGGCATGCTATTTAGCATGTGGTAGCATTAATTCACATGAAGCCAACAAGTTATCATAAGTTTCCCTTCATACAAATGATTTTGGTTGGGACCAAACATTTCAAATGCTATAAAATTTGGATGTGCAGAATACATCTCGATTGATCCACCAACTTATATTGGACATGAGTGTCCATTGCAATGAGAGATTTGTTCATGCCTCTTGCTATTTATCATCATTTTGATGAATCATCTTTTTTCGAACATTAAGGGGGAGAAAAGTAAACAATTTGGTATGTATGTGAGTTGGATGATCATCAAATTAAGAAAGATGAACCCAAATTTCATATGATAGAATCATTGATAAAAAAGAAAGGCAAAATACACCTGTGTAGCCAAAACTTTGATGGTTTTGCCAAATATAGCCACTTTTGGCGAAATACCAAAAATAGCCACTTCCGTTCAATTCTTTGACGGTGTTAACCAAACGGCTGACTGGACTAACGACATTGCTGAGTTGGTGACATTTTTAAACAAAACATTGCCACATAGATTAATGAAAAAATTAATAAATAAAAAAATTGCCCAAACCCCACATCCCCCTAAACCCAACTCCGTCTCTATTTCAACCTCATCGATAAAAAAAAATCTCTGATTCCACATCGTCTCCTCCATCTATGCACAAGTTCTCTTTTACCCTCTGTTCCGGAAGGAGAGAAAAGGGGGTGAGGGAAAAAGCAAGTGGGGAAACACGGGTACCAAGGAGCTTTCCTCTGTTCTTGAAGTTGATGTACAGGAGGAAGGGAGGGAAAGTGACACTGTAGGAGCCGACCCTCCGATTTGGAGAGAAAGAGAGTGAAGGCCACTTTTGTTGGGTGTTGGCTATTGGGTATAAGGCTCTTTTTTTATTTCTTATTATTATATTAATTAATAAGGGGACTTATATGGGAGACAAATTATATTTGTTTTTTACTTCAACCTTCATTTGTTAATTAGTCCACTATTAATTGATTAATAAATTTAAAATAAAACCAATTTATCTTTTGGGCTAAATAATAACTACCCTATTATTTTATTAATGGCCGGAACACGTTTCTTTTACCTAATTAAGGACTCGGTTTGTTCAAGCTGGTTTTCTTTTTGTGATAGTTTTTTTTACGAATTTTTTTTTGTCATAGTGGGTTCTGGATTAAGGAGATTAATTAGAGATTTTATAAAATATAAAATAATTGGGGGCTTTTGACGTAGAGGCCATTTAATTGATGATAAGTGATTATTATTAAAATTAGTGTATGTAAAATCATACTGTACGGCGTACGATCCATATGGGTGATTACGTCACGTATAACGTTATTTTACGCGATACGTAAACCTGCTACATGATATGTAAAATTGTGTTACGATCCTTGTAAAAACAAATAAAAACAAACTGTGTCACAAAAAAAAAATTCAAGTCATCTACTTTTGATTTTTAATAGTGAACAAAATTAGTAAGAAAGTACAAATTTAATTCACAATTCATAACCAATGAAAATAATATCAACATAGAATCAAATTATTTTACTATTATATACCCAATAAAATAACATATCCATCACAATTTCCAATACACATTTTCCTTCTCACTTTCCTCCATAAAACACCATTTTCCTTCCAATTCCCCTCACCTCCAAATCTCCCCTCCCCTCCTAATTTTCCTTCCCCCTAAACCCAACTCCGTCTCTATTTCAACCTCATCGATAAAAAAAAATCTCTGATTCCACATCGTCTCCTCCATCTATGCACAAGTTCTCTTTTAGAGACCCATTCCACCATAGTCTGCTCAATTGAAACCCAGAAACCATTTCATCTAAAACCATCTCAAAACTTTGAAACCCCAAATCCATCAAAACTTGAAACCCCACATCCCCACAATTTCTAATCTGCTATCTCCACCAATACAGATCTAAATTCCAATCTCCTATTTGCTCAATCGACCGCTGCATACTCGTTGTCGTCGCAATCGCCATCGTCAATCATCATCGTCGTCACTCCCTCGTCGCGCCTACTGCCGCCGCCGGGCCGGGAGGGGTTTGGGCCGTTCAAGCCCGACCCGATTTTTGGGGTTACGCCGCGGCTCCACACGAGATGGTAGCTCAACACTCGAGTCTCTTTGTTCAACAGCAGCAAGTAGCTGCGGCGGCGGCGGCCGCTACCATGGGGGAGGCCTCAGCAGCTAGGCTCCAGATAGTGGTAACTCGCCTCTCCCGCCGTAGCTTTAGCTGCTGCCGCCGTCGCGGTCCTGGTGTTCGGCTCCGCCGTGAAGATCTAAAAGACAGTCGTCTCCCTTGTGCTTCTGAAGAGATCTGAAATTTCAGATCTGATCCTCTAGGTACTGCGTGGCGCCGCCCACCCCTTCTCCCCACTCCACCTCCAGTCCACGATAGTCACTCTGGATCCATTTCGAACACTTTCTGTTCTTATCGGATTAAGTATAGCAGAAAAAGCAGAGCAATTGATCAGGTGAAAGAGTAAGAAGAACAAGAAGGAGAAAAGGCAGAGGTAAGGACTGAACGGGACATATTCGTTCCCAGTAGAGAATTAATGGCTGCTTCAGCGGAGAGGAGTGTTTGGATTGGAAGCAAGGAAACGAAATGGGAAGAAAAGAATTAGGTAGAGGGAAGAGAGAAGTAACAATGGTTGTGGCTTGTGTGTAGAGTGCTGATGGGGAGTGAGAGGGTAAGAAGGGATTCTTGGTTTATTTATTTATATATTTTAAATATAAATATAAATGATGTGTCATCCACCTATTATTGGAGAGTGAGTTATTGATGACGTGTCTGGTGAGTTGGCAACGTAGTAAGTCAATCGTTAAAATAACTAACAGTGTTATTGACACCGTTAAACTTTGTAACGGAAATGGCTATATTTGTCATGAAATTTTCAAAATACTGGCTATATATGGTATTTCTCCAAAAATGGCTATTATTGTCACAAACGCGAAAGTTATGGCTACATAAATGTATTTTGCCAAAAAGAAACAAAATAATTGTCAAACATCTTTTACTCATCAAAGGAGTGAATATGTCACATGTCCAATTGTGAATGTTCCAATACAAATTGAATCGCAACGAACCCGTTTCCAATTAATTGAAAATCAAAGGCATTTTATTAGAAACAAATGTAAGAATGTTGTTCAACTATATAGCATCCTCTCTCAGCCGTGTTGAAAAGTCGAGATTCACGCAAAATTATTAGCTTTGGCGTATCTGTTGTTTAAAGAAAGAGATAATTTACTGCTCGCAAGTCGCAATGGCGGTATCTTAATCAAAGATGTGGAAAAAGCCGGAAGAGAAGGCTGGCAAGAGAAGAGAAGAGAAGACTGCTGCTGCTGGCAGGGAGGAATGATACTTTTGTGAACTCATTCGTTCGTGTTAAAGTCAAAAACAAAACCTCCTCCCTCCAACCACTCTTCCTCCTCTCTCTCTCCCGTCTCCATTCCTTCGCTCATCGCGACTTGTCATCCTCCGCCGGCACCTTCCCCTCCTCCTCCTCTTCGCCCTTTGAATCGGGGCGCAGCGTCTCACCGTCAACGCCAGCGCCGCCGCCGCTTCACCATTTCTAGTTTCCATTTCGCGCCGGTAGCAATCTGATCTGCCTCTCCTCTTTTTCTGTTTAATTCATTAGGTGATCCTTTGTTCTCTTCTTCGCCGGCAGTAGATTGTGTTTCCTCTTGAATTTTTGGGCTTTGTTTGTTTTTGTATTCTTCTTCGCCGGCAGTAGATTGGTTAGTGTTTGGTTCGATCTGCCTATCAATTGGCCATCTGGATTCACTCTTTTTGCCTCTGATTTACTCTTGCCTTTCACAATTCTGCTACTTCTTGTGATTTTTGCACGGTTCTCTCTGTCTCTGGTGTTCTTATTCGGAGTCTTTGCTTATTCAATACTGTAAGGAACTTGCTTGAATTTTTTCTCTTGTTAGGAATGTTTCTAAATTTGGTTTCGGCTATCCATATATAGTTAGTTCTCATTAGCCAATTGGTGGATTCTGTCTGAGTAGGGTCCTTTCTTTAGTTTGGTAAAAAGTAAAAGGAATGGATTCCATGTAATGGGGATGACAAGTAAGATAGATCGAATTTGGTTCCTCTCCGTGAAGGACTTGGTGTTTGTACCTAGGTTCCATTCATGTTGCTGTAATAGTCGGATCTATGGTTCGTGAGTTCTGGTTTTCAATTGGTTGAGCTGAGGTTTAATCATTGCTCAAGGGGATGGGAGGGACATACGGGCAACAGAAACTGTTTTGCATTGACAAATTCCATGCCTCAACTTGAAAGCCTGAGAGATTCTATTGGGCGTAAATTTTGCGCTTATTCAATCTGGCAATTGATCCAGTCTTTTATGCATTGATGTGCTTATGCATGTAGAAGTACGGCCTGCTTGGTCGTATTTGTTACATTCTCTATAGCTAGCCATTCCCTTGATAAATTTTGTATTAGAAGCTTAAGTTTTCTTCTTATGCTTCTGCTTCTGCTTCTCCTTTTCTTTTTATTCATTTTAACTGAAAGTTTTCTGTTGTGTATTTGTGGACCAAGTCCAAACACAGGTTTATCAAACGTTTGAATCATGAGCTGCTTCAGCTGTTGCGAAGATGATGAGATCCATAAAGCTGCTGACCATGGAGGTCATTATCCCTTAAAGAGTTCCGGAGGTATTGTCCATGTCCCTGAATTGTCTGTGGCCTGTTTCCGAAACAATCTTTGTCTACCACTTTTTCACTCGTTTTGAATGATGCTCAACTGAGCGCTAATATTGCATCTATGTAGGTCTGTAGTCTGGTACATTGTGGTTTAGCACAGAATTATACTATATTAACATTCAATGAAACAACAAATCTACAATGTCTTCCTCTTCATTGCATTTCAGTGCACTGAATGACAAGTATAAAAATTCTGATTATTTCTGATACTACTTGTATTGCATCTGGAAGTGATGAAATCATGTTAGGAAAGGTTGCAATACTAGTTGACTAAGAGTATCTTTCTAGAGTTGATCATTGACTTTCCATTGATGATCATCCGTTTACTCATACAAGGGTTAGGCAGATATTTGTTTTGTGGATACCGCCTTAGAGAAACTGTCCAGCCGGTGTAAGGTAGGATAACTAGACATGGGTTCCTCTACAATAACAGCAATCTAACTAAGCCTTCTACGACTCAGTGGACCATCATCTCTAGGATCAATAACGGGCCTCTGTACCCTTAGCAGAACTAATATTCCAATTGTGCCTGATATGATTCTTAATGGGAAGCCTATCTTGGTCATATGGTTTTGTTTTTAACAATTATTATATCATTATGTTATGGAAACTCACCAAGCAGGAAGTATAGGAGGCCATCATCCCTCAGAATCAGCGCCTAAGGGTGCTCAGGTTATCAAGATCCAGCCCATTGAAGTCCCTGCATTAGCTTTGGACGAGTTGAAGGAAGTTTCAGAGAACTTTGGTACTAATTGTTTGATTGGAGAAGGATCCTATGGAAGAGTGTATTATGGCATTCTCAGGAACGGGCAAGCTGCAGCAATTAAAAAATTAGATGCCAGCAAACAGCCTGATGATGAATTCCTAGCTCAGGTTTACTGCAGTCCTGAGATCATTGTTATCTATCATTTACTACATCTTACCGTTGCATCTCTAATGTTTTTGTTTACATTTCCCAGGTCTCTATGGTCTCAAGACTTAAACATGATAACTTCGTCCAATTGCTTGGGTATTGTGTTGAAGGAGGGTCCCGCATTCTTGCTTATGAATTTGCATCGAATGGATCACTGCATGATATTCTTCATGGTAATTCCTTGTCTTCTCTTTCTTGATCCCATGCTTTGACAAGTTGCATTTCCTTAAAGATGGGACCTTACACCGGTGCATAATTGAACAAGCTACCATCATATTCTGGCCTTCCATTCACGCAGTTATGTTGATGGCGAATATTGTGAATAATTAAGCCCTTATCAAAGACCTATAAAAAAATCAATTTTAATATATGATGGCATTGCCATAATCTTACTGCTTTCATAAATATGAGATGTCGATTCATGAATCAGAAACTTTGGCCATGGTGCAAAGAGAGATTGGGATTGCTTTTGTTGTTGGTGATATACCCATACCTTGTATTGTACCGGCTCTTGTCTGGAATACCTGTGATCACTTTTTTCGTTACAATTGTTGTTGGGTTGTGGATGCAGGAAGGAAAGGTGTTAAAGGTGCTCAGCCAGGTCCTGTCCTAACATGGGCGCAGCGTGTTAAAATTGCTGTTGGGGCTGCAAAGGGCCTTGAATATTTGCATGAGAAGGCCGATCCCCATATCATCCACCGCGACATTAAATCCAGTAATGTTCTGATTTTCGACGATGAAGTTGCAAAGATTGCTGATTTTGATTTGTCGAATCAAGCTCCTGACATGGCAGCACGGCTTCACTCTACTCGTGTACTGGGCACATTTGGATATCATGCTCCCGAGTAAGTTTCCGGTTCTGCTGATAAATCATTCTCCAATTGAAATAGCTTGCAGTATTGGAAGTAACACTTTGTTCTTGGTTTCTTCTTTCTTTCTTTCCAGATATGCCATGACTGGGCAGTTGAATGCCAAGAGCGATGTGTATAGTTTCGGGGTTGTGCTTCTCGAGCTTCTGACCGGTCGCAAACCCGTTGACCACACGCTGCCACGTGGACAGCAAAGTCTGGTCACATGGGTATTACTTGCTTTTTGTTCCCTTCCCTGTTCACATGCATATTGCTATACATTATTAAGAAGCTTTTCTAACTACTTTTTGATTCCCACGACGAATCTCTTCTGTTTTTATTTTAATTGCCATAGGCTACACCTAAACTCAGCGAGGACAAGGTTAGACAATGTGTTGATACCAGACTGGGAGGAGAATTCCCACCCAAGGCGGTTGCAAAGGTAAATCACGAAACCGAACATTTCTTCTCTTTTGGTTGTATATAAAAGAATATAGATTCTCTTTAGTGTCCATTATTGAAGAACCATTCCATATGCCATATGCCCCAACTACCCCTTTGGACCCTTATTATCATACTGCTAAATTGTCGTCAGCCTACATGGAATTTGCATTAGGTATAGTGACACCATTGACATTTTTTTCTATTAAACTAAATCGAAAACCCTTTTCTTGCGTGCGTATTTTCAATGATTGTGAAACCGTACTGGAAGTTATACCAGAAAAAGTTAGTGGTAACGGTATTTTGTATTAAAACCGTGGTTCAACTGTTTAGTATCGTTAAAAACTGTCCACTCTATCTGGAGTTCAGCATCCGGTATTTCCTGTTCGGCTAGGATTTCTAAAACATTGTGGTACTTTATGCAGATGGCTGCAGTGGCTGCCTTGTGCGTGCAATACGAAGCTGATTTCAGACCGAACATGAGCATCGTCGTGAAAGCGCTGCAGCCTCTGCTCAACGCTCGGGCAGGACCTGCAGGTGAAACTCCAGCCGTCTGATTCTCTCACTATACTCTCTCTCTCTCTCTCTCTCCTTCGTTGGCATGTTCATGTACTGGAAGTGGGCACATTGGTCACAGTCAAATTTGATTTCTTTCTTTGTTTTTATTCTCGGGGGAGAAGGAACCTTCCCTGCCCTACACGCTGCTTCTCTCCATTTTTGTTACGCAATTTGTTCTTGTGTTCATAATTCGAGTGGGTGTTCTGTGTCATATTGTTAACTCTCTAATATATAAATATACATATATATTCAGATATTTTAATTACTGGGTTGTGTATGTACTTCAATACATGCCATGTTCTATTACTCTTGTTACTGTAGTATTCTTGTTATCTCACTGCTTGGATTGGCCTTGGTACTCTAGAGCGAACAAGTGAAGAAGCTAACCTTTCAAGATTCAACGAGTAAATTATAAAAAGAGTGAGGGACGCAATGGGTTGGATTGGATTGGATTGGGTCGGGTTGTTCTAAACCTAATAGAACATGGGTTTATGGACAGGTTCTCAACTAAGGGGTCGTTTGCTTGTTGGATTTGGGTCATGGATTTGGGTACCAAATCCCAAGGTTGATGGATGTATCATAAGTCCATTGTTTGTTGAAGGGTGCTAAATCCCCCACGGATTTGGTCTTTATTTTGGAACCAAATTCGTGACCCCACGAACTTGTAAATCCCACATATTGATTTGGGATTTGCAAATCCTTGATGGTTAGTTATTTATCTAACAAATCCATTATCAAATCTATCATGCAACATTAGACTCTTCAAATCCATAATCCAATAAATCCAACATTAATCCCAATGGTTTTATTGGCCAAAACCCTCATTTTTCAAATCCAACAAGCAAACGACCCCTAAATGGATATCCACCTGTGTTGCTATGCATGTGGGTATTTATGGGTTCACGTCTTTCCAAACATAATCATACGTATTTTTTTTCGAACAATCACATAATAGTATTGTGGAAATTTTCTCTATAATTAGGTTTTGTAAAGACTACCAACATCCATAAATTATCTATATTATCAAATTTATATTACTATAAAACTAATAGCATCTATAAACCGTTCATAATATTCTAGTTAGTTACAAAATGGTGTCGTTTTGCTTGATGAATATGGGCAGGTGGAAAGCGGATTGGGTTTTGGCAAATCACAAATCCAACCCCCAACCCGGCACTCGACTCAATTTTTTTTAGATACTTGTATATTATTATACATGCATTGATGACAATACATCAATTTAACTATCACCAAAACCAATTGAGTTATTTATGTCTAACATTAGTAAATTTCTTTGAATCTGTACCTCGAAAGTAAGTGGGGCATTATCAATTGAGGTTCACTCCTTGGATAGTACATTTTAACAATGGAGCTACTTGCTTCCAGTCCAGATAAGGAAGTACAAACAACGCATTAAAAACCTGAGTCATCTTCCCATTCCCCCATTGTTAAGTTATGTCTTTCCTTCATTGGGAGGTGGTGGAATCTAGTGTTGCCTTTTGTTTGTGTGTATCTCATATTCTGATTTTAGAATTGTTTGTATGAGTTATATACAAAATGAGTCAAGACATTTGAGAAATGTGAATATTTGAGAAATGTACACTGATGAGGTGGAGTTTTTTTTTTGACAAAGATGAGGTGGAGTTGAAGGCCGCAACTCCGATGACACGATGAGGTGGAGTGAATAGAGCTTGATGGAGACGATGAGATGGATGACCCTCTTTGTCGCTTGTGAAATTTGGGGGAAAGAAAAAAATCAATTACGATTATAAAATAATTATTCCTAAGTTGTTATTTCAATTAGCTCGTTTTGAATTATTTTAGTTAACTCACAGTCAAATTACCACAATTGATATTTTTGTTGTCAACGATTATTTGAACCAACCGAGAAATATGTTTGTTGTGGTAGGTCCTACAATTTATTGTTAAACTCAATAAAAACAAAGACCCCCAATCAACGGATTATGGATGCTGTAGATGAAGTCACTAATAAAGATTTGAACACTTGGATGGTCTCTAAAACCAAAACGAGGTATTTCTTGTTGATAGCGTGGATATGTGATGGAGAAAGTACAATATTTTTCTATGTATATCTCGTATTTGCCTCGTACAAAAATTTTGAGATGATTTCAATTGTATGGTTAACAGGTTAAGGACAAAATTGAGACTTGGATCATGTCCTTAAATCTAAGATTTAAGAAGTATTTAAAGTTAATTATGGTCACTAGAGAGGCGGGTGGGGACGATTCTTATAGCAAGTTTGTTTATTCAAAAACGTTTCGATTAGTACTTGCAGAAACAAGATCCTAAATTCTGGTTTGCAAGTATAATGGAACTGTAGATTAGCGAGGTAGATTCAATTAGTTGATTTTATTTATGTGGATAATTTGGTTTGGTTATTGATTGGGCTTATTTTTCTAATTAAATTTAACGAACTATATCTCTTTCATTAAGTTGTGATTCAGATTTTTTGGCATCAGAAAATTATATTAATCTTGTTGTTCAAAATGATATCATTTTTTTTTATATATATTTTGGAGAAAAAACTTAGTCATATATTGTCATTCTAGCTATACCATGGTAATAATGTCTGATAGTGCATAAGATTATATCACGATGGCAAAAAATATATTATGTTGATATGAATATATCATATAGTAGAATAATTATATACACGATATTAGAAATATACTAACCATTTTTTCCCACCATCTACCTGCAGTTATCACTCTATACCAAGGGTTTTTTCTTGAAGTAATTTCGGTAAGATAGCAAATGAGTTAAAACCCGACGAAAAAACCCACATACATCAAAACAACAAGGTTTAGAGGATGGAAGCGATTGTTTTCTATCAAGAGAACATGGTAACCAATTGCTATGCACCCTACTCTTTATTGTTTATAATAACAATAGAAATCATAATGAGGCAGGTTGAGATCAGTATCTTAATACTCATACTTGTCTGATGATAGATCGAGTATTTTATCTTAGCATGTGAAGTTTGACACTGTATATTTATTTAAAGGAAAACAAGATCCGAGACAATTTATTTTTTCACTTAAAAGACAAGAAACAAACTAAGACACGATCAATGTAGCTAGTTTGAGAAATGAAAGTTATCACTTAATTACAATTGATGAGATATTTTATGGATGATATATTATGTGACTTGAAAGGAACTGAGTGATTTATCTCAGTTGATGATGAAGACAAAATGAATCTATCATATATCTATTTGATCCTCAAAATTGTATTGATTGTAGTGGTTTCACAACAAGTGTTAAAAGAGTCATTTTAGCTTTGAACTTCATCAAGAGCAAGATTCTCGAACAATGATAAGTTATTAAATAATTATCTAGTAGGACATACTAAAAGAGAATTCTTGATTCTACAAAAAGAAAAAAGAAAAAAATTATCGAGAACTATAGACATTGAGTGTATTTTATAATTTTCAGAATTGGAAAACACGTCACGTTATTTGTTGTAACCTGTATTAGTGAGATTCCTATAAAAAAAATTGTACCAGAGGGATTTTTAAAAAAAATATAACATGCATAAATAAAATTATTGGATCTGCCACGGATTTGAACTGATTAGGTCAAAGTGAATACACATGTTCTTTCCAAAACAGATTATACAGATGGAATTGGATGTATCATATCAAAATTATTAAACCTAAATTACGAGATCGTTTGAAAGTTGCAATTATTTTTGTGAGATTGTTATTATACTTGTATTGTTGAGGATGAATATTTTTTCTATTTTTTATCAGACATAATACATTGATTGTTTCTACGATGTGACAGAAACTTTGTTATATCTTATCTTTCAGCTCAGATTGTTGAGATAGTTGAGTTGAAATTTTTTAACCTAAACTTTTAGCTTATGTGATATATAGAATCCTGGATATCAAACATTTAATTTTAAAATACATCAAATTCAACAATACATATATAATATTATACATATATTCACAACACTTTCCAACCAACCCTAAATATGCAATTCCACATATATTATATTGACAAAATGATATTTTTGACGAGGAGGACAAGAGATATTGATGTTTACAATGATAAAATGTCATTATTATTATGAACAAAAGGTAGGGGAAAGATGCTATGAATACATGCACATCACAACTTATCCTTTTCATTTCTCATTTCCTTTTGTTGTTTTCGTTAATTGGTTAGTGGGAAAGAAAGGACATGCTGTGTGAGAGTTGGCCCCACCCATGTACTAAGAAAAGCAACCCCCAATCCCCACTTCTGAAAATTACCCAACCAATAATAAAAAGCCAAACACTTCTCATGTAGTACACAATATGACACCAAAGTAAGTAAAAAAAAAAACAAAAAAACAAAAAAAAAGCCAAAAGTACCAAAGTTTTAAAAAATGCAATTAAGGGGTCGTTTGGAGTTGCGATTGTTTTGTTGAGATTGTCATTATGCATGTATTGTTTATAATGCATCGGTTTTTTGTTTTTTTAGTAGAAACAATACATGGATTGTTTCTATGATGTGACAGAAACTATCACTCATTTTGAGTGATTGTTATATCTCAACTTTTAGTTGTGATTGTTGAGATAGTTGAGTTGAGATTGTTTTGTATCAGCTTTTAGTTGATGCGACATACACAATCACACATACCAACCGTTGTATTCTACAATGCATCAAATTCGACAATACATGTATAATATTATACATGCACTCTCAACAATGCATCTATTTAACAATCGCAACTTTCAAACGACCCTTAATTTACCAAAAAAAAACATGCATTTATTATCCATCTCAAAACATATATGGGTTTTCCTCTACAATCTTTTTTCTTCCAATTTATATATGTTGATTAATTTCACTATTTTTTAAGTTACAAAATATGCACAATAAATATGCTAAACTCTATAATTACTGCTATAGTTTTGATATTCAAAGCGTGTTCTTTATTGGCTCAAATGTGTAATTTTTTCGTAAATGAAATCCATGTGTTCAATAAATAATTAAAGAAATCAGTGTATACGCAAAATGAGTAGTGTGCAGTAAAAAAATACTATTTTCCATGATTAATACAAAACTTATTATACGTTGTAGAATACTGAAATATACCCAGCCACGAGCACGGGTATGATACAATAGTTCCTTTTTTTAATTATCTTAGTAAATTTTTCGTTTAATATGCGTGTATATTGACCTATATTATATTTAAAAACTTTTATGTTGTACTATTGGTAAATGATTTTATATATATTTTTTCGTTTATTCGATCACTCACGTTCTAAAACCATATAACATGTTTAATATATGTATGTAGTAAGCTAATATGTTAAAATAAAATTATTTATTGGTACAATATTTTACTAATTATGATCCTCATTAGTATTGTTGTTGAAAAATTGTTCCTATGTTAATTTCCGAACTGTTTTCTCATCATCAGCATTTTTATATATATTTTTTATTTTTTAATAATAGTTTTGTGTTGCCCTTGCCCACACCACACCATACACACCACCCAACCCTCTCCCAGACCACACCTCTCTCTCTCTCTTCTTCTTGTCCTTCTCTCTCTCTCTCTCTGCCTAAAGTCCATTCCTTTCCTTCTCTCCCCCCACAAACCGAGCCACGTTCTGCATCATCACCATCATCTTCAACCCATCCCTCTTCACCGCCAAAATCCTTTCCCTCTTCGCCGTCCAGAATCCCGCTGCGATCTGCTCTTCGTCTGCTAACTGGGTCAAGTCAAAGCTGGTCCCTTTATTTTGCGGTCTGGTGGTGTAGCTGGGGTTTGATTCCTTGGGATACTTGCCTGGAAATGGTGGGTTTTCGTACTTTTCTGTTCTCATCGTAGTCTTTCAGAAAGAGGTTGGCTGATCTGTGCTCAACTGGGCATGTGGGTTGCTCTCAATTGGAACCATGGTTGTGTTGCTGTACTGTTTTTGGACTTCTGGGGTAGAAGTGAAGCTGATTAGGTGAAAATTTTTCATTTTTTTTCCGCCACGTTTTTGGGGGTTTCTTCTCCACCTAAGATCCAGTCTCCGTTTGATTGCTGCTGTTGTTTTTCCTTCTTTCCCTCCTCTCTCCGTTATTGTGTATTTTTAGATCTCCGTTTCTTCAATTGAGGAATCTAGTTTCCAGAAATCTAGGGATTAAGCCATGGAAGCTAGATTTGGGACGGAAGCTACTCATTTCTATGGTATGAGTGCCATGGATATGCGGGCAGTGGGGAAAAGAAGCCTGGAATGGGATTTGAATGACTGGAAATGGGACGGCGATCTTTTTATCGCTAGCCCTTTGAATTCCGTACCTTCTGCTGGTATGAGCAAGCAGTTTTTCCCACTCGGCACGGGGAATTCCTCCAACAGTTCGTCCTCTTGTTCAGATGAAGTGAATCATCTGGAAATTGAGAAAGGGAAAAGGGAGACAGAAAAGAGAAGGAGGGTTATTGATGTTGAAGATGACAACTTGAATGATCAGGAAGAAGCGGGTACTCTGAGCCTGAAGCTTGGAGCACATGGATTCCTTGCAGGAGAGAGGGAGATGGGGAATTGGGAGGGAAACAGTGGGAAGAAGACCAAGTTGAATGGTGGAGGTAGCTCAAGTCGTGCAGTTTGTCAGGTGGAGGACTGTGGTGCTGATCTGAGTAAGGCTAAAGATTACCACAGGAGGCATAAGGTCTGCGAGATGCACTCCAAGGCCACCAAGGCCCTTGTGGGAAATGTTATGCAGCGTTTCTGTCAGCAGTGTAGTAGGTGAGTTATTCTAGTCTTGAAATTGTTGCTAATTGCTCTTAGTTAGTAACCTTGTCAAGAGGCAATTGTTCAAAAGTTGATGACACTGGCAGATTTACGAAGTCTTAAATTATTATCAAGCAGAATTTAGGTAGAAAAGACTTGACCTTTCCAAGGTGACTTGTCAATTGTCTTGCAGGTTTCATGTCCTGCAAGAATTTGATGAAGGGAAGAGAAGTTGCCGTAGGCGTTTGGCTGGACATAATAAAAGGAGAAGGAAGACAAATCCTGAGGCTAGTAGCAATACAAATACGGTGCATGAAGATCAGACTGGCAGCTACTTACTGATAAGCCTTTTAAGGACACTGACCAATATGCACTGTAAGCAAATTGTGTGCTGCTTCAAGTTGAGCAATTACTGTGTGTACTTTGCTGCCTTGTTTATAATATAGAGTTATTGTGGAGATCTTGTTGAGACAGTAGTGTACAGTTTGTGATCGGCATATTTTAGTTAATATAATTGCTTCTTTCATGCATTGCAGCCAATAAATCAGACCAAGCGACAGATCAAGATCTGTTGTCTCATCTCTTAAGGAGCCTAGCTGGGCAAACAATTGAACACGGAGGAAGGAACATAGCAGGGCTCCTGCAAGAACCTCGAGAATTGCTCAATAATGGCTCTTTGTCAGGAAATCCCAAGGTAAAATTTAACTCTTCCATTTAGTTCTCGAGGTGAGAGTCCTCGTGTGACGTGCATCTGATAGTAATTATGTTTGGGGTTGGAACAGCAAGCTCAACTTCTGCTTACAAATGGTGCAAGTATGCAGACCTCGTCTTCTATGAAATCCAGGATGCCAGATAACTATCCAGCATGTTCAGAAGTTCGTGACAGTAATCCAGGGCACATGAAGATGAATAACTTTGATCTGAATGATGTGTATATCGACTCTGATGATGGAACTGAAGATGCGGAAAGATCACCACCTCTTGCTAATGGAGGGACTAGCTCCCTTGGTTGCCCTTCATGGGCACAACAAGACTCTCATCAATCAAGTCCACCACAGACAAGTGGAAACTCAGATTCAGCATCTCCACAGTCACCTTCCAGTTCCAGTGGAGATGGACAGGTATTTTTCCAGCTGGTCGAAAATTGAATTTAGGGTGTTGGTATCCATTCTTTTCTTGATAGGTCTATTGTTTCTGCTGTGAAAAATCTTCTGTGATTGGATATCGATATAATTTTAGGTAGTCAAATGTCGAGTTCAAAATATATCTCTTCATCTCTTAATGGTGGAATATCTGTTACTGGTCGTGGTCAGATACTCTTCTATGTGAATTCAGCTTTTAAACATTGTTTCATGTTGTATACAGAGCCGGACAGATCGAATTGTTTTCAAGTTATTTGGAAAGGAACCAAATGATTTTCCTTTGGTTTTGCGAGCCCAGGTACAAACTGATTATATTTTAGATTGGAAACTGTTTTTCTAGTTCTTTCTCAAAATTTCTATCTGAAAACTTTTTTTTTTCACTCTGCAGATCCTTGATTGGCTTGCTCACAGTCCTACTGATATTGAGAGTTACATTCGTCCTGGTTGTATTGTTCTTACCATTTACCTTCGTCAGGATGAGACAGCATGGGATGAAGTAAGCTTACAAATGCTCCGAGTCTTCATATTTCTGGAATCTTTTTTTAACAGTTATGAGGTGGCTTGTTTATAACTCTATTGTGTTATCTGCAGCTCTCCTGTGATCTTAGCTCTAGTTTGATTAGGCTTCTGCATGCATCAGATGACTCTTTCTGGAGAACTGGATGGCTATTTATCATGTTGGAGCATCAAATTGCCTTCGCTTATAATGGTCTGTTCTTTTTTCCTTACCATTTTTTGATATATTATCTGATAATATAATGGTGTAATAACATCTGTTACTTGGTGTGCTTGCAGGTCAGGTTGTTGTGGACACTTTTTTGCCTCTTAGAAGTATCAACAGTAGCAAAATCTTCAGTGTCAAACCAATTGCAGTATCTGAGACAGGAAAGGTTGAATTTTTTATAAAGGGGACAAACTTGTCCCGCTCAAGTACAAGGTGATTACTCAGGTTCTGCACATCAATAGAGAGTTTCATGTCAAATTGTTCATGTTATGTTCGCACTCTTTTATGCTTCATTTATTTAGTTATATACACAATTAAATTATAAGTCATTTGGTTTCTCAATTATGATGATAAAAACAAATTCTCATGTGTCTGTCTCACTTTGGGACCAGGATACTTTGTGCCATTGAAGGAACATATATGGCCCAAGAAGAAAGTGATGAACTGGCGGATACTGTTGACAGCCAGGGCGAAGGCCAGCTGCAGTGTGTCTCTTTTTCTTGCTCTGTTCCCACCGGACTTGGAAGAGGATTCATTGAGGTGCTGTCTCTGAGCTCTAACCAGATTTGTTGTTGTTGTTGTTCACTGACATTTATTTCCCTTGTGATGTCATTTTCTTATTTTCTTGTGTTATGTGGTCTTTTTGCTTTTTGTTGGCTTGTGCATGGCTTAAATTTTAAATTCCGCTCTGGTATCTTGTTTTGGATATAGGCCTAGAAATTCCACTTGGTGAAATTGGTTTCTTGATTTGTCTGCTAAAATTTTAAAATTCATTGATGTCGTTTAAGTACATATTCTTCTTTCATCTGTAATCTCAGAGATTTATTTATTGATACACTTGTCAAGAATATGCTTGTTTGAGTTAGTGTCATCTTAACCGAGTTTTTGATGAGTTGTGGAAATAATCCCAAAGAAACTCTCTTTTTCATGATTTTACATATAAGTTATTAGAGGTTTAGACTATTCACTAGTTCCACATTTTATATGCAAAAACTATTCATGACTCAAGCAGATTCAAATCGTGCACAACTTTAAAGAATATCCAGCTGAAAACAATACCAGACTTTCTCTGAGACGCATCTTTCATGAACCTCTCTTTCCAGCAAAACCATTATGCTTATAAAAATATTGAAGAGCCAGTAATTCATGGCGTACTGTTCTGATTGTTTTCCCCCTCCTAAACTCCATTTTCTGCATGAGTCCAAAATTGTCAAAGTTTATGTGAAGATAGACATGCTGTCGCATGGATAGTTCTCGAACCATGATTATTGAAGATGCTCTTCTATCCAGTTTGCTTTATGGTCTTTGCAGCCTTTTTCTCAATCTAAACCTTCAGTTTTAAGTCAAAGTTTGATTTTCTTAAGTATGCTTTCTTGATTTTCCTCCTTATATCCAGATTGAAGATGATGGTATTAGCAACGGCTTCTTTCCATTCATAGTTGCTGAGGAAGATGTTTGTTCAGAGATACGCATGCTTGAAGATGCTTTGGAATTTATTGAAACTGATGTGAACTTGGCTGAGGGTGGAAGAATGGATGCCAAAAACAGAGCGATGGACTTCATTCATGAAATGGGTTGGCTTTTGCACAGAATACAATTGAAGTCAAGATTGACTGACATGGATCCCAACACGGAATTCTTCCCTCTAAAACGATTCAGATGGCTTATGGAGTTTTCCATGGACCACGACTGGTGTGCTGTAGTGAGAAAACTCCTGAGCATAGCTCTCAACGGAATGGTTGATATAGGAGAATACAGCTCTCTGGGTCTAGCTTTGTTGGAAATGGGCATTCTGCACAGAGCTGTGAGGAGGAATTCTATGTCCCTTGTTAATTTCCTTCTGAGATATGTCCCCGAGAATGTGCAGTCTGAAGATGAGGCAGTTTCCACTTGGATTGAGAGCAACAAAGGCTTTCTGTTTCGGCCGGACATGGCTGGCCCTGGAGGTTTGACCCCACTTCATATTGCAGCTGGTAAAGATGGATCTGAGGATGTATTGGATGCATTAACTAATGATCCCCAAATGGTAATTTCCTTCCCCTTATCATGTTGGCTTCATTCTGTTGCCAAATAGCTCATTTGAAGTACACGCTTAATGCCCAAGAAAACTATTCCTATTTTCGTAATTATTCCTGATTTAAGTGCTACTTATCCTATAGACTACTTTTATTTTTTTTAAAAGGAACAAGAATAAAAACAATGAAAAATAAAGTAAAATCTCCCTCCATTCAATGATGGATGTGTGCCTTTGTTGTGGAATTTTCAGGTTGGAGTTGAAGCATGGAAGAATGCTCGCGATAGCACTGGCTTTACACCCGAGGACTATGCCCGGCTACGTGGACACTACTCGTACATCCACTTAGTACAGAGGAAGATCAACAGGAAATCCGGGTCTGGTCACGTGGTGCTGGACATCCCAGGCAAGGAGGCTTCAGAAACCAGCACCGACCAGAAGGAAACCGAAGCACGAACTTCTTCCACCTTGGAGATTGCTATGCCGACATCATCTAAACCTGTCAGCGGCAGCAGCAGCAACTGCAAGCTGTGTAGCCACAAGGTGGCTTATGGGGTACCGAGGCGGTCTCTGCTGTACAGGCCTGCAATGCTGTCAATGGTTGCTGTGGCTGCAGTCTGCGTCTGTGTGGCTCTTCTGTTCAAGAGTTGTCCTGAGGTGGTGTACGTGCTGAGTCCATTCAGGTGGGAGATGTTGGAGTTTGGAACCAGCTAAAAGCTCAGACGACGACGAGAGATGGGATGACTGCCTTGTGAGTTAGGGAAGTGTTTGTATTATGATATCATTAATATGAAATCAAGTTAGTTTAAAAAAGATTTGTATGGCCCTATATAAGAAGATTTTAAAGAGAGTTTATGAGTCTCGTCTTTGGGAGACAGATTACCCTTTGGTTCCTGTATAACAAAAGAAGGTTTCTGGACAGACATGGGAGTTCTGAGATTCTGCTAAACTTAAGCAATGTGATTTGACATATTTATTTGTTTATTATTTATTTTTGGATCATTCTCATATCATATGATCTTCTGCTACGTGAATTGGATCAAGACTCAAGAGGTTTGAGGGGGAGGGGAGAGTTCTGTCGTTCATGTTCACTAAGGCCAAGTAATGAAAAGCCAACACAACCGAATTCAACAATAGACAGACTTCCCTCTTTTAAGTTTTCAGATCAAACTTCTTCCCCTAACAGATCAAGAACACCTGTGACATAGTGCAGAAAGTTAAAGTTTATGGTTTCTGGTATTAACAGAAAGAGAATCTCAACATTTATCTCTGAAAGGGATTGTCAGTGCTGCTCTGTCTAATACTGCTCATTTGATGTACAGCGATAGATCTGGTTTCCTATCTTGTCTCCTTGAGTGTGGGGGTTAGGTACTGCCGACACAATGAACTTCATAAAGAAAAACCAATGTAACCATTGTTGCCGTGGCATGTTCTTCAAAACTACTGCAACTTGTTCAATATATATAGGACGAATTGCAAGTTTGGTCACTCGGTTTATCAATATGGTTCACATTTTCCATTCAAAAAAATTCTCATTTTCATTGGTCATCGATTTTATACTTTTATTTCACCATTAGTTATTGACTGTCAAATTCTATTAAGTTTGTCCTAGGTGGCAGTCAATTATAATCTTTGACCGTTAACTATATAATGTGACAATTTAAAAAAGCAAATATTACCGTTAACTATATAATGTGACAATGGGAAAATATTTAGATCCAACCAATCCATTTGGTAGATTTTGATTAGTTGAATTCTCTTTTTTTTTTCTTAATTAATTGTTTTTAGAGGTCTTATTGTTAAATAGATGTGTTGTTGTGAATACGTATATAATATTATGCATGTATTGATGAATGATAAAATATAGTGTTGGTATGTGTGATTGTGTATGTCACATCTAGGGGTGTGCACATGGGTGGTTAATCCGTAGATTGATATCGATCCACCCGCAAGTAATGGGTGATTGATGTGGGTGGATTGCGGATCTATAAATCTCTCACCGCACTTATGTGGGTGGGTGGTGGTGGATTGCGGGTCACCCAAATGACCCCATCTTATTTTCACATCAACAATTGTTGTTTCTTATAGTATCTAATATTCATCATATTTCCAAACCGCACAACAATCTCACCATATATACTTCTAAAGGTGGAGAAAAAGAATAGTTTTGACTATTATTGTTGGTTATTGTGTTGTGTAAAATCTATTACATATTGGATATTTGAATGCGATAATATCCATTAAAAATTGGGATGAAAACTATAGATTATTAATTGTATCAAAATCAAAAAATGCAAATGTTTCTCTGCACAATTGGTTGATAGAGTAGTAATTCTTTTTATACAAATACTTCATGGATTCACTTGAGACAAAATGAGAAGTGTCTATATTGATACAGTCTTCCTAATTTGCTACGAGCTTATTATAAATGTTAGTCAACTTTCTTAATTTCTTGTTAGAGAATTGCTTTTGCGAGATAACCCACGACCCAACCGCACTCATCCGCTACCCACCCAACCCGATCCACAGAAGAATGCGGATGGATTGCGGGTCACAAATATTCCAACTCGCTAGTAAGCGGGTGAGTCAATTTGATACGAAAACCCACCCAACACGCCCATTGCCCACCCCCAACTAAAAACTTAGATAAACAATCTCAGCTAAAAGCTGAGATATAACAATCACTCATTTTGAGTGATAGTTTCTGTCACAGAAACAATTCATGTATTATCTATGCTAAAACATTAAAAAAAGATTTCATTATAAACAATACAATTATAGTAACAATCTCACATGTTATTTTGCAGGTGACCTTTGGCGATGTTACCCAAGTAATATTATGGGTTTGCTACTCTGATTTCAGTTTCACTGAGTTCGATCCATGACTTTCTCCCTGCAAAGGGTAGAAGTTATGGATTCTGCTTATTCGGTAAAGGTAATTGTAGGCTACCCATTTTGTGGCATCAAGGTGCTATAATCGTTAGACTTGAAAAGACTTTTCCTTTTTTATTTGTGGTTTGACCTACAAAAGTCGTTTTCATTATAATAGGTATTCGCTCTTCCCATTTGGAACTATTTGTGGCAAAAAAAAAGTTATAACAAAAATGCAATAACAATGTGAGTATGTGACATATAGGATTAGACATCCAGGTATTAATTCCAGATTCCACTAAGAGCGCGTTTGGATAGGTGTATTTCAAATGTAAGGTATTTGAATGCATGATTTTGAAATGGATGTATTTGAAATACTAGCATTTGAAATACATGTAATTCAAATTTGTTCTTTGGATACTCATTTGTAATTTGTTTGTATTTTGAATTTTATGATTTTTTATTTTAATTTTGAATTTTCTGGTCACTTACTACAAATTTTGGTAAAATACAGTCTGGAACCCAAAAAAAAAATTATACAATTTAGTACCTGAACTTTTAAAATTTTACAAAAAGGTCCTGAAATTTTTATGATAAAATTATGTTTTAGTTCCTTTATATATTTTTCCTCACTATAGTACCTAAACTTTTAATATTTTACAAATAGGTCCAATATTTTGTTAGGAGGTATTTCAAAGCACTAGATGTTGAAATGTATTTGAAGTTGACAAGTAATATACTAGACATGTATTTGGAAATCAATCTATGAATTTGACACAAATTCAAATACTAAATGTAATTAAATTTGATATTTAAAAATTCAAATCACAAATATCAAATTTAAATCATTATATCCAAACACACCCTGGTTAGGTGATTAAGATTCCCTCTCCAACGAATGAACGAATTGGTGTACCGCACAAGCAGCAGCGGCGGCTCGGACAACCGATCGACGGAGAGGAATCAGAATAAAGGACAACGATGCAAAAGCAGCGGCAGGCGCATCCGAAGAAAAAGAAACACAACAATTTGACCATCCACCGGCGGACTTACCGAGCATCCTCGCACACCTACTCAGTCCCTTAAAATCAAACTTTATGTCAATACATTTTTTTTTTCTGGGTATAGGTAAGTTTTGTCCCCTACTTAACATGCCACTTTACAATCTTTTGTATTAGTATTGTCCTATACTAAAACAAAGTTATCCAAGGTTGTTAGCCCACTAGTCGATCTGCGAGTTGGTCCAGTTTGATTCAAATTAATTTTTAGGAAAACAGGAGCCACACACCTGTAGGTCGATACTCAGCAAGATTTTCGACTCGAATATACACCATCCTTTTCCCCTTCGATATGCAAAATGAGCATTTTTTTCGTTTTTCCGCTTCCCCAACCCTAGTTTTGGAATTTTAAGTTGAACATTTAAATATTAATGTTATATGGGTGTGTTCAAATTTTCATTATATGTTGGATCCAAGTACGAACTGTTATTTTAGTGTAATGTCATATGTTATTATCCACATGTTAGATGACATTTGATATAACTTATAAATATACGAGCAATATAATGATTCTTTTCACGTATCCGAACTAACGCGAATTAGATCATTAACCCTAAACAACTTTCTCGATCGGATTAATGAGCTCAATCCGGTTGACAACTTTGAAGTTATCAGATCTATCATTCCCTTTCATCCATTTTTCTATCAATTTGTAGTTGTATTGGCTGAAATTAGATCTACTATTTCATTCATTTTCTATCGGTTAGACTGTTATATTGGATGAATTAATTTAATAACAGTGTGAAAATATATTTTTTTAATAAATAGATACACAGCACATCTTAGTCATTCAAAAAACCAACTGAGGTTCAGAAATTCCATGACAATCATACATAATCTATATCCGTAACTTAACATCGGCAAACAAGACAAAATGTAAACCAAACGACAAGAAACAAGATAATCGGCACACTTATTATCCTCTCTACATATATAATAAATAGACACTTTCCAGTTCTGAAGAAGCAAGACAATCAATCAACACACATATTATGAGAACTAAGACACTTCTCAGTTGTGAAGAAACGGGGGGGACCAAAACCGCTTGATGATAAATGCCTGATGGTGGTACTCCATTGTTCCAGTACTAGTAAGCAGCTGAAAATACCACGTTTGTACAGCTTTATAAATTGCTGGATCTGATATTTTCCTTCTCTCATCCATTGGCATGAAACACTGAATTCAACGACTAATAACAGAATACTGCAATGTTGCTGCCACGCATATATCAAAATACTGCTAATACAAAATCCACCGCAATCATGCTTTCCAGTGGTTGTGGTGCCAATTACAAATTCCTGCACTCCATCTAGCACCGCACCGACACGCACACGGGAAGCAGAATCAAGCCATTTCTAGAAATATAACCATTTGAACAAAAATATCAGAATTGAACACAAAAGGTATCTTCACTGTAAGTTACCAGGACACAAACAGACATAGCATCGCTTCATCCATAGCGAGAAAACAAAAAAAAAACAAACAAAACAAAAGACCCAATTATTTCAGCAAACTATCTGGCCGCAGTTCAGTACAAAGACACCAACGGGGAACGGATAATAGGAGATCAAACTCTCTCTTCTCTTTTCAATCAAGCTTGAGGCTTGTCAGCAACCTTGACCTTGAGCGGCTTGACGACCTCCCAGGTGAAGTCAGGGTCGTCCCTTCCGAAGTGCCCGTACGCCGCCGTCTTCAAGAACCTCCCATTGCCTCCCCTCTTGAGATCGAGGTTGATGGTCATCATCCCCGGCCTGAAGTCGAACGTCTCCTTCACGAGCTCCAGGATCTCCCTGTCCGGGATCTTCCCGGTACCATAGGTGTCAACAAAGACCGACAATGGCTCAGGGACACCAATGGCGTAGGACACCTGCACAATGCACCTGCGGGCAAGGCCGTTGGCAACAATGCTCTTGGCAGCCTGCCTCACGATGTAAGCTCCACTCCTGTCCACCTTGGTGGGGTCCTTTCCAGAGAAAGCACCACCACCGTGGGCACCCCATCCACCATAGGTGTCGATGATGATCTTTCGTCCGGTGAGACCAGCATCGCCGTGGGGGCCTCCAATGACGAAACGGCCAGATGGGTTGAGGTGGAAGATGGTCTTCTCGTCAAGGTACTTCTCGGGGATCACAGGCTTGATCACATGCTCCTTGAGGTCAGCAGCGATCTCATCGTTGGTGACGGTCTCGTCGTGCTGGGTGGAGATGAGGACGGTGTGGACGCGGACGGGGACCATAGCTCCATTTTCGTTGTAGTACTCGATGGTGACCTGAGTCTTGCCATCGGGCCTCAACCACGCGCAGGTGCCGTTCTTCCTGACCTCGGTGAGGCGGGCTCCCAGCTTGGTGGCCAGCACATGGGTCAAGGGCATGTACTCGGGGGTCTCATCGGTGGCATAACCGAACATGTGGCCCTGGTCACCAGCTCCAATCTCCTCGGGGCGCTTGGTGAAGTGGCCGTGGACACCCTGAGCAATGTCGGGACTCTGCTGCTCGATGTTGACCAGGACCTTGCAGTTGTCAGCGTCAAGCCCGACATCGTCAGACACGAACCCGATCTCGCGGCAGGTGTCGCGGACGATCTTCTCGTAATCAACCTTGGCCTTGGTGGTGATCTCCCCGAACACCATGACCATGTTGGTCTTGGTGCAGGTCTCGCAGGCTACCTTGCTGTCAGGGTCTTGCTCAAGGCATGCGTCGAGGACTGCATCGGAGATCTGGTCGCAGAGCTTGTCTGGGTGTCCTTCGTTCACAGACTCGGATGTGAATAGGAAGGTCTCCATTGTTTCCTGGGATTGGAGAGCAAGGGGGAAGCAGATACAACAAAATCAGCGACTGATATTGTAACCCAATAGAATTGGAATCCAACTATGCTACAACTATATGGATTGCAGAATCAAAACTCAACAAATATACTACACGCTAATCTTGGTTCCTGAAGATAAGTAATTCGACTGTGATTCGGAAAGGCTTCTGAAAACAACGAATCGAGAAAAAGAAGAAAAAAAAGACGAGAGGGATTTCAAAAGATCTACCAGATTCGGAACGCACCATCACAACAAGACAAAAGCAGAATTTTTTTAAATCTATCCCTAACAGTGAGCAACATGCGAAACGTTTCTCCTAGAGTCGGTAGAGATACAAAGAAGAGCCAGATCTGGAGGAAATATGAACAGTAAGACGCCAGATCTGGCTACAGGAAGCAGCTAAACCACCGAGACGAAAACGAAACAGCAGTTCAAGCTCAAGAATTCATAAACTACATCCATGGCGTTCGAAGGTTTCAACAGATCAAGTCAAAACCACTGATATAATCAATTCCAAAGGAAAGAAAAAAAAAATCTCAGATCTGGAATATCCCATGCCATTAGAGACGTGAAAACGAGATCACAGAGCAACGAAACGAAAGCAAAAAAGGATTGGCGGTTTCGAGATCGGCTGCGAAACAGAGAGAGCAAAAATGGCGGTGGAATGGGAATCAGGGAGAAGAAGACGAGAGGGAGAAACGGGATAGATACCTTGCGGACTTGAGTGGACCGAGCGAGATCTGAAGAGCAAGGGAATAGGAGAAATGAGAGACTGGATTTGGAAGCTCTTAACCAGAAGATCCTTTGCAATCAAGGGCCGACGCACTCTACTCAATTTCAGCGCCCTCTATTTATAGGCTAACGGGCGGGTGGAAGGTGACCGGGTACCGGGCGGGGCAGTCGCCGGTCCAATCAAGTCGGCTTGTTAATTAAAATACGAAATTAATTGGCATTTATATATATTATCATTAATTCGAAAGGTCATCATGTGTATGTCAAGGCTCAAGCGTAAACACTAAACACAAAATAGAGATTTTTTCCTATGGTGTAGTAGGTGAGGTGATTAACAAGATATGTTGTTTTGATTGTAAGTGGAATGATTACTGAGATTGAATTGTTTTTTTTTAACTCATTTACTTCTTTCAAATAATTTCATGGTATAATATGTACAAAATGTATAGATTAACGTTTTAATTTTGTTCAAAAATATATAAAGTGGATATAATTTTGTAGAGCATAAATAATGTGATTTTTCTATGATTTTTTTAAACAACGAAAGAGATATAGACTATTAAGTTTCATGGAAAAAAATTATGGATAGTTGAGTAACTAGAGGTTACTAACCATATCTTCTCTCCTGGTGTATTCATATGAGTATTTATCTGAATGGATACTTAATACGAGTATTTATTAGAATGATTCTTACCTCTTTGTTTGGGCTTTGCTACGAGATTGTGAGACCTTTATTAAGTTCTTCATGATTATGAAGGGTTGAGCTGCCAGAAGGTCAAGTTTTCAAAAGTGACGATTATTTTAGTAATATTGCGTTGGACTCGAATTAGGAGTTGATGGCGTAATAATTGGGAATTGGGGCTACGGGGATCACGGGTAAGTATCATGGGCTTCTGACTCAGCCAAGCAGAACTAAAGTGGATACTTATCACTTTTGTTGTAGGGCGTGTTTTGCGTCGATTGCAAGGGTGGAAGTAGCGTTGTTTGCCTAGGAAAAGACACTTATCAAAGCTGAGGCGAGTGTACTTCCTATCCATGTTATGTCATGCTTTCTATTTCCACTTTTCTTTTGATGTTAACTGAAAAGGTAATTGGCTCGTTTCTCATATGATATTTAGAGGGGAGAGCTTCGAGGTCACTAGGTGACTTGGAGGATGTTGTTCAACGTAAATATGAGAGAGTAGAGACAGTTGAGTTTTTGTTGGTTTGAAAATTTGTACACAAACTCTACCGGGTAAGATTAGATGAGATATTCTGCATGATCCATTTTCTTTTTTTGTGTGTAAGAGAAGCAACCCCCCACCCCATTTTCCTTCACGAAGGGTCGAGTGACTTTGATTTCTTGGGCTTGGCGAAGTATACTACATAATTTCTCGCTTCTTCTTTAGAAGTTCACTACTCCATTTCTATAACGACTTTAACGTGTATATAAAATTGTATGTGTTGCAAATATGCAATTAAAATTACAGTACTAATATCAATGCTCTTACCAACTAAAAGATACCAAACTCTCCTAAAACAAATAATTGCGTTCAGAAAATAAAACCTATAGGTAAGTGTTCTTTCAAGGGAAATTAGGTAAGTGTTTTAATTTTTTATTTTAGGAAAAGGTAAGTGTTTAATTATCACAATAATATTAGCATCATTAAGGTTACCGGTAATCATAGGTGAGTCACCAACCCTCACCAGTAACCAGCTCTCAATGGTTCAACGACGTCATTGGTTGGTGGCAGGCTGGCAGCTAACTGAGAGTAATAAATAGCGCGTGAGGCGTGAACCACTGCGTTTTAAAAGGGAAAAAAAGATGAATAAGAAAGCAAAAATGGGCCATATACATTTTAATCAACTAGAGTATAAAAGAAGTCAAATCTATAAGGGACCGGAAATCTCAATTGGTAAAAAAAAAAAAAAAAAAACAAAACGGAGTTAGTTGGACTCGTAAACATTTATTGTTTATTGAATTTAATTGATAATCTAATTAGTGGTTAACCGATAATCGTATAACAAAAAAGTTAGGGCTGTGAAATGGTGAGGTCTGGTCCGTAGACCGTCTACGATCTAGACCGAGAGACTAAAGCATAGACCATTGACCAGACCATATAGGTCTAGACCAGACCACGCTTGTGCGGTCTGGTCTAGATAGACCACATTTACCCTTTGTTAAGTCAACCACAAACAAATTGAACCAATAACTTAGAAAAACAATTGTTTTTTTTGCCTTAATACATAAAATCCAACATGCATGAATAATTTTGACACCTTAAATCTTAGTAAATAACAAAGATACAAAGTCGAAGAATCCCAACTTGCACCATAACATCACAAACATTAACATAATGTCATATGGAGACACGATCGTCTCTACTATCTAGTGAAATGTGGTTTTGAATGAAGGAGGGGACGAGATTCTAAAAATTAAGGTTGAGACTTGAGTCTCGATGAGGGAGTTGGGAGAGTGGTCGAGTGGGCTATTAACATGTATTGGGAAGTCGCCCAGATCCACGAGTTGGTCTGGTAAACCGGGGTCTATACCAGACCAGACCAAGAAATCAAAACTTCATATAATACAGACCATTATTCACGGTCTACGGTCTGGACCAAACTGTGTTGTCTAGTTTGGTCCACAATTTTTCAAACGGTCTGTTTTATTTTCCCAGCTCTAGAAAAAGTCCCAAAATTTGATTAACAAAAGATTCTAACATATTGCAAATAACCTTCCACCCAAAAATTTAAATGTATTTAAGAGCCAGAACTCGAAAGTAATCTCTCTCTAACTTTCAATTGCAGTCGACAAAGCGAATTTCACACTCTAGTAGCTTTTGTTTCTTTGTTGTTTGTGAATAATGATGTTATGGTGTTTGTGTTTGATGCTTTGTTAGTTGGTTCTCTCCAATTGGATGAAAATATTTGATTATTTTAAATTTATATGTGTTGGAATTTTGATTATGAAGTTGTGATGTTTTTTGTATTGTATTGATATTATTTCTCATAATAATTATTTTATATTAACAATATAGAAGTGTGGTTAAATTGGCTTGAATATTTTTTTTTTGATGAAGAATTGGCTTGAATTAACTGCATGATTATATGTCATTTTTAAAAAGGGCACCACAAAAAATGTAAAAACAACAACAAAAAATGTCGTATGTGGAGGTTGTTATTGGTTAGTGGTTAATCGCCAAACTAACCGTTAACCGAACCAATAATATACGGTTGACCAATAAGTCTTATCAGTTCATTTTTTGCCATGTATTTTTTGCTTAGTAATTAATCACTAACCACCAAATCAATTAGTAATTTACCCACATCAAACCAATTAGCACTCCTAAAGAGTTTTGTGCCAATAGATTAGTTCAGAAGTAAAATCTGAAAATATATAATAGGATTTATATACCAAAATAAGATATCGGGTGTGTTTGTTTATACTGACTTTTTGTTTAAATTTTCTCAATTATAATTTTATATAAAAACAAACAATCATTTTTACCTTTTTTCTCAAAATAAAGCCAAAATCATTATTCACTTTAAAATATACAATTTTTTTAATTTGAAAATCCATCTTACAAAAATAATTTCACTTTTCAACTTTTTTTGTCTTAAAAAATATTCTTAGAGTTATAGTTATGTATGTCCTTAATAATCATTTCTCAAAACTCAATTTACTACTATTAAACACATTATTCACCATCCCATTAACTAACATTCCATTTATTAAAAAAAAAATACTCAGTTCCCATCAACTTTACTCTTTTTAAACGGTTACCAAATATACTATTCCCCAACTTAAGAAAAAAACTAACTTGAATAAAAAGTTTTACAAATTTAAGAAAAAGTGTAAATAAACAACACACTCATCATATTGACAATAGTAACGTTCTTGAAAATAGTTACACGCATGTAACAAATCCAAATGCCTCTTCGTAAAAAAAAGTAAAAATGCCTCTTTGTTATAACAATGCCTCAAACCGTCCCAATGTAACATTTCCACTCATAAACCGTAAACATAGGTCAAATTGTTAACTGACATACATAAAAAGTGTCAATTTCGCCCCTAAAAGTTTAACTCAACCTTCCCCCTTTATTAGGAGAATGACAACTAAAATCACAAATGGAGGTATTCGACTCTTTGCAACCGATTAACATAGCGCATTACTATGTATGTAGTGGGTATGAGTCACACTCACAAATAAATTAATTGATATGGATTTGGAATAGGGATGACAATCAAACCTATGATTGTGGGTATCCGACATCTCAGTCCAGTTAGCGTAAGAAATTTCCGTATTGATTGGGTATGGGTAAAACCCGTAAAATATTTGATGGGTATGGGACGAGTATGATTTTAGCCTCCCCGCCTTGTTTCCATACCCATACGAGCTCCACCAAGAGCATTTCTTCACATATAAATAAAAATCTTATAGATCAAATTGTAACTTATCAATGATAGTGAGGGTAACTCAGGAAAGTAAATAATAGAAATACAATTGCGTGACCACTCAAATCAAAACCTAATTCCTTCTCTTCAACTCTCCATGCACTCTTTCACTTTTTCACTCGTGTTAACAAGATTGTGTTGGTTAGTTATTACTTAGTAGATGTATCAGAGTTAGAGAATAATGATTTGGATTACGTTGTACTCTATCTTATGGATTAATGAATGTTTTAATATAAGATGTTTTGAACAGTATTAAGAACGATTGTCTCTTTGTCGACTTGATGATATAATAGGTGCGTTTAATATTGTAATTGAAAATTTATATGTAAAGTTTAGGTATTATAATGTTGGATGTACGGATCGAATATTACCGATGGATACCCAAAACCCCCAGGTATGGAATGGGTATGAGTTTGAATATTTACAAACGAGGATAATAATGGTTTAGGCAAACCGTCTCCAAACCCACCCCGAATCCCTAACCCGTATATAAAAAGATATGGTCACAATTATGTAAACGAGAGAAATATCAAATCCACATGGCCACAATAGACGGTTCTAATTCCCTATGACCATATGCATTGCTAAAGTTTAGCAATTGCTAAGATGAGTGGAGGGTGAGGTGGCACATGTGTGGCAATTGCTAGTGATGGAGTGGTTCTTTTCAAATTGACAAGCTTCCTAAATTGGCAAGTCTTTTAGCAATGCCACATGTACATATGTGGACCTACTTAATTCTTATTTTATTTTATTTTTTCTTTTTCATCTTTTTCTAGAAAATGATATGATTGTGCATTATATTTTTTAGTTGTTTAATTAGATAGAAAAATATTCATATATATAATTAATAATATGATTAGAAAAGTAATTAGGAAATATATTTTTTAATTAGATAGAAAAACTTTCATATATTTTTGCATAAACATAATATTGGCAAATACATTATCTATTATTAATTATGCAAAAATATTAGTAAGAAAATAATAAATGATATAAATATATTGTAGGTCCCACCAATAGAAACTGCTAAAATTTTGTTGTGATGGAGATTACTGGAAATTGCTAAAGTTGATGATGTGGCTGTGGATAGAAATAGTGTACGATAGAACCATCTACATATATAGAGAAATGTGGAAGTGATTAGGAGTGGCAACTTTGTTTTAATTTGGAGGCAACAAAGGAGTTCGGTGCAACTTTTTGTGTTCCTCCATGAATAAGTGGTAGACTGATGTTGAGCTTGAAGTCATATATTACGAATGGTTGTGTGATTATTAACGTCACAGTTGATTATGTATGTTTTATGTTTGAACAGAAAATGTATATGGTTGGAGAATTTCATTGGATGTACGAGACGATAATTACCAGCGAGTATAAGAAAACCGAGGAAATAGAGGTGTGGATGTAAAATCTCTCCTGTATGGTTATACAAGATTGTCATACTAGTTCTTTTCGTCGTCCTAGACAAATCCTAGTGCTCAAGTTTCTTTTATTTTGAGTGTTAAAATGTATACTTTTAGACCACGGTGCACAGTATGTTGTCCCTCATGTTTTGTGAGTGCACTATAAAATCGATCAACGTGGTTCCCAATTACTAGTCGATTCTTCTTACATTGCTGTTGCCCAAACATGTGATTTGCCCCAAAAGTTTATCTGTTTTGTATAAAGTTTAATACAAATGATCTATTTCTTATAAAGTTCAATACAAAACACCATGTATTCTGTGACTAAAACAAATAAAAAATATTCTATTTTGTAGAATACAAACATTTAGAATCGGAGATTCCAAACGAGGCGTTAATTCGATACATTCCGATGTCATCTTAGATTTCTACTTGTATATAGCAAGTGGCGTCAGCACTAAAGCCAACGAAATAATGAGAAGAAAACACCCGAAAGAATTGAAGGAACTAATAAATGGATCAAAATCAAAGGGGGTTGGTAATAGGAAGGAAACAAAATCTAGGTGGTAGGTGAAGTCTTTGAGAAGTTGAAAAATCCACCAACTCTTAAGAGGTTTCGTGCATAGTTGGAGTGAAAGGATAGGAATGGTCAAAATTTGGACTCAGAAATGTGGAGGTTTGAAATCCTTCATTTGATTCATCCAGATGTCCATTTCAGTTGGTGAATCCACCAACCCCCACCAATCCACCAACCCAAACACATACTTTCCTTTAGTAATACAAACAAATAATTTAATTACAAGAACCACTATATTTTCCCCCCTTTTATAATAACTGAAAATATATTAAAAAATAAATACAATTCATTAGCAATTTTTTTTAAACTTTTCAAATTATCAGCACAACATTAACCCTCAAATAGTAGTATTGTTAGTAATGATTATTTGACAACATAATATCGAGTTGGAAGAGACACACGATGGTTAAACAATGAATTGTAATTTGTATATATATATATATAGAAGCGTTTGTATATTTGTAAGGGCGGAAATTTTACACTGCCTGGGAAGTGGGAAGTATTGACCGCTTAACAAGCCCGACAATTTGGTTCTTAATGCTTTCCCAAGTGGGTTTGGTTAGGTAGGAGTTTGTCACTTACTATATTATTAGTAAAATAAAAACAAAAAATTGATTTTTCTTCTTCTGGAATTGGAGAGAAAATGAGAAATAATGGTTCTTGTGACACCCGAGCATTGAGTTTTTTAAGTTCATCCTAAAAATATTAATTTATGATGATGATTGGTTAGATACTTTTTAGAACTCAAACGAAACCGAGCTTGGTGAATCGTGGATTAAAACCTAACACAAGCTTTGTAATATCTGATTTGAGTCACGAGTTTAGCACTCAAACTCGCTAAACTCGTGACTCAAACTAAAGTAAATGCGGAGAAAGACCAGGTAGAAGTGATGAGCCGAATAATTAAGGAGGTCGGCTTCATGTTACGCTAGGGGTGTGTGCTATATGTCTTTGGTTCATACCGAATTTGAGTTTGGTGCAATGTATACGACAATTTGGGAAAGTGGGGAAAGAATGAGGTTTTCTGGTGAGATTATCAACAGTCGTCTAATCTACAAAACAACACAAAATACCAGGTTCGAGAGTCTGATTTTGGCTTCCAACGATCAAGTCAAAAAGCGAAAACCTAACGAGATAGAGTAACTATGAGCTTGAAGGATGACCAACCCAACCATGTATCGGTCAAGATTCGATCAATGACAAATACGGCAAAAATCGTTATTCCTTTAGCCAAGGGGGATCTCAACCAACATGAGATGATGTCTGTAAGATGGTTGTTTCATTGGTGGTGTCATGAGCTTAGTGTTGTTGCTTGTTTACGTGGGTGATATCAATATAGATGGAGATGCACAAAAGGACATATATTTAAGTTACAAGATCAGTAAGGAATTTTGAAGTGAAGTTCCTATTTTCATTGAAAAATACTTTCTGGGGCAAGAGGTGAACAGAATAGCTGAGGGACTCTGTGTACCAAACCAAAGTGTTGTATGCACTTAGTGATAAATGGAAACAGTTGAGCAGAAAACCACCCACTGCTCTCCTGATGAGTAGAGTTAGCCATTAACTAAAATATTGATTAGTTTCTAATTGGCCACTGGTATTCTGCCACGTGGCCGTATGGATTGCAGTAGTATGTTAAGCTGCTTTCCTCAGCTATATATAAATGGAATGAAACAAACCCTGGAGACTAAGGGTGTTGCCTTCAGAAATTCTCTCTGCAAAGTTCATCCTTTAAATGACTACATGATTTCTTGAGAGATGAGGTTGCTTACAACATAATAAGCTTTCAATAGGAGAGCCGGGTCGAGGGAGAGGAGAATTCTACAGGCAGATACAATGCTTATTGCCTATCCACCCAGAATCACCACAATTGAGCAGCCTTCCTTGAGGACAATGAAGATCTTCCAGTTCTATCTCAAGATAAATGTGGATGAAACTCGAGGATTTGCATCCCCCTTCCCGCAACTGCAATTTGATAGCCGCCGCTGCACGCAGAAAGGATTGATCATGACCGTTTCTAAGATGCTACAGTCAAATAAATTGGATTCAAAAATTTGTTATGGTACTCCAGATTTGTATGCTTACTTGCTGGAGACTCTAGCATCTACTGCTTCTGGCTCAGGAACACTAACAACCAAATGACTCTGTTCCACCATTTTGCAGTGATCTTCTAGGAGCCAGCATCTTACTCTCTGATCAAGACCAGTTGAGAAAACCCATTTTCCATCTGTCCAAACACCTTCACAGACATAAAAACCAATTTTCCAATATCAGTTTGCCAGTAGAGAATAAATGCAAGTATGTTCAGGGAATATTAAGCTCACTTAAGCGATCACCAGACAGAACATCTAGAAACTGAACACTATTATTATGAAATGATAAGCAAGAGTGACTGAAACAAGTCGGGAGAATCGGTTCTTGATCAGACGGATTGAATTATCCAAACCTTTTACAGCAGAGCTATGGGCTGAGGTAACTCTGTTCTGATCCAGGAATCTTATTCTGTGCTGCTTGATATGTACTTGATTGTCATCAACAGAATCCACTAGAGCTTGATCCGAGTTTTTCAATCCATTGGAATCCACCTCAGTTAGTTCAAATGGTATGCAGAACCTAAGACAGTGAAGTGCTTGATCATCACCCCCGCTTATGAGACTGAACTGAAAACCAGAGTCAGAAATTTGATCTTCAAGTACATCAGAGACACTGAGGCAGTTCACCCCAGATTGGTGAACACTATGTAGGATATGTAAAGGAGATATTTCTTGAATGGAGGCTGACGAATAGCTAAAACCACATGACTCTACATCAGGGGACCCATTTTCAACTGCTGAAGAAACTCTCCCGCAGCTACTAACATCATTCTTCACATGGGTTGATGTCACATTGGCAGCACCATCTAGGGTATCTCCACAGGCATTCTCATGAGATCCCAATTCGATTGGAAATGAGCCAACCATCTGATCTTTGTTAGACATTCTACTGCTCAGTGATCTCCACCAGCGCCCACCCTGACTTCCTCTTCCTGTTCTTGGCCTCGTCCTGCAATTTGTCAACTTCTCCTCATCTACTGATGACAACTGCAGCATGAAAGCCTCAATGCTGTCCGTCAGATCCCAGAATGTGATGCTTCCATCAGTAGCTCCACTAATTGCAACATAAGCATTTCTGACAGAGACATTCCCTGGTGGGATATGCATGATAAATTAATGAATTTCAGTGTACGAATGAAAGAATTTATAAATATAAGGAGAGGAAGTGCACTTTCACCAAAAGTGAATGACTAACGTATCATAACATCACAAATGGTGGCTATGAGAAGCAAAGCTCCGTAAAACCAAAACCCAGCATCGTACAAGTCCCACTTACAAACACATGGTATCTCCGTATCTGAAAAATTTTAGGCATGATAATTTATATTATCATGAGCATGCACAGAATTATAAGAATGCATGTCTTTGGTTCAGAGGGTATACATTAAACCCTTCCATGTACTAAAATGTACGGTCCAAATCAGAGTTACGACTAATTCAATGAATTTGATTTTCTTCTGGGTAAGAATATAACTACTAGGACTCTCTTTGGGCTAGAAAATACCATCATTTGATTAATTTCTTTGCCATCTCACATTGTCGAACTACTGCAGCCTAACTGAAAAGGAAATAACCACTAAGCTAATCCTAAGCCACCTCCATGAAGTGGATTCCTAAAAATAAGCTAATAGGATAATGGGACAATTATCCTAAATAACTAATGCTAATGTGAGTAATCGGAATCCTAACACTGAACGGATGGAAATTCTAAAACCAATAATGAACTCACCACTGGAAGGAAGCTGCTGTGGGACGATGACATGCTGCAAGGACAATACTGGGGATGTCAACGGAAACAACATTGAGACATCAAACCTGTGAGAGAAGTGATATATGAAACATAATAATATGTAAGCAAGTGGTTGTCAACTGGACATATATGAAATCACCAACATGGCTACCAGGTTACACATACCATAACCGATGTGGTAAGACAAGTGCTCGCAGAGCAAGCGTCGCATTTGAACAAGAAACAAGAACAAAACAGACAGTCAACCTGAAACGGATAGAAGTGGAAATTGTTGCTTTTAATATTGCAAGGAGTCACAAAGGAAATAAGATATCAACAGAAAGATGGCCTATCACTTTTACCCGGAACTGGTATCCTTCACCAGAAATGCAGTGACAGCAAGATATCTCCAGTCATCTTCACATGTATCATCATAGCAAAGTTTTGATTCAGCAACGACTTTTTCAGGTGTGCTAGCTGCAGATGCCAAATTGATTTCCACACTTGTTTTGCTTTCAGCATCAACTCCTAACTTCCGATCTACTTTTCCTTTGCGATGAGTACTGGAGTTTCTTGCTGGCATATCAGTAGAAAGCCATTTGAATGACATGGGAGAGGAAGATCCCAAAGTTGGCATGTATACATCACCAGAGTTAGCGCTTTCTTCTTGAAGAGAAGTCTGTTTTTCATTAGACCCTCTATCTCTCAACATCCAAGAGGTGAGGACCCGTTTTGCACCAACAGAGATCAGTAAAAACGGTTCCTCCCTGTCCTCAGCAAGCACACCTTGTTTGTTTCTCTGATCACAAATTGCAGCACCTGATGCAGTCATGTGTACATTTTTCACTGTGCATATTGATCTCACAGCAGATCCACCAACATGCTCACCCAGCAATTTTGACATAGACCAGCCCTCTATTCCAGGGATATACCTACAGCAATTGCAGCTCATAAACAAACACTAAAAAGAAAAAGACCAAATGCAAAGGTAAATAGGAACCGATGGACAATAAATGATGATTGGTGTACAGCGTTTGACCAACTATGCATGAAAGAAGGTTGTACTAGTCAGCCTCAACCAGACCATGACAAAACTAATAGGCTCTTCCTGCTGCAGGGCACTTCCCCCCTGTTTTTGTTCTCGTGTCATTCTTTTCTTTTTAATACTATTTCACCATTATTAAAAAAAAAAAAAAAACTAACAGGTTCTTTCTATACATGGTTACCAAATAGCGACATACCTAGTCAATCTTACAGTTCCATCTTCAGAACCAGAAGCAATCCAATTTGAATCTGGTAAAGGTCCTAAAGGAGCAGGCTTAGTATTTGATCTAACAGAAATAAAACACAGGGAATGGATCTCTTGTCCATGGAATTGAACATGCAGGTTCTGGGGATATATCTTCTTCTGTTGTACCCACTTCTGGTGAACATATATGTGCTCGTCCTGAAAGAAAGATAGAAATAGGAGAAAGGCTTAGTCAAGCAATACGATGCATTGCTTCAAACTGTTCCATGGACTCTAGAATTGTATCGCTTGGGAGTTCTTAGATGCTCGACAAAATACTTGCTTGTTGAAAGTAGAGCTACCAGATGCATTATATTCAGAGTTTGCTATCGTTCGAACATATATCATTTTTATCCAAGAGTTCAGAATGGTAGGCATAGGGACCTAAGAATGCAGTGAAGCAGTTTGCTCATGGGACTGGAAGCAGCGCAACCTTGTTTCCTTACTACAGAATCAAGGATTTCAAGTGCTTTATGCGGTTCCAAATGGAGAATCTTACTCAAGGAGCCAACAGGAACCCAAGATGACCTTTTCTATATTTAATTCTAGTGCACAGTTACATGTACAGTCCAAGTGCAATGACTAGACTTCCTCAAACCTACCCAATATGTTAACCAATTATAGACTGCTTGTACAGTTGGAATACCTGTCTTCAGAAAGCTAAATTCTACAGAAGACTGCTTGTATAGTTGCAAGAAAGTGATAAGTCCAACAATTATGCAATATAACAAATTGTATGAAAGTTGACACCATAAAGACAACCTGTAATTTACTACTCAATGTGATGCAAGAGAATGGACAAACTAAAAGATAATTAACGATACCTTAACATATGCAAAGCAATTCTTCACCTCTGGCACATCACCAATAAAATAAGAATGAGGACGTCGCCAACCACCACATGGAATCTGCACGACCTATAGCAAGCACCATACATTTAATATGTCAAAGACAAAAATACATCTATTTTTTGCAGTAATTTACTGATAGGCAACTACCTTTGCTTCTGTAGTTAAGTTCCAGACTATGAAATCCGTGGATGCAAAACCAATAGCGTAGCGGCAGTTAGAAAGGTCATTGGCTGAAGCAGGATCAGAAGACACAGATTGAATCAAACTCAACTCTTTGACTTGCTTCATCCCAATAAATTCTAGGCTCTGCTGATGTCTCTCATATTCAAAAAAGCATATGCAACCATCAGCTCCAGTCTGTACAACGAGAAGAAAGAAAATTAATTTGCTTCAGTCTTCAAACATGGATTTCCAAATAATATAACATGTGGATTGCATGCACGCCAATTCTTATCACAAACAGTTACATTAATTATCTTTTTCATACAATAAAATTGATGTTTCTGTAGCTGTGAAGTTGCACCCGTACAGAAGAACTAACCAGGAACCTATGCAAGCAATCTTTACCACTCATTGCATATTATAAAAAGACCTTACTTTCACCAAACAAAAGAAACCATTACTAGAGAATTCTAAACTAAAGAGTCATTTCATACCGTACGTATTTCGATCTCTCCGGAACTTAATTTAGCCATAGACAGGCTGGATACACTTGATATCCCATGAGCGCCTTTAAAGTAGCTTGTTGGAGTTACATTTATTTCTTGTCCATTTGACGCATTCAGCAACAAGTCTTTCAAAAGAGGAAATAGAAGGAGATTACCACGAAGATCCCCACACAATAGCACCTGTGGAATTTCAGTTTATAATGAGCAGATTAGCTTACAATATACAGAACTAGTACCCAGAATTTCCTGTCAGTTTGACAGGGGAGAGAATCGGCATTAATGTGACTAACACAATACGTCACCGATGCTATTTAACATCAAATAGTGTAGCATCTCTACGAGTATGATAGAAAAACAATAGACCAAATCACCAGCAAAATAAATATTTGTCATGCAAGGCTGAGATGGAACAATTGGCTTACTTCACCCTTGCACAAATCATGAAGAATTTGCAGCACACCACAGTCAGTACAAATTCAATGCTGCACTGAAGAATCTTAGAGAGAAAGAACAAGAGTGATTTAATACCTCATCCTCAAATGATGCATCTAAGCACATTATCCGAATGCCAAAGCATGATATAAATTCTCCAACAAGAGACACACTAGGTCTTTGAGATGGTTGAGTCACAGATAGTAAGTGATCATTCAACCTCCATAGGTGCAAGCTTCCTCTTGGATCAGCAGTAAAGATGAACCTAAAAGCAAGGGACCAGGGATCATTTTTGTATTCATATGCTGCAATGACAGACCAAGGAGGCTAATGAAGTTTCAAGTTCGACTGAGAAGGCGAGATAATGTAAGCCAACATTAGAGGATGAGAAAAAACGAAGCTTGGCACTAGGCATTACGAGACCAGTGATCCAATAGCAACTTTTGTTGACAAAATCATAGACCAGGCCTATTTCTGTCTAAATGGCCCAAATATCTCAAGCCAGTAAAGAAAATGGTTCACATGATTAACTTGTTTGCAGCATTAATGGAAAATCAAACATCATACTCCCACTCTGCTTAAACTTCAGGAAAGAAACCTTCACCACATTAATATATGTCTATGCTCGACTGCTTACAGAAATAAGATTACCTAGATCCCAATGACCTGCACCAATAAGTTCCCAGGAGTTGTCTTTCTTTTCCAGCTGACCAATTGTAGGTGAGGCCCACTTCCGGAGAGGATATATCACCAATAACTCTGAGAACAGTCATGTTTCCTTTACCATCTCCTAAAGCAACCCAGTCATCAAGACCACAAGAAAGTTTGGGCAACTTTTTGGGCAGCAAATCCATACAAACAATTGGCACCTCTTGACTGACCTGGACAAGTTTAGTCCACTTGTATTCCGTGTCTGAAATTTTGGCATGATATAGATAACCATGGTTTGTGGCAATGTATATGGTGTCCTCTGAAGTTAAGTGCATGTTGCGGATATACTCACTTTTGCTGGAAAAATGGGAATAGCACAAAAATGAGAACATCTCCTATATAATTTTATCATCATCAAAACTTTATCAGACTACATATAGTAAACAGACACATTGTACCTGTCCATCAGATTGATGTGCTCAGACGAACTTGGAATCTGACCAGTGAATACTTTCTCGTCCGTTGGCAATTTCAGGTCATTTTGTCCTTCCAAAACCCTAGGTAAATAAGAAGGTAGCTGGTGCACTTTGACTGCTGAGTCAAATCCAGCAGTGATAAGGAGTGATGAGTCAGGGTCATATAAGCATCGCCAGACTCCTCTTCCTCTGCATGTCACCACCAACAGTTAAATTAAAATGTTTTAGCCCCTGAACATGAAGATACCGATACATGAGTAAATAGCCGACCATTGGATAAAAAAAATACTTTATATTGTATTAGACGTCCATAAAGCAGAGAAGTAACTCGTGGCAATAAATTATTTCAGCACAACTTACATATGTTCTTTGATCATCTTGAGCTGTTTACCATCCAAGTCCCATACACGACAAGTACAGTCTTCGCCTGCTGTGACAATTAACTTAAAGCACCAAAATAAAGGAACGAGTAAGCCAACAATCCAGAATTTAAATGAATATATACAGAAGGCTAAAGTATCAAGCCACCATGTCATCATAATGCAGCTATATTGCCAGTAGGAATGATATTTCAACTTGAAACACTATCTGAAGCGCTAAATCTGGAAGTGCAGCGAACGAGATTAGTGTGTGATTGACATTTAGTGTCCAATGGTGGAAAAACCTACTACCAAAGGCTGGATAAACAAATGTCAAAGACTACTATGCCATTTTGAGCCAATTCAGAAATCCCACTCTACAATGAGTGATTCAGTTAAGCTTAACGAGAAGAATAGCATCCCTATCATACATAATGAATGAGAGAGATGGGGAACCCAATTGGAAGTGAAGTCCTTGTAAAGGCATTATCTTCCTGTTTAAAACGTCTTACGGAAAACAAGTGAACCAAGGCACATATTTCAGAACTTACAGATCCAACGATGCAGCAGTCCCAGACTCTAGCACTATGACCATATAGAACAGGGCCAGCCAGCACCTCTTGACCGACCGAATCCCCCTGTGAAGAAGAAACTCGCCAGATACGGGCACTGTATTAATCAGAAGAATGTATGAGTCTATGGTATCGATTGTGAGGTATAGAGGGATAGTAATAATAATAGACTCTACCAGCGATCATCAGAAACGGAAACCAGTTTGGACCCATCAGCGGACCATGCTATGCGGAAGATTGACCCTTCATGTCCTATTAGTTTACCTATATGAGATGCCTCATAAGTTTGCTGGTGAAGCAGCCCCCAAATGATAATCTGACCAGACACACATGAGGCAGACATAATGGCAAAAAGTTCACAATCATGAAAGCCGCACTGCAGGACCTCAAAGGAGTTGGAATTAGCGATGAACAGTATAATCAAATGTCTTGCCTCATTGTAGATGGTTCCAGAAGCAATTCGTAGGGTATCCAGGCTGTCTCCCCATAGCCGCATGGAATATAGAAGGCACCTATCTAAAGTTTCCACAGAAAGAAGTAAATAAGCAAAAAAGAAGAGGGAGCAAAGTACATTGTCTACCACAAACAAGCTAAATGAAGAAGAACACGAACCAGGGGACTGAACATCAACCATCAGAGTAGAATTGGGGATATCCCAGACACGAACAGAGTTATCACCGCATCCAATAGCAAGATAATAGCTCCCATCATCGTGAGAAACGGCTGCATTGCTCTGCAAACAAAATAAATTAACCAAATCAGCCACATTCAAAAGCACGAGAATGAAACAAAAAAAGAGTTCAAGACGGAAAACGGCAAAGTCGTAAATTTTTTTACCTTCAAAAAGGATGCATCCAAAACCCAGTGACTAAACCTTGGTAACGAATGAACTAAAGCCAAATCCACTAGCAGCAGCTGGCTTTGGGACTTGGATTCCAACTGAACAAGCAAATTGAACAGCTTTACCCTCTTTTCACCAAACACAGCAACTCGGAAACTTAGCTCCTTCCCTATGGACCGAATAGAGAACCCAGAACAAACAGTTCCGTGCACGCGAATCCCTTCGAACACTTGAAAAGCTCCGATCAAACTCCCCGCCTCCAAATTGTACAGCAGAAGCTGAGAACCGGAACCTGTATGGAACAAACGGGAAGGAGTTTAAGAAGTTGGTCCAAAGCACTATTCTCCTTTCCTTTCAAATCCGGAGAAGGTAAATCGTACCGGCGAGTAGCAGGGGAAGAGTAGAGAAGTCAGGCGGCAGATGAAGGAAGGATAGAGCTGAAACTTCTCCAAGGTACTGTCCGCAAAGAAGACGATGTTCTCGACTCCGCTGGTCGGCCATCTTGTCTGATCCTCGCCGCCGCAGGAAAAAATCCTTTCCAAAGTTTTGTTCCCGCGGCGAGGTCGAAGCGAATTTCGGCGAGCGGGTAACTGTTTTGCTGAAAACGGCGGAACTGGAAATTCGAACGAAAGGCCCGATAGGTTTATGTTAAGCAGACCCGAAACGGTGGAAAAAACGGCAGTGGAAAAACGTATTTAAAAAAGTTAAAAAAACGTATTTAAAAAAATAGAAAATGCGGTGAGCGTGGATCGAACACGCGACCTTCAGATCTTCAGTCTGACGCTCTCCCAACTGAGCTATCCCCGCACGATGTTTTTAATTAACTTCAAATTATATTGAACTTCCAATTTTATGAAGTGCGCAGATAAAATTATATATCTTCCGTATTGTTTTGGATTGTCTCGTTTTCGTTTAGCTCTGTAGAAGACGGTGCTAACTCAGCAATGGCATCCTCCTTCAAAGCTGAATTCACTCTTGGTTCGTTCCCTCTAACTGCTAAATTCTCAATGTTTCCTTTGATTTCGTGGATCAATCGTACACGAATCGCTAAACTGTGGGGTTTATTTCTTCTCCCTCTCGTTGGTTTTTGCAGAGCAGAGACTATCGGAATCGCGCGACATGGTTGCCAAGTATCCTGATCGAGTTCCGGTAAGAGCTTAGCCGTTTATTGTTCTTTGTGGAATCGAATCGGTAGTGAATCTTTTGAACAAATAGCTAAAGTTTTGCTTAATAATAATGATCTAGGGTTTCACTTTTGGTTTGTCATAGTAGGGTTCTCCAAATTAAACGCATCTCTACGTTACAGGTGATTGCTGAAAGATATTGCAAAACGGACCTTCCCCAAATGGAGAAGAAAAAGTAAGTTGGAAGTTTTTGGTGTTGACTTATTTTTCTGGGCTTGTACTTGTTTGAAAGGGCTATGGTATTTCCCCAAATTGTTCATCATTTTCAAACCTGCTTTGGTGATGTGGACGCATGTATGACAACTGATTCGGATGGGTGAATAGGATTAGCCAGTTGCTTGCTATAATCTTATGATGATGATGATGATGATCTGAATAGCTTGATTAGTTATCCATATCCTTTATATGTTTCCTTTGATTTAGTTGCAAATGTGTGTTGATGCTGTTTGTTGTTCTTTGAAATGAACTTGTTATGTTGGTAACTAACTGAAGCTCTAAATGCGGCATCATATGCATCGACCCAGTTTTGTGGCTGTTTATGTTTCTTCAATCATGTCATTGCCACTCCTCGCTCCCATTTAGGCCTCTGTTCTTCTGTTTGTTGTCCCTTGTTATTATGTCTCTCTCCCTTGTTCCCCTCACTCGAGTTGAACTAGACATGCTCTTATCTGTTTCTAGCTTAATCAGCCCTTGTGGTTTTCCTGACATCTCCTTCTATCTGCGTTGTGTCTAACTCGCAGGTATCTGGTTCCTCGAGACATGTCAGTTGGGCAATTCATTCACATCTTAAGCAGCAGACTTCGTCTGGCCCCTGGAAAAGCTCTCTTTGTGTTTGTCAACAATACCCTACCTCAGACATGTAAACTTCCCATTATCAAACTGCACGAATCTTCCTTCTAGATACTTTGGTCCCTGTTAGGTGTGGGTTTTTGTTATCTATATAATGTGCTGCGACTGACTTCCTATGTTTCGACCGTTATTCTGCAGCCACCACCATGGACTCTGTCTACGAATCCTTCAAAGACGATGATGGGTTTCTATACATGTGCTACAGCAGCGAGAAAACCTTTGGCTTCGCTGGCGTTCGTTCTGATTTGTGAGGATTAGAACAACAGGGTTTCTTATGCTGTAAATTGGTTAGCGTGAATATGCAGTTTGTTTCCAAGCTTCGCTCTGAAGAATCCTGTATATATGTGTGTAAATTCTCATATAGTGCATTTGGTACGAACTTATATGCAAGCGACAGATGGATTACAGGTTGATTCTCTGATAATTCAATGTCAGTGTCATGACTTGGCTAGAAAACTGAATATCGCCTGTTCGATGTATGGTTATCTGGTGATCTCGCATTGCGGTCACCTTGACATAGTTGTTGTAGTCATGAAGGATTTAATACGAGTTTTTAGGGCCTTCACATAGTTATTATAGTGATGATAATATTATCATTTAATTGATGCATTGTGAATATGATAACACCAAAATATTTTTTTGAATGTGATTGGTCGTTTTATTAATACGAAAAAACACGAAATACAGTGTACAGAGTTAGGAAACACTGAAAGAAAGGGAAGGAAAAGGCTGAACAAGTGCAAAACCTAAAGGTAGTCTTACAGCCGCAAAGCCCAAAGCTTGGTCCAAAACAAATGGACAACCCCAAGTCCACCCCTAGCAACCCTACCTCAACATGCCCAAACACCAAGGAAAGCTGGCAACAAGAGGATGAGGGCTACTGCCGGTCCCAAAGGAAGCCGGCGGCAACCCAGTGGAGATTTGAAATTTGAGGCTAGAGTGAAGGGAGAGCAAAAGGAAAGGAAGAGAGAGAATAGTTGTTGATAGCAAGTCACAAGTCACACATATGATAACACCTAAATTAGTGCTATTTAGCTATTTAGATTTGGTTCATGCTAATTCATCTACATAATTAGAAGAATATCATCGATTGCATCCCTATTTCGTGTCTATTTGATTATGTCGTGATTTTAATTTTAGAGTGCCTTAGACGATACATGTGAATTAGGTACGAAAAAGAGCACAAGTGTAGTGAAATGGGCAGGAAATTGAAAATCACAACCTCGGCGTGGAAGATCTCACCCGAGACATCAGACCGCGAAGCAGGAGAGAAGATCGCGGCCTGAGGAGCATAGTCTGCTGCAGCAAAAATGGAGCCCTTGGGCATGAACTTTGTGAGAAAGCCACCCAAGAGAAGACAGAAACTTTCGACGGTCGGATCACGGTAACCGACTTTCCTGACGGGGAGGAAGTTCGCGGCCGCGACTCGCGGATCACGACCGTGAAATCAGCCCGCGAACTCCCAGAAGATGAAGACCAAAGCGACGACGCCTGAAGATCGCGGACTCGAAGTGAAAGATTCTAGCCACGATCTCCCCCTACTCGGCTGTGAACTGTTCGTCCTCCTAAATTCTATAAATAGAGGACCCCTTCTACCATATTAAGAGAGCGGATTTTGAGATATAAATTTCTGGTTTAGAGAGAGAGAAGTGAGAGAAGCTGAAGGAAGGAGAAGGAGGAGAAGCTAGAGGAGAGGAGCCATCTTCTTCAACATCAAGCCTTCCCCGAATTCTTTTATGTATCTTCTTCCCTCCTTTATGGAGTAGTCTCTTAAGATACTAGGGGTTTTAAGTCCTAAATCATAGTTTTAGGGCTATTATGTAATGAATGAATATGTTAGGATTTTGAATGAATGTGTTTGTCTAGTTGATTTTAATGTTTCTCTAGTTTTAATTATGCTTGGGTGAGTCGCCCTAATCTTCTCTACTAGCCGCTTGAGCTTCTACGTTGGGTATGGAGTTTTAGGGTTAGACGAGTATGCGTCATCTAGCATATTAGGGTTAGATGAATGAATAGGGTCTTGTGATGGACGAGGCAACCGAACCCCTGCCACAAGAACACCTTCCTAGATAGAATTCGGGATGAAACATCGGTGTGGACGGTGGATAGTACCCATTAAAAGAATTTAAGTTTTTAAAGCCCAAGATACGTGAGCCTGTACCGAGGTGACAATGAGGTAGGTAGGGCGTACTCGGAGGAGTGTGGATAATCACAAAGGCCCACAGAAAAGAGCTCACTCACCACATTCTCTTAACCCAACATGTTTAGACATTTGCATGATAGACCTAGGATAGGGCGAGGGTTAGTTCCCCGAAGTAGCTGCTTTTATCATTGTGTATTCTCTCTACTAGTTATTTCACTTGAATCCTCCAACACAACCCATTAAACCGATCAGCTAGATAACAACAACGTGGGAAGTAGGCTAGGGTACCGGGACCCGAGTGAATACGACATTGATTGCCACTATATGACAACACCATTATAGGTTAAACTTTTCATATAATAGGGTAGTTATTTATACATGCAAACTACTGACAATGACTTGCATGAAATGAATCAATCAGAATAATAGATTATATAATAATACTATAAATGTAATGAAATTTACAACCTTTTTTATGATAGTTCTCAAGCTTTGGTTCAAACCAAACCATTATACTTCCTTACAATGTCGTCCTAGTACCTAAATATCAAAAGGCTAAACAATCAATTTAAACGTTAGCTTCTAAGTTTTTTTTTTTACCGGATTCGAGGGATTTTACTTTTTACTTGGGCTTTTGGTGCAAAAAGGTTTTTTAACAAAAACTACAATATTTGAAGAATCCAAAGCGTATAAGCAGGCTAAAAATGATGAACACCCCAGACCAAACTAATTTTCTTTGATTTCAATCTCCACAAGACTGGCTAATGATGACTCAATGTCAATCACAAACATGCAGTGATGGGGATGTGGCATCATTAAAATCAAACCTCAATTGCCATTCCTGATCAGTAGTCGAAGGAAGATGAGAGAAGAAAAGGAGAAAAACATGAACAGAAGAAATTCTCAGCAAGTGATGCGGACCTGTGGGAAGAAATGGGAAATATATGTGCTGGCTGAATGAAACCCTTAACAAACTCTAATAACGCAATTATGGAGGACAGCAAGTCTGCTGCTAATTTTTCCATTCGCTGCTAACGTCAAAAACGCTCCATAATGGTTTCTGTTTTGGGGGAGGGTAGGCCACGGACCAAAATATTTGTCTAGTTTCCTCTTATGAAATTTAAATCAAATTAATAACAATATTTTTTAACGAAAAATAGTTTGTATTATCAAGATAACAAGGATGCAACGTTCAATTTTATTTCATTGCACCTACATCAATGCAATTCACTTGTTATTGCATATACACGATTTTAAATGACTTTATAATAAATAAAATAAATAAATCAAAGGAAAAAATAAATTATAGTTTTTTTTTTCTTGTGACTTGTATCTTCAATTTCATATCATGCAAGCTTACATCTTTGAAGTGCCCACTACGAGATGGTGCAATCCTCTCTGTGATTATATATTTAGTGTTATGTAGGATTTGCAATTGAGTGGATATTATTGATGTACATGCTCTTATAGTCTTATTTGTGACAATTGATGACTATAGGTGTGAAGAGAGAATGAATTTTCTTATTTCAAATATCATCTCACCATTACTTGTTCTATAAAAAAGGTTTTACTTGTGTATGGGAATTAGATGAATCCATAATACTGTTGCTTAATTTGAGACCGTGGTTCTTGGCTTCTTGCATCCTTTTCGTAAAAATGTCACACCTTTGCTAATTATTGGTGGTGGATGATAATTATGGTAGGTATTCATAAGGTTCATGCTCATGAACAATAATTGATTGGACATGTAAACACTTGAATAAAATATACGGAATCAATCCACTTTTATTACTTAATAATTACCAATTAATTTAAATTCAAAAGAATAATCTAATGATAATAAAAATAAAAATGAACGCTCACTGCAAGTCAATTAAAATTGGAGGGTCAACTTGATAGTTCAATATAAGACGGGACGAAAATTTAGAATTTATTCAACTAAAAAGAAAATTGGGAATTTAGTTTTGAAGTTTGAATGAAAAATTGTGAAAATAAGGGCTTAATTGGATTTTTTTTTAATTATAAGTACATCTATGTTTTATACTTAGCAAAAATTGATTTGTGGTGTAATGAATAACATTTCTCTAATAATTACAGTGTTATGGGCTTTTTTTATTAGAATAAAAATTATCATTAAGCGCCAAGACACCTAGGTCCTCTCAAAAGTACTCTGTTACAATCTATGAGAACAACTTCATCTATACAGTAACTATACTTTATGGAAAAAATCTATCAAGAACCGGAGCAAGCTGCAGACTTTTTGTAACTAAGTAGTCAACCTCGAGCCGGTTTCTAGCAACTAACTGCTTGGGAGTAGAGATTCCACCATCATCATACCAATGACGACAACGTTTCTTTCATGTCCAATGACCAGCCTCCATAGGAGCTTGCCAACTCGAACATAGTCTGAACGTCCCTGCCAGTCTGCCACATTCTTGATGCCCATGTTATGTGTGAATCCCAGTAACTGGAAATCTGGAATACAAACATGGAAGACAACTTGCATTGTGTAGAGAAAAAAAGTACACCCACAAAATAGATGCTCTATACTCTCTAAACCACCCGGGCAAAGCATACAACACCCAGAAAGTGGCATTTTCTTCCAAATTTTAAATATTACTAAGATATTTCTAAATTCTACGGGTGTCCCAAGACACCTAAAAACGCCATGAATCTGCTCCGACCCAAACTCAAACCAGGTCCATGATAGGATCCATAACCCCTTAGTTATCCATTATGCCTAACTAGATTTGGTCATTTGATTTTAAGTTGGGAGAGATCTAAGCGATGAGAATTAATGGTTTTTTTCTTCTTACATTTTGAATCGACTTTTATTTCAATTTTTTTTTCCATAGATTGAACGAGTTCGTTGTGATCTACAAAATTATATTCGTTTTCGGTATATTTCAAGAAACAATTTCATACCACCCATACCACTTGTTGCCACCTTCATACTATTTCATTTTTCAATTTTAACCCGAATTTTGAAATTTTTTGAAAACGAGTTTATGGTGATCTATTATAATTTATATCTACAAATTTTTTAGAATTGTTTTTTCATAACCAAATATATCATCCTACACTACCCCAACTATGGCTAGTGTGTTAATAACTAACTCGACATAAAATGACATATTAACCACTAATATATTCCTACTATCATGTATACAATCATTCCATACTACGTGCTAATTAAATCAAGATCATTACTTGGTTGGTCAAATGAGTCTGACATGTCAATCCCATGAACCAAAAAAGCATCGTGATGTTCTCCTCCATAACCGGAGAATCCCCTCGGCACTATGCTGTCACTAATCCCACCACTCCTCTCGTTCCATTCCCTCCCTCTTCAAACAATCCAATCCTGCAGTTTCCCGAGATTCAACCTCGCTCCCTTTTTCAGACCATATTTTCTACAATTATAAAATTGTTATCAGTAATAATGAACGTCCTTTCCTTCTTTTGCAATACAGCGCGTTGATTCCTGACAGCACACACAAACATTGGAAACCAACCACTCTCCCCAGTCCAGCAATTTCCCTCCTCTATTAAAAAGCTTTCAGGTCAACCCTTTAACATTCATACAATCTCAGAGACCCATCTGCAGAAGCTCATGGAGGAGACCTTCGTTCCCTTCCAAGGGATCAAGAACGATCTCCGGGGAAGGTTGCTCTGTTACAAGCAGGACTGGACCGGCGGCCTCAGAGCTGGTTTCAGGTCTGTTTTTTTGCCTCCCCTGTTTTTTCATTCCCCTGCTCAAACATGCATACATACATTGTTGTACTTGTCATGGTAGTTTGATTCGGTTTTGTTTTCTTCTCCGTGGCAGGATTTTGGCTCCCACTACTTACATCTTCTTCGCTTCTGCAATTCCGGTCATCTCCTTCGGTGAGCAGCTCGAGAGGAGCACCGGTAAGAAAGACATTTACCTTCTCCTGCTTGTCGAGAGTCACTTCTCTGTCTCTATTAAAAAAAATGCAGAGAGTTAGTTCAAAGTTCAAACGAGGAATCTATTACGTTACGGATCGTATTAATGTTTTCCACACAGGTGGAGTTCTGACGGCGGTTCAAACCCTGGCATCCACCGCCCTCTGCGGAATCATACATTCCATCATAGGAGGCCAGCCGCTGCTCATACTCGGAGTGGCAGAGCCCACCGTGATCATGTACACGTTCATGTTCAATTTCGCCAAGGAGCGGCCTGAGCTCGGACCCAACTTGTTCCTCGCTTGGTCTGGCTGGTGAGCTATTAAAAAAAAAAAAACATCATTCTTACCCCTGTTTTAGATCAACCTCTGTAGCTAAGCAGTAACAATACTACTTGGTGAAAACAGGGTGTGCGTGTGGACGGCGCTTCTGCTGTTCGCGCTGGCAATCCTCGGAGCATGCTCCATCATCAACAGGTTCACCCGCCTGGCAGGGGAATTGTTTGGCCTCCTCATAGCTATGCTCTTCATGCAACAGGCAATTAAGGTATAGGCTAATAATAGTTCATTCATTTTGTGGTAACAAAATGTCGTTACGGGTTGATGTGCTCATTACGATTCGGTTTGTAGGGACTCGTGGACGAATTTCGGATTCCGGAACGTGAGGATCCAGAATCTGTGCAATTCATCCCTTCCTGGAGGTTCGCCAACGGGTTGTTCGCCCTGGTTCTGTCGTTCGGCCTCCTCCTCAGCGCGTTAAAGAGCCGGAAGGCAAGGTCTTGGCGCTATGGCTCTGGTACGTATTATATGTCTATGTCAAGAACCAGTTGGTTCCATAAAGTGATCATTTTAACTGGTGTAAATTGTTCTTTATTTAATTTTGTTCTTTTTGCTATGGACAGGCTGGTTGAGGAGCTTAATTGCAGACTATGGAGTGCCCTTGATGGTTTTGGCATGGACAGCTGTGTCTTACATACCAACTAAAAGTGTACCTCAAGGGATTCCTCGACGACTTTTCAGCCCGAATCCATGGTCCCCTGGTGCTTATGATAATTGGACAGTCATCAAGGCATGCATTTTCCTAATCAACCAACCATGTTATCAATAATTGTCATCGTTCCAATATGCTTTGAACCCAAGTTTTTCATTGATCTAAAAGTTGACACAAATCGATTATGGCGCAGGAAATGATGGACGTTCCTGTTCTGTACATAGTTGGGGCTTTCATACCTGCAACCATGATTGCTGTGCTGTACTATTTCGACCACAGTGTAGCTTCCCAGCTTGCTCAGCAGAAAGAGTTCAACTTGAGGAAGCCTTCTTCTTACCATTACGACTTGCTCCTCTTGGGATTCTTGGTAATATGATGCATAGGAAGCCATCTTCTTTTCATCTAGCATTAGTTTGTCGCGAGACTTCTTACCTTACCGGGCTTTTTTCCTGCAGACATTGTTGTGTGGTCTGCTAGGGATTCCGCCTGCAAATGGAGTCATTCCACAGTCCCCTATGCACACCAAAAGCTTGGCCACTCTCAAACAACAGGTAATTTTCATTCAGAAGCTTAGTTCCAATACATAATTTATCACTCGAGCAGAGTTTTTAAACGTAGCGCCCTGTTCTGGTATGGTGTTATATATTCAGTTGCTACGAAACCGGCTAGTTCAAGCAGCTCGAAGGAGCATCAGAAACAATGCAAGCTTGGGACAGCTATATGGGAACATGCAAGAAGCCTATCAAAATATGCAAACCCCTCTAATCTACCAGCAGCCTTCGCAATCACAAGTACTTGAAATTTCACAATTACCTTGCAGAAATCTGCTACCAATACTTGAAACAAGATACCATAATTGTGGCCCCTTCTGTATGCTGAAATGTAGCTAATGAATGCAGGGTCTGAAGGAGTTTAAGGAGTCGACCATCCAAACAGCTACATGCACGGGGCAGATCGATGCCCCAATCGACGAGACAACGTTCGACATAGAGAAAGAGATCGACGATCTACTGCCCGTCGAGGTGAAAGAGCAACGGGTCAGCAACCTGCTCCAATCGGCCTTGGTTGGAGGTTGCGTTGCAGCCATGCCATTGCTCAAGAGGATCCCCACGTCGGTCCTTTGGGGATACTTTGCCTTCATGGCCATTGAGAGCCTGCCAGGAAACCAGTTTTGGGAGAGGATCCTGTTGCTCTTCACAGCTCCAAGCAGGAGATACAAGTAAATACAACATACAAGAAAACAAATTTATTAATTTGCTAGTTACATGTTGTGATAATTTACTATATTTCTAAATTTGTTGACAGGGTTCTTGAGGATTACCATGCCACATTCGTCGAAACGGTGCCCTTTCGGAGCATTGCAACCTTCACCATCTTCCAAACTGCATACTTGCTCGTGTGCTTTGGTCTCACATGGGTTCCAATTGCCGGCGTTATGTTCCCTCTCATGATCATGCTTTTGATCCCGGTGAGACAGTACCTTCTGCCGAAATTCTTCAAAGGTGCACACTTGCAGGACTTGGATGCAGCAGAATATGAGGAGGCTCCTGCCCTGCCATTCACTCTAGCTACAGTTGAGATCCATTCCTGCTAATTACATCGTGATCGTTACAAGTCGATATTCGAAGACAAACATTAGTGACGATAGAACTAAATATTTTGGTGTTTTCCAACTTGCAGGAGACAGAGCTGGGGGCTGGTGCTGCAATGGCAGGGGACAGTGAGATTCTGGACGAAGTGATCACTCGCAGCCGCGGCGAGTTCAGGCACATAAGCAGCCCCAAGATCACAAGCTGCACAGGAACTCCAACAGCACTTGATCACAGAGGCAACTTGAGCCCGCGGAGCTCGGTCACATACAGCCCTCGGGCGAGTCGGCTGAAAGGGGAGAGAAGTCCTAAATCTGGTGGCCGAACGCCAGGGAGTCCCTGGACCATAAATGGAGTGGATTCGAGGATGTCGAATTTGGGGAAGAGCCCTTCTGCTTCCTCGGAGAAATGAGTTTCAGAGATGGGGGTGGGGTTTTACTACAGAATTTGCATAATGGTAGAGCTAAAGAGTTTGAATGGCTCCAAAGTGTATATGAAAATAGTGATCGTCTATAAGAAGCATGATCTCTAATATTTTGAGTTTGCGCGCTTAATCAATTTCATCAGATTCCAACAACATGTTGCAGAACATAAGGACATCCAAAATATCAAAGATTTTTGTGAGCTCTGTTCTTCCCAGAATTTCCAAGTTACAGGATACGAAGGTAATGATTATTTATTAGCCCAACATTTTTCGGATTTTTTTAATTAGTCAAACCTATCCAAATGCTATTAAATAGTTAAATGTTAACTCTTTGTTAACTTTTTCTTTTGATGATGATGAGCTGTCAACATTCCGCTAATTTTAGTATTTTAACTAAGGAAAGAGTTACAAAATTATTAACGATAACGTAAAAATGACTAATATTTTGATTCATTAGAAAATATTTGACCAATTATTAGGAATTCAATAGGTTTGGATAATAAAAAATAACGCGAGAAAAGTTTGACGTGGCAGCTGAGGTGGAGGACCGTTAAGAGATAGTTATTCATTGATGAGGTGGCAGCTGAGGTGGAGGACCGTTAAGAGATAGTTAAAGGTAACAGACTAATGTCTATTACTTTGACTTGTGACAAAACGTTTGGCTAATTCTTAGCATTTCTACACTATTATATATTCATACCATCATGATACACTTTCATACCACGTCAGATAATATTATGTACTACCAAGCATCACCACATGGTATAGACTAGTAATAAATGTGTTTTTTTTTTTGTTTCAAAATATATTGAAGTGGATTTCATTTTGAAGAGTACAATTAATATGATTTTTTTGTGAAAAAAATAAATTATAACTTAAAAAATAGACCGATAAAATTAATTGGACGAAAAGTTAAACCTTCTATAAATGATAAGTGTAGCGTTATGTATGGTCATTGACCTTTTAAGTTGGGGTGTACTATTTGTAGTCCTAAGTTTTTTTTTTAATTTGCAGCCTTAAAGTTAAAAATGGACATAAATATCCATCACTTATAAATACACGCAATTCACACATTCCAAGAAAAAAGTCAAAGACTTTCCAACAAACACTCTTATTCAATTCGCCGTCGGCGACCGCCACCTCCCGCCAGCGACCGCGTGGACGAACGTCTGGATCAGGCGTCGCGTGGTTGCTGACGACGTTTGGGTTGGGCGTCATCGTCATCTGGTCAAACCGCCATTGACCCTCGCCATTTGTACATAATTCGAAAACCTTACCTTCGGCGATTAGGTCTTCTTCTCCGACGAGGCTGCTCTGATCTCCTCTTCTCCGGCGACGATGCTCTCTGTCGTCTCCGGCGGGAACGCACGTCTTCGGTGAGAACTTGTCGTCTACGGCGACGTTAGCTGACAGGAAACCGACAACATATGCTGGGAGGGAAGAGGTGTTTGGTTGGATTGTTATGAAAATTTGAATTAAAAAAAAAGAAATGACAAAATAGTAATTTAATTATTTTAGGACTACAAAAAGTTTTGTTTATAGTTACAAATAGCAATTCATTTTAAGTCTTGGATGCTATTCACACCCATAATAGAACAGTCACTTTTACTGTTTAAGAAAACACTTTCTATAAACTGAACTCCATTTGTTTCTTTCACCACTTTCTACTCCTTCATACAAAAAGAAAAGAAAAACACTTATATAATTACAGGAAAGTGTTCAGCAAGCATGTACTAATACTATACATATTTTGTTGTCTTGTATTATTGCCTTTTAGGATAAACAATATATAATTACACAATCCACTCAATTCTACAAACAATACAAATCCAAAAGTTCGCGAGACAAGACAAATGGTTTTTATCCAAAAGGTATCATCACCAAAAGTTAGTTTGAGCCATACCTACTATAATTCCATGCTACAAAAGCAATTCGCTTCAAATAATAAACATAAATTATCCTTAATTTAATCACATTACTCCTCTTATAGATCAAACACATTATACAATGTAGAGGTGGTAGCAAAACACACAAAAAAAAAAAAAGTTTCACAACCACCATCATATGATATGGTCTGATAATCAACAATTGGAAATTCCACTAACTTACATTACCCCATAATTTCAACCATTAGACACTCTAAAAATCCCACTTCGAGCTACAAACAACGATCCACGACATCCGCCGCCGGCGAGGACCTCGCCGGCGCGCCTTCCATCAAGCAAGACACCGGGGGAATTGTGAGCGTCTCCAAGTCCCCATAGGCATTCCAACAGAAAGGGTCCGCAACGACGTCGCCCTTCGCCGGCAGCAGCTCCACGTCCGACAGCGTGAGGTTGGTGCACGGCACGGTGTCGCTGCACCCGAAGTGGATCGGCGGGCTGCGGACGTCGTACGTGCCTTTAATGTTCTCGTACACGACGTCCGACACGTGGACCGCCGATGTCTGGTTGTCGCAGTCCTTGGTCAGGCAGTAGAACTGGTCGATGATGATCGGGTTCCGGACGGTATCCATGTGGATGTTGCTGAAAGTTATCCCCGACACTGCTCCGGACCCGCCCTGCCACGTCTTGATCCTCACTCCGTTGTCGGAGGCTCTGATCATCGAGTCGCGGACCGTTATGTTCGACACGCACGCTCTCGAGTTGTGGTTCCCCAGGCTCCCGATGCTGTGGGAACCAGCGAGAAAAAAATATTTTTTTGCTTGAGTCTTAAGGTACTTTTTTTTTCCTAATTTTTTTTCAAAAAGATGAATGTGGCTTAGCTAGGGTAACGGGTCGGGCTCGACCTACCTGATTCCGTGACTAGGTCCGCACGTGACATTGCGGATGTCGACGTCGTAGCTTCCCGCTCCAATCGATACGCAATCATCCCCTGTTTGAATTTGGGAACATATGTAAGCAGCGTATTTAAAGATGAGTACTAGCTATGTTGAGAACTCGTTGATTCTAATAACGAGACAGATGATAGTGCGTACCATTGGAGATCACCGAATTGTATATACCGACGCCATTGGAGTTCTCGATGTGGATTCCGTCGGTGTTTGGACTGAGAGCGGGGGCCGTGATGTGGATGGATTCGATGTGGACGTTCTTGCAATTGTCGAATCTGAAGTTGAACTGCGGGCTGTCCTTCACTCGGATTCTTTCCACACTCAAGTTGGAGCTCATGAAGAATCTTATAGCCTATTTAGACAAAAAAAAATATTAATTAATTAGTGATTAATTACGATTGGTTAGCATAATTGAGTTTGAAATAGAGATTAAATTAATTACGATTGGACTATCGCATGGTCCGTGTGGCTTGGTCCCATTTATTGCAACCTGTTCCAATATGTAACATATGATTGAATGTTAGAAAATACCTAATTGTAATGTAACTCAATTTGTATTAATTAAAACTTCAAGAATTGAATAATCAACATCATCAGAAGAAAATAAAACTAGATTTTTAAAAAGGGAATGTTATTTATTTATTATTTTATCAACCTTGTGGGGTTTACAGGGAAGATCCCACCATTTGCGTCCTCTGCCGTCAAATGCACCTCCGCCCACAAGTGACATGTCGTTAACCCTATAAAACACCAGCCACTGCCTCCGGCTGTTCTTCTCCGGCCACGCCTCCGGTCCGTCCGGCGGGCTTATCGTCCCGTCAACCTACACCAAAAAGCTCCATGCATTAACATGACATGTAAAAGGTGCACAAAATACCATATCATGGTTCAAAAAGCCAGAAATCTAAACGAAAGGATCGAGCTGATAAAAGTTAACGCTTTGAAAAATTTCGAACAACGGTCATTAGGAGAATGAGGAGGGCTAGTTAATTAGAGTCTTATCTAACTGGTCTATTTTCAAAAATTCGTTATAAATTGTACGAGGTGGCTCGTGTCCCTCCGCCACTGATTCAAACATACAGATAGACGAGTTGATTCGGATTACCTGAAAGACCAAGCCGGTTTGGCAAGGACCGGTGAAGATTGTGGATTGGATCATGAATGTGAAACCCTTAGGGACGAGGATCACCGCCGAGCCATTCTTCTGGCAAGCCGCATCCCACGCCATCTTGAAAGCATTGGTGTCGTCGGTGAGTCCATCGCCGACTGCGCCGAATCCCCTCACATCAAGCACTACTCTCTCAGTCTCAGGATAGGCACCGACGTCGTCGGCAGGAGCAGGAGCAGGAGCGGCAATGCCCGGATTCGGCGACGATGAAGGTTCCGGTGAGAGCGTCGGGGGTGCTGAAATGTACGAAGAGTGATGGTGTTTATGGTGGTGGTGAACCCTAGCCTCCATGTTGCATACCATGGAAGAAAGGGTGACGAGCAGAAATGATAGTGATGCGATTGTAGAAAACTCCATGCTTTCACTTTGAAATAATGTGACTGAGAAGAAGAAGAATATTGAAGTGTCGTTGTCGTCTCCAAATTTTGTTATATGTGTGTGGCAAGAGAGAGGGTGGTGGTGGGAAGTAGTGGAGGCCAAGTTAATTACTTTGTAGTACTCTTCACCCTTGGGAATAAGGAAATTGTAGAGTATGGCAAGTTGCAAAAGGGAAAAGAGAGAGGGAGAGGGGACAGTTTAACCGAATTCAGGTATGGAATGAGAGGCAGAATCAGAAAGGCCAAACCCACGCTTATATATACTTGGGTGGAAGTGCAGCAGCTAGCATTTCTTTACATTATACAAATATTTTGTTGTTTTTGGTTTGGTGGCCAAGAACCGACCAAGTGAGCTTTCTTTTTCTTTCTTTCTTATCATTTCCATTTCTTTATGAGAGAATGTGGGTTGCTGCATATTATGACGGTTGTCTAGGGGGGAAAAAGCTGAGGAGGAGAGAAATGAAGGGAGAGTCAAAAAAGAGGGGGGGAGTAAGCCTTCCACTCAAAAAGTATTCATCCATGGCGCCAGCCCATGTTCGTCCCATGATATATGATTTTTTCCACTTTCACTACTGTGGGTCGGTTGCCCAGTTGGGTTTTTAGCTGGGGATTCAAAGAGAATCTTCCTAGTAAATTGCACATGATTAAGTAACTCTCAAGTTGCACTAGCTAGCTAGGTAGCTAGGTTATTATTTGTTATGCAAGTTGCTCTAGTTAGCATTCCATCTTGTTACATATAACTTCCACTTCTTTAGGGATACCCACAAGGAGCTCGGGTGTTTATGAGAACGTGTTCACAATCATGTTAGCTGTTGTGGAGCTATATGTAGTTCGGAAGGGGCTACAATCATCATTTTTTTTAAGGTTATAATGTATGTATGCATATATTGAGAAAACATTAGAAAGTAGTAGAATATGGGCTAGTAACCCCATCCTCCAATATTTAGGTTCAATCAGGGGAAATTGTTGTCATAATTTATTATTTTCTGCCCCCTACTCAACTCCATGATTTAGGACTATACTAACCACTGTCTGCCACATTTCACCAACATCTACTACTATTTATTACCACCCTGTATCAAGGGGGTATATGTGGTCACGAAAATTCTTTCAAGAAATTTGTCGATCACGATTAACTCGTTTTTTTGTATAAGAAATTTCGAAATTTGAGTTAAAAAAGAAGCTGGTAAAGAGTGATATCAGGGTGATCATGTATAATTTGTTTTCTAGAAATCTATAATAAAAAAATATTGATATTGTTTTTCGGAATAACCCGTTTCATCTGTAAATGTTTTTTTTTTTAAAATTCACGTTAAAACAAAAGGAATACAACTCAATTAGAAAGGTAATCAAAAGAAATATTTTTAATCTCATCCCGTCAAATCTAACCTCAATTAAAATCAAGAGATTATAACACGCAGGACCGTCATTCCATCAAGATAAATATCATATATATATATATCCATAAAAAAGAAAGGAGGATTCAGGTTTTATTTGTTGACAATTAAGCAACTTCTTGTTGTTTAGGTCTGATTTCCTTCCACGTACGAAGTAGAGATTAAAAATAGAGAAAGATTCCATAATTCGTTAAACTGGTCCAGTTGCTTTCTTTTATATTTGCATGCTGGTATAGTGGAGGGAGCAATATGTATGAATGTATTTTAGTATATCTGACAATTAAGGACTCCATTCCATTCCATTGCATGCGAATGGCAGCAGTAGCAGCTAAACCGCCCAAACAAACCAAACCATACAAGGTGCTGTTCTCCTACCCTTTTCTCTCTCGCCCACCCTTTCGGCAATACTCTAATCATGCCTGCTCTCAGTTCATCATTTTTATCTATATTTTCACCATTGCCAAAACAACAACAAAAAATGAAGGTAGATGATTCAACTGGTGTTACAGGTACCAAATTTTAAATAGTCACCTGACTTCTATATAGGGTTTGGTATAGCCAACTATATATATATATATATATATATCGTTGTAAATTAGTGATACATAACGATTAACGAATAAGAGGAACTAAAACATGCATGCGAGGAAGATTCTCTATGTAGACTAGTGTTATTGACGAAAGCATGTGTGTTCCTTTGTTCTTAGATTCATTCTTTTACATGATATCATAGCGGAGCTACGTGGGGTTCCATGTCACCCCTTAGATGAAAACCATAAAGAACTGGTTATATTAGTATGTTAATAATTATATTTAACGGGATTTGGTTCAGTGGTAATGCTAGTTGTTCTTAAATTTGAGCTCTCAAATTCGAATCACTCAAGTAGTATCTAATTAAAAAAAAAACTAAAACATATACCATGGCCAGTGTGGAGGGGGCATTACATGAAGATGACAAACCTTTGAACGACTTTGAATCAAATTTGAGCGGGGTCTCCATGTGCATCACCCCCTAATCAATTAGCTGGCGATCGACAGGGAGTAGTCATATTTTATGAGCTACTACTTTGTTTTTTTGGGGCTAATTCCACTAGGAAACCCAAACTCTCCAAAAAGTATCATTTGTGTTCTAAACTATTCAATATGACAAATCTGGCACAAACTATATGCTTTTGTATTATGAGATATAAGATGGTGCCTGCATCGACTGCTAACAGCTAGCAGGATTGATGAAAAAATGGTGCATTATGTGCTAGCAAGTGATCATGTAAGAGCTAGCCTCCATGGATGGTCTTGATAGTTGAATGTCTGCTCGGTGGCGGTGGATGTACTAGAGCATATTCGAATCTCACTTACGCTTGAAGGCTGATTTGCATGATCAGCTATAGCCCATTCTAGAGCTAGAGATTGCAAGTTGCGGGCTGCGATTGCTAGATCTGCCAAGGCCGGGCGCCAGTTATATATATGGTGAAGCAGAGTTGCTGAAGATGTGTGGAAAGCAGCAGCCAGCAACCTTTTAGCCCATTCAAGGAGCGAATTTCAGGAGAGTTCCTCCACGCCTCATTGGACACTTTTGTTCTTAATTATTATTATTATTATTTCATTCGAAATGGATGCTGCTAGTCTGAGTCATTTGCTGGTTGCCCTGCCCACTAGATTCCCAAGGTGTAGATATATAGGCCTCTCTTTCGGTGCCCAATACGCTCTGTCGCTGATCATGAAGCTCGCCCCGCCCGCCCATGTCTCTTAAACATTACATAAATCACAACCACTATAATCTGGATTATTTGCAGCAAAAGATTTTGGGCATTGGATTCTCACCAATGTTTGTGTCACTCAAGCGACATTCTCACCAATGTTTTTACATCCCACAACTTCAGCATACTGAACCGTTACAGTATAATAATATAAGTTTAGGATATAGAAGAAAAGCACTTTGTCACATATGATATCAATCAAATTGATTCGCCGTTTTTCCTTCTGCCAGAAAATCGTTTGGCCAGATTAGAGGATAAGCCATTGCAAACTTGTGTAAATAAATATACAGTACAACATTTTACATCAGCAGACCCAATCTATTTACACCAATCCACTTGACCCTGCTGTTCAAGAAAATATCAAAACCTGTAGAGTTCGATAAGTAACCACAACAAAACCTACAGAACTGCAAGCTCCTTATTATTTGCATGTGCTCAACCTTCTCGCCCGGTACCATCCAAATGAAGCAGAGCCGTAAACGGTCAACTCTATCCTCCTAATGAGAATTCATAAATTTACCGGACGAAGAATGTACAGCGCGCTGATTTATACCTTCAAGAATTGCCATTCCCATCCAGCAAGTTTCTCAAGCTACACAAAGCATCCACAGATAGGCTACAGCACCTCGGCCTTCGTTGCCTTGCAGGCGACATGGGTTCCCGATGATCAGGGGACGAGAAGCAGACAATGATCGCAGTAAGGTTGTCAAAGGTGTTGCGGCGGAATGCCTCCATGACAAGGTCCTTGGCACACTGTTCCGGGTCATCATGCCGACGCAGTCCACGCCTGACGAGACTCACTGCATGCTGACTTGACATGACATCCCAAATACCGTCGCAACCAATAACAAGAAACTCGTCTTCCTCGGTGAGAACCACTTGACGGAACTCTGGCTCTGATATGAGAGGAGACCGAGAGCCACAGGGTAGTTTCATGTCCCAGTCACCAAGTGCTCGTGAGACCGATAACACACCGTTAAGGTAACCATCGTCGATGTATCCACCCAATTGTTCGACCCTCCTTTTTTCGGAAGGATAAATGGGCCGGTGATCTTGAGACATGTCGATGGCTTCCCCTTTCCGGCAGAGAACTGCTCTGCAATCACCGGCATTGGCAACCAGAAGGAGCCTAAAATGGGATGGAAAGGATCAGCTTGTAGGAAATGGGACAACAATAAACCACAATCGGTATGAAAAATGTTGATTAGTTACCAAATAAAGAGAAACCCTACAATCATCTCAGCTAATTAGGCTCTTTCTACAAATTCTACTTTGATTTTAATTTGGACAACTTCAGTTTCAGGATCGAACATAAAATCCGACCTGATGAACAGACTGCTACACTATTGGTTCAGATTTCATCAACAAGTTTGTTACAAATCAAAGTTGGGGGACATAAAAGCAAGTTAGTGACCCCAAAGTTCAGTAATTTCTGTGTAATCAACCCCAAAATTGTACCAGTCTTCATTATGACAAACACTGTCAACTGGATTCTCAGAATTATCTAGATTACACATGCCACAATCCAAGGACTTTGGGCAATGGTGACCAATCATAAAGCTGCTCTGCACTGTGAGAGATAATATAAGTTCTGGAGCAAGAAAATACCTTTCAAATATAAATGCAGCAATTGCTGTTGTCCCAGAAGAGCTGCTCACACCGCCCTCCTCTGCCAAAGCTAGATCCGCAAGAAGGAAAGCTTTCCTAAGCGAATTTTCTGCCTCTTCAAGAAAGATGGTATCCACTTCAGATCTCTGTGGGAAGTTGACATCTTCAAAGAAGAACCTCATGACATTTTTCCTTATGTAAGCTGCCGCTTCGGGTCCTCCATGACCATCAAAGACCTGAGAATCAACCACAATGTATAAGACCAAGTAGAACATAAGATTATCGATTGATCTATAACAATCTCAGGATGCTAAGGAATTACCCCATAGAAAGCACTTGGCTTTGGAAACGTGAACAATGAGCCCAATTGCGTGCTTAAATCATCTACTCGTATATGCTCATCTTCCATGTACCTTCGAGGACCAATATCAGCAAAACTACCAGAGCGGATGCTGGGAACAAATTGCAATCCTTCTGCATCAAGAACTTCATCCAGAACCTTATGCATGGGCTTAACATCCTACAGAAGGGCACACATATAAAGAGATCGTGAGCCAATTCAGCCTAATGACTAGAGTTTTTCATAGATGTTTAACAGGTTATGATATCATGCTAAAAATGAACTGTTCAACTCAAACACATGATCGCCACCATGGAAGCGATACCCTAACAAAGCCAACCAATAACTGCAATTCTTCTAAAACTCAACCATCCAGTACCCGTAAATCAAAGCCAGCTCAAAAGGGAACCACTCTTTTTTACGCAGAAAGTTCTGAATTCAACCTGGACCCAGAAAAATTCAACGATCGATTAGAAAGGAAGTAGAGAACTAACCTCTGCAGAGGCCGACAAATCAGCCGAGTCTGAGACTCGAATTGGGCCGGTCAACCTCGTCGGCGAGATTAAATCAGCCTGATGCAAGCCGCCACCGCCGCTACTCACTGCTTTAGCAAAGAACTGAACATCCAGCGCCGGCGGGACGCCGACTCTCTGCTGACAAACCACTACCTCTGCTTCAGCTACCATTTTTACTTCACCCACCAAAATCCCACAACGACAGAGAGAACGTTTCGCAAGCCTTTACAGTTTACAGTGCTCTAAACTCAATAACCCAACAAAACCCAGCAATTTTCCGTCCTCCTTTCCCCCCTTCGCCGCGAACTCTCTCGCACTTTCGTTTCTCTCCGTGACCTTTTCTTGTTTTTCTGTTCTCCGCGTTGATCAAAATTTTGTGGCAGTTGGTCGTAGACTTGGGAATATAGGGGAAGCCCCGTGACACGTGTCAGTCGTGTGGCCGTCAGATTTTGGCGGGTGTGTGGTTTTCACACGCAAATCCGTCCGTCTTCTCTGTACTTTCGTTCAAGCTTCGTCAGATCGACACGTCACGACACGCGTGGCAAGCTTCTTAATTCATTTCTTTTGTTTTGTTTTTCGAAGAAGAAAATAAAAAAAGTTAAGCCCCACGATCTCAAAGACGGAACTGGGAGCGGTTAGCGTGACTACCCTTTTAAGGGGGTTTGATTTTTGACACCCCTCTTAAATACCATCCATTTAATCCAATGATAAGTATTAATCACCTATTTTTTATACATTAATTACATAATTAATTTCTCTCACCACATTGGAAAAGAGAAAGAATATGGGGAAAAACGATTATCACCCCCAATTCGAAACCCTTTTCTTCTCCTCCTTTTTTCTCTCCCTCGATTCCCTCTTCCCTGCTCGCCGTCGTCGCTTCTTCACCGTCACAGTCCGCATCTCCCTCCGGCTCTGTCCCGCATCCTCCATCGTGGCTATGTCTTAGATCGTGACTGTCGCTGTTCTCCGAGCAACACCAAGCTTGCCGTAACTCTCCATCTCCTTCCACAAGCTTGGCACTGTGAAGGGATCGACGGAGAAGACAATGATCATCCTCACCTTCCCGGCAAAGATGACGACCCGTCTCCCCTTCCTACACTGGCCATCCTTCCCTTCCCGGCGACAACGACGACGAAGAATCTGAGGTAACTCTCTCCGTCCCACTATCTCTCTCTCCCATACCCAGATCTGGGTTTTTGGTGTAGAACTGGTATTGATACCAGTGAACTGGTAGTTTATGATTATACTCATATGTGAGTACTAGTATTGGTACCAGTGTACTGGTAGTTTATCATTATCCTGGATTTTTCTAGATTTGTGATTTTTTAACTATTCCTTATCAGTCTAGTTTTTCTCTCTCATACCCACTAAGATGTGTTTTTTTCTTGTGGTAATGTTACCACTACAATGATAATTGTAGTGTTTGAGTTTTTGTTGAATGTTATTCCAGTGGTATGTCTATCACTGGAGTGGTATAAATTGTTGATTCTGGTACGGAAGTATACCACTCTAGTGATAGTTGATTCTTGGATAATGTAGTGTTGTTTATTTGACTGCAGTCTATCAACACATTGATATAGTTAACCATGTGAATGTTTTTGTGGCATATTGTGTCTATCACTTTAGTGGTAGATCTATCACTGCAGTTGTTGATCTATCGCTGCAGTGGTAGTTCATTGTGATGTTTTTGTGGGTAGTGCTATCACTGTAGTGGTACAAACAAAATCATTATGGTTGTTTAAAGTACAACTACCGTAGTAGTTATGTTTAGAATGACTTTCTAGGATAGAGCTATCAATGGATTGATATATCTGCAGTGAAAGTCTTATTGTTGATCTCATCTATCAGTAGTTATATTTATTGGTTTGACTTTTGATTTTACCTTCTTTGATTTCAGTCAGAGCAGTGAGTTCCTCGAGAAGTTGTGGAGCGGCGTCGGATGCACGCTAGGAAAGACAAATCGCACGGAGCAGGGAGTAGAGCACGTTCCGGACTACAAGCGAGAGCGATTAGGGAGCTTGCAAAATGGAGCAATGACAATGAAGATATTTATGGTCCAGCAACTCTTAATGTCGAGTTTCAACGAAAGTTAAAGAGGCTTGAGGTGGAAAAATATATTGTATTCATTTGGTTAATCAAATTGATGAAGAATTTAATGGATGCATATTTTGGGAACTTTAATGGTATTTGGTGCTCTATTTTCACATTAGTAGTATCCTTACCCCAATTCTTATAGTTTAGTGGCGTGTAGTGTATTTCTCCCATACAAAATACAAATGAAGTGGTACATTAGAAGTGGCAAATACGAGTTGGAGTGAGAACAATACTAGTGCAATGATATTTTTCATAACAATGATAAACAATAACGGAGCAACAATGCAGTACTACTTCAATGATACAAATACCAGTAAATTCCCTCATGCCATACTCTCTGTGGTACATGTATCAGTTTAGTGATACATGTATCAGTTCAGTGGTATATGTATAAGTTTAGTGGTACAAGTACATTATATCTAATGTTGCAATGGTAACATTTGAACATCGATATTTCATCTAGAAATTTGTCCCTCAACAATTTTAAAACAAGTTTACAAACTTCAATATTGGTCCCGGAACATTGTATCACTAGACTGGTACATAAAAACACAACATTAAGGGTAAGCACTGTCACTCTTGTCATGTCATTGATACATATTCATTCAAACAAATATACTAGTTTACGACCGTATTGACAATACCTAATGCAAAGCAACTAGGTTGTTTACGCAACTTCAATAACCAGTGGTGTCCGTCTGGACCTTTTCAGGGGAAAAATACCATTGCAGTGGCATTGTAGGAGAGAGATGGGACCGGTTAGATAATAGGGTGAGCAGATGCAAGCTTTTTTTCTTTCAATAGCCGGCCAAATGACTACAGGATCATCACTTCAATGATACAACATACCAGTGCACTGGTACATTGTCGGGCGGGAGAAGTCGACGAGACATGAATACAGATCCTTACTGATATTTTTTTGGTGTTCCTCAGCGTCTCTAATTGGCTCCACTTTCACGGCAACGCCACCATCTTCCATATGCTCGACGTTAATGATTTCGGGCCGCGTGAAGTGATGAAGTTGATGTACACGTACCACTCCACTGGTACACGTACCACTCCAGTGGTGCGAGCAATCCACCAGGTAGGTTAGAGGCGATCCCAGGATGGCGGCAGTTGGAGATAGGAGGATGGTGGTGGGGAAGGCACTGGAGGAGTACGACGGTTGGAGGGATGGAGGCAGCACAGGTGGAAGGCGTGGATGAAGAGGGCGGAGAGGGGTGATGGCGGTGGCGGCTGCGGGAGGAAGAGGAAGATGAAAATGGGGGAGGGTTTTGGTCGTTTCAGAGTAGAGGAGGGTTCTGGTTAAAATGAAATCAAAATGGAAAGGGGGCCCAAATGGAGAGAGAAGGAGACGAAAGGAAGAAAAAATGGCAATTAATTGCACATTTGGGGGGTGCTTTTTTCTGATTTCCTAAATTCTTTCCCTTTTCAATGTGGGTGAGAAAACCCAAATTACAAGATTAAAAAAATAAAAAACCAGTTTAATTAATACTTGCCAATGATTGGAAATAAAATTGGCCAATCATAAAGGGGGTGTCAAAAAGCCAACCCTTTTAAGGGTAGGCATACTATCCGACCCCACGGAACTGCCCTCCTTAGCTTACGGGCAGGGTAGGCCCGTTGAGTTGACCTTCCCGCGGTTTGCAGTGTTGAGAAACTTCTTTCGATTTTGAATGTTTCCGATCACAGATTTGGTCTGACATTATTATTCAACAATGATTAAATTATTTAAACACCAACTTGGACGGATTTATTATGGATCAATTTTGGGCATATTCTAAAATGATATCATCACATATTACGAACGATTTTCCCGAAATATCATTTTCTTTCGATTTTGAAGGCTACGCCTCACGGATTCGGTCCGAGACTATTCTCCATCGATGGTAAAGTCTATGGATCCTACTCTCCATCGACGATTAAGTCCATTAAGCAACAGTTTGGGGTATTTTATTTTCGGACGACATTTTCATAATTTTTGACGAATTTTTTTTGAATGACCATTTTATTTGGATTTTGAGGGCTACAGATAATAGATTCGGTCTGAGACTATTCTTCAATGATCAGGCCTCGCCCAAACTCTGTGCTGGTCTGACCCACAGCACAGAGCCTCAACTTTTTGGGACCTCATAATCCATTGGTCCGGATGCTGAGCCAACCATGTGCCCCTTGTGCTGGCAAGGCCCACCATGACCCATTAGTCAGGAGGCAGAGCCAGCCAACCATGACCCCATTGGGCTTGCAAGGCCCACACAAAAACAACATTCATTAGGCAGGGCCTCCGAATATCATGGTGAATCCTATTCTCCACCGACGATTAAGTCAATTAAGCAACAATTTGGGGTGATTTATTTTCGGATGACATTTTTCGTAATTTTTTGGAGATTATTTTCGAAGGGCCATTTTACTTGGATTTTGAAGGCTACAGATCATAGATTCGCCCTGAGGATATTCTTCAACGAGGATTAAGTCCCTTAAGCAACGAGTTGGGCAGATTTATTCCGGGTCAATTTTTGGCAAATTCCAAAGGGGTACCATTACAGATTAAGGGCGATTTTCCCGAAATACCATTTTCTTTCGATTTTGAAGGTTACGGATAACGGATTCGGCCTGAGGCTATTCTTCACCGATGGTGAACCTATTCTCCACCGACGATTAAGTCCATCAATAACAATTTGGGGTAATTTGTTTTCGGATGACATTTTCGTAATTTTTGTGATTTGTTTTCGAATGGCCATTTTACTTGGATTTTGAAGGCTACATATCACAAATTCGGCCTGAGACTATTCTTCAACAATGATTAAGTCCCTTAAGCATCAATTCGGGATGATTTATTCTGGGTCAATTTTTTGCAAATTCCAAAGGGGGTACCATCACAATTTCAGGCGATTTTCCCGAAATGCCATTTTCTTTCGATTTTGAAGGCTACGGAGCATGAATTCTGCCCAAGACTATTCTCTACCGATGGTGAAGTCTTCGATCCTATTTCCCACCGATGATTAAATCCATTAAACAACAATTTAGGGTAATTTATTTTTGGATGGCATTTCCATAATTTTTTGGCCATTTTTTCGAAGGGCCATTTTACTTGGATTTTGAAGGCTAGAGAACACATATTCGGCCTGAGACTATTCTTCAACGATGATTAAGTCCCTTAAGAACATATTTGGGCGGATTTTTTATGGGTCAATTTTGAGCATATTCCAAAGGGGTATAACAACGCAGATTACGGGGGGATTTTTCCTAAATACCATTTTCTTTCGATTTTGAAGGCTACAGATCACGAATTTGGCCCGAGGCTATTCTCCATCGATGGTGAAGACTATTGATCCTATTCTCCACCGACGATTGAGCCCATTAAGCAACAATTTTGGGGTAATTTATTTCCGGACGACATTTTTGTAACTTTTGACGTTTTTTTTCTTCGAAGGGCCATTTTACTTGGATTTTGAAGGCTACAGATCACAAATTCGGAGTGAGACTATTCTTCAACGATGATTAAGTCACTTAATCACCGATTTCTGCGGATTTATTCCGGGTCAGATCCCAAAGGGGTAGCATCACAGATTTCTGACGATTTTTTCGAAATGCCATTTTCTTTCGATTCAGAAGGCTACATATCACGGATTAGGCCATAGACTATTCTCCACCGATGGTGAGGTCTATGAATCCTCTTCTTAACCAACAATTAAGTACATTAAGCAACAATTTGAGTTAATTTGTTTTCGGATGGCATTTTCGTAATTTTTTGGCAATTTATTTTCGAAGGGCCATTTTACTCATATTTTGAAAGCTACATATCACAGATTCGGTTTGAGACTATTCTTCAACGATGATTAAATCCCTCAAAAACCAATTTCGACAGATTTATTTCGGGTCAATTTTGACAGATTCCAAATGGGTACCATCACAGATTTCAGGCGATTTTTCCGAAATGCCATTTTCTTTCAATTTTGAAGGCTACGGATCACAGATTAGGACCGAGGCTATTCTCCACCAACGATTAAGTCCATTAAGCAATAATTTGGGGTAAAAAAAAGTTCGGATGGCATTTTCGTATTTTTTTGATGATTTTTTTCAAAGGGACATTTAAGTTGGATTTTGAAAGCTACAAATCACAGACTCGGCCTGAGTAAATTCTTCAATGATGATTAAGTCTCTTAAGCAATGATTTGGAGAATTTGTTCCGGGTCAATTTTTGGCAGATTCCAAAGGGGTACCATCACAGATTTCGTGCGATTTCCACGAAATGCCATTTTCTTTCAGTTTAGAAGGCTACGGATCACAGATTCGGTCCGAGGCTATTCTCCACCGATGGTGAAGTCTATGGATTCTATTCTCCACCTCCAATTAAGTCCATTAAGCAACAATTTGAGTTAATTTGTTTTCGGATGACATTTGCGTTAATTTTTTGCGATCTTTTTTCGAAGGGCCATTTTACTTGAATTTTGAAAGCTACATAGCACAGATTCGGCCAAATACTATTCTTCAACAATTATTGAGTCACTTAAGCACCAATTTGGGTAGATTTATTCCGGGTCTATTTTTGGCAAATTCCAAAGGGGTACCATCGTAGATTTCAGGTGATTTTAACGAAATGCCATTTTCTTTCGATTTTAAAGGCTACGGATCACGGATTCGGCCCAAGCCTATTCTCCACCGATGGTGAAGTCTATGGATCCTATTATCCATCGACGATTAAATCTATTAAGCAGCAATTTGGGATAATTTGTTTTCGGATGACATTTTCGTATTTTTTTCGAATGACCATTTTACTTGGATTTTGAAGGCTACATAGCACAGATTCGGCCTGATACTATTCTTCAACGATTATTAAGTCCATTAATCACCATTTTGGGCAGATTTATTCCAGGTCTATTTTTGGCAAATTCCAATTCGGTACCATCACAAATTTCAGGCGATTTTACCGAAATGCCATTTTCTTTCGATTTCAAAGACTACGGATCACGGATTTGACCCAAGGCTATTCTCCACC